GAGATTTAATTGTCGATCAGAAAAGTAATTAATGAGTCGATGATTACAATTATCGCTTCTCAAATAGTAGTTTTGATTTTTTTTTCGGCAAATGGAAAAATCTAAAATTCTGGTTTTCTCATTTGCTGATTATTTCCATCATGAAATCTGATCTTATTATTATTGTGATCATCATGATTTTCTGATTATCATTCTGATTCCTTGACTTTTCTCATGTTATCACTAATAAACATATCTTATTACAGATAAAAATATTTTCTCGTATTCTTTTTCATTATGTAAGTTTATTGTATCTCATTTTAGATGAATATGAATTCGTCTTTATTTCAGAACTTTTTTTTTCTTTCTTTTCTTACCTGAAGTTTCATCATGATCATGATGATAACTTTTTGCATTCATCATCTATCATCATAATCTTCCTGGAGGATAAATGATAACGGTTAACTCCCAGTTAACTCCCCTGAATAATCATCATCATGAATGGATCTCATGAATAACCTTGAATATTTGAATAAGTTTTTGGTGAATGAAAAAAAAGTAGAAAAAAAGTTCTGATTCAATAGATAATCTAAATTTTTTCGAGAAAACTTTATTCACTTGATCAACATGAACAACCAATGGAAATATTAATAAATTTCATCATGTATTGACACTGAACTTGAGATATGGAAATGAATTGACAGATACTTTGCCAGGGAAGAGTAAAGTAAACTATTCAGAACTTTTTTCTTGTTCTCAATTATAATTTTCCTAAATAATCATTTTGAAGTGAATCAATTTTCAAGGTTAATCCTTCATTCAACTTGATGATTATCCTCATGATCAGATCAAACAATCATCATGAGCTTTTATCTTATCATGTTCATTTTACTTGTATTATGTTTGATATAAATAAATACTCAAAGTCGTAGAGTAGAATAAAACTTTCATCAGTCTCTCATGAGATTTACAGGGTAAAATTCATGATCATGGTGATGAACAGTAAATTAGTTGAACAAGAGAAACGTTTTTTCCGCATCTCATTCAAACCAAATCTTTAATTTCTTCATCCTCATTTTCACTCTCACTTTGATACCTTTTATAATAAAAGTACATTTATCATGGTAGATCAACATGATGAATGAACAAAGTCACCTTTGAATTCAAAGAAAGAGAAGAGAGAGAGAGATAGTTCAGATTCTGAACCACCCATAGTCACCACACTCAACAGAAAACTCAACAAACATGATGAGTTACATTTGGAAAACTTTTTTCCCCGAAATCAGTTAACAACTTTCTCTTAGCAAAGCATAAGTTTAAATAAAAGATGAATCCATTATCATGCATGATGATGATGAAGATGAAGATGATGAGTAGAGGGATGAGGATAAGGGATGATAAAAGAAGAAGAGGAAGAAGATTAAGAAACTGTTAAAGAAAGAGTAAGAATAATAATGAGACATAAATCATTGGAGCAAAGAAAGTGGGTCAAATTTTGTGAGTCTGGATGAAAATTCTGGGGATTCAGTTGAAATTCAGGGTGAGAGTGATAAAAGAAAACTTATCATCATCATCGTGCAAATTTTACTCAAAAAAATGAAACAATATTAACTTTATCTCTCTGTCTCACTTTAGCTCCCTGACGATTGTAACATTTGAATAAAAGTTCATTTTCATCTAATTTCAATTGAACAAGAATATTGTTGAGAAAAAGTATAATCATCATGCACATATCATGTTGATGATAATTTATATATTCATTTATATAAATCAATCAGAATTTAACTTATCAACATTAAAACAGAAATGAAAAAGTTTTCATGGTTGTATGAAAGCCAATGAATTCATCATCATCATCATGGGTTCTCATCAACTTCTCATGGTGACGATGAAAAGGATTGAAATGTATTCAGAATGATGAACAATAAGCATGAGGGAAAAGAATAAGAAACTTAAGAGAAAAAGAGAAAAATAAGATAAAAAGTTCAGTTCCATGTGAAAAGTTTCTCTACATAATGTAAAGCAAAGGAGAGAATGAGAAAAAGCAAAAATTTCAATCGAAACTCAGAGTTACCATGAAAAATACATGATGATGACAGATTTTAACTTAACTATGGAAATATGTATGTTAAGTGAAGCAAAGAGGAAACAAACTCATGATGACGAAAGACAAAACAGTTATCGTTTTATTAATAATCTGAAAGACTGAACTTTTTTTACCATCACCCTGACATCATGTCAATGTTGATTCAAACTCTTTATTTGCTAACCAAGTCAGATACAAGACATTTCATGATACCCACCATGAAATTTTGCCTCTACTTTTGTTTCGGTGATCATTTTAGTTGGAAAAAAATAACAACAACATATATACAAATCATCAGCAATCAAAATCAACTTCATGAATCCATGAAGCTCATATGAAATGTAATCAATGAATATAAATAAAACTGTTTCCAGTTAAATTCATGGCAATAATATTTTCATCTCGGTTACCGATCATTAATTTAACGGGGATCATGATAGTGATGATGAATAGCAAGATGAAGATAGTCATGAGGTTATCATGGTGAGAGAGAGAGAGAGAGAGAGAGAGAGAGACATGAAAATTCATTTGGAATCAGAGAGAAAATAAAAAAGTTCTGAACGAAAAAAAATCGATTTTCCCAGGTAAATGCTTCAAGGCTTCGCTACTGTTTCATTTTTCCCTTCAACTAACCTTCACCTCCACCACCATGATGATCATCTGATATGTTCAATGGTATGAACATAAAAGGTACAGTTTATTATAACCAATTTACAGTTGAATTACCTGAAACATTTTCTTCGTTCATGTGATACTTTGAGAAATAAACATTTTCCACCAACATCATGCTGATTATCGTCCATGATATTGAATTATGAGCCCAATTTATCTCAAATTTTGTATGAGTAATTTTTTCTTCTTCTTTGCTTCTTAATAGCAAATGAGCTACATGATAAGTTCATTATGGAGCAATCGAAAGGTTGATTAAAAATTTTGAGGCAAGAATTTGGTTCAGTTGAAAATTACAAAATTTTCCGAGAAAAAATAATGACTCACATTCTGAAAATTCATCAAAAAAAATATACACAGAGAGAGAAAGTGGAAGATAAAATGATCATCTTCATCTTCATCATCATCATTAATATTATTGTTTTTATGATCATCATTAGTTTTCCAGGTTATTATTTTTACTTCAACATTTTATTCAACATAATCTCATGATGAGATATATACATTATCAAATATTCATGAACTCAGATGAGTCTCAGTTTTATCGTTTCCATGATGAAGGGAATAAATTCTGTGAAAGTTTCTTCATGATCTTCATTGAGTAACTTAAGTTATCGTCTCTTTCTTTTTAACTTAACAAGCTTTCGATTCTAATAAATTAATTATTATCATAATAAAAGAATGATGGAGATAAGGAGGAAGAATATTCTCTTTGAGATGATGTTCGAAAAAAAAATTTCGCTCATTCGAGTGGAAAACGAGAAGAAAAAAGTTCTGTTCAGTAGAAGGAAATTTTTTTCTTTTTCCTGAAAGATGAAAGTTAATTTAGATTCTGATTGATAAACTTGATTAAATGATCGACTAATTATCTGGGAGTTAATCATGATAAACAAATTCTGGAATTGGAATTTGAAAATTTCCAATTCAATCATTGGATAAGTTAATGAATGTCTAGACATTTGGGTTCAGGTAAATGGTGAATATTATGATTATTATATTTTCCATGAATTATCATGACTATGAGTTGGTTTTACTCCCAGATTATTATTATGATATTTCACCTTTTTCATGATGAAAATCATGATCATGACTCATGATAATTATGATGGAAAATTTGAAATCGTTGAAGTTGAATTAACTTGACATTCAATCAAAATTTATGATCAACACTTTTCACCATGAAAATCAGAATATCTTAATCTGATTGAACAACATTAATCTTATGGATTGAGTTAATCCTGATCAAAGTTCAGTGTCTCATGGGTTTGATTGATTGTAAACAAATGTCTTTCAATTTGATTCATTAATCACTACAATTTAGGGTCAGAACTTTTCATCATCATCACCAACATCATCTCTTGACATCATTTCATGAGTAAATAATGATAAGAAGAATCATCTACCTGAGAAGGAAAAAAGAAAAAAAATTCTCCAGAGAATTGAATCAATCGAATCTGAAAGAAATTATCGAAAGAACTTTTTTTTTTTTTTCTATCAATTTAAAAGTTAACCTTTCCATCCTCATCTTTTTATTATCTTCATCTTCATCCTCATCTTCATCCTCATCTTCATCCTCATCTTCATCCTCATCTTCATCTTCACATGAAATCCTTTCACAGAAAATGAAAAGTCATGGTAAGAATCAATTCTGAGATAAAATTTAATAACAATCAAGTTAAATAATGTATTGATTATGAACATGATTAAATTGATTGTTTGATAAATCATCGATTGATTTGTTCAACAGTCAATTGATTATCTATCAATACAAAAATGATTAAATTTAATTGATGATAACAATTTAAGTGACCAGATAATTGACAGTTATTAGTTTTGTTAACAGAGTTAAATTGGTTATTCCAGTAACTAAATTAACTAAATCATGTTAACTTGATATTAATGATTAGTAAACTGATCATCATTGAATATTAATTATTCACGATAATGTTTATTGAATCAACAGAAAACAAAAACAAACGTTTCAATCAACTTGATTTTAAATTGTTGTTAAATTATTAATTTTGACAGGAAACTTTTAATCAACTCCCAAGTGAGTTAATTGTCAAACTTGAAACACAATTAATTTGATTCAAGTTAATCCAAACTTATCAAAGTCTATTAACTTTTAATTGTGATCGAAAATTTTACTTTTCTCTTGACCTCTTGAAACAGAAACAGGTTGATTGTTGTTTATCATTTAATTAACTTCCACTGATTGATTGTAACATGGACCAATTTAATTGTTCAGTTAAAAGATAATCTGGCATAAAGGGTTAATTGTTTTCTTTTTAATTGTTTCAAGAACAAAAACAAAACTACAGCAACAAGAGATAAATTTGGTAATTTGATTTTTAACATTGTTTGCTTTTAGATTGTAAATACAATTTAATTGCAGGTAATTTAGTGTTAATTGTTAGAGTTGTTGTTGTGTATGATTAGATTATTTCAGATTTTGGTCCATCATTGGTGCTGTGAGATTTTCATTGGAGTGATTAATATGTATATATAAATTGTTCAGATCTTAATCGGTGAATATTAAGTGTTTGAGAGAGAGAGAGAGAGAGAGAGAGAGAGAGAGAGAGATGATACACCTAAGGTGATTGGAAGATGAATAGGATAACAGTGATTATGATACAATCCAGAATCGATGATGGTGATAATTATAACAATAGTAAATTTATCAGGAAAAAAATATAATCAAAAATAGTTGAAAGGAAAACAAATGAACAGTTATAAATATGAACAGGTGAATGTAACTGTTTGTGGTGTGTATGTTTAGTGATAACAATGATAATAATAACATTAAGATATATATATTTATGTATATGCATAATTATGTAATTAATTATGATGTGAGTTAAATGCGAACGTGTCAACAATTTAGTTGCATCATCATCTTTATCTTTCTTACTCTTTCAACGTAAAAACCTATTATTATCATGGACACACATAAACATGATGAATACTTATATTGTTCATCTGACTGAGTATAAATTATATCTCTCATTTTTTTATCATCCTCATTTCTTGTCATCCTCCTCTTGTAATAATCTTTGATCGTCATCATATTGTCATCTTCCTGTGTGTGTGTGATAATGTCTCTATCCTCCTCTTTGTAATTTCAGCTCTTTTTACTTTTGTCTTGGTTCATTTTACGTCTTCTTCCTTGTGGCTCTCTCCTTATTGTCATCATCTTCATCTTTGTTTATTTATAATCTTTTTTATGTCTCTCTCTCTCTCTCTCTCACTCACTCACTCACTCATTCACTTTCTCTTCCTCTAGAGATATTTATGTAATAATGTCAATATAATATATACATAAATTACTAAGAAATGTTGATGATAATTGTTATTGTTTGGCCTTTTAATTGAGTGATGTAGGTGTTGGTTTGTTGATGATGATGAGAGTGGGAGATGGATGAATATGCATATTAATTTGAATTATGTTCATTCATTTAATGTAACAATATTTTTGTGTTTTCTTCCTTTACTGTTGACATCATCATCTACTGATTCCTCCGGAACTTGAGATAATATCATAATTATTGCTGATTTTATGGAGATTTTTTTCCCTCTCTCTCTCTCTCATACATTTATCATTGTGAAGTTTACAGGTCACTTATTATTTGGTTTGTCACAAATTCTGGGTTAACATAGGTGAAACCATTAAATTCATTTCCTGACATAATACTAATTATCGATGGATCTGAAGGTGTTAGTGTTGGCCTGGCATTGGTAAAAATGGGATCAAAATTTTCAGCTGATCTTGGATTACGAACTTTAGGTATAAAGGGAGGTTGAATTTCACGAGCTTCCACTTTAGCCCAATCAATACGACGGAAAAATGGATGACCACGAACTTCAAATTCTCCATTACTCCCACAGCCTAATCGTTTACTCGGATTCTTGGTCAGAAAACCTTTACACGCTTCTTTGGCCTCTTTAGAAATTGACTTAGGATAGGAGACACTTTGCTCGGTTATCGAGGTAAACAAGTCTTCCTCATCTTCACCATCGAACGGAGGTTGACCTACCAACATTTCGTAAAGTAAAACACCATAAGCCCACCAATCAACCGATTTACCATAAGGTTGATATAAAATAATTTCGGTGCAATATAATCAGGTGTACCACAGAAAGTACGAGTTGTCTTTTTATCGTCAATACCGTCTTTACACATTCCAAAATCGGCAATTTTAATGTGACCTTCAGCGTCCAATAAAATATTATCCAACTTGAGATCGCGGTAAATGATTCCTCTCTCATGGAGGAAAAACAAACCGATAGCAATTTCAGCGGCATAAAAAACGGCAACAGGTTCCTTGAATTTACCACATTGTTGAATCTGGAACATAAGATCACCTCCGTTGACATATTCCATGACAAAATAGAGACGATCGAGTGTTTGGAAACAGGAATGTAATTTCACAAGGAAAGGCGGTTTACCGGACAAGGCTAGAACTCTCTTCTCGATTATTGCACATTCAGCATCATCATCTTGAATGAGAACGTCTTTTTTTAAGATTTTTATCGCATAAAGTTCATTGGGTGATGATTTTTTCTCAGCTAACATAACCTTACCAAATGAACCTTTACCCAATACCATTAGGAAATTAAAATCACTGGCACTTATTGGCTTTTTACCGTCAACACCGACGGTGGTTAAATTTTTCATGGTACTTGATAAACCTTCAGTTGAGATTATGGATGCACTTGGATGACGTTTATTCAAATTTAAAGCTCGATTATAACTTTCAACCAATTCTTGATCAGCTGGTGGAATCATAACATTGTAAAATTCACCCTCTTCTTCAGTTAGAAGTTTAAACCAACCTTCAACGGGTTTCTTGATAATCTCTGATATACCAAATGAAAGTGAACCCATAAAATCATTTCGAGAGGTTCGATCCCAGTCCCAAACACCGATATATAATCGACGATCTTTATCCTCCTTTTTAAGATCAAAATATAATCTCTCATTCCAAGTAGGATTAAGTGAACCCTTAATTAGATGAGTTTTTCTTTTAGCACTATCCTTACCTTCCGGTATTAGTTTACATTTAACGTAAGGATCAGATAGACCATTTGGATCCATTGGAATTAGATTAGCCGCTTGACGAATCTCACAAACTAAGGTTAATGAGTCAATATCATAATTAACGTCATTTATGGTAAGTGTATTGACTAATGAGTTGTTCATTGAAGGAGATGGTGAACATGTTGTAGTTGTTGTAGTTGTTGTAATAGTTGATGTAGTTGAAACTCCTGAAGTTGAATTGGTTGAAAGCGACGTTGCCGTTGATGAAATTGGTACTATTGATGTTGGTGCAAGTGGTTGTGTTGGTGATGGTGTAGTAGCAGTTACACTTGTTCCAGTTATTAAAGAGGAGGAGGTGGTGGTGGTGTTGTTGTTGTTGTTGTTGTTGTTGGTAGTGGAAACTGTTGCTGGTGTTGGAGAAATATTTGAGGAATTTGAGTTTGTTGATATATTAGCAGTTGATGTTACTTTTGGTAATGATGTTGATGAAGCTGAAGATGAAGACGATGATGTTGATCCTGTTGATATAAAATGGGTTTTACGTGAGCTTTCAGGTAAACTTTTCTTTGGTAGACAATAAACTTTCAATTCTATTCGACCTCTTCTCTCGGTGAAATCACATCCACACAAATTGGGAACATTTTCTTTGCATCTTTTATGAACATTCATATCACAGGCTGAACACCTGAGTCCCTGATGGATGATTCCATATAATAGGGAGCCACATTGGTCACAAAAGGTTGGACTTGTGTAGGTGTGAGAACTAAACTTATGTTGTCGACGTTCATCTCCATCACGATTATCAGCACCAGGGCAACTAAAGGAGACAAATGAATGGCACCGCTTATGAACAACAAGGGCACATATTGAACATTGGAAACCCTGTTTACCAATACCCCAAATAAATTCTTTACAATGGCAACAAAATGTTGGTTGTGGAAAAAATCGCGGAACAAATTTGTGACCTTTAACGTCGATAACATTTTTCTTTTTAAGAGCACCTTTACGATGAACTTGCTGTTGAAATCCAGTGGAAGAACTCATATTGATTATATTGTATATTCTAAGTAATCAGATATAAACAAAGATGATGGTGATGATGATTTATCGGCTTGAGAAACAATAAAATGAGCAAATCAATTGATCCAATTTCACACCTAAAATAATTACAAAAGAATAGTGATAAAGAGAAATAAAACATATAAGATATATGAAATTTTCTAATAGATAAATTCATCTAATTCTATCAAAAAGGTGAAGAAAAATGATGAATAATCGAGAATAAATACTTTACCTTGTTAATCCTTTGACTCTTTTGACTATGGATTAAGAGAATACAGTTAGTATAATTTGTAGAAACATCAATTGATCACAATTAGAGATTATAACAAAAATCTATCGATTTAAATGTTCAAATGAATTGTTGTTGAATAAACTGAATTTGTGAACGTTTTTGTCTCAAAGGCAGACATACAATAGAAAGTGAGAGTTTTGGATAGAGAGAGAGAAGGAAAAATCAAATGTAATTACACACAAATAGAATCAATTTTCAACTGATAAAAGTAGAAAAGGTTTTAAAGAGTTGATAATAACAAATGAGAAAATGAAACAAAATAGAATAGAATATAAAAACAACAAGAGAAGAAACAAAAAATAGAATTGAATTTCACTTTAAACACGTTGTTCCAATTTTCCAGCAATCAGCATATTTATAAGAGAAAAAAGAAGAAAAATTGATGATGTCAAAGGCGAATTTAATTTGTTCTCTTTCTGGGTTTTTCTTCTTATTGTCCACCATTAAAGACATAACAGTTTAAACATAACGGAAGAAAAGCTTATGACTAATGATGACGGTGAGTTATGGAGTAGAAGTGATTGTTGTTGTGGTGTTGGAATATATGATGATTAGTAAGGTGGAAAGGATGAGAGGAAGAGATTATTTGACATGAGAATCAAACCACAAAAACGTTAACCAACAATAATTTATCAACACTCAACAGAAAACGCACCAGAAGAAGGAAGATAAATAGACAAGTTGTTTTGAAAGAGAAGAAGCAAAAATGAAACAAAATAGAAGAAAAAAAAACAGAGGATGAAAGGGAGGGAGAAAAAGAGATGAAATTTACGTCAAAATGATAAACCGGAAAAAGCAGTAGTTGTTTAGTTGATGATGGAGAGAAAAAGATTGAAAGAGAAGGCAGAAAATTCAAAATAAAACGATATTGAGGTGATAGCGTTAAATTTGACTATTGGTGTTAATGATGTGGTGTAGGAAGAGAAACATGGTAACACACAATGTGGAAGATGATGAGATGAGGATGAAGGAATGATGATGATGAAAATAAGGCAAATAGAGAGGAGATTGAACAGAGAAGAGAGAGAGAGAGAGAGAATTGAAGAAAAAGTTTCAACAGATGATGAGGAAGAACGAATAGATTGAGATGAATGAGAAAATGATGATGATGATGTTGTTGTTGTTGTTGTTGTTGTTGATTCGGTTGATGATATTTGAGTGGTGTGAATGATGAAGATGATATTGAGATGAGTAAGAAAAAAATAGAAGAACTAAAAAAAATCAGTTAACGTTGAAGAAGAAGAAAAAGTAAAATGAAAAAGAAGAGAAAACAACTTGACTCATCAACAGTTGCTTGCTGACAGAGAGAAAGGCAAAGATAAAACTCAAGTTACTTTTCTCTCTCAGCCTCAGGCCTCACTCAGAATTTATCACATCTCACTCAGTCTCTTTCTATTTTACATCATCATCAGAATCTTCCTTTCGTCCTACTTCGAAAACAGAATTTTCTTTCTCTCTCTCTCTCCCTTTCTCTGCGCGCTCTCCTCATTATTTTTCTTCTTCTTTCTCACCTTCTCTCACTCTTCTTTCTCCATCATCTCTGTCTACATTTTTTTCATCTCTCTCCCTCCTCTCTCTCTCTCTCTCTTTCTCTCTCTCTTTATTATTCACAAGGAATCTCTTTCATCTCCCTCTCCTTTTTGTCTTCCCTTGATTTCATCAATCTGTGATGAAACAAATTCTTTTCTCTCTCTAATTTACCTTCTTCCTTCTTGTTCCTTGAATATCATTAATCCGGATGGTGATGATGATGATGATGATAACTGATTTACTTTGATTATATTACACTGACGATGATGATGATTCCATTGTTTACATATTCCTCTGTTTTTTCCTTCTAATATTTTTTCTCCTTTTTTTTAGGTTGATTGTTGTTTTTTTTTTCATCTTCTTCACATAATTACGAAGAAATTGATTTGGTGTTGATGACGATGATGATGATGATGGTTGTATTGGAGAAACTGGTTAATTAAGAGAAAACAATAAAAAAAATCAATTAGTTGATTTGTTTGTTGATGGTGTCAATTAACACTCAACCAACCAAAAAGCTCTCGGTGATGATTGACTTTTATTCCGGTGGTAATGTTATCCGTTTATCCGACACAAATTGTAAATAAATATCACACAAAATTCAAACCAATTTATAAACTAATTAAGTGTTGAAAGATTTTAAAGATAAAACTGGAAAATTAATTCATTAGTTTAGAATTTTAAGTTAATCAATTTCATTATTTTATCGAAAACAACAAAAAAAAAGCATAAGAAAGAAAAAAGAAAAGAACAAAACAAACAGCTGATTGTTTTTTATTCTTTTCCACGCCCAATTGATTAGGAGAAAAGAACAAAAGTTGAATAAGAAAATGAGTTAATTCTTTTTCTCTCTCCATTGGAACGTGTTAATTGTCAATGGTGAGAACAAATTATCTATTGATTTCCATCAATTTAATGTTAATTCTAATTCTTATTAATCTTCTTTGGTGTTAACAGTTTATTTGGTTTTCACTTTTTTCACACGAGAAAAGGATTAGCAGGGGCGGTGGTCACATGGATAATCCAAACGACGTAATTGATTGGTAAGATTAACACTTTTCTTTGTTCTTTTTTCTTCTTCTCTTTTTTTTATTCTTTTTTTCTTGTCTTCATCATCTTCTTCTTTTTCTTGTTCTTCTTCATGGTCTTAATTGTCTTCTTATGAATTCACCTCGTTTTCTTTCATGGTTACAATTCTCTTGTGAATAAAAGGAGTGAACAGTTTTCTCTTCTTTATTGTGTCAATAGATTTTTATCGACGCCATCTTGATATTATTTATTGTTTTACTTCATCATCATCATCATCTTCATTTAGACTATGGGTATTGTAAAATTAAATGAGCTTGATTATTATTATGGTGAATGATGATAATGTCAACTGTTGATGATTGATTTGTCCGGTTGATTATGTACATGTATGAGAGGCTTTCATATTAATACACTAGATTTGATTATTATTACATTATATTAACATTATTATCTTTTCATCATCATTCTTAATACAGATTAACGTTGCAAGTATATTCAGTGGAAAAAGAGATTGAAACAAAAGGGAAATCATGGTGAAAACAAACGATGAAGTGATTCAAGGATAAAGTGAGAGAAGAGACTAAATTGAAATAGAATCGAATGATTTTCAACAAGGAAACAGCAACAGGAGTATCAATCTCTCTTCTCTCTCTCAACTTGCCATGAGAAGAGGTTGAAACAATGAAGAAATTCAAGTCTTATGAGATTTAACGGATTCCTTATTCTTATAACAATCACCTAGATGATCGTCAACATTATCACCATGATCATTATCAACAGAATACGTTGTTTCTTTTAATCTAACTTTCTAATTCTCATTCAAGTACTGTTAATGTTACTATTGAGTGTTAACTGAATGATGTTTACCAAAAGAGGAAAACAAAGATTAAGTTTGAATTATCTCTATGTTACCTTTCATTATCTTAATCATCATCATTTTTCTTGACTCACTTTTATCACTCAGTTGATTTAATTTCAAACCTTGATTCTTTTTCTTCATCATGGTTACAGGTTCAGTGTTCCGGTAACTTGACCAATGATAATCGTCTAGATGAAACTTACTGGTCAATTCTGGTTCATGGCGTGAGGCCTGACTTGCTTATTTATAGTCATGGCTCCAAACTCATCATCATCATAATCATAATCATCAACAGCAGCATGATTATTATCATTATTTCACCTTGGCATCTTTCCCCTCGTCTCTCTCTCTCTCTCTCTCTCTCTCTCTCAACCCTAACGTTTCCATCTCATCATTTTTTTTCTTCTCCATATATTCAAACCATTTTCACGTTCACTATCCCTAACTCATCATCTTCATAATCATTTCAGTCAACTGAATAGATGAGTATATGGATCAATAATGATCATCAAACCTTACATGTAATAACTGGTGAGTTACCTCTTCCTCTCTCATCCTATTGAGATTGGAATTCTTGGAAAACGATAGAGGAAGAGAGAGAGAGAGAGTGAGAGGGAGTCATCACTTGATGAAAACTAAGATTTTTTTCTTATCACTTTCTATCATCACTTACCTTTGTTTCTTTCATTTCCTTTTACCTATCATCATCCTCATCTTTTTTTTTCAATCAACTTTCACTTTCCAACATTTAATTCAAACTTGTTTAATCTTTCTCTCTCATTCCCATGTAAGTTAATGAATATAACTCAGTTAAGAATCTAACCTTTGATTCAAATCTCATTATGTCGAACAATTTATTATATAAGTTACTCGAAAGTTCATCTACCTGTTTATTGTCAAATGTTGCCCTCTTTTCTTATCTCTCACTCTCCCTCTCTCATCCTCTCTCTCCCTCTCTCATCCTCTCTCTCCCTCTCTTTCTTTCTCTTGTTACATAGACACTCACATGCAAAAGGAATAATATTAATTCTGGTTTCAATTGTCTCTTTTTCCTTGTTTACTTGGAACCATCATGATGATGGAAAAGTTTCCACCACCACCACTACCTTCATCATCGTCACCATTAATCATGAATATTTCATCATCATATTCAAAATTTGATTCAATATCAAGAAGTAATGTTCAAGTAACCAGAGAGATAGTTGTTGACTCAGATGATGGGAAAGGTAAACTTGAAGAGAGAGAAAGAGAGAGGTAAAGAAAATTGAGAATAAAAAAAAACACCAAGAAAAGGTAAGAAATTGAAGATGATGAAGAAAAAAAGTCAAATACAGTTATAATATATTTCATCGAATTGATTTTCTTCAGGCATCAATAGAATAGAAAAGTTTTCAACTCGTTTTCTATCATTTTTATTAATTCTTTTCTTCTGTATTTTCCTTGATTCTTTCACAATAGATAAATCAACTAACAACTGTATTTTTGATTAATTTTATTCAATACAGGTTTCGATATAACAATAATTTTCCATGTTTCCAATCGGTTAATTGTTGATAAATTACCATTTGATTAACTACAGTTGATGGTTGAATATGAACTTGCAAAGTTTCAATCCAATGGATGGATACATATGAAGTTAATCAATCAAAAAGAAATCAAATTATGATCAACGATCGGAAATTTTGGAAAATGACTATCATTATATTCATAATTTTTTGCTTAATTGTTGATAATTTAATTTCAGGAGAGTTAACTTGAAATTGTTGAACTTTCCCTTAATGATGGTTAATTGTACTCTCTCTCTCTCTCTCTCTCTCTCTCTCTCTCTCTCTCTCTCTCTCTCTCTCTTTCTAATCATGATCATTATAATATGATGAAAATGATTCAAATTGTTAAGAGAGACAATTAATTCTTGGCAAAGATATTAGCAATTACATGGTGGTTTATATTACAAAGGAAACTTTTTTTCTCAACAATTAACTATGAAACGAAAACAAAGTTACTCAATCAAAATAATCATCATTATCTCAACATAATTAACATTGAAAAAACAACAACAATTAATACAAAGGCTTTTCAAATAGACAACAACAAAAAGTAAATTTAAATTGTTTTTTTCTCTTCCCTTACAGATTTTAATTGTCACCATCATCACCATCACAATTTAGAATTGATTATAATCAATGGTTGATAAATCACCTCTTTACATCCATTGGATATATTTTTAATTGTTTCGAGGTTTAATCATCATGATGGTTGTTAATTGTGTTAACCAAACAATCAAATATTACCATTTGGATGAAGAGGTTTATTCAACAATCAAAAATGACGGTGACCATGAAAACAAAATTGGATCTGAAATGGTCAATGGTTGATTAATATGAATTAATAATGATTATCAATTACTATTATTGACTGACCATTGGACTAAATGGATTATGTCTACTAAACCCTTAACTATTTAACATACAACCAAAGTGAATGGTTGATCATTATAATCATTATCAATATAATATCTTGATTATTTCCACTGAACCATTGGAAATCTTGTTTTCCATGATAATACTTTTGATATTATCATCATTAAATGTGATCAATCATGTAAAAAGGATTGAATCAAAATATGAATATGTAACTAACTTATCCTAGTTTTTTTTTGTGTTATTACAGACAAACAATCAAGAGTTTTTGGTCATTAATGGTCATCATCAGAGTGGACAGAAAAAAAGGACCAATGGACAATAGATTTTGATGTTTGATTGAAATCAAAGTGGATGATATGGTGAACTTTTTTATCAAATTGAATCGCAAAAGCTCAAAAATGATCCACCATTAGGAACCAGAACCAGGAAAATTTGACACCATCTCTTTTTCATTCACTTGTCCATCTTTTTGGCTCAATTTTTGGACAATTTTTTTTCTCCAAAAGTGATCAACCAATAAATTACTTGGAGATAGAAATTGGATAAAATTATGGATCCAAATGATGTCGATAGTTTCAATATAAACCTAAAGGAAGTACAAATTGTAAAGCCAATGACGAAGATGATGATAATGATGACGACGATGAGAAGATGAAGAGGAGAAAAACGGAAATTCAAAAGACTCTTGATGATCTTTTCTTTCAATCAAAATGAGACGAAAGTAAATCCATAAAGAAGAGAATCTCTTCCTCTGTCTTTTTCACCATCTTCCTGTCTTCCTCTCTATCTCTTTCTATCTTTCTATGTGTGTTAACCTTTAATGGTTTACAAGTTTTCATCACTTTGATGGTCATTTTGGTCATCCATTCACACTACTGAACAACATTAACCAAGAAAATACCGGAATCAGAGTCTCAACACTCACGATTCAATAGTCAAACTCTGGTTTCATCATTATTATTACTTTTCTCCCTTACTGGTCATCTAGAGAAAAGAAAATAAATATCTCTACCTTACTTGAGTTGACCTTAACCTAAACCTAAAGGTCCAAGCATGTAAATAAGAAACACAGATAATATAAATCATCATATTGGATGGAAACAATTTCCTGGATTTACTTTTCACTCGATCAAAAGCAAAAGGACAATAATAAATATAAAAAGATTGGAAAAAAAGAAAGTGAAAAATAACTGACCAAAGGAGAGACAAAAACATAAAGTAAAGGCTTTAAAAGTAAAGGACTGACCAATGGACATTGAAAGGAAACAGAGGGATAACATTAGAATTGGAAAATCTCTTATATTCTGATCAATCCTTTTATCTAAATCATTGTGACAAGAAACTTAATACCACTCAGGTATAATATAAAACTATTATCAGCTACTTTTACACAGAATGATAACCATGATGATAAAGAGATGAGAAGATAAAAGATAACAAGGAGAAAGAAAGAGAGAGAGAGGGAGCCAAAAACGAGAGAAAATATCACAGGTAAGTGAAAAAGAAAATAGGAAATTAAGGTAACATTTTCTTTCCTTGTATCATGAAAAGTTCTTGTTTATATCATGATATATATTGAATTAAAGTTGATTAGGGTCAAGTCAACTATCAGAATCAAATGTAATCCAATATCCAATATCCAAGTTTCAATTGTTATTGATAATATAATTTACAAAGGAAACAAAAATCTCATCATTTAAGGATTAACCTTGATCACAATCAAAATGTTGGATTAAAAGGAAAACAAAGAAATCAAATCAATTATAATGAAAATAGAAAAACATTTCCAATGGTCAACAATTGGATTACATGATAATAACCACATTTAATTACTATTTCATAACTGTAATCAATTTGATGTCCTTCATGGGCAAAAGTGGTAGTCTAATAATCAATTTTGATGGTTAACTTTTTTTTTCTCCCTTTCGTTGTGACAATTTATCTCCTCTCTTTAAATCATCACTTGTAATCTAATTTGATTACTATCATTTAATATAACCGGAAATTTTTCATCTTCCTTATCATTAATTATCATCTTGATGATGATTATTATCATTAATTTACTGTGTCCTTCTTGATTAACCTGATATATACTTTTCTGTATCCATCATTAAGATGATAATATGATAACTATTAATAGTGAACCATTAAGATAGATAATAGATTAACTCAGTGATTTATTTATTTCTTTTCATTATTATTCTGATTATTACAGAGGAAGAGTTGAGATGATGAAGATACTCAGCATGATGATGATGACAAGAATCTCTTTTCATCATTTTCTCTCTCTCTCATCTTCATCATCATCAAGGTAAATCAATTGTACTTTAATTCATGATTATCATAACAACTCATTAATCAACTTGACATAATAAACTTTTCATTGTTTCTCATCACATTATCAATGGAAAACAAAACCCAGAGACTGATTAACCTAAATTTCAATAGTTAATCAACTCTTTTAACTTGATTATCTTCATTACAATTTTACCTTAATTGTTGTTTTAATGGTTGTCAACATGATTGAATTAATTTCTTTTAAACTTCTATTATTATTTATGATCAAGTTTCGTCTCTTGTTTAATATAATTTTTTTGTTATCTTTTGCCTTGAGGGCTTTTTTTCAGTCTCGAAATCAAATTAATTTGATCAGATTACTTTTGATGGATAAGTTTGTTTTTCACAATTTAAATTTTCTCACTAATTTTGGTTATTAATTTACATCTAAATCAAATATACCTTCAAGGTTTAATTGTATTCTAATTATAAAGTTAATTATTTAAACTTTTTTTCTTCTTCTACTCATTTAATCAACATCTTAATTATTAACAACATTTAGAATTCAAGAGTTGTATTAATTTGATGGTTCTAATTGTTTTCTAGATGTTTAATTACGGTTAATTGTTAATTGTTAATGTTAATATAATTTTCTTTTTCAATTGTGTTAATACCAATACAATTTATTGATTATTTTAATTGTGCTCAGTGACGCTTATGTCTCCATCTTTTGTTAACAATTAGCATTAAGTTGTTGTAATTTATTTTTCCCCAAATTTTTAGTTAATTGTTGACAGTTAATTCACTTTCAATCAAATTGTTTTCTTTAGGATTTTTAATCGTTTTTGGATCTTTTAGTTTAATCATTGATCATTTTAAATTGAATTTGATTAATTGAGTAGATGAACAATTTATTATCTTATTGTTCATTCACTAGATGGCATGATAACCGTTAATTGTTACATTTAAGTTGAAGCACAATTAGTATAAATTGTATGCACAATTAATGGTAATTCATTGATTAAACAATCAACTTTAAATTAACTGCATGATATTGATTATTTTGATAGTTAATTCAAATCACTTGAATTAATCATTTCGATTGGTTTAAAGATGATAAGTTGATGATTATCAAGTTAATTGATTAATCTTTATAATGAATGAAATAAAATCAACATTAACAATTGATTTCTAATTGTAGTGATCATATCTCAATGAAATCTGCATGAAAATATTAATATCTGTCATCATTATCATCATCATCTTGAAGATGAGAGATGAAGATACATATTGGGAAATTATTGATTTCAAGAGTTTTTATCAGAATTGTGATTCAATCTCTGAGCTCAATTGGATTTCATGGTAACGATAACAACCGATAATCAATTGATTTGTAAACTCAAACAGTGATAATGATGAGTAACATAATCAGAGGATTAACATGATAACAAACAAGGAAAAAACTGCTAACCATGATAATAAAGCTGAGAATAATTTCCAGAACTTTATCCCCAAAAGAATGGGCGGAAAATTCATGAGTCCTGATTAGTTTTCTCCATGAAACCGATCATGATGGTTATAACAATGTAAGAGTGCAACATGAAATGATTTAGAAAGCAAAATGTTAATTTGTTTGAATTGTTGGTTTAAGAAAATCAGAATCTCTGAGTAAAAGTTTGAACACAAGTGAAGAAAAAAGTTCAACAGATTATCCCATGTGATTTGAACTGAAATTTAGCTTTCAGGGTGATTCGAGTCTCAACTTAATAAATATATTGCTTATTATCATGATAATGTGCTCGGTATCATGAAGGTTTGGTTAGAAAGCCTCACAAGAATTGAAACATTATCATGATGAAAATTCAAAGGATAGAGAGAGAAAAAAGTTCTGAATCAGATTAACAATATAATCCTCATGTGAAAACTTTATGATTGAAAAGATTAAGAGAGAGAGAGAAACTTTTCCAACCAAAATCAGAATATTAATCAGGATCATGATTAAGCTGTTTGGTGAAGTCTAAAAAAGATGATCGAGTTAATTGTTAATCAATAACAATTCATCCATGATTTATAAGTTATTTACGATTATGGATATAAATGTTTCATTGAGAGTTAAAGATATGTCAAAATCTTGATGAAACATGATGAAATTTACCCTGAAAACTTTGATTTCTGGTGATGAGGTATATTTATATCATCTGATAAGATGATTGTTACAATATTAATATTAATATCATGACATTTATTATATTTGTTGTTATTGTTACAGGGATTGTGTGTATTTTTATGGGTTTGTATTTGAAATTCAGAAGGAGGGATTTTATCATGAATGAAAAGTTCAGTTCAATTGAGATAAAATTAGTTTATCTCTTTTGTGGTTCATCATATTTTCCTTGTCCCTGATTATCATGATAAATATTTCCAATAGACTTTTCCATAGATGTGTATTATCATCAAAGATTATTATTAACGTAAACTCAGTAATATCGAGGGTGGGACCATATCATCATGAAGATGATAAAATGTAAGATATTAGTTGAATTCAGTTCAGTTAAAGTTCAGTGAAAACGGAGATAACTGTTTTTTTTTTCATTCTTTTACTTTTTTCTGTTTCTTTTTTGCTTTTTCTTCTGAATTCAGTCTTTATCTTCATCATCATCATCATCATTTGCACCCTAAGGATGTTGATGATGATGACAGATTAGGATGATAAATGAATGGAATTTTCTACAAGGAAGATAATGTAGAATGGAAAAAGAAAAAAGGCAAAAAAAGAAACAAAAATTTTCGATTAGAACTTTTTTGTTTCTCTTCTTTTACTTCTTTTTCTTAAATTCGAACTTGAGAGAGAAATAATCTAACATGGAGGTGGTGGTGGGTCGTGGGTGGTGGAAGGAAAAACAGGTAAGATAATTGGGGAGAGAATAATATCTTCAACCTTTTCATCTTCCATCTTTCATCCTTCATCTTCTTTCCCATGTTCAACATTATCTTCTTAAATATCTCTCTTTTTTTCCATTTCCTATCAATCTGAATCTTCCTCTTCCCCCCTCAGGGTAGTTTCTCTTTTCTCTGATATGTTTCATTGTCCATCTTCATCCTCCTCCTTTTTATTTGATGTTATTTATCATGAAATTACATGAAACAAATTGAATGTTAACAAGAAATGATAAAGATGATTCCTAATAAGAAAATGGTCCAGGAAAACCTTTGACAATGAACATGAAACTGAATCAATTATCAATCCAATCGTGTTCACAAATAACAATATTTACTTTAAATTTATTTCTAAATCTGATTTTTCAAGTTGATTAACTGAATTGAAACCGGAACCAACAACCAAACATGGAATCACATTATTTCATCATGAAAATAATTTAATAACCAAGATAATCATTGTAGATAATCAACTAAGTTCAGGGTTGTAATGTTCATTTTACTGAATTTCTCTGAATTTTTAACTTGTACTTTTCTCAATCAAATATTACATGAGCTTTTCTCTCATGATGAAAAATATTTATATCGATCAATTGAATTGAGGTTTTTTTCAGAAAAAAACAAAGAAAATAATCAATTCTGATTGATTAAAGTTCAGGTTATCTTATAACTTCATGATAATCATTATCATTTTCATGAATAAATCTCTGTCTTTTTACCCTGGAAACTATTTCATGGTGAGATTCAATTGAGACAGTAAATGATTAATAGTCTCAATCAAATGTTCCAGTTTTTTTTCATGGGTTTCATCATGACAAAAACAAAGAGTTGAGAGAATCTAAAACTCTGAATGAATTTTGTTAAAATGGGAAAAAAAGTTCTGATGGAAATTGTGAATAATTTGAAATTCATGATCATCATTCTCGGGTGATAATTTCAACCGGAATCAATGTTATCACCATCAAAGTTTAATGTAATATCAATATATATGTTCATACATGTATATAAGGTGGTTTTTACATAAGAGTGGGAATATTTTTCCAGTGAAAATGACAGAATTGATAACATGATAACCATGAAATGAGACATTTAAAGTTAATGTGTCGATGTTGAAGATAAGGATGATAATGACCAAGAGGTATGATTGATGAGGATGATTGACCACTTTGATGAATGGATTTGATTTTCTTTGTATCTTATTATTTTATATGAAATCTGATGAGATGATTAACTTATTGGATTAATAGTAATAATAATTGGATTGTTGGCTTTTTTTTTATTTCATTTGGAATCGTTGATGTGAGAGTAATGGAGTCATTAATTGTCCATCAGGGTAATCATGGTGTCCGATAACCAGAAGCTGACCGATTCGATCCACGATAAGGTAAAAGTCGCTTAGCTTTTTTAGCGTTACAATGGCTTTTGTAGACCACAAATATTGCAAATAGGACAATGATTCCGAGGAGGGAGATCGCAATTCTGATTCCCATCATGGGATCATAATCAGAATAATAATCAGTAAACTGGGAATCAACCAAATTAACTGATTTAATTGAGCCCGATTCAAAATTTGAAGGTAGTCTTGTTGTTGGTTGCAGTGTTGATGATAATTCTGAGGGCAGTTCACTCCCTGTTGACCTACTTCCCACTCCCACTCCTCCTCTGGGTTGTCTTCCAGAAGCGGATATTGAACTTGAAGCTCTAACTCCTACTATTGAAGAGGAAGATGACAATGATGATGATGATGATGGCGGTGATGATGACTTGGAACCGGAAGTTGTGGAGCAAAAATTACCTCCTCCTGGGCACTTTGGATTAATATTCAATGAGGTTGATGATAAGTTATTATCATTGGACGTTGATTCATCAAATGTTTTGGAGTAATTAACAAATGATAACGCAATCCTAATTGCTTTGGCTAAATTTGACCTTCCATTTGGAGGTTGAGATGATGAAGAGTCGGACATATCCATTGGAAGTGATTTGTTAACTGGACAAGGGTCAACAGGTTGATTTGAATATCAAATTACCTTTTGTTTTGTTGTTCTTTTTTGATTGTTGATCAATCTTAATATTGTCACAATTTACAAAATTCAATCAAATTATCACAGAATCAAAGCTCAATGTAATTACTATTTACGAATTAGATAAGAAAAACTCAGTAATTAGGTTGATGATTTTGATGATATTGAACTGATTCAGTTGATTGTTAATGATTTATTTCAACTTCTTATAATGTTGAATAATATTATTGATTTTTAAACTTGTTGTTATTTCATGAGATTCATGATTCAAATGAACTACTCAGTTGATTCTTTGGGTTATATAATAATAATGATACGAGCCTTTCTTGTTAATGACCGTTAGTTGATGATGATGAGGAAGATGATAAGGAAGATAAGATCATAATGTTTTTCAAAAGAACTCAAAATATCATGAAAATTAATGGGAATAGTTTATTATCCTTGATATCATTCCCGATTTCATGGTGAAAGTGATGAACACAAACACAAACTATTGGAATTTAAAAATAATCAACTTAATCAATTTGATGGTTAAATTAAATCCATAAATATGATCAGCACAATGAGTTCACTTTAATTGTTATCCGTTAACTTTTCTTCATGAATTAAGCATCGTCATCATCAAGATACATGTAACCTTTTTGGATCGATAGATTCAGAGGTTGATTCAGATGATGATGGAAATGATGATAAGGATGATAAGGATGATAGAGTAACAAAAAATTATGATATCTATAAAAAAGGCTTTTCAGTTTTAAGATAATGTATAAGGTGATTAATAAATTGTTGATAATCAATGGGATGAAGATGATTATTATTAGTCCATTAGATGATAATATGAAGATGATGATGATGATTTGATGTTCATTTCACTAATTATATTGAGAAATTGTCATGAAAAATACTAAGTGAAGGAGAGGAAAATTAATTTGATTACTATTACAATTTACTGATTTTCAGGTTTTATTTCAGATTTTGATTGTTATTGTTGATCTGAAAGCTCTTGATGAATATTGATGTTTATTGAACAGCGTTTTGTTGACAAATGAAGATGAGTGAGTAAAATAATGCTCATGATGGTGAGAGAGATGAGAGTGAGTTCAAAGGGCTTTTGGTTGAAGACCAAGGATGATGAAAAGAGAGAGAGAGAGAGAGAGAAGAAAGTTGCGCATCATCATCTTCCATTGAAAATCCTTAGCAATATATTTCATCTTCTCTCTTCATTTCCATCATCCAATTCATCTGCATCTTCATCTTTATCTTCATCTCTCTCTCTCTCTCTCTCTCTCTTCCTCTTCCTCTTCTAAGCTATATAAATGGGTGTAGAACTTGAATTATTTCAGTAGTTTTTTTATTCCATGAACTTTTTTTCCTCCTCATATTCATCTTCATGGTAACTCTGATTCCATATCTTTACCATTTAATAATTGTTATCGTTTGTCATGTTGTTGTTTCTAATCATCAAACCATAGCAAATATATTTTTTCATTAATCTATAAGAGACTAACAAGTTCAGTTCAATTTGTTCATTTCATCATGAACATTAATCAGATAAGTCTTATTGATAAAATCCTAGGTAACCTTGAGTTGGATTGACTTTCATTCATATAAAAAGCTTAACTTTTACCTGGATTATTTAGTTTGCTTTAATATTTGTAAGTGGATAAGTTAATTGTCCATCATAATCAAAGTACATATTAATAAATATCTTACTATTTATGTGTTTATTTTAATATACATTGTTGCTTAATTCACGAGTATTATCAAGATTATCTGGAACAAATAATTGTAATCATTACGATTGAAACTGTTTTCCTTGAAATCAGAATTTGTTATTTTGTTTCTCATTTGAAATTCAATAGATTAATAATTTTTCCTGACACAGTTTTCAGCTTAGTGGTTATTTTTTCAGACTCAACAATCATGGAAATTGAAACATGATCAAGGTAATTGAAATCTCAGGTAGAATTGTAATTTAAATAATCAGTTGCATATACACTAGTATGAATACTTCTCGTTTCCACCAGGTATCAACAAATTAGTTGAGCTTTTCTTTGTATTTATCTTGATTGTTAAGAGTTAAAAGTTAATCAACTGTTCATTATCACATTAAATATTAACTTTGCGATTGAATCAACAACTAAAATGAGCAGCAATTTTTTCATCAACTTTTTTCATAAGAAGACGACAAAGAGAGAGAGAGAGACAGAGACCATTATCATCATCATCATCATCATCTCTCTTTGTTTATTATCATTGAAGATGACAAGAAGATGTGAATGCAATCATGTGTTGAAATAACAATAACAACAAATGACAATGAATTGCTTATATGTTATTGGAAGATGAAGATAAGGATGAGGATGAGGATGGATATGAGGATTGAGATGAAGATATAACACCCAGGAGGTTTCACTTTCTTTCATGAGAAAAAAAACTTGAAGAATTTTTGTCAAGATGAAAAAAAGATGCTCCATGTTTTTTTAGGTTAAAACTGAAACTCCATCATGTTGTTGTTGTTGTAGGAACTGTTATCAAGGTTGAATCAACGCCAACGAGGATCAAAGATGATGATGAAACTGAGTAAACAACAAAAAAAAGAGATGATGATGATGATAAAGATGATAGAGATGATATTGAAAAACATTAGCTATTGATGAGTAAAAAACAAGTTGACATTGTAACCAGAAAACTTTGTAACTGTCACTCTGTGAGTCCTTGATTGTTTCAAAGGATAAAATTAAATTGCTAATCATTGATAATTATCACATTTAATTTTCTGTGTCTCTTCAAACTGATTAGCTATGCTATTTAATCAACTTTTAATTGCTTCACACTCACAATCTATTATTAAACATTCAATTGGCTGGACACGCAAACCAAAAACTGGACACATGAACTACTTTGGTGATTATAACAATTTAGAAAACGAGAAAATTTAAATTTCATGTGTGTGTTAATTGTTATGCAAGAATAGATGAAAATAATAGGCTATCAGTTTAATCAATTACAATTTATGGTAATTTATCAAAAGAAAAAGAAGAAGCTAATTAACTGACCGAAACAATTAAACGATGATTTTAATTGTTAGCGTCAGATGGAGTTGAAAACTGAAGCTAAATAAGGGAAAGAGGAATCGGGAAAAATTTCAAACATTTCAATCGTGATGAGAATACATTGGATGATAAAGATGAACATGATGACGAGCATGATGATGATGATGATGATGATGATAACAATTTAAATGTCGTGCCAACGGAAACGGTTACATCAGATTTATATGGGTTGGTCTGTTTTTTTATGTTCCTTTCAATGAAGAGGCCAGTTAGTTGAAAACAACGGGAGAAGATGAGGAAGATAAGTGAGCCTCTTTCTCAGTTCATCCCCTCTCTTCATCATCATGGTAATAACTGTGCAGATAATCAAGATGATGATGATGATGATTGAAGGGGGATGAAACAAGGAAGATAAACTTTTTTTCTTCGCCACGAAATTTTAACTACTAGATACGTCGAGTCAAGTATTGGCAACAAGCAAAAGGAATCATCATCATCCTCGTCATCATTAATAGCTAAAAATAAGACTCTCTCTCTCTCTCTCTCTCTCTCTCTCTCTCTCTTGGTCTTTCTCTCTCACTAACTTTCTCTTCATCTTCCATTCTCACTCACGCACTCTACACGTACTTTTCATCCTCATCTCTGTGTTTCTCATCAAGTCACTTTCACCATCACTCAAACATTTTTGGGTTTCCATTCATTTTTCAATTCTAATCCTTAATCTTAATGTAATTTCTGTCTCCAAGTTTTACATTTTTATACAAACTGATTAACTTAATCATCATCGGAAGATTCAACTGATTCAATTAGTGTTTGTAACAATTTAAATCTAAATTTCACAATCAAACAGTTTCAACGGTTTTCATTGTAACCATTTTGATTTTTTTGCTTCCATCAAACTTGATACAATTTAATTGTTCTTGTTATCAACTCAACTAATTCCTGAATAATCATCAATTAAAGACATTTCAGTTTTGTGATTACAATTTACATAAAGAGCAAAAATAAATCAGCTGATTGTTTAATTGTTTCCAATATCAGTTGTTGTTGTTTTTTGTTTATATTTGTTTTTTTTGTGTCTCTCATTCAAAAATGGATTTTGTTTACCAAACAATATTAATTGTTACCATTGTTTTGATCAGTTTTTCAGGTAATTAAAAGTTATCATCTTATAATAATCAATCATTAAGATGGCATTGAAATTGGGGTAACAATTAAATGTAATAATGAGATGATTAAGTTGATTAAGTTGATAACTGTCAACGAATGAAATTTTCAACGATCAATCAAAAAAAAAAAGTTAATACAAACAAATTGTCACAGTTTGATTGAGCTTAATCATTGACCAGCAAACCAAATGACAATTGATTAAGATTATTAATTGTGTGGATCATTGTTGTTGATAGTTACTATTGATTCCCAAAACAATTTAACCAACAATCAACATGAATCCATCTCATCATGATCACTGCCTATTATCATCAATATCCAACCCGCTGATCATTATTACAATTATGTTACTAAAAGTTTCTCAATGTAACCAGAAAAAAAAGTGAACAACATGAATTCAATTGAGTTTTCAGTGATAATATATAAATATCATGAGAATCATGATGAAACCTTGTAGATAATAAATGAGATACCAAATGATTTATATGAACAATCAAGATAATTAACATCATATGAGAGAGAAAGTGAAAGAAAAGACTTTGTTGATAGTTCGAAGCAAAAAAAAGTTCTGATGTAAGAACTTTTTTTCCAATACCTGATAACTTGTTTTCCTTGTTTATTTTTTATCATCTTCTTATTTATCATCCTCATCATCTCATTCTCTTTCTTTTTCCTCTTTCTCAGATCTTGGATACTCTCAGAACTATGATTGTGCAGCTCAAATACGTACAGTTGAACAAAGATGCAAAGAGGAAGCATTTGGTTGGATCAACTATTCAGGTAAATTGTAACAATTAACTTTACCCTCGATATTTCAATTGTTCAATTCAATAGTAATTTTCTAAATTGTCAACAATCAATAATCCAATTTATACCAATCAATCAAATGGTTGGACAAGAAATAATTTAATTCCATCAGGTTATGTTTATTTTCTGGTTTCAATTTGGGTAACTGAATCAACAGATCAATCAATTAATTATCATTTCCTATGTTAATTGTAAATCAATTTCTGAAAAAAAAGGTTAACTTTTTGATGGCCATTCAATTAGGTAAACAATTAAGTTAATTTTATTTACCATTCTCATCCAAAGTTAATTGTTTCCATCCCATTCATTGATCTGATTGTTTTTCCTTTCAATTTGCCAACTTTAATTAAAGTTAATTGTTGAAGATTCGGAGATTTTTTTAATGATTCAATTGTGAAGATATAATTTTTTATTTTATGATTTAAAGTCAATGATTTATTAACAATAATGATTTAATTGCTATCATATATATTTAAGTGCTATTAAGGCAAACAATTTGTGGTTTAACTGTTTTAATTTAGACAATTAAGATTGAGAAAATGGTTAAATTGTTGTGGTTAATTTTTTCTCAAGGCAAGAAATTAAATTTAATTTCATATTTTGTTAGCCTTTTTTTTTTGGTTAATTTATATTTTCTTGGTTGGTTAATTTACTGATTAAATAACCATGCAATTGTTAATTCAAATTAACTAACCTTGGTTTAATTGTTGTTAACTTGAATTTGTTTCCATGTCAATGGTTTACAAAATCAAGTGAATTAAAAAATTTAATTGTTCAGCAATACAATTTAGTTAATTATTAAGGCTTGCCAATTTTTCATCATCATCAAAATCTAGATGATTAAGATGAAAACAATGATTAGAGAGTTAATTGTTGCCATGTTCAATGGAATTAAATTAAATTGTTATCAAATTAAGAGATTATGGTTTAGGGACAATCGGGTATTGCTTTTGTATTGAGAATCAAATGAAACCGGAAACGGAAAATGAAAAGATGAGGATGGAGATGATGGTTTCTTTTTGCTTAGTTAAACCTTTTTTTAAACTTTTGGTGATGATATTAATAATATAATCCTGATCTTAATCAGTTAATCCTTAAAATAGATTAGTTAATATTGTTGTTAACAGTTAACTAACTGCTGATTAATCAAATCATGTTGAAAGTAAACAAATTTAGACTTTACCATAATTGTCATTGACCGGAACAATTAAAGTTCATTATGATATTAGGATTATTTGTTGATTAAGGGAGTTAATTGTTAATTTGGTTGTTGTTATTTAATTGTATATCTTATTCATGTGAACCTTTCAAGTTAATCATGGTAATCAAAAGGGTGGAGAGAAATTAATTTTCTAAATTGATTAAAGGGCTTTTCCATTAACTAATTTTTAAAACCAATTTGATTAATCTGAATTATGGTGAGTTTTTTAGATAAGATTATCTAATCATCACTACGATTAGATTACTTGTTGGTTATTTGAAAAGCACAGTGGAAGCTACGGCAAAAGTTAATGGAAAAGGTAAGGTTATTTTCACAATCAGCTGACAATTAACCAACCAGCTGATATTTTAACCAACATTCACCGAGTTTAATTCGGTTTTTCAGTTAATGGAAAATTAAATTGCTTGATTGTTATTTTGTTGGTTAAATTTGATTAGATCATCAATTGAAGGTTCTAATCAATGATTCATGATTAGTGTATAATCATTATCATGATTAACATTGATTATTAGTTAAATGTTAATCTTAAAGGTCTTAATCTGAAGCAATTTGTTATTCATTTAATTATATTTGGTTAATTAGTTTAATCCTTATTGATCAAAATTATTGATTATCACACATGAGTGGATAATTTTTTACAATTTAGTTGATTCTTTCAACTTTTACAGGTTATCATTCAGTTGATTGCTAATTTGATTGTTTGATTAGCTATCAATTGATTGGATCAATTTTAGTAAATAGTAAACAAAGTTAATCAATAATATTTACCTTGATTATTGTTTGGTTTTGTATTGAGCTTGAGTTAACAATCAGCTAATTGTTGATGATATTATTTTATTTCAATTGAAGGACATTCGGATTGAAACATGTTTATCTTTTTATCACCTTAATCAACATGATGAAATATGATCATGATTGATTTAGTTAATCCACTGAATCAACTCAAGTGGATTAGAAAAATAAAAATTTTCGTTTCAATTAAGATAAACAAAATTGAACAACTAATTTTATTCATTAATTAAACATCGTAACAATTAGTTGATTGCTAGATGATTAGCTAAATTATAACAGAAAATGATTAATTTTTTCTGGTTTCAAGTTTCTAATCACAAATGATCATAATTTGTCTAAGGTAATTTACTTTCATGTATTAAAATGATTAACTATTGAAAGTAATCATCATTTACGGTAATTAAACTGACGATCTTTAACTTTGTCTTATAATACAATTAACTAATTAGATTATTTTCTGAGTTAACAGAAGCATAAACTTGTATTGTTAATGAGTGTGGGTTAAAGTGAGAGTTAATTTTTTACAATTAAGCTTTTGAAAAATAAAAGACCAAATTTGAAACAATCAAACTAAATTGTAGTAAACTAATTGAAGGGAGATGAATTTTCATGCTAATTAATTGATTAGTAAACAAATTTCATGACTTAATACAATTAGTGTTACATATCAGTCGTTGGGGTTATTTGATCGTTGAAAAAAGTAAATTGCAGAAATAACAATTAACTAATACTCGAATGGCTACTTGATTAAGGCAATTCTCTCAAATTGATAATTCGTTCAATCAATTGAATGAGTTTCTTACACTCTCAAGATGATTAGGTTGGTTAATCATCATCGATACAAGTTAATCTATCAAAATAATGATTAGTTAATTGGCTTTTCCAAAGCTACTTTACATGATTCTCTCCGGAATCATCTTAAGATTAGTCATTTATCTTCCTCTTCCTCTTCCTCTTTTCCATTGTTATTCACAACGTACACATTATGGAGATATTAATGTGACCAATCCTCCGAGTAGAAGTTAATTTAATTGCTTCTCCATTGAATTAAGAGTGAGGAGGTTAATCCGTAAGTGAATTAAATTAAATTCAGTCTCGAAAATCTGTTGAAAAATTAATACAAAGAGAGAGAGAGAGAGAGAAATATTCAATTAATATCATATTATTTAAAGAGATTAAAATTAGTGATTAGTGAACAGTTAAGTCAGTGAATTGGGATTTCTAGTGTTATTAATATAATTTAGTTGAGAAAATTTAAAAGCCGAGGACAAGTGATTAGGATAGTCAATGATTTAAAGTATGATTATGATGATGATGATGATCATCATCATGTTTAATTATCATTAATATAAATTATGATTAATATTATGAAACTTGTTGGCTATGAGTAAACAACTTGAGTTACTATTAACCAGTTAACCTTGATTTAAATTTGAGGGAATGTTAATATTTGTATTAAAAAAAAGTGTAATCACCAATTATCAAGGGAAGGGAAAGTGAGAGAAATTATCATCACTATTAAGCAATTTAATTCAGTTAAATGGTAAATTCTTGCTGAAATAATATATCGCTCTCATGTTAACCACCAGTGGCAATGGGATACCCAAAGTAGGATAAAAAGGAAGCTCCAAAAAAAGTGTAATCATAATCTAACGTTAATAACAATCAACGATGGAATGATAATTATCATCAAAGTATCATAAAAGAAAAGCGTATTAACCAAAATCTTTTGGTATTTAGGGTTGGTTCATATTCGCAATGAATATAAGTAAGTGAATGAGATTATCAAAAAGGAAAAGAATAGAAAATGTTAATACTTACTTTCATTTTCTATTCCAACTTATTATCATTGTAACTTTTTTCTCTTCGAAATTATAAACGAAGAGAGAGAGAGAGATTCGTTCCACTAAATCAATTAGGTTAATTGTTCCGATAGTTTGTCTTGATTAAAAAGCAAAAAATGAGATGAAAAACAAACCGAAACTAAGATTTAATCACAATCGCTTTTTCCAATGGTAATAATAGTTACACAGTTGGAAGATTACATAAGATGAACATTAGAAGTTAGTAAATTGTTTCTCACTAATACACTAGAAGGTAAAAGATTAATAATTTTATTATTAATTCTTTGACTTATTAATATGAAAAGAGTAAAAAAAAACATTATTTCAACTTTTGTTGAGAAAATTAATCAATCAGCTGTTTCCCTCCGAAACTGAGAATAACAATTGATTGTCTATTCTCACGAAAAGGTTAACCCTTTAAATTTATCTCTCAATTGTAATCTAATTGCTTATTTATTAATATATTGTCGAGTTTGATTAATTAACAATTTCTTTTATTCTTATTATTAATTAAGGGAATGAAAGAACGTTAATTATTTATCTAAGATGATAGAAAATCTATTCTTCATATTGAGATTTATTGTTTTCTTTGTTGATTCTATTTTCTATTTTGTTGATTCTTTTACATTCTCTTCTCCATGTCATCGCCATCTTTGTTTTTGGAACATTTTTCTTCTATTCTTTTCTCTTTTGCTTGTGGGTTAAAGGTAAAGTAAATTGTTAATCAGCAAAGAAAAAGGTTAAACATTAATCAAAATCAATTGTGATTATTTTGTCATGTTGTTAATTTCAAAACTATTACAAGTTCATTATACCAAAGTGATAAATCACCGAATGGGACAATACATGTTATTATCATGTTGATCCACAAATTTTCAACCAATTGTGATATATAATAGTTAATACATTTTCGCTAACAGTAAGTTTGCTAACTATTACCAACCAGCTCAGTGATTTTTAACACAATCAATTTTCATCTAATCGTCGTATTGACATGATACATGATGATTATATCAACAATCACGAATCCCTATCATCTCACCTCATCAACTATTGGAAAGAAAATTTAATTTTTCCTCTATTCCAATTGTTAATCATTCACTTGGTGTATCGTTCAACATGATAAAAGTTTCTACTCATTTTCTGTTCCAATAGTTGATTGTTCAATTAACACTTTATCAACAACAATCAACTAACCCAACAATTAAAATTCCTGATAAATATAACCTTTTATTACCTATTGAAACTCCTTCTCTCTCTCTCTCTTTTTTTTTTGCTAATTTAATGTATACTAATTAACATTGAGTAAATTTCTTATAATCAATGGTGAGAAAATTAATTGTTTCCTTAACACACTTTCTATCCAAAAGTGAGAAACAATTAATAATTTTATTAATATTCAGTCAAACATTAGGTAATTTGAAAAGGTCATTTGAATAACATTATCATGTGTTAATTGTTTAATTCCAATCATTATTAATCATCACTTCACAATTTACATGAAAATTAATGATATTCATCATTCAGCTAACGGTAAATTTAATTTTCTTTTTCTTCTATTCTAAATATTAGATTTTGATTATCATTTATAATTGCAAATTGTTAATGGAACCAAATTTAAGTAGATTAACTATATTTCTCTCTTTGTTTTTCTTTACCTCTGTTACCTTTTTGATAACAATTTCAATTCTAATTTTAAATTCAAATTAACTATTAACACGGAATAAAAAAAAAGTAGATGAAAAATTTAAGCTGAATAGCTTATTTCTCTCACATAACTGAATCAACTGTAATTCAAATTGTTTACAAGTTTAAACCTCAAAAACTGAAGCAATTAAATAATTAATTAGTCCAATTTTCCATTGACAAATGTTACCTGTAGAAATGAACAAGTAAAATTAGGAAAGAGGAGAAAAATAAACAACTGAGAATGAAATTTTCTCAATCAGAATTAAGCAACAATAAATCAACATGATGGAAAATGATTATTTGATTGTTGTCTAGTTGATTGTGATTATTGTTATGGAGAAAAAAAAACAATAACAACCACTTGGTGAAAAGAGTCTTGACTTTTTTTTCATTCTTTCGTTCATGAAACTATCAGAATACAATCAACAACAATCAACAATCACTTAAACATAGAGAGAGAGAGAGAGAGAGAGAGAGAGATGAAGAAAATAACTTGATGATTCTATGAGAATGATTAACATTATGTTAATCATTTGATTTCTATTGTTAACCTTCAACTATAATCAATCAATTGCAATGGAAAAAAAAGTCATCACAATAAACCGAAAGGTAAAAGATGTCACGATGTTTATCTGATGGTGAAATAAACAACAATCTGTTTCATGATAATGATGATGAGGAAGATGAGAAATAAAATAATCAACAAGCCTCAAGGTGTTGACATCATTATCATCATCATCTTCATCTTCATCTTTATCTTCATCTTCATTCAAGGACCCAAACTGTATAATCAATAAAATATTCAACTCACATTTTTCCTATGGAGAGAAAGGTTAACATTGGTGAACATTATTCAGGTTGATTGTCATCTCTTTTCATCTTCCTGATCATCATCATCTTTATGTAATAGTGATGATGAAGAAAATAAAAGAATGAAAAATATGATGATTATTGTTGATTTTTTTTGTTCTTCTTTCTTTTTCTCTTGTCGTTCAATCCATCATTTTCCAATGTAAATAGCCTGGGGCATTATCGTTACTCTAATTTTTCACTTCCATCTATTTGACAGGTAACAAGTTCATTGATGATTATTATTATTATTCAATGATGGATGCAACTCAACTCTCCATGGTGATAATATCATAAATGTAACAATCTGTTGATAGAAAAATATAAATGTAACAATTAATTTCGATTACTTTGTTTTCACTTTGTTGATTGTAATTATTTTTCTTCTGAAGGATGTTGTTGATACTTTTGATTATTGTGATGATTAAATTGATTGTTATTAAGGTGATAACTGTTACAATTTGGCAAATAGCTAATCATTTGTTTGTAACTTTAATCATTTGTTATGTTAATGTGAGTTTTAACCAATGTTGATGATTAACTTAAATAAATGAGTAGATTATTGAGATCAACAACTAATCAACAATTTGATTGTTTTTGATGATCAATACATTTAATTCACTTCCCATTACCTGGGGAAAAAAGTTCAATTGATAATAAAAATTGAACTCACATGATAATTTAAACTGATTAACTGGTAAACAATTAGTTTGATTGTCTTTTCTTTCAACAATTAGCTAATCGTTCAATTGTTCTAACGATAATTAAATCAAACTTGCAATCTGAACTGATTGCTGAATTCAAGGTGATTGTTTTTTCTTTGTTAATCAACACTAATTAATGATTATTGTCGGATAATCAAGATGAGAGAAATAAAAAAGTTAACTGTAAATCTAATTATTTACCAATTTAATCAGATTCAATTGATTAACGAACAAGAAATTCAGTCAACAAAATAAATCATTTACCTTTTGTTTTCCTGTTGATTATTATTATTATTAATGATAATTAATTGTTCCTGCTTGTCAAACCATTTAAACCAGATCGTAAAGCCAATTATCACAATTAAGTTAATTACCAATGGCATTGTAATCATAGTAATAAAAATCTCAATCAGCGTTATTAAAAAAAACCCATGATTCCAATTCTGTAGATTAAAAAAAAACAATCAGCATTAATTGTAATCAATCAAAATTTCATTTCATTAATTTATCAACAAAATGATATGAAATTAGAGATGTCAAGGTGAAATCATTGATTGTTGATAAAACTATTTAACACAACAGCTCAATTAAATCAAATGCGATAATAGTTTCTTGATTGTTAATTATAATAAGTTAATCATAAATTATTATAATAGTGAAATATAAAGTTAACGGTGTGAAAAACTATCATGATTTAAGTGAAATAATTGTAATCATGTCAAAATCAGCAGGGGAAAAGTTGACAATTTAGATGATGAAATGATTTGGAACTGAAAATTGTAATTTTTTCAATCATTTTCAACAATTTGTGTGAGTGTGTATTTGACTTTAACCAATTGAAAGTAAATCAACTAGATATTATCAATTGATTGTAAACATGGTTGCCAATTTTTCCTTCTCAATTCTGGTTGATACACTTCCTTGAATCTTTTAGTTATCCATATACACCTTGAGTGGCTTTTAATTTTAGATCTGAAAGGAGAATTGGGTGAAAAATATAAGAGAAGATGAAAAAAGATCATGAATAGTGAAGATAAGAGGAGGAAGATGAGGAAGATGAGGGTGGATTTGGGGTGGGTAACATGAGTTTCTGTGATCTTGTTTTCCTTCCTGGTGAGTAAATAATAAAATATATTAAGGTGAAGATACTGAGATGGAATATATTTAAGGTGAATGACGAAAAGGATGAAATGTTAGTGAGTAGGAAAAGGAGAGAAAAAGAGAGATGAAAAGAAATCGAGAGAGAAAAAAAGTTCGAGCAAAGAAGTAAAATTAGCGAAAACATTATCGAGATTCTAATTTGAGTTGACAGGACTTTTTTTCTCTTCTTCTTCTATCACCGTTACCTTTCGAATCCACCTCGATCTCAATTTTCTTGTTAAGTAATTTCTCTTCTTTCTCATCATCATCATCATCATCTTCCCTTTTCTCGTACCAAACAATTCAATGTAATTCATCGTGAACAGAATATATTAAGATTCCCTTCTTACTCTGTTTTCTGTTAACTTTCACACTCTGTTGGTGATTTTGATTCAATTTACTTTGAATCTTTGGTGATGGGAGAGGAAAGAGGATGAACATGGTGGTAAGTTGATTCGAGTGAGCTACTTATCAGTGATAAAAGTAGTTATATCAATCGCCAAAGATTCTGTTAGATTTTTCTTACTTTATCTTCATCCCTTCTCTATCACCATAATCATAATCATCATCACCTTCTTCCTTTATTGGTATATCTTTAGATGTATCTCTATACCAGGAAACATGGAAATTCATACATCTCACCTTCTGCTTTATAACAAAATGGTCAATATCTTGGTCCAGTTACTTATCCCTTAGTAGAATCTAATACTCTTTTTATCATTTAGTCTCTTTCTTTGCCAATAATCATTGAAGATTTATATATCTCTCTCTTTACTCATTGATCCATTCATCCAAAAGAATGAGAAAGAAGTGGGAGGAAGAGGAAAAGCGTAATCAGCAATATATTACACAGGATCAGCAGAGTTACCATTATCATGTTCTTGACCTATTAAGAGTTGAGTATTTTTATGCAATCTGGAGGAAAGATGAAATAGTACAGGAAGAAGGGGAAAAAGATGATATCTATTGATTCGTTGGAAGTTGAAAACATCAGATCAATATATCGACAAAACTTATATCATCATCTTAAAGCAACATGGAGTAAGCAACCAACATACTAAGAAACATGAATACAATGAAAAGGAAGGAAGAGTATCATGATGATGGTGATAATGTAGGAGAAAAGACTTTCTCTTTCGGATGAAGAAATTGGATGAAGGCGAAGGAGAAAGAGAGATTAAAATGATGAAGAGATCGGATCATAAAGAGCAAAATCTTGTACTTTACATTGTCAACAGAATATAAAGTTATAATAGAAAAAGAGTTTAGCCTGGGATTAAAGGGTTATCTTTAAGCGTAGAGAGAGAGACTATGTGGGTGTATGAGTAGAATTACAAAGATGAAGAGAGAGAGAGAGAGAGAGAGAGAGAGAGAGAGAGAGAGAGAGAGAGAGAGAGAGAGAGAAAATGAACATTTCAATCTCAATTGTTTCAACTGCATAGTAAACATTTGATACTTGATAACATCATTTTCGATATTCTCATCTTACTTGAAGAGCGAGAGAATCAGAAATTCACTTCCATCTTTTCAAGTTCTATTTTTTGATCTTTTCTCGTTTATCCAAAAACAAATAACAATCAACTTTCTGTTGTTATCCAGTCAATAAGCAGGATAAATACAGAAGATGAAACCGAACTTCCATCCTCATCATCCTCGATTCTTTTAAGGTATTTCTTTTTTCATCACACAAAATTTTTCGAGACAAACATTTTTGTCAAAAGCCTTTTCATCATCATCACCATCTTTTATCATATTTCTCCTTATTCGTTTTGGGCATGTAGTCTATGTGAGTGTTTATGTGTGTTCCTTATTTTCTCCTTAAATCCAGTTACTCGTAGGCCTAAAGATAAATGGAAGATGAGAAAAGAATAGCGAGGGAAAAAAGAATAAGAAATGACAATGATGAAGAAGCGGATATTAAGTTTCGCTGAATAAGCCAAGAAAAAAAAGGTTTGTCTTAATATGAATATAATAATATGAAGATGGCGATGCACAAAGGTAGAGAAAGAGAAAAATTTGATAATTTGAAAAGAACAAAAATTCAAATGTAACTCATGCTTGACTATTCTACTAATTCAATATCTTTCTCTTTCTCTTTCTCTTTCTCTCTCTCTCTCTCTCTCACTAATTAACATTAATTTTCTGCAATATTATTCAAGCTAACAAAAAGAAATTCCTAAATTACTCTATGATTTATGTGTATTTATAAAAATGTCTACATATTCATACATAAATAATTCAATTCAATCATAATAATCAGTCTCATTTAATACTAAAAATGTATATTCATAGTATCATGTTTCAATTAGCAAAAATAAGGCAAGAGAAAGATTATGATGAGAAGGGGAGAGGATGATAAGCAAGATGAAAATGAAATTTTCCCATGCATTAGATGAGAGCCTATTAGTGTAATCAAAACCTAGAGTAAAAACCAATGTTAATGAATAGGAAAATGAGGAGGAGGAGGATGAGGTGGTGGTGGTGGTGGTGGTAATGGTTGGAGGAGGAATGACGTTGATGGAGATGAAGGATGCTAATGAAATTGGGAAGGTGAGAGAGAGAGAGAGAGAGAGAAAGGAAAAGGAAATAATATCAAGGCAGCGAAGGGTAAAGAGTAAGAGTTGATCCAAAAAATAATATATAACAATAATTAGTTGACTTACACGAAATCAGAGTTGTTGAGATGAGAAGATGGAAATTATTTGTGTGATGATGATGGAAGACAATGGAAATCGTTTTTGGAAAAGGATCATTAAAGTCTCTCTTTTTTGTGATTTTTTCTTCCACTTCCTGAATGTTGCTATTTCTTTGTGATGAGGATGTAGATCAATAAATGATGCTTATATAACATGTAATAGATTGTATCTGTTGCTCTTTAGCCAACTCATTGGATTGATAATCTTTGATTGAATATTTTTGTAAATCGATCACTTCTCTTGATGGATCATTTGATTTAGATACTGTATTTGTCCATGGCTTGTTAATTTTGACAATTTATCATCCAATCCAAAGTCTATTTTATGATTGATATAACCTTAAACCTTTCTGATTGTACTTTAATTTTTCTTTCTTTCATCAGGTATTGGGAAGGAGTGTTGTCGTAATATCGCCTTGGATCGATGTATGAGACAACGGGTTCCAAGAGAATGTCAAACATTGGCAGCTAATTGGTTATCTCCTGAGCTTAGAAATTGGATTTTCACTGCTTGTTCCAATTTCAATGAACGTCGTTGCGAAGGTAATAATATTCATGATAACCTAATATACAAGGGGAGAGAGAAATAGTAATAACCATTATCTTTCTGATCATGATAATTTTGTGGCAATCAATTTCGTGTCACTTGAGGATTTCAAACATGAAACAATCTCTTCCTTTCATCTTCTTCTCTATCTGGACTTTTTTTTCATTTTCTGCTCCTTTTTCTGCTGACCATGGGTAATTTATTTTCCTTTGTAGGTAGGAGGCCAGTTTAGTGTTGGATAGAAGATAAAATTAAATGGAAATTTGTAAACATCTTTTCGCCCAGAAAAAAAAGTAGAATCCAAAGTTATGAACACGATTTGGCAAACAACTATTTTCGGTACACAGATAAACTAACCTAAGAAACATGGAGATAAATACAAATTACTAATGAAATATATTAACCAGAAAGTCCAAAATTGTAGAAAGAATTAGAGATTAATTATCGAGAAAGAAATATTTTTCATTCTATTCTATGATACAAACCTTATTCTTTCTCTATTATATAACAGTAACAGTGAGAATTTGTTAGTTTCCTTGTATAATATAATGGATGTTGACTTAAGAAACTTTGTTTGTATGTCCTTTTGCTTCCTCTTGTTAGATTAACGAGATCGTGAAGTCTGTTAATTGATAATCATCACGAAATTAATTGTTAGTCAAAGTCAAAACCTAGAAGAAAAGTAATAGAAGTGAAGAAAGAAAAAAAATCATAATGAGTTTACCAAAAGCAAATATAGAAAATGAATGAAAATTTACCTTTTTCATGGTTAGTTACTGAATGTTGACCTGTTAATTTAATTATGGTTATCCAATTCTTATGAGAACTGATTATTTAATAAACTAAATCAAGGTTCCTAAATTTAAGCCTTTCATAATAACTTGACAAATAATTTAGGTAAAGGTAATATAAGTAATAGGCAACAAAATTGACAGGCTTGGCTTTCCAACTGTTGCCTGTTTCTAATACACACAGAATATTTATAATATACTTACCATCAAGGAGATTGATGATGGACAATATCAACACCAAATGGATTAACTTGAAGGATATAAAAGAAGATTAAATTGAATAGAAACAAAAAAAGGGATAATAAATGATTAAGCAAAAAAAAATGGTTAATCAAGGTAACCAAACATAAAGAGTTAAAGATGAAGAAACAAAAATTGTTGTCGGAATTGAATTTATTTCAATCCAGTGAATTATCACTTGTTCATAAGAATCTCGATGAGAGAAAGTGATTAATCAACAACAATTAATCTAATTAAAACTATGTAACATTGAAGAGAATTAGTTAATCGGATTAATAAAAAAAAAGAATTTTCGCGAAAAAGGGGAACATTAATTAAGAAACAATTGTAACATTTGATTGGAAATTAACACATTGACCCTTAGAATTTTTTCCATTGAGATTTTTAATTTTTCTCTAATTGTTTTGGTTGATTGTTTTTCTAATTCTCTTGGTTAATTAATGTTTTCTATTTTCCCGTCGATTGTGAATAAACATCATCACCTAATCTTCATCATCTAATTAATTGTTCAGCTAATTAGTTAACACTTTTTTGTTCTATTCTTTTTTTCTTCCTTTGTCGTTTTCTATTTTTGTGATTGTATAATTTTTTTTTCTCTTCTCTTCTTGGATTTGGTTTTTATTTCTATTCTTTGTTGGTGTTGTGAAAATGATTTATTTTTGGTCTCTGGTTAATTCTGGTTACAAGATTATCTCTCATTTCAATAAAATGATAAAATTACCTCTGCCATCTTATAGTTAAAGTGGTTAATTTGTCTCTTGTTGATTGTAATGATTCTGATTCTATTTTTGATACTTTTCTTTTAATTTGTTCAGAGCTTCTTTTCCACTGTAATCGTCAACGAGAGGAAAGGATTGCTGATTGTACCAGAATTGGAAAGAAAACTTGGTCTAGTGACAATTTAAAGGATCGATGTTGTTTAAGTCATAATGTGGAAAAATGTTTAAAAGGTCGTAACATTGATGAATGTTATGATAATTCATATTCTTTGGCTACATATTTAGCTCAAGGGCGAGATTACAGATTGAGACAAAGCTGCGATGAATTTGCTGACATTTCCGCTTGCGAAGAAAATACCTGGACAATTGTTTTACTTGGAATTTTGGTCCTTGTTCTGGCAATTGTTTTAATTGTTCTCTGCATTTTCCTGGTTATGTATTGTCTTAAAAAACGACGAAGCAAATAGGACAACAAGGCAACAAGATGATTACCTTTTTCTATCCAAAATTCATAATCTCTCTCTTGCTCTCTCTCTCTCTAATTTCGACAACTATTGATATAAAATTTGAATGTAACGGCAACAATCAAATGGGTCAATCGATGGTTTAACAATCAAACTGGACATAATCACCCGTTAATATAATATTGTAATATTATTGTAATACAACCAAAGCTTAAACCATCAACTACGAATTCATTTACTATCAATCCTTTTTATCCTAATCTACTTCTTACTTTTTTTCCTCTTTCATCATACCTTTTCTTTTTCGTTGAGATTACCAACAAAATGATCATAACTAAATACCATTAATTGTTATCCTTTTAACTCCAATTATCATGAGAAAAAAAAAATGTAAAGAAAAATTTATCTTTTGATTATTAAAAATGATCCAAAAGATTTTCAATCATTTTCATTGTTTATTTCATTCTCTCTCTCTCTCTCTCTCTCTTCAACAAGTAAATATTTTCTCAATCAATTGACTTGATACAATTTAGAATATTTAACAAAAAAAAAGCTACAAAGTGTCAATAATTAAAACAAATAATCAAAAGAATTTAAGAAAATAAATTCAAACGAAAAGGAAACAAAATGGTTAAGCAAATTGCAACAATTTTCTAATTACCAATCAATTGGTGAGCTTTTCTTTCCTTCAAGTGGACAGAGTTGAATTTACAGAGTAAACTGTTATAAATTGTAAACAATTTAATCTAAAACAATTACTAAAAGATTAAGATAATTAAATTGGCACGAGATTAAAACGATTGATTCATTTTGTTTGTTTACTTCTTAAGAGAAACACTTTCGCCATCTGCTGGTGATAAATAGAAACGAATTTCTCTCAGCTGATTGAAAGAGTGAAGTTGATTGAAGATTTTGTCTTCATTGTTTATTAATTAAACTTTGATTATCTCTCTGATTTATTGAATCTATTTTTTTAATTGCTTTTCTTTTAAATCTAATTCACGATTAGTATACGATCTCTATCGGTTTGTTCAACATACGAATTATTTTTTACCTTTTACTTTTTAACCTTTTGGCATTTTCTGTTTTCTGTTTTCCATTTTGTTTTTTTTTCATTCTTTGTTCTTGTTAATTGTTGTGATAATTTCTGGCAATTAGTAAATTAAGGTAAGTCAATTTTGTCCATATTCTATGGTTTCTTTGTTCTTTTTTTTATATCCTTCTCGTGATTCATTTGGGTTTGTTTTTTATTCTATTCGATTTTGGTTGATTTCTTTTTTTCTTCTATTCTTTTTTTTTCAGAAAAGAGAATTTTTTTATCTCCTCTCTCACAATGGCTACTCTTACAAAAGGCAATATTATTGATGAAATAATTCTTGATGACGATGAAGAAGATAACATGGATGATAACAGTTTTGATAGTTCATCTTCAAAGGGACATTTTAATCCTGGTTCATCGGAAATGAATGGATTTCAAATTGAACAAGGACGTGGTAATTATGATTATGAAGATGGTGAAGATGAAGAAATGGATTGTGATGATGAAATTTCTCAGGTCAATCAACCCGTTGATTTTATATTTGCTGTTGAAGATGACAATGGAGTTGAAACCGAGTTTGATTCACAAAAAATATTCTCCAGTGATTTTAATGAGAATAATTTAATTAAAAATGAATCACCAGTTAAAACTCCTCAAGTTAAATCATTACAAAATCAAATATCTGCTGAATGTGATAAACCAATTAGAACTCGATCCGCATTAAGACAACAATCAAATCCTCAAACTGTCCAATCAAATATAACCTCAACTCCGACAACTACCAATGGTATCAAAAAGAGAGCTAAAGTAGCCGAAACAGTTGAAACAATTCCCGTTAAACAATTACGATCCTCAGTTAGGGAAACAAGAAATGTTCAAAACAAATCAGCCCAACCAACACCAGCAGAACCTAAAAGTATTAACAAAAAAGGAGCCAACACACCAACAAACACCAACAACAATTCAACCCAGTCCAATTCAGCCTCAAGTGCCAACAAAAAATTAGCAAATAACAATAGTTCAACACCCAATGGTGTTACCACAAACGGCGGAACCAAAAATAACAAGAAACCAGTGAATGGAACCAAAGTAGCGACCAATACTCCAAGCAGCAATCCCACCAGCGCTCGAACTACCCCTTCAACCAATGGTACCACTAAGACGAGTACAAAAAATTCAAAAACCCCAACGGAAACTCCGGTAGCAGAAGGAAAAACAATAATACCAAGGAAAAGAGTAAAATCTTACTGGAACGGTAAAGAACACGGAAAAGCATTGGGACCTGAAGCTCCTTATGTTATGATTGAAAAACTAGAGCCCATATTAGTGGGTCAGACCGAGTACAGAGGTCACGATTGTCTGAAAACCGTGTGTCCAGCTAAACGGACTAATAAACGGGCCAAATCCCCTGTACCACCACCACGAATTCAACCCTTAGTTGATAATTTAACTTCAACAATCAACAGAGTAGCTGAAGATGTACCACTTAGTCCCAATGGACTTCCACCTCCCGGTCGACCTCAAATGGGTCAAATTGTACGTTTCCAATTCTGGCAAACACCATTGGGCAACAATGTACCCGCTAAATCATCTTATCAAAAGGCGAAAATAATTGGTTACGATGAAGAATTTGATTTATATACAATACAATTATTTCACTACGATCATCCATTTAGTAAGTTGATCTTGATCAAATTTCTCTAAAAGCTTTTTTTTACAACGCTAATTGTTTTCTCTAATTATCCTATTTTCTCTTGATTTATATTTCCAGTAATCAACTCAAAGGACAAATCAAAAAATCAACGAATCACCACTAATACAATGATTGTCGATTGGGACTCATTAGCTGATCCAATAATTATAGCAAACAGTTAAATCTAATTGTGACATCAAATGAGATAATCAACAAGCAAAAAAAACAAGTGAAAAATTAACATGATCAACAACAACAACAATTAATCTCTATTCAAATTAGATAAACAAGTTGATAATAATGAGGAAAAAAACCTTCAAGTGTATTTTTTTTTTTAAAAACCAAAACCAAATGAACCTAATTAACTTAGTGTGAATCAACAATCATAACAATTTAGTTTTAATCGTTTTAGATATTGAATGTAATTGATTAATTTCCAAGCTAAATTGTTATCCAATTAAATTTTTCCACTATTTTAACTTTGTTGTTAAAAGCAAAATGTAAATAATTGTGAAAATGTCAACTCAACCCCAATCTCCATCCCTGTAAATTGTATCCACTTTGAAACAATCAGATGAAATATTAATCATGATTTAAATTGATCAATAAGATTATTATTATCACTATTATAATAAAATCTGATTAGAAATATATTTTCATGAAAAAACAAAACAAAACAAAACTGAATAATAACTTAGGAGGAAATAAAGGAAATCGGATCAATCGAATTAGTAATCATTAGTATTAACAATCAAAGGTAATTGGCAAACATGATTAAATATCACGATTTAAATTAAATTGTCTCCTCTGTGATTTGTCATGTTACATTTTGATCACTAATAGTTACCATTGATTATATTTCAGAGTAATTTAAATACCATTTAATAAGCTTGACTCAGCCTCTTGCCATTTAAATTGTAACAGCAATTACTTAGTTAATCAGCTTAAATTGTAAATCAAACAAAAATACAAAACATATCATCATAATCATAATCATCATCATCATCATCAAACTTAATCTCACTTAATAATAATCACAATCAAAAAGGATTACAATTTAGGTTTTACTGATTAAGTTTTAGTTAATTAGTGAGCCTTGAGACAAAGAATCAAACTAAATTCAAAGCAATCAAACTAATCAACTTGTTCAATTGTCAAGTGACTTGAAACTAATCAATAACAAAATCAGGATTTAATGTCAATTAGTAAATTTTGAATAAACAAATTGTCTACTAATTAACTTAATCAACAATTTGATTTGAGTTTTTTTTTTATAGTAAAACAAATAATGACAGAAATGAAAAGTGAAACAGTTTTTAACAAAGAGTAAAGAAGAAGAGACCTCAGCTCTATGAGGAAAAGAGAAGTTGCAAACATTTGATCAGATGATTGCACTTTTCAATAAGAAATTGAGGACGATGTGTAAAAAGTGGACTTTTTAATTAAGAGTTGAGACTTTGTGAATTTGTAGGGCCGCTAATGACGAGTCCAAATATATATATTTCTTTCTGATCTGATTAGTAGTTTTCGAGAAAATCGAGTTCGAAGTTAAAACTTCAGGTCAATTTTTCTCAGCAACGACGCGTTTTCAGATCATGAAATTTTAAATTGAATGACAACTTTTGATGTTCTTTCAGAAAATATTTATTAAAATAACATTAAAGTATTGATACTGGGACTAATCAAGGTTCATTTGTTACAATACAACGGAACTGTGGCCGGAGGCTCTTGGGATAATTTTCTTATAAGAAAAATATGCTCGATAAAAAGAGCATCAAAAGTTGTCATTCAATTTAAAATTTCATGATCTGAAAACGCGTCGTTGCTGAGAAAATTGACCTGAAGTTTTAACTTGAACTGATTTTCGAAACTACTAATCAGATCGAAAGAAATATATATATTTGACTCGTCATTACTAAATTCACAAAGTCTCAACTAATTAAAAGTCCACTTTACATCGTCCTCAATTCTCTTTCCCATTGAAAAAGTGCAATCAGCGCCATCTGATCCAAATGTTTTAACTACAACTCCATCATCATTAACTGATCTCTCTTTCTCCTTACTCTTTGGTTTTTAATCATATTGAGATTAACTTGATAGTTAATCAACATATTTTAATTGATTTGATTGTAACTTGATTTTAGTTTAACTCGCTAATTGTGGCAATTAGTTTTAATTATCTGATTTTTTAAATGATTATAAATAAAGTTTACACAATTGATGCATCCACATCCATTTAGATTGGACAATGATGGCAATGAGCTTGAGTTGATTGTTAAAGGTAAACAATTTAATCGGCTTGTTGGTGAGACCAAAGAATCAGTTAATTGTGAATGATTAAGGCCAGAAGACGATGGATTATCCAACTTTTCTTGCCTTCGCCATTTAGCACGACGATTTTGAAACCAAACCTTTTTACCGAAATAAAGATCGATTGAAATTTAGCTTTTCATTAATATTAATTCAAACAAATGATTGATTATCGACTCACCTGAACTCTGGCCTCTGATAGACTGACCTTACAGGCCAGTTCTTCACGAGTAAAAACATCAGGGTACTGAGAGTTTTCGAATGCTCTTTCGAGTTCGTAAAGTTGATAAGTTGTAAAAGTTGTCCGGGTCCGTCGGTGTTTCGATTTTGGTCCAGAAAGTTCATTATGGTTGACGTTTGTGTTACCCGAAGGGTAACCAGAGTTCGAGTCCATAGATGCACAAGTATCGTCGTCGTCATCATCGATTTCCTCTAATCGACCGTTATTATCTTCATCGTCATTGTGATGAATATTATCCTCCTCAAAATTATCTTCATCTTTATATGATAATTGAGGTGATGGACAAGGAGAGTAGCCATTAACATGATGACGAAGTGGATGATGATGATTGGGATTAAAACTTGTTGAGTTAATTGCTTTAGTCAATTGATTGTTTTCACCTAAACCAACTCCAACTCCGACACTTTGACCATTACCGTTGACCACAAGTAAGACACCTCCTTTTCTGTCGAGCTCATTGTTACTTCCGGAATTATTAAATCCAAAAGTAAAAGATGATGAGGATACTGCAGAAATAGAAGATGATGTGAAAAGTTAATCAAATGGGATATTAGAATGATTTAGATTAAAGAAGTTATATAGAAATCAACAATTAACTTACTTTTATCCTTTTTATTTGATTGCTGTTTAATTGTTGCCAATGAATTAATTGTATCAATACGCTGAATTCCAAGTATAGCATCAATACTGTGTCTCTTCATTATGATTAACTAATTTAATTGATTGTTGATCTGATAATAAGATAATAGGACAATAATTGAGGAATTAAAGTGAAAAGAAAATGAATCGAAAATTTTTTTTTCGAATCTAAAATGTAACTTTTTTTCTCGCTACAATTACGTTAACATCTCATTGAATGAAGATGATGATCGATTTTTTGTCATCTCTCTCTCTCTTTCTCTCTTCTCCTATGTGAGATGATGATAAGGAAGATGAAAACTAGAGGTCACTAGAAAATTTGACTATTATGATTTACGTTAATTCATCAGAAATTGTGGTCAATCATAGATAAAAACAGTTGACCACAAGGTTAACAAAAACGAAACTGACCAAAGGTAAAGTTGTTTTTGTATCGATAATATTAATTGTTGTGAAACTATTTGTTAATTGTAACACCCATTGTTGTCTAGTAATGTCCATTACTAAATAGCCTCCTTCACCTTAGCACTGACGACGTGTTTCCTGTCGCCTTTGCTACTCGAGGTGGTAAAAGAGACACAGAAAAAAAGGAAAAAAAAGAGAGAAGATAAGAAGGACGGAGATGGAAGATGAAGATAAGAAGAGGAAGAAGAAGATGAAGAAAGACTGATAAAAGAGCCGCAGAAAGAGAGGAAGAGAAATTGGAGAGAGAGAGAGAGAGAGAGAGAGAGAGAGAGAGAGAAGAAGAAAGTAGAAGACAAGAAGATGAATGAATTAGATATTGGCATAAAATTGAATTGAAAGTATTGGGAGTGATCCAGGTAAGTTGATGATAAAATGATGATAATGATGAGGATGATGATGAATAAATAAACTGTAAAGAAAACTATTGACAAAATGTTTCCATTTATTGTTAACCAACAACAATCAAAGACTTAAATTGTAACCAGTTAATTGTTATTGTTGTTATTATGTTCATACTACTTCAATATATCAACAAGTTTATAATCTATTAGTTTTTTGTTACTATTATTTATTATTATCCATCACCATAGGTAACAATATATTTCCTATGGTTGATTTACTTTAAAGTTAAGTGTTTATTGTTAATCATAATCATCGTGTTTACAATTTATCATCACCATTACAATTACAATCACAATCACCATCACCATCATTATCATCATTATTATGATTATCATCATCATCATCATCATCAGCATCATAATCATGATTAACATTATCACATCTCAATCTGTCCACTTACGTTTAAATACAATTTCAATATTCATTTTATTTATCATAATCATTGATTGTTAATCTGTTCACTATTATCAACTATTAACTAGCAACAATTTAAACTCTTTAATTGTTCAACCATTTTATTCAGTTAACATTATTATTTTCCTTTCGCTTCTGATTACCGTTGATTGAGCAAATTTGATTGGATTGAGATTATAATTAAGGTGACAATTTTATTTACATCAACAATTAAAGTAAATTGTTGTAGTAGTTGAAGTTGTAGTAGATTAAGTTAGTTGATTAGTTTTAGTTTAGTTGTTGAATAGTTTAAACCGAGACATTGGATTATCTTGTTATCTTGTCAAGGAATCGATTCCTTTGTATTGGTTAATCCTAATTGTTACACTTTAACTATAATAACAAAGCTTAATTGTGATTAAGATGATAATTAGGATGATAAAAAAAAGGGGAGATTTTTATTATTTATTTTAGTAATATTATCATTTTTTTCAGTTCTCATGTTAATTATTATTTATAGATAATTAGGTTTCCATATAATCAATTGTCCAACCGTTAAATTAATTGTGTAAGTCAGTTGATTATCAGCTAATTATCATTTGTCTTTGCATGTTTAATAACAATTGATCATATTCAGACAAATGATATTGATTGAGAACAACAATTAACATTTATATTCATTAATAAGTATATATATTGAGTGATATACTATGTTATAGATGTAATTATTTATACTGGTTGATTGTTGATGATTAACATTTATGATCAGTTGATTGTTTTGTGACTGTTACTATTAGATTGACGTTAATGCTGAGCACACTTTCAAGGATCATTGTAAATTGAATGAGGGGATTAACTGTTAATTTGAATGGATAATTAATTTTTCTATGTCAATTTGTTGATAGTGATGAGGAGGAAGATAAGATGACAAGGGAGTGGGTGAGGGATGGGTGATGGTGGGTAAGATGATGATGATGATGATGAAGATATGACACACGGCGGAAAACAAAAAGTGCAAGAGCTTGTTAGAGGATTAAAACATTTCCAAGCTAATCCATTGGAGGTCATACTGGATTAAACCTCAACTAATCATGTTACTCAAATAATTTACTAATACTTACAATCAATTGGGTTTCAGATTAACTGTTTACTTTGAGTGTTCATTTACGTTTGACAGTTTTGCTCGCAAAGCAATTTAATCAAACATAATTAACTTTAATCAACCGATTCTGACTTTGATTAGTTTCCTCGAGTTGCATATGTGAGTGTGTGTTGAATACTCAGGATGGACAGAGTTCAGGGTGTGGATATTAGGGTGGCCAGTTTTTTTTTTTTGGTTCGAAGTCGGAATCTTCTCTTTAATCTTTTATTTCCGTTTCCTCTTTTTCTTTTTTCATCTCTCAATTATTACGATAATTGTGATTGTTTTTGTCTCTTCTTGAGTAATATTTTGTTGATTGTTAATGACTGATTGTTGAAATATCAACAGAAACAAAAACTAAAATAGTAAATTGAATCTGCATTTAAATTTGAATTTTGATTTGATTGTTTTGATTGTTTCAAATGGTGACAAATTCAAACAATTTAATACACAATTGAATCAAATTGTATATTAACAGTGTTGAGAGTGAAACAATAATAATAATAAAAAGTAAATTTAATTGTTGATTATGATCAGAATCAAATCAAGGTGAAAGAAAAAAAAACTTCATGTTATCAGTTTATTCAATTACGTTGAAACTTTTTTATTGTTCCCTTGATTATGATTATGATTATGATTTGATTGTTTAACATTAAATTGTCAAAGGTAATTGAATAATGTATGATGATAATGATGATGGAGATGATGAAGATGATAAAAGCCTTGAGTAGATTATTGTATTATCATTGAGATAGAATGGAGAAAATTTTTCTTTCTCCTGCAAACTTAATTGTTGATGATTTCTAATGACGATGATGATCAACAATCAATTGAGTGTAAAATTGTTTCCAATTAATTGATTTATCTATCACACACAATACATTAGTTAATTATCTTTATCAATTGAATTTATCTCCTAAACTAATAATAACATTTACAATTGAACAGTGGAAGAAATTAAATCAAGATTAATCTGATTGTAAGTGAATTAAATTAAACTCTTATATATATATTAAAATAGTTAATGAATAATTTATCAATGTGATGATATATAAAAAAAAAGGTTTTAAATTGTTGATCAAGTAATTAAATACACTTGATGATGATTAAAAGGCGGAGAGTGAAGATAAGTTAATTGTTTGATTGTTTGATAACCTAATAATAATAAACTAATTTAAGTTAACAATCAGTTACTGTTAAAGTAAATTTCCGTTCATTGATTATCATCATCTTCATCCTGATGATGGAGATGATGAGGATGAGGATGAGGAAAACTGTTCACTGGATAATATTGATTATCATCCTCATCATGGGTGGAGCTTTGGGTGATGAGGAAGATGAACAAAAAGGTGTTGAGATGAAGATGAAGATGAAGATAAACATTAGATAATATTATTGTTTGAGAGCCAATAGAAACATTGAGAAGGAGGAGACAAGATGATGATTAATATTTAAGGATAACATTTATCATCTTCATCCTCGACTTGATCCTCATCTCCATCATCATCTCATATGAAACTTTCATTCAACCAGAAAATTTCATCAACTGTAAACTTAATTGTTCAAATATAATCATTTCATTTGATTGTTGTTATTTTCATGATTAATATTTACTTTGTTGTTAATTTAGTTTGATTTATTTTTTTATAATGATGATGATGATGATTAGGATGATTAGGACGATTAGGATTATAATTTGTGTCTCTATGTGTTTTACTTTATTAGGGTAAAATATACAATCAAATTAAGTTAATCAACTTTGATTATGTTAACCTACAATTATCAATTATTAATCAGTGAATCAGTTATAATGAAAAGTTTTGAAGAAAAATTTTTCTACCTGAGATGAATTTCAATTTAATTGTTATCAATTAGATGATTATGTTGATTATGGTTACAATTTAGTTACCTTTACAACAATCACAATTAACAATCATCATATTGAATATATGGTTGAGTTAATTGTGATGATAATGATGACCATTGGTCAGCTTTGGGCTGTTAACTTCAATAATAATCTGAACCTTTTAATTGTTGAATGGGTGGTGAGGATTAACAATTAATTCAAAATTAATTGAACCGTTAATTCAAAATTGTTTTGATAATCAGTAAATATATAAACCAAATCAAATCCTAAAACAATATAATAATAAAAAAAATTAGTCAAAGACTAAAGATTAAAACTAAATTAACTATTTAACAGCAACAATTAAAAGCCATTATAATGATTATGATTATAATCATCATCTGAATTTAATGATAAACAAAAATAATTATATTATTAATTTGATTCACATCAATTGCTATTATTGGTTTAATTTTTACCTTTGAATTATTATATTTAAATCATTATGTATTCAGGTAACATAATGATAATCATGGAAACGTAATTACAATTAGTTTTTAACAATGATTAACGTTTGATAATCATTGATAATCAACAATCAAATATCATAATAATCAAATTTTCTCGTTGATAATCAGTTTAATTATGATTGCAGGGGAATCGAGAAAAAAAAAGAAATCTGAATAAATATGAGAAGAAAAAAAAATCAATAACAATCAAAGTTAATCCAATAATTAAACTGCAATAATAACAATTTAATAAAGTCAAATTGAAATTAAATCAACACAACAATCAAATCAATTGAATGATATATTATTAAGAGACAAACATTATTGGTGTTGAATCAAGTTGATGATGATGATTAAGATGATTAACATAATCAGATGATAATATAATAGTAATGATGATAAAAATTCACTCCCACTTGATGAGGTGGCGATGGTGAGTGAGGGTAAGTGAGGGTGGGGTGGGGTGGGTGAAGTGGATTGATTGTTGTGGAGGTGAACAAAATAAAAGTGATTAGATTCTGATTCTTGAGTATGATTAATATTATATTTGTATTCATTGAATTGTTGTTGATCATAAATCACCGGAGTGTGAAAATGAACAGAATCCTTTTCATCTTATCCAAAAGCCAACCCACTCCACCTTATCCACCTCTTGACATGGTGAAGAAGATGATGAAGATAAAGATGATAAAGATAAGAGGTAAGTTCAACAACATAGAGAAAAGTTAATAAAAGTTTTTTTCTTCTTCTTCGAGTAAAAAAAAGAAGAGTTTTTTTTTCTTTTCTCATTCATGTAAAAAACTTTTTATCATTTTTGGGTTTGATTTAATTTTAAATCTCACACACACACACACACGGAGGTGAAGGTGATGAGGATGATTATGAAGGTGGAAGAGGAAGTTAAGTGGGGTAGAGTGGGTGGATAGAGTAAATGGAATCCATTGAACGAAAGAAGCGAGAAAAAAAAAGGTTCATGGGGAGTTTAGAATGTTGATTTTGATTCGAATTTAATTCAGGAAGAAGTTCTTATAATTCTCATTCATTTTAAGCTTTTCTTTCTCCTCTCTCACTTTCTCACTCTTTCACTCACCTTCTCTCATCTTCCGTTTCCTCTTTTTCTCCTTCCGGTTCCTTCAATCGGTTATATTTGTGCTTCGTACTTATTATTATTATTGATATTATTTAATAGTCTACTTAAAACACTCACTGGGAGTTGAGTGAGATCAAGTGTTATCACTATTAACTAATATTAGATTCTGATGATCAAGTGGAGGTTGATTGGAGGTTGGGGTTGGAATGGCAATTTAATTACAATTCATAGATTATTATTATTATTATTATTATTTTTACTATTGTTGTTGATGATGATTATTTGATTAGATAATAACAATTAGTTAACTAACCTAAGTGATGTGATTGGATGATAATTAGTTTTTCTTGTTATTATCATTATTACTATTGTTGATTTATCTTAATTGCTGTTAATTGATTTCCATGATCATTCAATTTAATCAAAATCAATCAAATTGTTTATTACTATCGTTTTGTTTTTCTTGATGATTGTTGATTGTTGATCAACACAATCAATAAATGAAATTACAAAATTTTTGTCCAAATGACAGAATTGGTTATTATTATTATTATTGATCAACCTTTTTGTTTACCTTTAACATTTTGATTGTTGTTAACTACTATTAACTTTAATCAAAATAATCAATCCGTAATCAAATATTAGTTTAACTCAATATATTTATTAACAGTTAAATCCAGTTTATTGTTATTTCAATGAATTTAATCAACAACAATCAAGAATCGGATGAAAAAATATTCAATAAATGGTTGTTACTGTTTTTTAATTAACTCATTCATGATTATGATCTGTTTATACCCTGAGGGCAATTTAATATATATATGATAAGATGATAATATAAGTGAGTGTCAACTTGTATTTAAATTGGCAATACAAGTGATTTGATTTGATTATGAGTCATTTAATTGTAAACTATCATTGATCTGATAAATTGTTGCAATTAAAGTATAAATTTACTTTTAAATCAATTGCTAATGAAAAGTTTATCATTATATTGATCAATGATAATTATTGATTGTTATGGGAAACTAATTGTTATTTTAATATTATTATCAAATTGTAAGTGATTAGCTAATTGTTATGGTTAATGATTATATGCATATAATTATAAATAAGTTTTAATTGTGTTTAGTATCAATTGTAATATGTTATTTTAATTACTTATCTTTGTGAAAATCAATGAACCAAATTAATTGTTGATTGATTCAATTTGTGTGAATTAATTTAACTTGTTATTTGTATCAAGTGTTTAGTTGATTATTACAACTGAATTAACATTGATTATCAATACAATCATCCAATCAATCAATCAATCAGATAATCAGTGAACCTTAATTTAAATCAGCAATTAAGCTTAGTAACAATGTTTGTTAATTGATTGTGATTGTTTGTTATTTTTGATTAACAGTTACAATCAAATTAACTCATCAAAGTTATTAACCATACAAAACAATTAAGTTAATTGTTAATTTGACTGAGACTATTTTTGTCTGATGATTAAAAGTAATCATTTTGTTTACTGTTTAATTTAATTAATTTTCTGAACAAACTTTTTTTTTAATTAACTTAATATTAGATTGTAATTTCTGTGGTAATTAAAGGTGACGATTAACTTTGTGATTAATTGTTTGAAAACAATTTTAACACACAATTAATAATAATAGGAAATCATATTAATTGTAATCATTTGAAAAGAGGAAATTTTTTCCTCACTAACAATTAACAAAAGTTAATTGTTGTTGAAAGGTAAACAGTAATAAAAAAGGTTAACTAATTGTGATTGTGATTGTAATTGATTAAATTAAATCCAATTAAGTAAAATTTTCTGGTTCCAAAACTCAATTAAGTTAATCAACCTTTTCAATCACCTTCATTTTTTGTTCATCATCATGTTAACAATCAATAATCAATGGAGATAATCAACTAATCAACTAATTAATTTGTTTATCATTCACTGGACAAGTTGATTAGTAAAATCAATCTAATCAAATGCTAATGTTTGTCTTTGATTATTGATCAACAATTCAAATTAACTCATCTTGTAAAACTAATTGAGATGATGATGAGAGGATGAGGATGAGGATTAAGAAGAAGAAGAAGAAGAAGAAGAAAGAAAAGAAAGAGAAAAGGTGAAAATAGAAGAAAAATAGAGAAGAGAAAAAAATTAGAACAAATTAGATCAAAGTTCTGAGTCGATTCGAGATCGACCAACCAATAGAATCGTTTTATGTTAATTTAGTTTCTCTTCCAGTGACACCTAGTGTTTATCTTCATTCGTCTTCTTTATCATCATCTCACATAGACAGAATTAGGAGAGAGAGATGACAAAAAATATCGATCATCATCTTCATCATTATCATTCAATGAGATGTTAACATAACTGTGAAAAGAGAAAAAGTTTCATTTTAGATTCGAAAAAAAAATTTTCGATTCATTTTCTTTCCACTTCTATTTCTCGATTGTTATCCTATTATCTTGTTATTAAACCAACAATCAATTAAATTAGTGAATCACAATGAAGAGACACAGTATTGATGCTATACTTGGAATTCAACACATCGATACAATTAATTCAACGGCAACAATTAAACAGCAATCAAATAAAAAGGATAAAAGTAAGTTAATTGTTGATTTCTATATAACTTCATTAATCTAAATCCTCACAATCTAATATCCCATTTGATTAACTATTCACTGTCCATATTCATCCAATCATCTATGAGTTTGATTAATTGTCTCGTAATTAGATATTGGTGAGATTATACAAGGAATTAGCTTAATTACTATTTGCTTACAATCAAGTTGATAAACTTTTTTGTTGAAAGTGTAACAATTAAGATTAACAAAGGAATCGATTCCTTGACAAGATAACAAGATAATCCAATGTCTCGGTTTAAACTATTCAACAACTAAACTAAAACTAATCAACTAACTTAATCTACTACAACTTCAACTACTACAACAATTTACTTTAATTGTTGATGTAAATAAAATTGTCACCTTAATTATAATCTCAATCCAATCAAATTTGCTCAATCAACGGTAATCAGAAGCGAAAGGAAAATAATAATGTTAACTGAATAAAATGGTTGAACAATTAAAGAGTTTAAATTGTTGCTAGTTAATAGTTGATAATAGTGAACAGATTAACAATCAATGATTATGATAAATAAAATGAATATTGAAATTGTATTTAAACGTAAGTGGACAGATTGAGATGTGATAATGTTAATCATGATTATGATGATGATAATCATAATAATGATGATAATGATGGTGATGGTGATTGTGATTGTAATTGTAATGGTGATGATAAATTGTAAACACGATGATTATGATTAACAATAAACACTTAACTTTAAAGTAAATCAACCATAGGAAATATATTGTTACCTATGGTGATGGATAATAATAAATAATAGTAAAAAAACTAATAGATTATAAACTTGTTGATATATTGAAGTAGTATGAACATAATAACAACAATAACAATTAACTGGTTACAATTTAAGTCTTTGATTGTTGTTGGTTAACAATAAATGGAAACATTTTGTCAATAGTTTTCTTTACAGTTTATTTATTCATCATCATCCTCATCATTATCATCATTTTATCATCAACTTACCTGGATCACTCCCAATACTTTCAATTCAATTTTATGCCAATATCTAATTCATTCACTTTCCTATCTGATTTCTTTAAATTGTGGCTCTTTTAGCAGTTCTACCTTTTTCTCTATCATCACCATCATCGTCTTCATCATCTTCCTCTTCACTATCATCTTCTACTTCTGCAGTAGCCTCATCGTCTTTCACTTTTGGATTTAATAATTCCGGAAGTAACAATGAGCTCGACAGAAAAGGAGGTGTCTTGCTTGTGGTCAACGGTAATGGTCAAAGTGTCGGAGTTGGAGTTGGATCTGGTGGACTATCCAATGGTCATTCTAAGGCTAGTTTATCTTTTGGATTAATGAAAAGTTCATCATCAATTGTAACAACAACAACAACATCTTCATCATCACCAACATCGATTGGTGAAAACAATCAATTGACAAAAGCAATTAACTCAACAAGTTTCAATCCTAATCATCATCATCCACTTCGTCATCATGTTAATGGCTACTCTCCTTGTCCATCACCTCAATTATCATATAAAGATGAAGATAATTTTGAGGAGGATAATATTCATCACAATGACGATGAAGATAATAACGGTCGATTAGACGAAATCGATGATGATGACGACGATACTTGTGCATCTATGGACTCGAACTCTGGTTACCCTTCGGGTAACACAAACGTGAACCATAATGAACTTTCTGGACCAAAATCGAAACACCGACGGACCCGTACAACTTTTACAACTTATCAACTTTACGAACTCGAAAGAGCATTTGAAAAGTCGCAATATCCTGATGTTTTTACTCGTGAAGAATTGGCCTGTAAGGTCAATTTATCTGAGGCTCGTGTTCAGGTTAGTTACGATTTACCTTTCAAGCTCTCATTCAATTTTGTCTATAAAATCAAATTAAAGTCAACATGTTTACTTTTATATCCAGTTCTTCATTAGTAAATTGATTTATCCTTCAAGTTAATTGTTTAAATCTTAATTTTCCGTTACAATTGTTGATTCTTTAATCATACATCTTAACTGTTTCAGGTACAAAAACTTACATTGTTATCATTAGACATTAATCATTAATCATTAAGCGATTAGCAACAATAAAATATTGATCAATTCCCTGAATGATAATTAATTTATTCCTATTAACATTTTGTATTAATTTTTAACTTTTATTTGATCAACCTAATGATCAAACAAGTTTAATCATAATTGTTTAATGATTATCTAATTGTTATATAGCCAAGTACATTAAATTGTTCTTGGGAAAATCAATGAACCATTAAATTTAATTGTTTCTTTGTCTTTATCCTATTTTATTGGTAATTTTATAAATTTGAGTTATGCTATCAACAATTAACCACTTCCAGTAATTAACGATCATTTAATCAATTTAATGTTTGTTGCCTCTTATTGCTTTAAATAGGTTTGGTTTCAAAATCGTCGAGCTAAATGGAGACGACAGGAAAAGATGGAAAGTCAATCATCATCGGGTTTTAATCATCCACAATTAACTGATTCATTTGTTTCACCAAATACTCGATTAAATGGACTACCAATTAATCCTACCTCATCATCAGGTCCAAACTCGTTACCAAACTCACTGGCTAATATTAATGGCTCTAGTACAATAGGCTTAACACCTTATCATTTTCACCCTTATCCTCATCATCCTGCCCATCATCATCCTCATCACCATCATCCACTTTCTTCACTCCATCAATCAATCCCCATACAATATCCTCTTGAATCGTGGTTAGCAGCAGCAGCAGCCACAGCAACACCAACAACAATATCTTCAACTACAACCACATCGTCAACACCTCAAGCATCATCATTGTTATTAACTGCAACTAAAGCGAAAGTAATATCACCTTCAAGCTCATCATCTTCATCTTCACCAACAACAACAACAACCTCACCGATCTCTTCATCTCCATCAACTACTACAACACCGTCTGTATTATTATCATCACTACCTGGTTTTAAACCGTCTCCTTCATCATCTAATCCTTATCCAAGTTACTTGTTAACTTCTGCAGCCTCTTCTACACCATCACCTTCGTCATCAGGATCATCAGCATCATCCATAGCAATTAAACTACCTCATTTATCATCCTCATCAAATGTTACATCTTCTACATCCAATTCAACAGCAACTTTAGCTGCTGCACTACATCATTATGTTAACCCACTATTTCAATTCACAACACCACATCACCCTCTTCACCACCATTCCCTTACATCACATCCTGGACCTTTACTTTTCCTAAACAATGTTACTAAAAATACTCAAAACTTATCTGGCTCCTCTCCTTCATCATCAACTCTGTCAGGTAATCCATTGAATCTTTCACTAGGCGAAGAATCAACACAAACCAATTCAATAGAAGTTAATGATAATACTCAGATGGTTTTAAAAACAATAGATGATAACCATTTAGAGATTTCATCCAAAAAAATTAAAGAAAATCCAGAATCATGTAATAATAAAGTAAGAGTTGTTTGATTTTATCAAAATTACACAATATAATCAATTAAATATCCTCAATTCATAAAAGCAATTAAAAATTATTATTAAATTCTCTAGTCAATCATTTTTACAATAATGTGAAACTAAGTAAATTTGAACAAAAATTTTTACTCACAAAATTTAAAGCTGTGGACAAAACTACAACTCAGGTAAAGTTTATATGAAAGATTTGTTAACTTTTATATAATTATAATTATTTCAGTGAAATAAGTGAAAAACATAGTGCAGTCAATTGGAATTTTATTTACAGACTTTTAGACGTAAATTAATCAGAAAGGGATAGACCAAAAGTAAGTAAATTTCATTGCTGAAAATTTTATTACTAATATTAAACCAGAAATTGAAAGTTTTAAGCAACATGACTAGTGAAAAATTAAATCAATTTTAAATTTTGAAGTTTGTGAATAGTTAAGATTTATTGTGACCGAAATGCTAAAAAATGAAAGCCAAGTTAATGATAGTGCAAATTGCGACTACACAACACATCAAGATGAACAAGGTAAATGTAAGTAGACAATGAATATAACACTGAAAAACAGAAAAACAATTAAATTTAAAAAGCTATCAATAATTGACAAATTGTTCAAAAATATTAATTTGTTTGCATTTTTCAATTTTTTACTGATTTGAAAATATTTTTAGCTTTAATACTTAATAATAAGAAACAAACAAGAGTTGTTTTTCGAGATGATCAGATTGAAGTCCTCAAGAGCTCTTTCAACAATTCGAATTATCCAGATCTGGCTACTAGAGAATCTTTAGCGGCTGAAATTGGCGTTCAAGAAAACAGTGTAAGAGTAAGTAAAATTTTGCTATAGTTATTTAAATAAATAATTTGTATTAATCTGGGTTTTTTAAATTAATAATAATTAATTATTAGATTTGGTTTCAAAATTATCGTGCTATACAGCGAAGAATTCAACAAAGCAACAAACCGTCAAACCCTTTTCCATCCTTTAAATGATTTCGAAACCAAACTCAAACATTGTTATTTCACAGCAATAGTTGGTCATAAAAAGGTATATTATGGTTATGAAAATCACTCAGTAAGGAGAATAACTCGCTATAGTTAGTACTGAAACGAAAACACTAGCATCGAATATCGTGATTAAAACAATTTTAAAACCAAATGAAATAAAAGCACTTTATTCAAATCAATATAATAATTCCCATTGATTCATTTTATTTCAGTACATTCAAAGTTAGAATATATTAATATAACACATTACAACAATAATGAAGGTTAAATATATCATTTAATGTCAATCGTCAAAATATAGGCATTGGAGTTGGTTCTGGAGGTTCAATAGTTTTCTTTGCAGTTTATTTATTCATCATCATCCTCATCATTATCATCATTTTATCATCAACTCACCTGGATCACTATCAACACTTGCAATTCAATTTCATGCCAAAAGCTGATTCTTTCACTTTCCTTTTTGATTTCTTTAAATTGTACCCTTTTTAGTAGTTCTAGTTTTTTCTCTATCATAACCATCATCGTCTTCATCATCTTCCTCTTCACTATCATCTTCTACTTCTGCATCAGCCTTATCATGTCTGGACAAAAATCTAAACACCAAAGAACCCGAACAACTTTTGAAACTTATCAACTTTACGATTTTTCAACTCAAGAGGATTTGGTAAGTCTTAGTATCATGATGTTTTTACTTGAAGAGGATTGGGCTGTAAGATCAGTTTATCGGAGACCAGAGTTTAGGTAAGTCGACAATCATTAGACGAAATCGATGATGATGACGACGATACTTGTGCATCTATGGACTCGAACTCTGGTTATCCTTCGGGTAACACAAACGTGAACCATAATGAACTTTCTGGACCAAAATCGAAACACCGACGGACCCGGACAACTTTTACAACTTATCAACTTTACGAACTCGAAAGAGCATTTGAAAAGTCGCAATATCCTGATGTTTTTACTCGTGAAGAATTGGCCTGTAATGTCAGTCTATCAGAGGCCAGAGTTCAGGTAAGTCGATAATCAATCATTTGTTTGAACTAATATTAAAGAAAAGTTAAATTTCAATCGATTCTTATTTCGGTAAAAAGGTTTGGTTTCAAAATCGTTGAGCTAAATAGCGATGGCAGAAAAAGTTGGATCCATCATCTTCTGACCTTAATCATTCACAACTAACTGGCTCTTTGGTCTTATCAATAACTCGAACATATTGTTTACCTTTAACAATCAAACTCATTTAAGCAGCACCAATGACTCAATTTTTCTGTTATTAATAGTTCAGGTTATTTAAAATAACCTCTCAAGCTGCCACTAAATTTTGTTAGTAAGAAAAATAAAAGTGAACTCGTTTACTTCGTTAATTAATTCGTTAACGTTAATTATGGAGTTCGTAATTAGTAAATTGATTTATTCTACAAGTTAATTGTTCAAATCTTGATTTTCTATTTCAATTGTTGATTCTTTAACCACATCTTAATTGTTTCAGAGACAAAAACTAATTAAGCGATTAGTAACGATAGTGGTATATTGATCAATAATAAAATCATAATTCCAATAATCATCCACAATTAATTGATTCATTTGTTTCACCAAATAAGATTAAATGACTACCATTAACCTACCTCATCATCAGGTCTAAACTGTTACCAAACTCACTGGCTAATATTATGGCTTAGTACAATAGGCTTAACACCTTATCATTTTCACTTATCCTCATCATCCTGCCCATCATCATCCTCATCACCATCATCCACTTTCTTCATCTAATAATCAATCTCCACAATATCCTCTCGAATCGTGTTGGCAGCAGCAGCAGCCACAGCAACACCAACAATATCTTCAACTACAACTACATCGTCAACACCTCAAGCATCATCATTGTTATTAACTCCGACTAATAAAACCAAAGTAATACCACCTTCAAGCTCATCATCTTCAGCCTCATCTTCACCAACAACAACAACAACCTCACAGATCTCTTCATCTCCATCAGCCACTTCAACACCCTCAGTATTACTATCATCACTACCTGGTTTCAAACCGTCTCCTTCATCATCTTTACGGATGATGAAGGTACTGCAGACACAAAAGGACAGAAAAGGAGGTGTCTTACTTGTGGTCAACGATAATGGTCAAGGTGTAGGTGTTGGAGTTGGAGTTGGTTCCGATGACTATCCAATGGTCATTCTAAGGCTAGTTTATCTTTTGGATTAATGAAAAGTTCATCATCAATTGTAACAACAACAACAACAACAACATCATCACCAACATCGATTGGTGAAAACAATCAATTGACCAAAGCAATTAACTTAACAAGTTTCAATCTAAATCATCATATCAACTTCAACATCATGGTAATCTACAACTTGTCCATCACCTCAATTATCATATAAAGATGAAGATAATTTTGACGACGATAATATTCATCGCAATTTTACACGATGTATCTGTTTAAAAAATTTTGTTTTTCTAATATATCATTTATAAATAATATCAAATTTATTTATACATTTGTTATTTTTGTAAAGATTTGATGTCAAAACTACCGAGTTCTACAACGAAAGATCAAAGTTCTTTCTCAGTCTGCAAAAAAAAAACGAAAATTTAATTTAAATATCAGCGATCATGAATCAAATATATCTAATAATTAAAGAACTGGAAGTTTCGAATTTAATAATTAATTAGACTTGAAATGAATTTCTTGATTTAAAATTGTTAATTTGATTCTACATGATTATTCAATTTAAACGATATTAATTCAGAATAAAATTAATTTTTCAACATCGCCATCAATTCTTAAGTCGATGCTATTTCATAATTTCCAAACAAATTTATTTTCCAATATATATCACATGAACATGCATTTTAATTTATTAAATTTTCAATATATTCTCATGGTGTAGTTTAGAGATAAATTTATTGAAATGGAGGTGTGATGGTTCGGATTATAAATATAAAAATATCAAATACCGAAAATAGTGTCAATAAAAGTTAGCTACAAATGATCAAATAGATTTTCACCTTATTCTTTGGAAACTGTCATCTCTTCATAGCATTTCTCTACCACTTTTTACCTGAAGACTTTGTGGATTCAATTTAATACGAGATTTTTTGAAGATCAAGTGTATTACATATTATATCATATTAGGTTAAATAAAATCAATGTTTATCTAAAGGATTGAAATAAAGAAAAACAAAGTTCTCAAACTTCGAAAAATTCGAATTTAGAACATCTCTTTTTTCTAAATTTTCTTAGCTTTTTCTAATATAAGGTAACATTTACTTTCTACCTGGATAAATATAATATCTATAAAGATTAAATAAGTTGTATCTTTTCTTTATATATTATTTGATTCTCTTACTTTTCCGATGATTAGAGTGACAATTTATTTCTATCTCTCTTTCAATAAATTGATTGTTGGGTGATTACAGTTACGTTATTTAACTTTAATCAAGTTCAAACCAAATGTCAATTAAATTAAATCATTTCACTTTCTCTTTACTTTCTCTATCATTCAGTAAATATAACATTCAATGCTACTATTGACACTTCAGTTGTTTATCAAATCCCCTCAGGTAATTCAATATATATAAAATGAAGCTTATCAATTTTAATCACTGATGATTATCAACAATTATAGACAGATTATAAACTCTCGTTTTGTAATATAAAATAGATCAGGAATCATTTGTTATTTACCTTTGTTATTAATTGCTATTGCTGATTGAATTGATTTTTTAGAAACTGTTATTACTCCTTCAACAATTTAATCAGCGAGTAAATTGAATTTGATCAACAAGGTAAACTAAAGGTTTTGATTTTATATTATTAATTAACTACTATGGGTAATCAGTTTAACCTCATAATAAATACTAATTGTTTCATGATAAAATCTAATCAAAGATAAACTAAATTTAATTGAATGAACAATTTGATTATAACTTGAGGCGGTTACAATCAATTGCTATTATTATATGATTTAATTTCAAGCAGTTTAAATGGTGCCAATGATGATGTTTAGGATGACATTGATAAGTAAATGGCTATTGGCAATCAAATTAATCAACTATATCAACAACAATCTAAAAGTAATATAATAATAACAACAATTAGATTCTTGATGAAATGATTATATTATATTTACTATTAACATTATTAATGATTAACTGATTAATCACAAAAGGCTGAAAGCAATTTAATTACAAATAGGTATATATATAGATGATTAATCTAATCCCTAATCTAACAAAATGGTCAATTATCTGTTGAACAATCAAAGTAGAAAAGGTAACAATTTAAATCACATCGATATCAAATGTAACCAGAGTAGGAAAAAAAATCAAGGAGAGAGAAAAATCTAATAAATGAATATCCTTTTTCCGTTTCCGTTGATTCCCGTTTGACTAACAATCAATTTAATGGTAACAATCAGATGATCATAATAATAATAATATTCATTGTCATTCACTCCCACCATCACCTTAATAATAATCATCATCATCCAACTTAATCACTAACTAAATAAAACTTGTAACAATCAACAATATAATCCGAAACCACTCAAAGATACTTAAATTGTTGATAATGATGATTAGATATCAATTGATTATCAATTGTTATCACAATTTGTTATTAATTTTGACCGGAAAATGTAACTTTAAATCGGATAATATCCTTAAATAGTAATAAATGTAATTGTGATGATTAAGATAAAGTAGAAGAAAACTTTTTTCTTCCTCTGGTGACAATCAAATAGTTAATCGTCAATTCAATTTGATTGTTGATTGTATTTACTTTTTAACCAACACACAATAATGATAAGCTGTCTTATCCTGTTTAGATTCAATATAAATATATTATTAGTTTTATAACAATTTCCAATGTTGACCAACTAAGTTTTTCTATTACTAATACACTCAGAGTGTATTAGAACTTTTTTCTTCTGTTGTTGTTACTTATTCTGAACATTGAACAGTTCGAAAAAGATGAAGAAGGAAGAAAAGGAAACTCTCGAACTCTATTCTAATAGTTATCGATGATTGTTATTTGTAAATAATTTGAAAAGTAACTTTGACAGTCCACAAATTTGGACATTATAATGATGATAATCATTATAAGATGTTTGTATTATGTATGATTATCATCATCATTTTTCACTATTTTTCTTACTTGATTCTGATAATCCCTTTGGTAATAAGAGACCATAGGTTAGATTGGGAAGTTAGGTCATCTTCCTCATCATCTTCTTCATCTTCTTCATCTTCTTCATTGTTAAATATATTAGGACAATTTGTGTGACTGTTTATTTCAATTGTGGTGTTGGTGGTGGTGACTCCTTACTGATTGCCTTGTACTAAGACCTGAAGATGATGAGGATAAGGATGATAAGGATGAAGACATTGTTACAATCATTTTGATGATGAAGATGATGTTGTTGCTGTATTGAATATCTTCACACTAGGAGTCCTCAAAATGAGCATATAAATATATAGATGATCCATAGGGAAAGATTGTATTTGATTTCCAAATTTTTTTTCTTCCTCGTCTTCTTTTTACCTTCAACTAAAAACTGAAAAGAAACTTAAATTGTTATTGTAGCAATTTATAAATTGTTACCTTTGTGGTTATCATATGTTGTTATTATTAGTTATGATTATGATTATGATTATGATGATAAATATTGTAACTTATTAGATATTGTCCCGTGGCTATTGTAAGAGTAAAAGGTAAAACGTTTCAACGTTTTTTTTTTCTTGGGGTTGGAAAGATTTTGATCAAGCTAATTGTCAATAGTTTTGATTGTGATTGTAGATTGTAAATTGCTTGAATTATCATCTGATCATCTGATCAGTGTGTGTCTATCTGATTGTTTGATTGTCCCTGTGATTGGATACAAACAACACAATATAATATATATTATTGTATTATAATGGATTAGTCTTGAAATTTGAGACTTACGTTTGATTGTTACTGTTGAGACTCAAACAATTTAAGTTTCAATCCAACTGGATTATAATCATCATTTAGTATTAAGGTTATTTTTTATCTGTATTATTGTTATGATTATAACAATTTGGTGGGTTGATTGTTATCTTTACAATATATACATAAAAGTAATATCAACACTTAATCATGGTAATAATGTATAATGATTAACTATTATTATGAGTGTGTCCATGTGTGAGTGTATGTTAATCAATGATCAAATATCAAACGACAATCAATTTAACATGAAAAAATATGTTCCTATCATTATATTTACCATTATTAGGTTAATTATGTTAATCAAATTTATGAAAATCCCTGAAAGTGGATTAACAATTAGATTGTTATTATTTAATGTGTTATCATTGATTAAGGGTTTTAATCATTAATATTATCAATGGTTTGGTAATGATTAAAGATTCTGATATATAATCAATTGAAATTGTATCTCAGCGGTTGCCTCTCATCATGTTGCAGGTTAATTGTTATCAATGATTTAGTTATAATTTAGTTTCTCCTACAACTGTGATTAACTTAATGAAAACTTTATTTCCCTCTCTCTAGGCTTTCATCAACAATCAACTAATTGGCTTGGTTAATCATCATCTGATTAATGATTACAATCAATTAATCAGTAATGAGGATGATACTTGTTGTTGTTGTTGTATTATTAGTCTATCAATGATTATCATTAACTTAATGAGTTACATTTTGATTTAATCATCAATCAAACTATTCATATTTGATTATCATCCTATTAGAAGGGATTAATTTAATTTTAATTGGTAACGTTGTATTAGTAAATTGTTAGTTATTTAATCAGATTAACCAGTTAACTATTATATTACATATGATGATTATGAGAGTGAGAGTTAATCATCATTAGATTTAATAATAAAAACTGTTGATTGTCAATCTAAATTGTTATCATAAATGTTGGATATATTTCCAAAGGTAAAATTAGTTAACATCATTAGTTAGTAAATTGTTAACTAAATTGTTCATCGATTGTTAATATTATAGAAGCAAAATTTTCTCTCAATGGATTTTTTTTATCTCTTTTCTCTTGATTTTGATTCATTCTTCTTATTGATTGTTACCAATTGTTATTTATATTGTTAAGTGGCAATTATCGTGACTATAACAATTACACACTCTCGGTGTGTAGCAATTAAATTAACTTGTGATACTTGTGGGTGATCATCATCGGTAATCATTAACTATTAAAGTTTTGTTACAATTTCAATTGAATTGCGAACACAAAAAAAGTTGTTACTTTCGAAATCGATGAAAAAAAAGTTCTAACCTTTTTTTTCTAACAAGATCTCGATATCTTTTCTTTGAGCTATCATGATGATGAGGATGATTAGAGATTATCATCTTCATCTATTGTTGATAAATGATGATCAAGATGATTAGTGATCATCAAATTGAATTAATTGTCAAGTTAGAAAAAAGTTTTCTTCAACATTTTATTGGGTTAGAAAATTTTTTTCTTCTCCTCATCTTCTCATTTTGACAATTAGTTAATTATCACAATTAGTTAACTAATTGTATTACTATATCTCTCTTTGTTAATTGTTAGTTTTATTTAGTTTCATTAATTTTAGTTCATTTGTTTGGATTAATTGTTTGAAAAAGGAAATTGTATTAATTATAGTTTCTTTTTTCCCTTCAACAAAAGTAATTTTAATTCATTTGGATTCACTTTTTTTTAATTGTGCTTATTAAGATTTAATTGGTTGGATTGGTTTGCTTTTTTTCTAACTAATTAGACACTATCAAAAGTTGATTGTAATTAGTTTTGTGTGTGTTAATTAATTGGGGATAATCAAATTGTCAATGTTGAAGATACACCCGCAAGGTAAATGATGATTCAACTGTTTATTGTGTTGATTATGAAGGTGAATCAATTTAATTAACTAGTTGGTGTGTAAGTGAGTGTGTTGGTGGAGCAATTAATAAGTTAAATAACCAGCTACAAGAACAGGGAGGCAAGATTGGTGAAGAGAAGATAGAAGTTAAAAGATAATAGATAATAGTGTCAAGTGCGTTCCTCAGACTTTTGTACTAATAAGAGACATAATACAACATTTCCAGTACTGTTTTCAAATGAGCACAGTGGATTCTGCAATCGCTGTTAAATCATAAGAGATTACAAAAAATCAACCTCAACAAGCTAATACCGATATTGTACCAACAATTCCATCTATTGCTTCTGATCCAACCAGATTAACCACCGAAGTTGATGGAACAACATTTCCAGTTGATGAATATGAAGAAGACGAAGTCTCTCTACAATCAAGTACACCAAGTATGGATATGAGACCACCACCATTTGTAGGATATTCGGGGCAAAACAATGGAATTTGACCTTCTGATATTTCATCCGATTGTTTTTATACATGATTTTGATTATTCGTCAGAAATTCTATCACGAAATTTGTATCTTTGCTTGTTGATCTTTTTCAGAAGATCACAATAATCAGCCAGTAGTTTTGGATTATTTGTTTTCAGCTCCATTAAATATGATTCATGTTCATGTTTAAATTGTTAGTTTGATTACCATTTAAATTGTTTTTTTTTATCAATTAGATTGAATTTAAATTTGATAAATGTTATTAATATTTGGTCAGCATATAAAAAACTTAATTTACCAGTTTGATTAATTAATAATTCTAACACTTCTAAAGATGAAACAATTAACTGGTAAGTATCTTCATTGATTTGGTCTTCTATCAAAGTTAATGTAATTTCTAAAATTTTTTTAGAAAATTTGATCAACTCTTTTGGCCATTTTTTAATAAATTGTAACAATCCACTCATGTTAATAAGAAGAAGAGTTTTATCTCTAGAAATCAATTGATTTTTTATTAATTGGTCGAAACATTGATCAATTTCACCTTGACCGAGAGAAAATTTCTCAATAAAATATACTAATAGTGGAATCAATGATTTTACCACATCACCATCATTATTATATAATAATTTTTTTAGATTAGACCAAAATAATTGATTAAAATTAGCTGACTCAAGATCACAAAGTCCATAACGAGTGATTATGTTATTCATGCAATTTAAACCTTTCAATTTGTTACCGTGTTGATGGTCATCCATTTATCTTTAAATAAACGGAGTTATGCAAACGGAGGATGCAAAGATATTTTAAATTCTTTAATTTGGCTTTATCTTTGAAAAAATTTTTATGACTTATATGGAATTCACATTAATTTAATATGAGACCACAGTTGACGGTCAATAAATAATTTTTATATAATTTTGCTAAGGTTGTTTTAAATACAAAATTAGTATGATTATTATTGGTTGATTTGTTTATTTTATTCACATATTGACTATTTTTTCTTTTTTTCATTTGGCAAATTTTCTTGTAGCTCAATGACTGGCAAGGCCTAGTTTGCAAAAAATTAGTTCGAGATGTGAAACAATATTTAAAAGAAGATGATTTAATATTAACATATTTGGATGATTCTTGGAAGCCTATTATTAAGTTAAACAAATGATGGTGATCCTTTTATACAAAGTAGTACTACAAGCTTGGTTGTAGAAGAGATTACATCCAATTCACCTGATGATGTTTCAATTTTAATTAGTGAAAATATGGATATTAAACCAGATATTCAATCAGTGTCTGATTCACCCATTGACAAATTACAGACAAGTTTTCAACCTGGAAATAATCAAGAAGAACCAACATCAAGCTTTCAAGATTTTCAACATGATCAAATGAAAACAGTGGATTCATCAATTGCTGTTAAATCAGAAGAGATTACAAAAAGTCAAGTACACCAACTCCAAGTATGGATATGAGACCACCACCATTTGTAGGATATTCGGGACAAAACAATGGAATTGGACCTTCTGATATTCCATCCAGAAGTAATACTCCCAATCAACAATCCGCCGGAGCTTTAAATCTCTCTCCAAGTGTGGAAATGTCCAAAGTTAATGGAAATTGTCAACGAAAAGAGTCCAGAACTTTCCCCCTCTATTGTCTATGAATCAATTCCGTCTTCATTACCTTTACATCCAATTAACACCGATGATCTTGATGGTCGAGAGTCTCATTTATCACCTCAATCTGAATCGTCATCTGATGCAAAAGGAACAGGTTTTGTTGATAATGTTAATAATCAACCAAGTGAAACAACAACAGCTACACCAGCAACTGAATCAACACCTTAACCTTTGATTGATACTGGTAGAGATCAATACAGTTTTCCATCAAATCAGGAAGAAAGTAAAATCCAAGAGAGTCACAAGGATGAAAGTCCAACTGATGAAGTTCACCATCATGGTACAGTTGAAACAGAAATTCAGAATCCAAAAATTAACGAGGTTTCATCAACTCCATCACCAATACTTCAACAACAACAACAACAATTACCTGCATCATCACAACCTTCAAATTATAACCAACAACAACCTTTACCGAATCAAGATGAACCAGTGCATCAATACAACCAACCTAATTATCATCATCAAACTGTGCATCAACAACAACAACCTCAACGTCCACCAATTATTGGTACAAATGATGATTATAAACACAATAATCAACCTGATTATCCCTCTGATGAAATGACACATCAGATGGCAGCTGAAGTAGAGAAACAATCTTATCTTTCCCCCTCATCATCATTATATTTACCACCTCAACAAGAATCAGTGACAACAGACTTACCTTTATCATCATTACAACCATCACCTGATTCAGATTCAGATTCATCTCTACATCTCTCATCATCAGTTAATAATCAAAATTTTGATTCCAACTTGGCGCTTCCAATGCAATCATCATCATTACTTTCCAACAGTGCAAGTCCATCTGACCAACAATCAACTTTCAATGGTCCATCTGAATCATTAACTGATAGTTTTACACAAACAACTTTCACCGAAACACCGATATCAACAAATTATCCTGACGCAATGCGCTCACAAATTACTTTACTCACAACACTTTTACCAGAACCAGTGATTGACTATTTACATCATGTTAACTTTTCACCATCAATTTTTGTCATTCTATTGATGATAACAATTACCTGGTTGGTTATGTTTATCACATCAAAAATCCTCTCCTCACATAAGGAGAAAGTTTCCCTAGAAGATCAACTTTGCCGTAACCATGGGGAAAATTTTAACCTTAAAACAGAAAGAGATTATCTATTTGATGAGTTGGCGGCTGAGAAAGAAAAGGTAAGTGAGTGAGAGAGAGAAAAAAACAAAATGATCTCCATTATAAGAAATTAACTCATTTGTATCTTTTTCCATTCTTTTCCTGGTAACAGAATTCACGTTTACTCAAGGAACATCTAGAGATTAAGATCTTTTTCCTATTCTAATTTAATAACGATGGCGATGGAGATGCTTCATACAAAGTAGGACTACAAGCTCGATTGAAGAAGAGAATACATCCAATTCTCCTGATTATGTTTCAATTTTAATTAGTGAAAATATGGATATTAAACCAGATATACAATCAGTGTCTGATTCACCCATTGACAAATTACAGACAAGTTTTCAACCTGGAAATAATCAAGAAGAACCAACATCAAGCCTTCAAGATTTTCAACATGATCAAATGAAAACAGTGGATTCATCAATCGCTGTTAAATCAGAAGAGATTACCAAAAGTCAACCTCAACAAGCTATCATCGCATGTGGATCTTTTTTTCAGAAGATCACAATAATAAGCCAACAGTTTTGGATTATTCGTTTTCAGCTCCAATAAACATGATTCAATCTTCATGTTTAAATTGTTAGTTTGATTACCATCCAAATTGTTTTTTTTATCAATTAGATTGAATTTAAATTTGATGAATGTTATTAATATTTGACCAGCATATAAATAACTTAATTTACCATTTCGGGAAATGATTAACTCCAACACTTCGATAGATGAAACAATTAACTGGTAAGTGGTTGATGAAATGATTTGGTCTTCTATCAAAGTTAAGGTCATTTCTAAAATTTTTTTAGAAAATTTGACCAATTCTTTTGGCCATTTTTTAATAAATTGTAATATGCCATTGATGTTGATTAGAAAAAGAGTTTTATCACTTGAAATCAATTGATTTTTTATTAATTGGTCGAAACATTGATCAATTTCACCTTGGCCAAGAGAAAATTTCTCAATAAAATATACTAACAGTGGAATCAATGACTTCACCACATCACCGTCATTATTATATAGTAATTTTTTTAGATTAGACCAAAATAATTGATGAAAATTAGCTGACTCAAGATCACAAAGTCCATAACGAGTGATTATGTTATTCAGGCAATTCAATCCTTTCAATTTGTTTTCATGTTGATGGTCATCTATCAATCTAAGGATGAAAGGAGTTAGGATGAAAAGATGATTTAATGATGATCCATCCAGAAATGAAACTGTTTCACAAATTAAATCACATTTAACTTCATCCTCGAGCCACGATGAATTCTCTTTAAATTCTTTTATTTGATTTAATCTTTGATTAATCAAACTATCACAATTTAAAAAACTATTTCCATGAAGATCCATGATCACAAAATCAATTTCAAAGAAAAACTCAAATAAAATGAAAACAAATTTTCTGAGAAAAATTTTCTCTAATCAGTAGCTCCATCTGTTGGTTGGAAAACAATCTTATTAGGAGCAGAAAATTTCTGATTATAAATTATTCTGTGAGAGAATAATTAAATCTTAAGCAATTAGTCAGTAATTGGAATTATTTGATTCCAACTAAGAGGATGTTAATTTTTTGAGACAGAAAGAGAATTGAAAGCTTAAAGTAAGAGAGAAGAGAAAAATTTGAAATTCAATTGGAATTTAAATGAAGCGCTTCAGATGTTTGACTTTTCTTTTCCTTTCTAATGTGAGTTGTCATTTGTTATTTTCTAACATTGAAAATTATTGATTATGTTTTAATTTCTAAATTGTTGATATACTTATTTAATTGTTTGTTTTTTGTTTATTTATTTTGTTTCTTTGTTTAGTTAAATGGTTAAATTAATACACAATGAGTAGATATTATCAATTAATTGTATTCTTAACTGTCTATTGTATTAAAAATAATTGTGATCAAACTGAGTCTTCACCAGGTTATCAGTTAAAGTGTAAAAATGATATTTGTAGTGGTAAATATTTTTCCCTTTAATTGTTTTTAATTTATTTATATTATTTTGTATTTTATTCATTTCCTTTTATCTTTTCTCATGATTACAGAATCTATTGGATTAGTGGTGGCTACTCAGAACTATCGTCCTGATGAGAGGCATAAATTAAAATACAACATTGAAGATAAAATTGAAATTTTTGGGACTACAATTGATGGTCAATATTATTTTGCTAAGGTAAGTGTAAATACAAAATAAGTATGATTGTGATTATGATTAGTTTAATTTATTCAATAATTGACTATTTTTTCTTATTTTCATTTGGCAAATTTTATTGTAGCTCAATGACCGTCAAGGCCTAGTTTCTAAAAAATTAGTTCGAGAGGTGAAACAATATTTAAAAGAAGATGATTTAATATTAACCAATTTGGATGATTCTTGGAAGCCTATTATCAAGTTGGAACCAAGTGATGGAGATTCTTTTATACAAAGTAGTACTTCAAGCTCGGTTGAAGAAGAGATTACATCGAATTCAGCTGATGATGTTTCAATTTCAATTAGTGAAAATATGGATATTAAACCAGATATTCAATCAGTGTCTGATTCACCCATTGACAAATTACAGACAAGTTTTCAACCTGGAAATAATCAAGAAGAACCAACATCAAGCCTTCAAGATTTTCAACATGATCAAATGAAAACAGTGGATTCATCAATTGCTGTTAAATCAGAAGAGATTACAAAAAGTCAACCTCAACAAGCTAATACCGATATTGTACCAACAATGCCATCTATAGCTTCTGATCCACCCAGATTAACCACCGAAGTTGATGGAACAACATTTCCAGTTGATGAATATGAAGAAGACGAAGTCTCTCTACAATCAAGTACACCAACTCCAAGTATGGATATGAGACCACCACCATTTGTAGGATATTCGGGGCAAAACAATGGAATTGGACCTTCTGATATTCCATCCAGAAGTAATACTCCCAATCAACAATCATTCGGAGCTTTAAATCTCTCTCCAAGTGTGGAAATGTCCAAAGTTAATGGAAATTCAGAAGCGAGTGTTGTTATGGATCAACCAAATATCAATTCACAAGATAAAAATCCAACTCCGACTGTTCCAGATGATCCAATAAACAAAGAAGACCAACCTCAAGAATCTAATGTTTTCAACGAAATTGTCAACGAAAAGAGTCCAGAACTTTCCCCTTCTATTGTCTATGAATCAATTCCGTCTTCATTACCTTTACATCCAATTAATACCGATGATCTTGCTGGTCGAGAGTCTAATTTATCACCTCAATCTGAATCGTCATCGGATGTAAAAGGAACAGGTTTTGTTGATAATGTTAATAATCAACCAAGTGAGACAACAACAGCTACACCAGCAACTGAATCTTTATCTCCTGCTTTAGTTGATGGAATCACTGATTCACAAAATGGCCACACAACAAATTCAATTGACAGCGATCAGTTGATTGATAAACTCGATGTAAACAACATTGAATCAAATGAAATCAATTTGCAACCACAAGTCCAAAACCAGGACCAATCGTCATCAACACCTTCACCTTTGATTGATACTGATAGAGATCAGTACAGTTTTCCATCAAATCAGGAAGAAAGTAAAATCCAAGAGAGTCACAAGGATGAAAGTCCAACTGATGAAGTTCACCATCATGGTACAGTTGAAACAGAAATTCAGAATCCAAAAATTAACGAGGTTTCATCAACTCCATCACCAATACTTCAACAACAACAACAACAACAACAACAATTACCTGCATCATCACAACCTTCAAATTATAACCAACAACAACCTTTACCGAATCAAGATGAACCAGTGCATCAATACAACCAACCTAATTATCATCATCAAACTGTGCATCAACAACAACAACCTCAACGTCCACCAATTATTGGTACAAATGATGATTATAAACACAATAATCAACCTGATTATCCCTCTGATGAAATGACACATCAGATGGCAGCTGAAGTAGAGAAACAATCTTATCTTTCCCCCTCATCATCATTATATTTACCACCTCAACAAGAATCAGTGACAACAGACTTACCTTTATCATCATTACAACCATCACCTGATTCAGATTCAGATTCATCTCTACATCTCTCATCATCAGTTAACAATCAAAATTTTGATTCCAACTTGGCGCTTCCAATGCAATCTTCATCATTACTTTCCAACAGTGCAAGTCCATCTGACCAACAATCAACTTTCAATGGTCCATCTGAATCATTAACTGATAGTTTTACACAAACAACTTTCACCGAAACACCGATATCAACAAATTATCCTGACGCAATGCGCTCACAAATTACTTTACTCACAACACTTTTACCAGAACCAGTGATTGACTATTTACATCATGTTAACTTTTCACCATCAATTTTTGTCATTCTATTGATGATAACAATTACCTGGTTGGTTATGTTTATCACATCAAAAATCCTCTCCTCACATAAGGAGAAAGTTTCCCTAGAAGATCAACTTTGCCGTAACCATGGGGAAAATTTTAACCTTAAAACAGAAAGAGATTATCTATTTGATGAGTTGGCGGCTGAGAAAGAAAAGGTAAGTGAGTGAGAGAGAGAGAAAAACAAAATGATCTCCATTATAAGAAATTAACTCATTTTATCTTTTTCCCATTCTTTTCCTGGTAACAGAATTCACGTTTACTCAAGGAACATCTAGAGATTAAGGATAAATTTGAGAATATCAATCATCACATTGAACATTCTGAGGTATTCAGTCAACAATCAATACACTAAATTCAATTTGGCAAATTGTATATAAATTTTATTGTTGCTAATTTTCTACTTTCCCTCTTTCTGTTGTTATCTTTTTCCTATTCTAATTCAATATCAGAGTGAGAAAAATAGTCTAATCAGCAAGTTGGAATCATTGGTTAATGAAACACGCAAGCAAAAACAGAGGATTGAACAGCTTGAGAAAAACAATGAAACTCTCAAGAATGAGGTGAGTTTATTACCATTTAACCTTTTAAATAATCGATACAATTTTCTAATCCAATGTTTATATTGTTTTAATTTTCAGTCTTCTGAGGCCAATGATGAACTTACCCGAGTAAAACTTGATCTAGATAAATTGTCAAAAGAATTAGAAGAAAAAGCTGATTCACTTGAAGCAGCGCAAATGGAAATTGAAAAATATGCTGATACTAGTGAGCAACTGACCCAAGAAGTGAAATTATTGAAAAAGAAAGAAACTCAACTAGAAACTGACCTTAAGCGAATGGTCAAGCAGGAGGAAATCATTGAGAAATTAAAAATGGAATTGGAAAATGCTGAACAAGAAATTAATTCAATGAAATCATTTATTGACAATACAAATGAATCTGCTGAATACTCACTGGAATCATTACTGGATGGAATTAAATTAAAGGCAGAATTAAGTGTCGCTCAAAAGCAATTAAGATCAATTAAGGAGGAAAAAGATGCACTTTCCAATAAAACAGCTGAGATGGAGACACGATTAGCTAAAGCAGAGGTTGATTCAAATGAAGCAATTAAGGCTAAAGATGAGGCTGAAAGACGATTACAAATATTGAAAACTTATTTCAATGAACAAGAAGTCAAATTACAATCAGAACTTGGAACATGGAAATTAAAATATGAAGAAATGCTTTCTCGAAATGAATCAGTTCCAGGATATATTGAAGATCTAAAGCGTTCTAATGAATCATTGAAGAATCAAGTTGAAAGTTTAGAACGTGAAATCGCCAAAAGAGAGGAGAAACACCGAGTCGACTGTAGTAAACTCGAACGTGACAAGCATGAACTATACATGTCAAAAATTCGAGTTGTTGACGATTTAAAGAATCTAAAATCTGAATGTGAAATTTTACGCAAAAAGTTAACACTTAAATCACAAGGTTATTCAGATGATGATTTAAAACATTCAACAGGAGTCGATGGATCAACATCATCAACAGGAGTTAATTTAGATTCACTACCACCTCCACCTCCACCACCCACTGGATATCTTGAAGATACACTTGATTCATCAGCTGCAAGTGGACCTTGGTCACTTGGTACAATTGACCCACCGCCACCATTTCCTGTAAGCTGGATGAATTCAGGTGACTCCTCAACCTCGGGTTACAGTTCATTGCCTCCAGCACCGATGCCTTTACAACAACATCAACCATCTAATCATCATCATTATCCCTCTCATCATCATCACTCTCATTACCCTCCAGCCCCTCAAATGCCTCCAATGCGTGATACCTATTCACCAAGCTCTCAACGATCCCATGATCAGCGAAGTGTCCGAAGTGATATATCTTTCTCGTCAACAAATAATTCACATCATCATTATCCAAATTACGGTCCACCGCCACCCCTACCACCCCAAACTGTCCAAGGACCTTTTTCAAATCCAATACCATCACATTGGTCTGTCAATACCCAACAGCAGCAGCAACAACAACAACAACAACAACAACAACACCCACATCAATATCAAAATCCTCAACAATCCCAATCATCACATAACGAGTCTTCAATAAATTATGATTCTAGAAATTATTATACCGGTGGACGGTAACATAAAATCAATTGATTAACTTTATCGATTAACTAAAATTGATTCTCCCTCTTTTCTCACTCTCTTTCTCTCTCTCTTGTGTAATATTTACTTTATTAATTAGTATATTAATTGATTATTAAAAAAATTATTGTTATTTTCAATATTATTTTTCAACATGAATCTAATATTTTTATTAACTAAATATTACATGAAATGATTAATCTTTTAATTGTTTCAATCATATTCTGATCCAATTGTGATACTTAGTTCATCTCCAACAATTTGAGTCCCATGAAACCATTTATTTGTATCCAAGACAACTGATAGAAAGATTGAAACAATTAGTTAAATTGGATGACAATTTAAATTGCATTTCACTCACTTATATCTCCTGGATTAATTGTTACCTCAAATCTTTTACAATTAAGGTAACAATCAAGTGGAGGTTCAAGAATCCATTTTTTGGTTCCCTTAATTTGTGCTTGCCATGAAGGATAACCAACATTATCAATCTGATGAACAGATAAACAATTAAATAATTTGGTAACAATTTAGCTAATTGTTAATCACTTACGTGCATTGGTGCACCATAACCAGGGGTTCCCATGAATATCCAATCAAGTCTTGAATCCTCTGAATTAATCGGCAGAAATTGTGGTTTATGATAAAATTGTCTCAGAATTGATGTTATCCTTGGATCACAATTAGACCAACCAATATACCATGGAGTTGATTGATTGTAATTAACTTGATCTGGAATTGATTGTAAAGCTTGTATGAGTGATTTGTAGGAAGTTGAATACGGAAAAAATTGACAACGATATTGATTATGATCAGAATTAATTGTTGACAAATATAATTGTTGAAAAAACTTCAATGAAAACACATCCAAAGCTTTCCAATTAGATTTAATTGCTCCTCTAATTATTAATGGTTCCATTGAATAAGCAAATCTTAATTGTAAACGATAATAATAAGTAAAATATTTGATTACTTGGAATTGATTTGGATTTTTAATTGTTTACCTTGATTCAAATTGTTCACTTGTAATATTTGTAACTTCAATGATCTCTTTAATTGTTTCACATTTTGAACAATTAACTGGTGGATGAAACAATTTACTCCAACTTGATGGGATAACAATTGAACAAGAACCTCGGCCACTAATTAATTTAACTGAATTTGAAACAAGTGAAACAATTAGACTGTAATTACCAAGATAGATAAAGTAGTAAATTATAATTAAGGTAACAATTAAAGATCGTATCGATTGGTTAGCTAATTGTGGATAAATCCAATCAGAATCGTCTATTAGTTGAGAGGTTAATTGTTGATCACTAGAATTTACAATTGATTTTGATTTAGTTTTACGACCCATGATAATTAACAATTACAACTAACAATTTGTAAATTGTTTTCACACAAGAAAATGGGTAAGCTAAGATTGAGAAGAAGCAACAATTTAACTAATCATCTCATGTTTACCTTGATGATTATGTAAACAATTAATTTAATCACAAATTTTCAGCCAATTCTCAGTAAATATTAACATAATCTTAATCCTTAATTATTAATAGTAACAATTTAAATCACAAAATGTGATTTATCTTGAAATCTAAACGTTTTTTGTTATGTTAATTTAACTAAACTGAAAATGATTGATTAATATTCAACCATCTTAAAGTTAATTGTTACTTTGAAACTTTTCAATCTATTTATTAACAACAATTAGATTGATTTAGATTGAATTGATTTACTTTTTCAGGGGAAATTTGTTACTTTTTAAATTGTCACAAATTTTGTCCAACAATTTAGTTGATTGTTTATTAAAGTGAACAAAATTACTTTACTCTGAAAAGGTTAGATTATTTTTGCTGATTTCTCATTGATTTCAAATTTAACTTTAATTTTTTAATCGTAACAATTTAATCGTTCATCAAGATTAATTTGTTCACTTAATTGTTTATATGTTTAGTTGATTTCTCGGCCAACCCATTATAACAATTAAGGTGCAGCTCAGTGATACATTATCATCATCATAATCAAAATTGATTGTTAGTAACCAATTACAATCAATTTTCAATGTTTAATTATTAGTAAAAGTGATTAAATTAAGTTTTCTTGTGATTTTCAAAAATTAAACTGATGATACAATCAGTAAATTTAACTTATTATAAAACAATTAAATATATTCAATATACAGCCACGAAAAATGAGATGAGAACAAAAATTATATCAATTGCGCATAAAGAGATAATTTAATCAAATTTAAAAGAGAAATTGTATTGATTTAGATGGAAAGTAATAGAAAAATGTAATCACAATTAGAAAAAAATTATCTCTCTATGCTTATAAGTCACAATTTCTGTTCTCATCTCATTTTTCGTGGCTGTATTAATGAAATTAGTTATTATTAGTATTCAAAGTTATAATTGTAACAATTAAGCGACTAGATTACAAATAGTTAACAATAATTGTTACAATTAATTCAAGATCAATTTGAAATTATCATTGATATTCAATGTTAATTGTTCATTAAATATTAATATAAACAATGGTTATGATTGATTTACGATAACAATTAGCTAAATCATTGAATCTTTTGATAATCAATATTGATTCCCAGTTAATCAGAAAATCAAAATGATTAAAAGTTAATTACACTGTAATTTAAATGAGAAAGAAAAAAGTTGAAACAATTAACTTATTGATTAAGGAAGAAGATATAAAATTGATTTGGTTAATCAAAGTGAAACCAAAACACCAACAACAATTAGTTAATCAATTGGGTGTGAGCCGTTGGATTTGATTGAGTTGATTAAACAATTTTAGAATCAACCAGTTTAATCAATTTAAATCTAATCAAATCTAAATCTTGATCCTAATTACAATTTACTATTTAAATCAATTTTGTTTAATTTTTTTCATCTTCTCCTCTACTAATTAATTAATTAATTACTAATCAGTGACTTATTATGTCTGGAGTTAAAAGTTAATCTAAATGATAATTAGCTAAAAGTTAACAATGAAATTTACGGTTTAATTAATTAACCAAAAATTTGACCAGAAAACTAATTAATCAATTAGTTGATTGTGGTTAACAATCAAATAATAACGTTACAATTAAATGTGTAAGTGTAGGTTGAGAGTAAAATTTACATGAGAAACAATTAAAACTAATCAGTAATCAAATCTAATTAGATATTGAAAGCGGAGACCAATTTAAATTGCTAATCAAATTATCAATAAAAGTAAAGCTAATTGTCTAAATCGAGAATCTAATTGTTAAAACAATTAACGAGATCTATCAATAAATAGCTCACATCAATCATAATCATTATCTTAATTAATTATTTGGCAACAATCAATGAAAGTGAAAGAAACTTGTTAATTAATTAATCAATTAATCATAATGAATCAAAATGTTTCAACAAATTAGGAAGCAACTTGTTTCCAATGCTTCATCTGAACGTAATAGTAAAAAGTTAATTAAGATTTTAAGACAATAATGATTATAACAATTAAGTAAATAAGTGTGATGATGATGGACAATTGAACAATTAATTAATCAATTAATCGTTAATATCCATAAATGATTACCAAAAAGAATCGGTTGATTGTGAAAATGAAACTTTCTTAATTGATGATTTATTTTCACCTTCCAGGTAAATCTATTAACAGAGTTGAAAGTTAATGAGGAAATGAAGATAAATTATCATCTTAATGATGATGAGGATGAAGATGAAGAGGAGGTTAATAAAATTAGTGGGTGGTGAAGATGAAGATGAGGATGAAAAAGGTAAGAGTTGAATAAAAGAGAGAGAGAAAACTTTTTCTTTTAAAAGAAAACTTTATCATCATTTTATCTTCTTGATCATCATTTTGATCATCATGTTGATCATCATGTTGATCATAAACCTTTTCCTTTCTCTTTGCCCTGAAGGGAGGAGGCGGTTGTGGTGGTGATGGTGGTGATGGAGTAGTAGGAGGAGGGATAAAGATGATGAGGAAGATGAAATTTGTCGATTTGTTTGTTTTCCATTAATTGAAGAAACTTTTTTTTTCTATCTCATCATGTCCATTACATTTTAACTATTAGTTAATTGTTGACTTTTAATTGTGATTATTTGGTGTGTTTATGTGTTTTCAGTGATTTGGATTAACATTAACAATTCCTATTGTGATTATTGATGATTTACAATCAAACAATCAAAAATGAGAGACGATGTTAATTGGTTAACATGGTTTCACCGATGGACAATTAATCAATTGATTGTAGTTGGTTTAATCTTATTATCTTCTAATTGTTGTGTTAATTATTCAAATGGTTTTAAATATATTTCATTGGATTCAACAAATCAACGGATTAATGGTAATTAATAATTTTGTGTCTTTTTTGGTTCCATTTAATTGACTAATGTTTTAATATCCTTGCTAATTGTTGATAACTTTTTCTGCAATTAAAGTTACTCTGGATCCGGAATTTGATCAATTAAATAATACGATTACGGATAATACAATTACGGATAATGATTCAGGTAATAATTAGTGTTAATTGTTAATAAAATTGATTATTATTTGTATGATCAGTAAAATTGTTTCAATTAAACTACAATCAAACCTAATGGATAAAGTTGACCCTCAATGTTTAATCTGAGTGATATTGTAACAATTTGTTAATTGTTGATGCAATGATCAATTCCATGTGATCATCAAGCATCAAACTATTCAAGAAATCAAAGTTAATTGTTTGACTATTTGTAATAATTTAAGGAATGTGATGGTAACAATTAACAGAAAGATTTAAGAAAAAAAATTCAGAATCAATATTATCCATTCAAGGGTAACTATCAATACAAATTAAAGTCCCACATTAACATCATGATCAACAATTAACTGATCTATAAGCAAACAATCAACTATACAGATCATGATTATCTGAGAAAAATCAACTAATCACCTTAATTGTCACTTAATTACAGAGGAAGGACATGCAAAAGTCGTTAAAACAATTTCAACTCTACTTGCTGAATCGTTGAATAAAAGTATTGGTCATTTTCAATATATTCAAGATGTGGATCTTAATCATAACAATCAAGGTTCATCTGAATCATCTGAAGAATCAGAATCATCAGAATCAAGTGGATTAAGATTACCATTAATCTCAAATAAATCATCTGATAAAAAAGTCCCATGTTCAAATAAGATATCAAAATCTAATCGCAATGGTAAGTCAACAATTAACTTATTGAATTGTCTGAATAATGTTGATAATTTTGCTTTAAAACATCATTTGAAATTTGATTGTGATCATTTGAAATAAACTGAGTTAACAGTTAATCGTTACGATTAACATTTAGATGTTTATTACAATTAGATTGGGAAAATTGAAATTTACAATTTTAATTTGAATTTGTGAACATTATGATTGGTTTTTTGACGAAAAAAAAAAGATCAACAAGTTTGTCCTTTTAAAGATCATCTTCATAAACGTTAAATCATCATCTTTATTAGAAACGTGATTAGATTTGATTAGAATGATTAAAATTGATTGTTGTAATTTAATAAACGATTCCACTGAGATGGAGACAGTTGGAAAGAAAAAAATATTTAGATTCTAAATGATCAGTAATCGAAGATGCTACTGAATGAAAAAAGGATGAAATTGATGATGAGGATGAGAGATGATCTTGTGAGAGATGAAATTTTTTACCTTGGGTAAGACTTGTGAATGAGATCAAGATGATGAGAGGATGAAAGAGAAAGAGAAAGAGAGAGATGATGATGATGAAAAAAGATCTTTATTTATCATCTCTCTTTTTTCATCTTTCTTTTCAAAAATGGTTTCCTAATATTGGAAAAAGAGACGAGGATCATCAGTTTACCTTTTTTTTTCATCTTCTTCTCATCTTTTTTTATCATCATCTTCACATGATAGTGATGATGAAGATGAAGATGATGACAATTTACCTTGAGGGCAAATTACAATTGGAAATATAATGAAAAGTAACAAGTTACACCTAATCAACGGTTGATTTAACTTTCCATTTATCATAAGTAAAACTTTTACTCCTGAAAAATGAAGTTTATTTTGTTTTTCAAACAATTTGTTGAGAATCACATTGATCAGTTGATTGCTATATTTATGATTGGTGATTAGTATTCATTTAACTAAATCATTAATTAATTCAGAAATTAGTTTCTATCACGATTTGTTTGTGTATGTTGATGATTAACTTAGTTATTACAGTTACTACAATTTAATGAATAACTTGGTTGGTAAATCCAATTGAAAAGGTTACAATTGTTTACCAAATTAGCATTTGATTTAGATATTCAGTAGATTGGTAATCTGTTAATCAGATAGGATTAAAGTTAAATTGTTGGTGCCTGATAATATCATTAAACAATTAACATTGTCAATCATGAATATTAACTTAATTTCTTGAAAAAAAAAGTTCAATCAAGTTTCAGAATCTTAATTGTTACAACAAAAAGGGAGAGATTATTAAAATTGTAACTATTAATATGTAAAAGGTTTGGTTAAGATTTTTCAATTATAATTAACTAATTGTTATTATTACTTTTGTTATTGTTATTGTTATTGTAACTTTGCATCTTTTGATTACTGCAATTTAGTTTGATTATTATTCAATGATTAGTTTACAATTAGCTGATTTTGTTTAGTTAATGGTTTTTGTTTACCAAATATTATTAGTTTAAGGTTAAACCGACTGATTATAATTGGTTAAATTGTGACAATCAGTGATAACAATGTGATAATCAAATCAGTGATACTTGATAGTTGATTAGTAAGTAAATTGATATTATTAATACAATGACAGTTAATTGTCAGATGATTAGTTTAGAGGGATGTTAGTTAATTGTATCTGGATGTTAGGATTGTTAAATTGTTATAGGAGTTGAAGAAAAAAAAATCAATTAATCAAAGTTTCATTTAATTTAGTAATCAACTTGATTGTCGTTAAAATTTCAAAATCAATTGCAATTAATTTCTCATCAAAAGCAAAATTGATTGTGAAAAGTTAATCAAAAAGTCAAACTCGTTTAGTTGATTTCAAATCAATAACCTGAATTGAAATGATTGATTTAATGATAATGACGATGATAATGAATAAATCATCATACTAATTAGTTTAATTAAGTGATAATAGTTGACAATGGGCAATTAATTGACTATCAAACGATAAACCCTAACAATTAACCAAATCTTATCAAAATTAACCATGAAAATGTTACAATTAACATAAACAAAGTTACATTATCAATGAGACTGTAAAGTTAATCAATTTATGAATGAAATGATTATGATCATTGAAAGATTATGATTAATACGATTGATTTAATTTTGGATTAAAAGTAATTTGATAATCAAATGTTGAAATTTTTCTTAATTAAATTTACAATTCAGATTCTTCAAGTGAATCAGTTATTCTGGATTATCCAACAGAAAATGGTTATAATAATTCAATTTTATCAGGTAATTAATATTATCCTTTTAATTAATAACATTTATCAGTGACAATTAAAGTTATATTAATATACTAATTTCCCTTTTAACATTAAATGATATTATTTACCATTTATTTTTTTTACTAAATCATCAATTTACCAACAGTTACATTAACATCATCATCATCTAAAAGTGTAGCAGATCAACAAGAAGATGAAATTAAATCAACATCATCCTCATCCTCATCTCCATCATCATCAGACTTTAATCCAACTAATCTGGTTACTCAGGTCACTGGCTTATCAAAATCAACGGTTAACCGGAATATCGGTTCAATATATTACGACGAGGATGAGGACGATGATACTGAAGATGAAGATGGCGAAAATGATGAAAATGAAGATAATCAACAATTTAATCGTAATCACAATTATAACAGTGATAAGATTAATTTACGAAACTATTTTAAATTGAAAACTAAATCATCTTCACCAATAGAAACGGTAACTAATCCATCACCAGTTTATCAACCTGAAGGATATGATGAATCAAGGGAATTGATTAAAACTCGAGAAACCAATATCAAGATTAAAGGTGATCATGGATTAATTAAGTCTAATCATGATAGAAAAAAATTATCAAACAATAGAAAAGGTAAAAAAGTTAATAGTAATTCAATCAATAATACAACACAATTTATCTGTATTAAAGTAATTGATGGTAAGGTAAATTCACCGATTTTGGCTAAGCAAATTTACCCACAATTAAAAGAGTCTTCATTAATTATGCCAACAATTCCGAAGATTCCTATGAGTTATCAATCATATAAACGTTATTTAGTTAACAATGAGACAGCAGCAACAATTAACGGTAAACAATTAAGTTACAATGGAGATGGAAACAGTTCCAATTTGAATGGAACAGAAAAATCAACTCAAAATGGAAACACAATTAACGTTAGAAGAGGTAAAACTTATTCGCAACGTTATTATCCCGTTAATTTGGTTTCTCTTGATTCAATTAAATCATTGGATAGTGTTAATTATACCTTAACCTCTACTCTCTCATTTGGTGACAATGTTAATTCATCATCTTCAGATTATTATGTTGGCAATAATCAAAGAAGGATAAGTTCAACAATTAATGAGACAAGTTCATCTTCGGATATTGATTATGGGTATCGATCGGGTTCCAGTGATAAAAAGGTCACTTTTAAACCGATCACTTATAAGACGACGGTGATTATACCAAAAATAACCACGACCACAGTTTCATTGTCCACTAATTATCCTAAATTGTCCAGTGAATCGACAACCAAAATGACACCAACAACAGCCCAAAGCACAACCACCACTCCGATGCCTTCCACCTCGGTGGTTACTTCATCTTCATCTTCATTGTCTTTAGCTGATATTCCTGAATTACTTTCTAATAAGATTGCCCTTGAAGCTAAAAATAAAAGCAAACAGTCAAAGGTTGGAGGTAAAGGTAAAGATCATCATTATCATACTAAAGAATCAAAATCTTTGGGTTATCATAATGCTAATAAGAAAGGTGATAAATCAAATAAAAAAGAGATTCAATTGATAAACTTGGGAAGTTCAATATCACCTCAACGATTTATTTCAAGTCGAATACGTTTTCCTGATCCTAATGAGCCTCAATTATCACCAACACCACTTTCATCAATTGATTCATCTTTTGATTCCTTTGAATTAACTCAACCACCAGAGGAACCGATAATTATACCCAATTCACTTATACGTCCAACCTTTGGTCTTACAACAATTGGACAATCACACCATCAACAATTAACTGCCCCAAATCTTAATCCTTATACTAATTACCAACAAAATCCACACAATTATCATCATCATCTTAATCCCATTCACCATCATCACTCACATCAACAACAACAACAACAACAACAATCACACCAGCAGCAACGACCAATTCAACAGCAGATTCAATTTTCACCTCAACAATTAACAATTAACAACCAGCAACCAGTTACATCTAATCAATACAATTTAAACCCAGAAATCATACCAACTAGTACATTGGTACCAAATGATTTAACTGAAAGTCCATTGATTGGATTAATTAGTCCACTTAGTTCATCGTACAAAGGATTAGCGTCCAAAATCAAATCAGCAATTAACTTTTCAACTAAACAACAACAATCTCAACCTCTACCATCACAATCATCTCAACAACAGAAACAACCTCAAGTCCAATCAACGGCTCAAATTTATCAACACAATCATCAAGCTCATAATCCTTATCCATTTAATTACAATTCATATGAACAACCAACTGGATACGAGACAATTTATGGTAAATTAAATTCACCTGATTTACTTTACACTTATGATCCTCGATTAACAGGTAATTACAACAAACCAGAAAGTAATTTAGTCCAACCTTATCTGACCAATGTCCAAGGATCATTTGTCCGTCAACCAGCATCTAAATTACTGCGACAATATCAAGCTTTGGTTACGAGCGCTTCGTCAATTGTTCAACGTCATCCGCCTCAGGCAATTAGTCCAACTAATCATTTACCTCATCATCGACAGCAGCAGCAACAAAATCACCATCACCATCAACCTCAATCACAATCAAATCGTCAACAATCAACGTTAATCTCTCAATCATCACCAACATTTTATCCTGTTTTTCAACCGGTTCAAAGTTTACCTTTGAATCCACATTCATTTGTTTCTGATGCTCATCAAATTGCACAATTTAACTCCGCTTACAATCATCCAGTTAATCATCATCTTCTCAATAATCAACAGTTAAGACCTTCGGGGGAAATTTTATCGTTACATCATCGTAATAGATTACAAGTAAATCATCTTACACCAATTGAATCAATATCTTCATCATCGTCACAATCAAAGGTAATAAGAGATACACCAGGAGGAGCAATTAATAAAGATGAAGGTGAAATTATCGGTATATCATCTTCCTCATCTTCATCATCTTCACCACTTTCAACTGATGAAACTGATAAACAATCAATTCAATCATCAACAGTTTCATCGTCAAATCGTAAAAGTAACAAGTCGAAAACAGGTTCATCTCGAAATCGCAATTCAAAGTCTAAAAGTAAACGGAAAAGTCGCCGAAGCAGTTTAACGTATTCACCATTAATGAGCATAGTCAACTCATCATCTTCTTCATCCTCATCATCACCAAATACCAGAACTAATTATAATCCGTGTTCATCAACAAATTGTCAACAATCAACTGGTGGTCTATTGTTTAATCCAAGTCGATCAGTTAAATTTGAATTGAGAGATGCGTTACCTTGATTAACAATTACCTCGAGAATCAATTAAATTGTATAAAAAAAAATTTCACTTCATTTATCAAATAAAATATAAAATAAAATAAGAAAAAAGTTTTCAAAAGTAACAATTAACTAGATAATCGTTAATTATTAAAGTTGATTAACAATTAGATAACAACTTGGGTGTAAGCCTTAAATTGTAATTCAACATTTAATCAACAATTAATTAACTTTTACTTTCTCATCTGTTCAAAGTACAAAAGATGAGAAACTAATTAAGATTAAATTGATTAGATTGAAAGGTTTTTCTGTTTCCACTCATAATCTCATCTCGTATCAAATCAATTTAATTTAAAGATTATAATGATTAGTGGGATTAAGAAAAACAAAAGCCCGAGAGATGTTTAATTATAAATGAAATTAATTTTCGTTTAAGACTAATTAGGATTAGTTTTTTTTGATAACCAACGGTTAACATTTTTGTTTATTTTTTTATTAATATAAATAATACTAACATCAAAGTTGAAAGCATTCCAATATACATTAATTGTTGAATATCATTTAATAATCTGAGTGATGATCATTGGTTATTGATCATCACTAATTGTTAGAATGGATTCAACAATGTGTTTATACTTGAAACACAATTAACGCAACTTTTTTTCTTGGTATTTTTTTTATGGACAATTAACATGCCTTTAAAGCAAAGAAATGTTAATTGTCCTTAAATGGGGAAAATGTGTAAATATTTCACTTTGAGAATAAATTTTCTTCTTTTCTCTCTTTATTTCTCAATGGGAAATATTATTATATTTAATTAAAGGGATAACCAAAAAAAAAGTTTGATTGGCGACTACGAAAAAAAAGGAAAGGGATAAGAAAAAGTTGCGTTGATTAATTGTGTTTGTTTGTTGTTGTTGTTGTTGTTGTTGTGTTGATTTTTCGGGTGTTCGACTACCATTGACGAAAAGAGTAGTCACTCTACTAGATACAAAGTAACCAAAGTCGCAAGTCATCGGAAGGACTTTCAACTAATTAATTTTTTTAATAATTATTTTTTATATCTCCTGCTCCGTTTAATCTGGCTGATGTTTTTAACTTTTTATGTGTTGATGAAATTAATAAACTTTAATTCCTGATACTGGAGTGGACATGTCCAGATTGGGCCATTTGATGTGAATGAGCCAAATTTTGATTTGGCTGGATAATCAATGGTACCATTTGGTTGACGTAGTGAGCTTGGCTATTAGCGGAATGAGCCGATAGTGAAACGGGAGGCTGTCCTCCTTGAGGACTCAAGTAGATCACAGCTTGCGGTGGAGTCGGGGTTGGATTAGGCACTCTACCCTGATGGTGGACTGGTGAAGGTGTTGGAGCGCCTTGTTGCATTGAGGTGTTAGGGGTTAATGATTGGGGAGTTGAACCAGTTGACATTTGACCAGCTCCGGAAACGTTTTGTTGAGGTTGCACCTGAGTTAACATGTGGGGTTGTAAAGAAACTGGTGCCACTGAAAGAGTTAGGTATCTCCGTTAATGAAAAACGTTTTGATTAGAATAATTAATTTTCAATACTTACTATAAATTGGTTGAAGGTTATGGTCATAGGGTTGTAATTGGGGCATAACAACACCAGATTGAGGTGAGATAATATTCATTCTAGGATGAGGCATGTATACTGATTGATACATTTGTTGTGGTGTACCAGCTGAAGTAACAACACCAGGTTGCTGTTGGGCTCCTGGATATGGACCTTGCATTGGTGATGCAGCGAGAACAGGATGACCAGTTGCAGCAGCAACGGTAGCAGAAGTTTGTGAATAATCGTGTCGATTATTTGGATTCTGGTATTGTTGAGGATTTGATTTACGATAATTTCTAGAGGTATGGGTATTATTGGCAGGTTGAAAGGGAGGCGCACCCGAGATATTTGGAGCTGACATTATAAATTGATTGGGTAGAACAGGAAGAGTTGAAATGAAATGGGTAGACGGTGGGAAAGCTACCATTGGACTTTGCATCCTGGGTTGATGGTGATTTGACTGGTGATGGGGTTGCTGACTATGATTATGAGGATGGTTATGATTATGAACAATAGCGTTATTAAGATAATTAGCCATTGGTACCATAGCTCCTGACGGCGTTGTAGTCGGTGTTGACTGACCACTACTATATGCAGATCGTGGTGTGAATGACTTCATTCCCGGATTAAATTCTTTCGCATTTGGATTTAGCGTTGATTTTTTAACTAATTTTTCAGCCTCATTTTCAGTCTCGGCAGGGATTGGCTCACTAACTGGAGGCGCTGGTTTTGAAGATGGTGTTGAAACTGATGAAGATAATTTTGAATTAGGTGTAGATGAGCTTGTAGTAGCTTCTTGGTCACCTCCTCGGGTTTCTTTAACCTCTAAGTTATTATCACTCTTTGAACTTTGAACGGGTTCCTTATTTTCTCGAGAAGATGATTTTTTATTATCATAAATTCTGAATTCATTACCAAATCTTTTAAGCTCTTGAATATCCTCCTTTTTACGCAGAAGATTAGTTCTTTGTCCGATTTGCGTCCTTTGAGGCAACCCTTGTGCTGGTACATTCTCTTCTGGTCCTAATTGCAGCTGCCCTTGGGCGGATTGGTTATTTTGTGAAAGATTTTGTTGAGGCTTGTCTTTATCTTGTGAAGCACCATGTCTAAAAGGGAAATTGGAATACAAACAATTATATATATAAATGTAAATAAGCAAATAAGTTTATGAGAAATTTTTGATTTATCAACTTACGGAGATTGATGTTGAATAGCATGTTCTTGCTGGTTAGTATTAAATTGTTGTGGAGATGACTGTTGAGATGATTGCTGTTTATTGATTGCTGGATGTGGATGAGCCTGATTCTGTGGGCTTTGGATAGATTGGCTTGATTGTGAGCCTTTAACTTCTTGTTGATGACGCTTTTCATGTTGTGAAGCTTTTTCTTGTTGTTGTTGTTGCTGCTGCTGTTGCTGTTGTTGAATTTGTTGTTGCTGTTGGATTTGTTGTTGTTGCTGTTGTTGATGATGCTGTTGCTGAGCTTGTTGATGTTGGTGTTGTCGTCGAGAGGATTCATGTAAATTACGAGGCTCATTTTTATCAGACCTGAAAGATAATAGTGAAACAAAAGTAAGAAACACAATTAGTAAATCATTTGGGAGGAAGTAAATAGAAAAAATCAGATTAAAAACACAAAAATAAGATGAACACATAATCAGGGGAGAGAGAGAGAGAAAGAGACCAACAAGATTACTTACTTATCCTCTGAATCTTTAGAATTAGAATAACTATTCGACTGCTTAGCATCTAAAGAAGAGCTTTTCCCTTGCTGCCCAGTTTTGTAACCTGACGCAGATGAAGAAGGAGAAATCTGCATGTGTGGAGGCTTAGGTGGCTCTCTAGGAAGTTCCCTGAAACCAAAGCTTAAATATCAGTTCAAAGATCTCAAATAAAAAATTTTCAAGTCGAGACAAGTTAATTTAGGACAAGGTTTGTTTTCGTAAATAATAATAAATGAAAGAGAGAGAGAAAGAGTTACTACATGCAGTTAAATATTACTATTTAAACCGGTTAAACTAGAATTAACATTCACTACATAGAGATAGTGGAAAACATTGTAATCTAAAAAAGTAAACAAATGATTAATTGTACATGCGAAAAGAATTAAAATAAATGGAACGAAACAAATGTGAAAAAGATGTAGGGTCAAATACAAGAGATAGGAAGAAAAGATAAGGAAAAATGTAACTACTACTAAAGTAGAAAGAGGGTGGGGATTGAGAGATTAGAATCTAATATCAAAACAGTTAAAAAGATAAACAAACCAACAGTTAACCAGTGTAAATACGTACGAGTAAGAGTGAGACTGATATTTTGAATGAACAGTCATAGGCGCTGATGATGGAGGACCATTGTTCTGTAAATTTTTACCCCGAGGTCCAATATTTTGACCAGTCATTGGTCCAGTAGGTTTACGGCGAGGCGGTTGTCGGTTATGTTGTGAAATAGAGGGAGGCTCAGGAATAGCTCGGATAACTGCGCTATATTTTTCTTCCTCATCATCGTTAACTTCTTTGGAAACACGATCTCTAGAGGTACCATCAGCCTCGACCTCTTGAGCTATCCTTTCAGCTTCTGCTTCAAGTTGTCGATACTCTTCAGTATCTTGAGGGTTCAAAGGCACACTAATAAGAGAGAGACAGAGAGAAAAAAGTTTAGAAATGTAAGATAATGTTGAGATTAGAGAGAGATTGTGAGAGTCAAAAAATTTGAAAAGATTAAAATACTTACGTGTACTGATGCAAATTATCATCATAGGTTGATTTAACGTTATATTTGTCTTTATTAAGCTTGAACATGTCGTCAGCAGTCCAGCCATTTTGATTAACCTTTTCAGGGCTAGCTTGTTCATCGATAGCAAGACTACCAAGTTCTTGGAGGTTCTCTTCTTGGGGACATTCCCAAGGAACCAGATCCTTGTTTTTATTCAAAGAAGAAGAGTCGAATCGACTAATCTCTGTGTCAGTAAAGTGGCCTAAAGATATAAAGTGAAAAAAAAAGAAGATTAAGTAAAGTTTCCATCGAAAGTTTTCAAGCCTAAAAAAGCTTAGAGAAAGGTCAAAATAGATTAAAGGTTTGAGAGAGTTTGAGATGTGACAAGTTTACCTTTAGCAGCATAGTCTAGGTCCACATTTAGTACGCTTAAGGTCACAATATCAGAAAATTTGAAAATCATAGTGTTATTCACTTGATTGCGAGCTTTTAGACTAGCTAAGAGGCCATTAAGATTCTGGCCTCCGACGACTGTTTTAGGATCAATGAGAGTGACCATATCAACTGCTAATTCAAACTGTAAAGGTAAAAAGAGAGAGAGAGAAAGATACGGTTAGAAAAAGCACATTGTAAACATTTAGAGTAACTTAAAAAAAAAGCATGTGTGAGTAGTGATGTGTATATATTTGTGTATCTATGTGCATGGAGAGTTGATTGAAAAAGCTTAGCATATATGATCCGTGAGAATTGTGATGATGGTAAAATAACCATGAGGTGGAAGATGAGTTAAACATTTGAGTAAGAGTTAGATGTCCCATACAGAGATACACACATATATATAAATGCATATACAGACACTCATATATAAATAATTGTTCAACTGTTATGAAATGAAAGCCTTACATCAGGTGAAAAACAGGTCAATACACCCTCATAAACGTTGCCATCTTTTGTAGTCAGTCTTACACAGGTGCCCATGAGGGAAGTAGTAGCATGCATAAGCCGAGCATTGAAATAAACACCCTCGACATTGGTAACACTTTTTTCACTTGGACCATTTTTAGATCGATAATTTCTGTTCATTGGAAAAGAATAAAGATAAGAGAAATGTTTTAAGATTGATGAGAAAAAGAGGTAACAAAATAAAGAGATAGAGATAGAGATTAAGAGAGGTAAATGTAAATAGGTCAAAAAGGAGAGTTTTTTCTCCAACAATCAAGATGAAGAGAGAGAGAGAGAGAAAAAGAGAGAAAATGCAAGAAGCAAACGGAACACAGTGTATAGATTTGTCAAATTTTCTGCTTTAAGAGATGATGGTCATGAAAAAAATGCTCTTTCACTAAGACCCAATTGTTTTTTCTTTACTTTTTTAAAATGACTAAAAAAGTTTCTATTTTCTTTAGAATAAAATTTTCATAAATTCAAGGCAAGAGATAAAACTCATGGAATAGAATAATTTTTCTGATGAGAATTTCATCAAGAATTAGAGGGAGAGAAAAATTCAGGAATGGGAAAAGAAGTACAGAAAATTTTATAAAGATAGAGAAAATAGTCATGAAAGAGGAAACTAATGAAAGAGAAAGTCGACAGGGAAATATAATCAAAGACAGAGATGAAAAGTAAGAGGGGAGAGTAAGGAAGAAAGAGAAAAGGATAAGACAAGAATAGAAAAAAAGGCAAAAGAGAAGATGAAGGCAGAAAGAGAGAAAAAGAAAGAGAAAAAATGATATTCGGCTTACCTTGTATTTGTATTAGAAACCGAATGGTTTGAGCTATTCATATTAACCGTATTGCTCATTGTTTGACGATTTCCTCTTTTATTGACAGAGGAGTTCATCATCATAAGAAACAATCAAATTAATTAAATTTTCCAATTTGAACAATTAAAATTAATTGTTTAATTTTAAGGTTACACTTTTTTTGAGAATGAAAAAAAACCAAAACCTTAAGAGAAAAGGTCTATATTCACCTCACGGTGATGATTTAACATTTTAACTACAGGGTATGTGCTGTAGCTCCTCCGTTGGAGGAAAGTTGCACCAGGCAACCTGAGGTGGGGTTTTTGAAAATGTTTACATTTATATTGTATATGGTATTTGTAATTTGTTTGAGTTTTTTCAGTTTAAGTTTGTCATGGGAATCGTTTGAGATGTAGAAGGTGGGAAGGTGAGAATCAATTGTTTTGTTACATTCGAATAGGTAATGGTGAAAGGGTTTACATTGTTTTCCAATTTTTCTTCTATTTGAGTTGTAAATTTGTATTGTTGTGTAGAGGTTGATGATTGTACGAATTAAATGACCATTGTCACAATGAAATTTATCAAGCTTGGGATAGGGTACAATTAGATTAATTAAATTTTCTGAGGAGTAAAATTTGTGGGTTATAATAGTTTGAATATGATTACAAATTTCTTTTTTGAATCTTTTCCATGAGTGATATTTGAGAGGTGGTGTTAGGGCATCTACTTCCGGTTCCAAAGGTTTTTCTATGTCCAATGTTGTCCACATGATTCTTTTATCGTGAGTGAAGATTATATTTGAGATTTCGGTCATTGTCGTGCTGTTGGGATGTTTAGATATTGTATCAGGTATATTGACGATGATCTTTTCGCGTGTGGTGTTGCTTATTATGTAGAGAGCGTTTAGCGTTAATTCATAGAAGGACATTTTTTCATCGAATTTATATTTCGTTATTTGGTTTCTGTTGTTGATACAAATCGTGTTTTGGTGGTAGAAGTGATAAGAGTAGAGTGGAAATATTGGGTTGTTGATTCGCGTCATTTCTTGGGGAATTAGCGGCTTGGTAGGTCTTTGGAAGTTGTTTAATATCGGCCAATCAATGGGGTCAGCATTATTGGTCATAAGAGCTGTTACACTATCAACGAACCAATTCAGAACAGGATTAGTAATATTACTTGTTGCAATTGTTAACCATTTAGTGATCATCGGATCATATCCATAGATTTGGTGTAAACAAGTGTTTATCGCTGATTGTAAGTTATTAGTTAATGAGATAATATCTTCATTTCGATAAAGATTACCAGGGCCAATTGCATAAAGGAGATTTGATGTTATTGCACTGACAAAGGTTCGTTTGATCGTTGCTGGTAGATATTTGATTATTTTTTGTGATTTGTATTTTCTGAGGTTTACAATGATTTTGTTCGTTATATAACTAATACTGTTTTTCGGGTTAATGAATTTTCCTGTCACAAAAGGATCACAATTTAAACTCAGCATCTTAGTCTTTTCCTCATTAATTTTGAGGTTTCCTTTAGCTAGAATATTTCTCACAATCTCAATCTTCTCATTTATCTCGTTCTTCCTCGTCACTATCGTCATATCGTCGGCAAATGCATAAATTTCAATTTTATGTTTTGTAATTTCTCTTATTAAACTATCTAAACCTATTATGAAATTTAAAGGGCCATTACTAGTTCCTTGAGCTGTTCCATCATTTTCTAATTTGTATATAAATTGAGTGCCATTGAAGTAAGATAACCATCTAAAGCTGAGGAGTTGTTTGATCATATCGACCGTACCTGGATCTAAAAATGGGTTGAGCTGCTTGAAGATCAACTGTTTGTCTATTGTATCGAAAGCTGTTTGAATGTCTAGCGCTACTAGTACGTTTTCTGGGTTTTGAATTTTCTCGGCTAATATAATGTGTAGATTTGTATTATTTACTCTTTTTCTGTTTGCGAATTGAGTTCCTGGTAGGAGAATCTCTTCTAATTTATTTTGAATTCTGTTTGTTAGTATAATGTCGAAGATTTTGAGGAAGAACGAGGCAATTCGAAGCGGTCTCATTTTACCGTTTGGTTTGGGGATAAGGGTAACACCGAAAATCTTGAAGGGCTGAGGTAGGTAGGCTATTTCGAAACAGTTTGTTATGAAGTTAATTAATGTTGGTTTGTTGACTAACCAGAATCTATTAAATTGTTTAATTGTAAAAGGATCAGCTGAGCCTGATGTTTTATTGAATTTTAGTTTATCAAGTTTCCTAATTTCTTCTTCACTAAGGGAACACTTTTGAGTTGGAGTAGTTTGACTGAAAAATGGTTTTTGAATATTAAAATTTCTAATAAAAGGGTCTATTTCAGTGGTTGTAAAATTGATGTTTTCTAGGCTCTTGTCTTTTTTAAATATTTTGTTTAGATGCTTCCAAATGAGTTTTGGATCATTAGTTTTATTAAAAAACGAATCTCTTTTGTTTAGACTGTTACTTCTAATTTCTATTTCTCTATTATTTAACTCTGATCTAAGTCTACTATCATTACAATTTCTGATTCTTTTTCTAATTCTATTTATCTTTCTATTGTGTTGTGATTTGATTGCTGTAATTTTCTTGAATTTTTTAGGAAAATTCATTAGTTTCAGTGCGTATTTATCAATTTCAGAGGGTAATTTGGGAAAAGTGTTAAACTGATTCGGTAATTTGTAGCATCTGATGAAGTAAATGGGAGGTGGTGGTGTTGTGGTGTAAAAATTGGGTTGAAGCTCAGTTGAGACGCTGAATTTCATGTGATCGAGAGTAATTCCTAGATAACTTACAAATGTATTTGGGATATTCGAAGCGATGATGTCGTTCCAACCAATTCCCACATTCGTTCTGCTCTTGAAGGTGAAGTTGTCTTTCGTTGGTTTGTTGATTATCTTGAGATCAAGTTTGTCGAGTAAATTAGCCAATAGTTTACCTCTCAACATTAATCGGTTCGTTTTAAAAGACCAATATGGGTGGTTGCAATTCACATCACCAATAAGAATCATTGGAAGTGATTGAAATCTTGACATGAGCGTTTCCAATGCATTTACACTGATTAGAGTGTCATCTATGGTTCTCATGTACACAGCAAAAATAAGGATTTGATTCTTTCTCTTGTCCTCTATGAGACAACCTGTAAGATTTTTGTTAAGGGTGGAGAGGTGGTTACATTTTAAGTCAGAGGAGAGCATAATTAAAACTTGATCATTTATAATAAATTTGTTGTGTGAGTTTCTTTTGAGGGTTAATTTTTTGTTTTGTTCAATTAAAATTGTAATGTTGGATATCGAAGAGAGATGATCATTGATGAGATTGTTTGTTAGCTGAATGTTTTTGCCAACATTGTTATATGTTAAGCTCACTGTGGGCATTATGATAAAGCATGAAACCAGGAGGTAAAAGTACTGATCGGTAGACGTAAGATTGATTGTTGGTGAGGTCAATAAGCTGTTGTTTCAATTTTGGACAGTCTCTTGAGTTAAAGAGATGATTAGATTGGGGGCCACAATTGATGCATCGAGGTGGGTAATCACAAATTGAATGACCATTGGATGAGCACTTTAAACACTTTTTGTTACCTGTACAATTGGGTGTCCAATGGTATATGCTTCCACAGCGGGTACAGAAATTAAAACCAATGTCGTCCCAGTAATGAACAAATTTGTTACAAATTTTGATTTTATTACCTTTAGATATAATTGTATCTCTATTTTCTCCGCTGAGATTTAATTGAAAGGTGATATGGTCGCCGAATTTTTTGACACTGGTTACACGGGTGAGTTCATCATTCTTTAGATCGTTTTCATGTATAAGATGTTTGGTTAAACTGGAGTAGTTAATTTTAACTAATTTAAGTTTAACTGTAAATTTAATTTTAATTTCTCTGTTGATTGGACTTCTGGTTATCCATAGTGGTCGTTCACTGGCTAATTTTAGTTTAAAGTGGTTGAGATAAGCGACACTGGTAAAGTAAATGATGATACTATTACGTTTTTTAATTAGAAATGAAGTGTTCTTTTTAACATTTATGAAATTGTTATGTATGTAGTCGAGTACAAGTTGGTGGGTTAACTTTTTGGGAACAAGAATTTTTATATAAAATTCATTTTTGTGACTAATATTGATGAGGTTAAGTGGTTGATTCATTGTGGTTATTGAGGGTGATTATTTGAACCAGTTATGATACTGTGAGGGTGAGAAAATATCTTGAGTGAGTGAGAGTTAAGTTCGTTAGTGGGTTTTGTTAATTAGTGAGTGAGTGTTGAGGTGATTGGATTAGTTAAGTTAACATGTGAGTGTTAATGGGAGAGAAGTAATTATGATGATGTTAATTGTAAGGGAGAAGTAATTATGATGATGTTAATTGTAAGGGAAAAGTAATTATGATGATGTTAATTGTAAGGGAGAAGAAAATGATTATAATGTAAAGTGTAATATGAGTACTCGATAATTGAAAGAAGATGTAAAAGTAATTAAAAGGTTAAAGGGAAAGTTAGGTTGAAATTTGAGTGGTTTAAATGTTGAAGGAGAAATAATAATTAGTTGTAGAGTGAAAAGATGATTATGATTATGCCATTATCCATGTATAATTGTAGTTTCTTTTTTCAATTTCATTTTTCAATCGATTTTGGAAAACAGGGCAATTAACATCCCAGGCTGAGTGTCCAAATTTGTTACAATTTGGGCATTTCCAATTCGAAGGTTGGTTAATTATTGGACAACTTTGATTAAGATGCGTTTCACCATCATAGGGACATTTGGTAAGTTTGTTACAACGACCAGCAGAGTGACCAAAGTTAGTGCATTTTCGACATAGCATAATGTTAAAATAGTCTTTAACTTGAACCATTTGAATGCCAACAAAAATTTGGCCAAATCTTTTTTCAATTACTTCTCTGAGTGCGGGGCAAATTTCCATGAAAATGTTACGATTGTTACCAACGGCACGAGTGTGATGTAGTATTTTTATCTCATAGTTCTTTTTTTCCAATCTATTCTTAGCAATGAATTTGTCTATCCAGTTTTGCATATTATTCTCATCAAACTTAACATTTGGAATGACAATTTGTGGATTAACAATATGAGGAATTTCAATTTTCCACTGGGGCTTATGATGAGAGAGGTAGTTGAATAATTTTGTTCGATCGGGTACCTCAAGGCATTTAATTTTAGCAACTTCACGGCCAGTTTCGATGTTAATAATTCTTCCGATGTCATCTTCGGTGTTTTCAAGGAAATTAGTAACTAGATCAGTGACTTGTTGTCCGATTGTGAGGTCTCTTTTGTTCTTGATGTTGGGGATACGAACTAAGATAGTTGGTCTGATCTCAATATGATCTACTTTGTACCAAGAGGAAGGATAAGTTTTGACTCTGTTATATTCAAGGCTGAGCGTAGTTTTAAGTTGAATTGGTGTCATTTCATCTAATTTAATTTCTCTGGGTGTCGCTACAAGTTTGAGTTGTTCATCTTCTTTATGTTTTTTCATCATTGATAAAAAGGTATCCATTCGTTTAATTTCCTCTGGTGTAGCTTTTGATGTCCATTCGGAGTCTTTTATCATCAAATTGAGATATCTCAGAATGGGATAATTGTCTAACTTGCTTAAAAGTATCTCTTTATCTTCATCATTTATGGGGTAAATGATTTGATCCATAAAACATTTAAGAGTAGCAATTGCTTGTGGTGGTGATGTTTTGATGTCATTCTGAGTTATGATGAAAAAATGTTAATAAGGAGAATTTAGTATTAATGTATTTTTGTTTTAAATGGTTATTTAAATGAGTATTTTAAATGAGTATTTTAAATGAGTATTTTAAATGAGTATTTTAAATGAGTATTTTAACTGAGTATTTTAAATGAGTTTCCTAATAGAAAACGGATATAGTTCAACGGAAACAAAATGGCGTTTTAAAGCTCAAATTTTAACATATAAACTCACCAGAATATTAAGAGGTTCAGTATCAGGGATTGAGTTGTTCATTTTTCACAGGTGAGGTATCGCTGGGTAGCTCACGGTAAGGGGAACGTTATTAGACACAAAGATAAAGTATTTTCACAATAAATTCAGTATAAATTCATGAAAAATTCAGGACAGAATTTTTATCACGCACAAAGGAAAAAGGTTACCCCAACATCGGCGACATCTGGAGGGTTAAGTTTACATAAATTCTACAAACTTTTTATTTTACTCGATAGATGGCAGCGCATTTCGAATTTAATTGTTACAATTTAATCGCAATTAACTGATTATTTTAATTTGTGTATAACTTATTATCTCAATGTCAAAGGTATAATGATGGGTTAGAGGGAGAATCTAATTAATCTGATTGTCTTTTTGTTGGTAAATTGAAGTTACTTTTATGTTCCCTTTCCTAATCCTTGAAGTTGACCAATTAATTTAATTTAATTGTTGTAATAAGATGATAATGATTATTGATTTATCGAATTATTGAAAATTAGATTAACAAAGTTTCACTTTATTATCAGATAATAATGATCGTTTTTTAGTAGTAACCAATTGCGTTGAATGTTAAAAACAATTCATCGTTAATCTGATTTGATTAACAAGTTTAAGTTTAGATTTGATAATCAACAATTTAGCTAAATTATTGGCATAAATTAGATGTAATTTATATCTGGGGATTAAGATTATGATTGCGATTGTCTTTTTTTCATCATCATCATCCTATTACAATCACATTTGGATGGACAATTTAAATGATAATTAAGCTTTTTTCATCTCTTTTAAATGTCGATTCAATTTAGATTCAGTTTGCAATTGTAAATTGAAAGCTTCAGTTGATTTATTAAATTAAATTTATTTTATCATTTTAATTTTGTGCTTAAAGTGTGTTGTTATAATTACTATTTTCCCAATTAATCTGATTACAGTTAAAATCATGGAAAACAAAGACAATTATGATCAATGGAGACCAAATCAAGATTCAAGTGGAGATTCAAATTCAAATGAATCAGCTAATTGTCCAGTTAATCCGAATCAAGTAAATGATCCAAATTCTGATCAACCAGTTAATCCTCAAGTAAATCGTTCAAGGAGCAATCGAAACAGACGAAGTAATCAAGGTAATCAAGGTAATCCAATTGCTGAGGTTCCAATTTATGTTAAACGAGTTCATATTATGGGTCAACCATTAAATCAATCCATGGAAAGTTCAACTAATCTTGATTTCAATGTAAATCAGAGTAACAATTTAAATGTTAATCAAAACGCAAGTCAATCATCTGGTAATAAACAGCAATCAAGCACTGGAATGGTTGTCAGAAATTTAAAACGTCGAGCCAAAGATAAAGAATCCGGTCAATCATCATCATCATCATCTTCATCATCTCAACCTCAGCAGTTTCATCAGCAACAATTACAATCAGTTAATCAACCTCTCCAACAACAGTTTTCACATCTACCACCTCAACCTCAACCTCCATCACAATTTATACCCCAATGTGAGCCTCAGCCACAATTTCAACAACAAGAATTGCTTAAATCATTATTAGAAAATCAATTTCCGCAACAATTTGAACCTCAAATGATTGAACAACAACAAGTTCAACCTCAACTTGATCCACAATTTCAGGGTCAATTTTTTCAACAGCAAATTGAAGCCCAACAGTTACAACAACAATTTCCTCCCCAAGAACCACAAATTTCACCCAATAGATTGGCTTATCTTGAGGAACAGTATCAACGCCAACGAATGACAATGGAGATACAAAGACAACATTGTATGGCCGCACTTGAAGCGCAACAAGAAGCAAACAATAGTCGAGGTCATGTTGAAGTTAGACCGGAACACGAGACAATATCGACGGCATCTTCCATAATCGAGCAACCACCACAAGCACTTCCACCACCACCACCATATCCAACGAATCGAATGAATCAACAAACTTATGATGAATTCTCGACTCAACCAAAACGTAGGCCATTAGCAAATCAATCGTTTAATCAACAACAACAATCTAATTGTTTCCGTACTCCTGGTGCACCACCAAGACCCAGTCCTCCGGTACCTCCTTCGATCAGGTCAACTTATATGCCATTTGTTGTTCCTCCAGTTCGTCGTCGTCGTCGTCGATCAGGAGAGTTTGAACTGCCAATGACCATCCAACAACCCCCACGATATTGGCGTCCATCTTTTCAGCAAAGACCGCGATTCGCACCAAACCAACAAGAGAACCAACAACGACCCCAACAACCCCAACAACAACCTCAACGACAATTCCATGAACATAACCTTTCACCTCAAGAACAACAGCAAATTTACATACCTCGTGAACCACCTTACGTTATAAGAAGAAATCCCCAAGGTCAATCAGGTCAAGGAAATATGGGTCAATCACAAAATAACAACAATCAACGGGTTCTAACTGATGAATTGAATAAATTAATTGACGATCCTGGACAGAGACAAATGGTCAGTCAACTTTATCGTCGCTACTCAGCTCCAATTGAAAGACAAACTACCGATGAACCTTTGGACTTATCGAGAAGCGGTCAACCAATTGAACTATCGACAAGTCCATTGGTTATGCCACGAGATGAATCACCATCTGATGGTCAAGGAGGTGGAGGAGGAATAGATCCCGTTAACCTTTCAACCTCAAGTCAAGACTCACACATTGTTGACCTTTCCAACAGTTCGCAATCAAGTGATAAATCAATACGAGTTAATGGTCAATCAAATGGCAATTCATCAATTGCCCAATCGAATGCAAATTTATCAATAGGTCAACCCAATGCTAATCTATCTATTGGTCAACCAATTAATACCTCAAATAATCAAATGTTTGATGTAGCACGTGCTAATAATGCTGATGAAATCCTTAGTGATGAATCATCATCCTCATCAATGTCCATCCCTGACTCAGCCTCTTCATCACCATCAAAATTGGTCAACTAATTGTCTTAACAATTTAATTTGAAACATTTTTATCTACTCTTTCATTACTACTGATCATTGATCTCTTAATTTTTTTCCCATTCACAATTCAAATGGTTTTAATCTAAAAACAATCAAATTTAATCACTATGATCAATTAAAACATTTTTCCAATTGAAAAACTTTGAAAATTTTTATCCTTTTAATTTGATTTGATTTTCCATCCATAGGGAAACAAATCAACTTGGCATCAGATTTAATTTTTTTGTTTATCATCCAATGATACAAGTTTTCAAGATCATGATGATGATGATGATGATGATGAAGATGATGAAGATGAGGATGAAGATAATGATGAAGAAGATGATAAAAAAATACCCTTGAAAAAGTAAGAAAAGATTCCCAATGTTTTGGTGACAAGTCTTGAATCCATTTTGTTTGATTACTGAATTTTTAAATTGTTTCCATTTTGATCATTTAAATTAATCAGTTAATTGTTATCTAATCAACGATAATACTTAATAACTTATCAGTTTATTATCACAAGTGATTGATTTGTTTTCATCTAAGTTTTTTGTTTCCATTTGATTGTAACACCATTCGTGTTTACATCCATAAGATTTAGTTGATTTGTAACTAAATTAACTAATTGTTTCACATGGATAACCTATTACAATGTGCGATACCTTATTCAATTATAGCACTTAACGGGATCGTATTCTGGTTAATTCGTAAATTGTTGTCGCCGATTTTACCTCGTAAAGTTGCCCTTCTGGTGTGGGAAATAATTGCAACTATTGAATTATGTTCTGGTTGCGCTGAGTTGGGTAAGTTGATTGTTAATTGTTGCCGCAAATCGTTGATTAATTGTGAATAAATTACAAACAAAGGTGTTATCTGGACACGACATGGTAATATTGGACTTGCCATTGCGCTATTTTTGGCCTCACTTTGGTGGTTAAATGTGTTCGGAGACGCTGAAGCTTGTCCTTGTGGTCCCATTGAAGACGCAATTTTATTGCGTCAACCAATTACTCAGCCAGCAATTTATTTACGTTTAATTGGTCAAGCAATTGGTGCTTATTGTACAGCAATGTGAGTGTCAACTGTAAACCATAATCACTTTTGGTTAATTGAAGTAACAATCTTGTTATATTTAACTTTGATTTGTCAATCCCCACAATTTAAAAACGTTACAGATTATTTTAAGTAACATTATCTTTGCCAAGTCTTTGAAAGTTTATAAGGTTTTCATTTTCAATTCATCTCGTTGATTGTTGGCATTGATTGTAATTAACATCATTTAGTTTAAATATTATCACAGTTAAACTTGTTCTCTCTTCAATAATGATAATACAATTTACCACAATTGCATTGAGCAATTTAAAGCCAATCAATTGTGTTTTCCATAAATTTTGTATTAACTATCTAATCTTCCAAAATTTACTCTATATTAATAACAATTAATTAATTATCTTCAGGTACACTGATTTAATTTGGCGCTTCCATTTAACTCCCGAACACACTGAATTACATACACAACGATGTCAGGCCGCTTTACAAACATCCGTATTGAAAGGTTTCCTTGTTGAGATGTTAATTACTTTCGTTAGTCGAATGGTTTGTTTGGAATCATTTAAACTAAATCAACGACTCGCTAATTATATTAACGCAATGGTGACCGTTACATTGGTTCTTGCAGGTAATATTACAAGTCGAAAGCGTTAATTGTTACTCGTCTTAATTGATTGTTTTTCTTTCTTCTTTCACTGATTTAGCTCTTGATACTTCTGGTGGTTTCTTTAATCCCATTCTGGCTTCTGCTTTAACCTTTAATTGTCAGGGTAATGATTTTGTTGAATTTTTCCTCGTCTATTGGATCGGTTCACTTGTTGGAGGTTTAATTGCAAGGTAAATTGTGGAAATTAAATTGTTTCTCTCCATTATATTGATTAACTTTCCATTTTCTCCAATTACATTTATCCCAATAGGAAAATCCATTTGATGAGCAGTCAAAAACGGAAGATGAAAAGTTCCTAATTAATGAAACAATTAAATAATTAATCTCCAGTTAAAATACTCATTAAACCAAAGAGATACATTTGTATTGATAATCAAACACACTGACAATTAAACAATTGTGTTGAAAATTAATTTTGAGCCAATAAATTTATTATCGGACACAAATTGATGAGCAGATTGTTTTTTTTTTGGTTGAAAATAGATTTACATTTGAGTAATTATAAATAACTTGATAAATTGTTAATTCATCAAAGTAATAATAATAAGAAAAGATCAAATTATGTTAACACCTTTGAAGGGAAGGGCAAGTTAAATGATTGATTTAAATTTGAATAAAGATCATTATGAAAAATAAGTGTGAGAGAGAGAGAACGAGATGATATTAATTGGCGACTCGGGCTGGTGTTCGTGGACTTGATTGTAATTGTGAATATAAAGTCTGGTCACGAGGCGAGGCAATTGAATGACGGGATACTCTTGATGAATTTAGATTACTTCTAGCACTGGACGGTGAAGATAAACAGAAACTTGTTAATCGACGAGGTGTCCCGTTTTTAATGACACTTTGATTGGGTTTAAAGTTATCATATTGTAAGGGTATGTAGCTAATGGTTCCACTTGACCAACAGACGGTCAATAGTGACCCATGCTTGTAGTAATCATGGAAAGCGATGAGAGTTGGCTTTTCACCTTTAGAACCATGGATAAAACCGATTGGTGTCAATTCAAGAAGAGATTTACTCCAAGTTTTATAAAGGGCTAAATATTCTGGATTATCTTTGAATGAGATGACTAGACGTTGACCATTTGAATCCCAAATCATATCATGAATACGACCACCAACTTTTACACCATTGGGAAGAATCGTTTCGGAAACATTGAGAACCTCTTGGCATTCTTTAACATATCCACCGACATCATTTGCAGTCGCTTTATCGTAAAAGGCTAAGGCATAGACAATTGGATCTTTTTTATTAGCAATCAGGAGGAATGTACCATCCGGTTGAGACCAGCAAGCACATTGGATTGGACTTCGACTGTCAATGGACCATTTTTTATTAGACCAAGCAATTGATTCAAAAATTTTAATATAATTTGAGGTTGTCAGGGTTAAAAGACGCAGTGAATCGGGAGACCAAAGTAATCGGGTGAAACATGTTGGAAAACTACGAATCACTTGAATTTCATCAGCTCCATCAGGACCTTTTTTAAGGATAAAAAGTTTAGTTGATTGAGGTGAGCAAATGGCAAGCATTTGACCGGTACTATCAAAGGCAATGCTTGTTATCGCATTGGGTAAACCATTTTTGTAAAGTTGAACACAATTTGTTAACTGGGTTTTTTTCAATTCAACTTGATCCAAATCCCAAATGAGTAAACAATTATGACAAGCAACAGCTAGAATATTTGATGAATCAGGTTTCCAGGCAAGGTGAGATAATTTCTTTTGGTGTGGATGTTTAATGAGAAGTGATGTTTTCCTTAAGGATGAGTAAATGTAGATATCATTATTAGAAAGACCAATGGCAGAGACCATTTTTTTAGGATGCCAGGCAAATGAGATAAATAAATCCTTTGATCCAAGGTAATGGCAAAATTCATCACATAAAGCATCATCTGAATGCTAAAGAAAGGATAAGAAAAGCAAGAGTAAAAACCAAAAATTAGAGAAACAGCAAATTAACCCAGCAAACAGTTTAAAGAATATAAAAAACACTTATAATATTACCTTAGCATAAGGAAAATAGTAAAGATAAATTTGTAAGAATAATCTGTATAAGTAAAGAAATGTGAAAGCTAAACTTTTAGCTATGTTTCTACCAACATTGGGTAGAATGGGTTCAACATTAGGTAAAGTTGTGATATAATTTAAAGATGAAACGGTTCCTTCATCTACCCATAATTGATAACATTTTTTCCATTCACCTGTAGGCTCTTCAACAAAATAGTCTTTAGCTCTAAAAGAAGATTTAATCGGTTTAATGATGGGCTTTTTATCAATATCAATTGTAGGATATTCCACACCCTAAGAAAATCCAAATGAAACCAAATAATATAGATGCAAAGAGCAAAGTACCACCAATCAAGATAGAAGAAAGTGAACAACATAAAAGGATTAAGAAGAAGAGAAGAAAAATATATTAATAAAATGAATAGAAAACAAAAACAATCGAAAAGAAAAAAAATTCTTACCTCATTAGTAACAATAGTCGGATCAGAATTACCTTCCTCTAAGTGACCATCATATTCCCTGACAGTCCTCCGACCGGTGCCGGTTTCAATGTAAGGAAATTTATCAAACTCAGTCATTGGTAATTAAGAATATTAAATAAATTCAAATCATTCAATTTTCAAGGGAAAAACAAAACGGTTAACAATTAGAAATTGAAAGAAAACAATTAAAATGCAACGATGAATTTTTTTTCTCTCTTCATCTGTTCAATGTGGTTAAGGCGCGAATCCAAATGTCTCAGCCAATCAGAGATCGAGGAAAAATCGATGTATCGATGATCGAACATCGAAAAAAAAGTTAATTCTCTTTAACAATTAACCTGAAACCAGAAAAAGAGTTAATTTGATTGAATTTAATTAACTCTTTGTTATTTTTTATCTTTCATTTAATTTTGATCTTTTTCGAGACAATTAGAGTAACAATTTAGATCTAGGATTTGGTTTTCTCTCGGTGGATTTAAATGTAAGTTTGGAATTTGGAAAGTCTTATGTTTCGTTTGTAGGCTAAAAGGTAAGAGTGTTTTTATTTTCTATTTAATAAATTGAATTGTTACTTTTTGTGCAATTAAAGCTAATTGTTTGGTTTATTTTTCTCTTTTCAGAAGCTTAATTGTGTCTTGATTACTTTGCTTGAAAGTCGAAGTTTTTTTTGGTTGATTAGTGAATTTATTTATCCATTTTTTTGCCTTGGTAATTGGAGATTGATTGATAAGCTCATTTTCTTACATGGACAAAATGGTTAAGAGAATTTTCGGTTTTTCTTTTCTATTCTCTTCTGTTTCTTCTGCTTCTTACTTTTTTTTATTCTTCTTCATTTTAATACAGTTTGTTTTCTTTTTTTCTCCTTCTAGTTTTATCTATCAAATATTCTTCCTCATATTCCCTTTGGTTGCCTTGGAGATATTTACCTTTTTCTACATGGAAGAATATTTTTTGCTCTTGCTGTTACAGTTTGAAGAGTGAACATCAACCTTACATCAGTACATGCTCATAAAACACAAGAAAAAGCGTGACCAGCATTTCCTCTTCCTTTTTCATGTGAGAACAGTTAAATTTATTATGTGTTAATATTTAATCTACTTTACTTTAAGTGATACGATTAATATTAGTAATTGAATCAACCTAAACAAATTCATCTCTAATTAATTCATCTCTAATCATCTATACCTTAACATTATGAATAACAAATCAATCAACCCAAGGAAGAAGAACAATCAACAAAACGAAGTGAGTAAATTATTAATATTAAATAATAATAAGACTGAAACTCTACCATGAGTTAACAAATTATCAAACTGACTCTAATGAGAAAATTTATCAAACTTTCCCAGAAAACTAAACCTGATGAAAAATGGATTATTTTCTGGACAACAATTAAGGGAATTAAAAATATCCCAGAACATTATAAAAAACTGAATTTTGAACAACAAACTGAATTTAAAGAAAATTTATCAACCCTAATCAATAACAACGATCTAAGGAAAAGTCTATCTATTGGAGACACAAGACTTAAAAATATAAAAATCATGGAAAATGAAATCAATCAAATCAATCTCGACCCCATCAATTGGAACAAATCAACCAATGATCAAACCAATTGGCTACAAAGCTCAACAGATAATATTAATATTAATAATAATATTGACAACCAACTCAACCAAATCCAGACAAATGATTTATACAATCCAATAATCAATAATGATGAAATTAACATTGAACAAATCACCATTGAGGAATATTTACTAAATAATCAACAAATCGACAACAATGTAAATTTATCGACAATCCAAGAAAATCCAACTACTGACGATAATCAATCAGATCAACATTATCTACCTGATTTCCTAGAAATTGCAGATCAATTAACAAATGGTGAACTAGTAATAACCCAACCGATGAAAAAAAGGAAAAATGATGAATTAGTATTTAATAATAATATTAAGAAACAAAAAACAGTCAATGATAAATGGATAAAATGGAACAATAAAATGATGGATCCAACGGTATTTATCAATCATAAAGAAATCAATGGTGAAAAACTGATGGAAGAAATTAAACAATTACGAAAAGATGGACAAATTAGCTTCCAATTATTCAAAGGAATCTATCAGCATGGTAATGGAATAAAAATAATTTGTTTCAATGAAACAGATCTACAAACAAATATCCAACAAATACAAAACCACTTCCCCAAGATTATTATTGATATCAAAAAGCCGAAATCGCCAAAAATCAAAATGTTCAACTTTCCATCAACAATCAACAATGAAGATTATATTCTAGATGAAATAATCAAATATAACAAAGATATGACCAAGGATAACACAAAAATTATTAATATTAATAATTATGGTAAACGGATGGATATTACATTACAAATATCACCGGGAATCAGATCAAACATTCAAGAAAACAATGGTTATGTAAATTTGGCGACAAAGTCGATGAAGGTAATTGATCACTTTGATTTAATCTTATGCCATCGATGTTTATCAATAAATAAACACAAAACTGGTAAATGTAATAATCAACACATTTGCAAAATTTGTGCTGGATACCACAAGGTGTGTTCAAGAGAAGATAAAATAATCAAATGTGGTACCTGTGGTAAACATGGGCACAAACCTTTCACGTTTGAATGTGAAGAATACTCTAAAAAAGTACAAATTGAAACAAATAAGACAAATTATAATTACGAATTCATCATGATTTAATTCTTCTCTTCTTTTTCAAAAATTCAATTACAAAAAACTTTCCGCTAAAATCAAAATGATCTCAAATAATAATAATAATAATTATACATTTACTCTCTACCACTCAGTTAATTCAATCTCAAAATTATCTATTCATTCAAATCAATTTCCAATTTTTGTCTTCCACTCTGTTAAATTCAATTACAAATTTCTTTTCTCTGAACAAAATTAACTAATAATAATAATAATAAAGATAATAAATGAAAAAATCAACAACTCGCTTACCACTCTGAAAATTCAATCACAGGTAAAACAAATCTAATAAACAAAACCGACATCACGTCCACCTTGAAAAAACCAACTCGACCAAAAATTCCAACATAAGAAAACTCTTCCGATAGATCAGGAAAACAATTATTGATTTTACTCTTCATTGGTAACCTCTGGATATTTCTTCGTATCACGAGGATAAGTTCCAAGAACAGAAATACACAAATCCATCCTTGGATCACCATAATGAGCACGTTTATCAATCAATGTGATATCAGCGGAACGATTGATAAAATCAATAAAACCTCTTAAAGTCGAAAATTGACTCAAAACAACATGGCGAAAGCTAATCAAATCAATAGCATTCGGATCAAAGTTTCCAGCCGAAGCAATTCTTTGGAAAACATCCGAAACAGTAGCATCCAAGGGAAATTCCAGATCAGCGTTTCCGCGACCTTGAGCACGAATACGAATACTAATATTATTATTAATAATAAAACTACCGGATCCAATTCCATTAACGGAAACACCACGAAATTGCGAATTATACGAAACATTTTTTACTGCAGAATAATTAGCCAAATTAGTAGCAACACTACTAATATTATTAACCCGAGCCGCCGAATGAACCATTGGGACACCAACTTGACACTTTGATCGATGAGCCAAAAATGAATAAACATCAAAATGTCCAGTACAATTCTTACACTCGACAATCACCTTGGAATAAATAACCATGTCGATCAAACCAGGTTCAGTGAAATATGGCTGACGAAAATCGATTGAACAATTCTCAATGGGACAATCAATAAATCCATATGGTTTGGAAACTGGTACACTTTTCGGGTCCTTTTTATTTTTTCGAATAATTTTTCCACTAAATTGACTCTGATTCACATAAATCGGATTCTTAACAACTGATGCAATACAAACAGAGCAGAAAAGACGCTGACAGAAAGGCTGAGAGTTTCCACCATTATGGCTCAAGGGACTAATTGCCAATCCACCACAAATACCACAAGAAAGTAAATCAAGATAATCAACCCCCGAACATTGATCCAAAGGAATTGACATGATTGAAAATGAGAAAGAAAAGTAAACAATTAATAATAATAATAATAAAATAAACACGAAAAGAACGAGAAACAACTGTAGAGAATAAACTAGAAAAAAGAATAGAACAAAAAACAAATTCTCTTCTATTTAGTTAAAAGCGAAATACATAGATGGCGACACATATTATTCTTATTATTGTTAGATTAAATTGTATAAAAGCAAATCAAATTACGATTTATATCACCATTTAAATCACAATGTTCACCTGGTTAAATTCAGCAATTAATAATACATTTATATCATCTTCAAATTACATTGAGTGCCTTAAAGTCATCAATCATCTACAAAATAATTCAAGTGAAAGTGAATTAGTTAATCTTAAAATTAAACTAAGTAATTGGACTCACGTCCTCAACCTCATCACCAACAACTGGATTAAAAATCCAAATTTAATTCAACAAGAAAGTGAAAAGTGCAAACAAATTATTAATATTATTAATAATATCAAAGTTGATTGTGAAAATCCGAAGATAGAAAGTGATAAACAAATCGTGATCGCATTTAAATTACTATCATCAAATATCATCATAGACAAATTGGTACCAGAAGAGTTTATAATTAAGACAACCGGTTTCAGTAGTAACAGGAAACAAATTCACCTTACCGATAAAACCCCGATTAGTACTTTGGAGAAACTCATATCTATTAGAGAACCTGATATTGAGTTCATCATCATTGGTTGGAGGATTTATTCAGCAAAGGTGAATGAACATCAAATTGAATATCTTAAACAGATATTAACAAATCTCAATCAAAAAGAAATCATCTTTCAAGTTAAAAAACTGACCACCCAATTATTATTATTAATAATATCAAATTGTGATCTATTCCATCGAAATCTTCAACAGAAAAAGTGGACAATTAAGTCAAACAATCTAACAACGACATTTAAAGTTCGACCATCATACAGAAAATGTCAACTTTGCGAGCATATTCATACAGGCCATCATATAAACTGTTCACAATCATATCATTCAATGTAAATAAATCAAGGAAACTCACCCAACAAATGATTCAATTCACCAAAACTCATACATCAACAATCACATGTATAACCGAACCAAATTCATGCTGGATTGGTCAAAATAATCTTGATAATATTATTATTAATAATAGAGTATTAATTTGCTTCTCATCCAATATTTCAATCAACCAAATTGAAACAAAATTAAGTGACATGGTAATAATTGATGCATCGACTGAAAACAAATATCAACTAAGAGTAATTGGGGTTTACATGGCTCAATTATTTACTCACAACCAGGAAAAAGGTAGAAGCAACTGGGGTCAAATTAATCAATTCATCTTGAAAGAACCAACAGTTATCACCGGGGATTTCAACTTTAAACACAAACTATGGACACCGGAACCTCATTACAATAATAATATTATTATTAATAATGATCTAAGTGATCTAAAGTCAACAATTGCACCATCAGTGGATCAACCAACCTTTGAAAGAACAATAATTGGGAAAACAAGTAAATCATGGATAGATGCGATTCTGGTAAATAATTCAATCACTAATTATCATGGAAAGATAATTAATCGTCATACCAATGATCATCACCTACTAATTGCCACAGTATTTGTCGAATCCACACGAATAAATCAAAAAAGAGTATTAATAATAAACTCATGGAAAATTAATAAAGAAAATCCAGAAATTGGCCGAAGATGTAAAGAAATAATTAATTTTCCCAATAAACATGGTACATGGATCAAGGTAAATTGGACTACTAAAAGGAAAGCAAAGAAAATCTCAATTGACTACAAAAGAATCATTGGAAACCCAAAAAAGATCTGGTCAGTAATTAATAATAAATTAATAACACCAAAACAATCAATGCTTCAAAATAGTGACCCAAAAACGCTTAACCAATATCGTGAATCAATCAACCAACAACTAAACGAATTCACATCGAATAAACCAATCCATAAAGATCCAATATCAAAAGGAAATTATCCAAAATTAAAAGAAAAAGAAAAAGAGGAAATAATTCATTTCGTGAAGAAAATGAAGAAATCGAGTTTAGATGCTGACGATTTCAACTCAACATCATTTAAAAAGTTCTTTATTAATAATAAAGAAAAAATATTATTATTAATAGACGAGATAATAACTAATGGATGGATACCAAGTTGTGCGAAAATCATGGGAATTGGAATGGTCAAGAAATCTGATGGAAAATCTGTTCGCTTCGTCAAAACACCAAATTATCTACTTAAAATAATAGATAAAATAATATCGGAAAAAGTCCAAATATTATTACCGAAACTGATATCATCTGATCTTCAATATGCATATCAACGATTTACAACTCGACAAAACTTCTTCTTGGACATAATCAAAGAAATTGTGATCAACCCAACAAATAAAATAATATTAAGTCTGGACATGAGCAAAGCCTTTGATGAGGTGAATCCAACAACCGCAATCAAGAAAATATATCAACTTGATCAACAATTAGGATCACTAATCGAATCTTTCTGTAAAGAATATTGGCTCCGAGTAAACTGGAACAGGAAAATATTATACAAAAAGGAATCAAATTCAGTCCCTCAAGGCTCATCATCAGGACCATTAATATTCATCGTCGCATTAGATGAAGCTCTTAATAATATTAATAAGTCTAATATTAATATTAAAGCTTTCGCAGATGATATCTGCATAATCACGGAGAAAAAAGAAATGAAAAAAGTTATTAACATAACGAAAAACGAAATGAAGAAAATCAATCTGAAATTAAACGAAAAGAAAACGGAAGTATGGCCAACATCGAAACAAATGAAAATAGTTGGAATCAGTATTAATATTCCATTTAGAACTCACATTCTAAACAAGCAACTATTACTAATAATCAACGAGATTAACGAAATCTTCAAGAGATCAAAACAAATCATCAAATTTTTACCAATTCAAATTCGAAAAATTATTATTAATAATATTGTTCTTCCTAAATTCTACAAAATTGGCTTTGGTTGGTGCTTAGATAATGATCTGACAAAAATGATCAACGAAATTCAAAAGAAAATTCACCAAATCCTGATGAATCTAATAGGAATTAAAGGAGCAGGGAGATGGAAAATGAAAACACTGTTTAATCTGAGAACAGTCACGGAAACAATATTGAACGATCTATTCATATGGATTAAAGAACATGATGAAAAATTATTCATTAGTAAATTCAATCTTCCAACGGAAAAAATCTTACAAGGAGTCAATCTAAATCAAATAACAACAATACAAAACAAAGAAATAATCAACTGCAAATGTGACATCATTATCAACTATCAATGTATTAATAACATCATCCTCATCAAAATCAAAACAAACTCATGGGAATTTGAATTCAATCACCTCAAAGAACAATGGACATCATCACAAATCAAAATCTCAAAAATAATAATATTATTACTTATAAATAGAGGATATAAACATATAACAATTCCTGAGATACCAATTAATGGGAAAACAAACTCATCAAAAGATATTCTCTCAATAATTAATAATAATATTAATATTGAAAACTCAACTTTCTGCAGGAAAAAATGGATTAAAACAAAACTTGACAACAATCGTAGACAAATAATAACAACAACTTGGATTACAAGGAACCAATTAAAGGAGAAAATAACAAACAAAATCAATAACATCATCAAAGAATCAAAAGCAAAATTAACATCGATAAACTCAATACTTTACCCACAAAGTAATTACCTGATTCAACGAGGAACTCAATTAAATAAGGATTTCAACAAAAAACTAATCTCAATGAACAAGTATATGAGAACCCCATGTTGCAATCAAAGAGATAATTACTTACACCATCTATTAACATCATCAGACCATTTGGAAGAAATCATCGGACCAGTAACCTGGAATTGGGACTTAACAGATTCATCAGATTTACACAAGGCATCAAAAACCAAATTATTATTAATATTATTTAATCATATTGAAGAAAATATCCAAAAATTCAATACTTGCAATTTCAACCTTTAACTGTAAAATGACAGGGAGGTAATCATTGAAGGTTACCTAGAGGTTTTATAACCTCTCGAGCTGTATCCTCATTTTTCAGTTCAAATAAATACATAATATTCTTCATCATCTTTGTCCTATTCGTCATCTTCCATTAATAAATCTTAGTGATGTTGATAATATTTTCTCTCTCCTTCTCTTCCATATTAACCTTACTTTTTCTTTTTTTGCTTATAAGCTTTGAATCGTGTATGTGATTCATAAGATTTGATGGCTAAGGTTGAGATGAGAAAGATGATTGAACAAAGATGAGAAACAAAGACAAACTCTTCCAATTAATGAGAGAATCCATTCCTCCTTCTCTCTCTCATTATGGATTATCTATAAAAGATTCTGAGGATAAGATATAACAAAAGGATGGATATTGAATGTGACACAAAGATCAGGTTAATACTCTGTTTAATCATCTTCACGATTATCATCAAACTCTTCTGGTCTTTAAAATTTACAGTTAAATGATGCAGTAAATTAATAGAATGATCTTTTTGTTATAATCTTTTCTCTCCTCTGAGTACATTAAACCTTTGTCCTTTGTCCTTTGTTTATATCCTCTTATCACTAATCACAGACAAAAGAAAATCAATCAAGTGCCAATCCAACAATAACCATTGCTCAATCCAAGAACAAATACTCAGTTAATCAACTAATCGATTCTCTAAAATCTCTACCATTAATACTTTTTGCTCTTCTCTTGAATTTACAAACATTTAATCATAATTAGTTTAATTCATCTTTTTTTTTCTTTTCTTTCAGAATCCATTCGTACGACACAGTCTATGGGGAATTCAATTCGTATCCAACTTATCCATTGTTTTCCTTTTGGGAGTAAACTAATTGTGTATCGTTAATGTTGTTTATCTTGCTTATTAGTCGATAATCAATTTCCTCTACCAGTTAAATTGCTACAGTTAATTTGCTGATTGTCATCCAACTACCACAGTAATCAAGATCCAAATCTAATAACAAAATTATAAATGAGTTATGAATTATATATATATAACTTGATTATGGTTCACAATTAGCTGATTTAACACTGATTAATTCATTGAACTATTATCAGTGTTATTAGTTAGGTAATTATTGTTGTTAATATCAACTGAACAAAGTTCAATCATGAAGTTTTTTTTTCTCTATACATCTTTGATTATTGATTGATTGTTTATTGTTCATTTATGAATGTCCATCGATGTGAGAAATTGATTGCTAACCAATCAGATTATCTGGTTAACACTTGGATTAATCAGAATATCTTTTTAGATGAAATTATACAAGGAGAGAAAGAGAGAGAGAGAACTTTTCTTCTGTATCATCATCATCATCATCATCATTCTCATCAAATCTTTTTTTTTCTCTTTCAGATCTTTTTGTTCCTGATTATCTTTTTGAATCCAGAATCGGATGTTGGTAACTAATCAACTAATCAACTGACCAACTTAATCAAGTCCAGTTAAATTGAACATCTCCAAATGGTACCAAAGTTGTCACATTGACATCAACAATAAGAGTAAGATAATAATGCTAATTAATGTAATAATAATCATCAGTGTACCATTAGTATCATCATATAATCATTAATATGCTTGAAGTTGAGAAAGTTGATACAAATTGATGACATCTCTTTGTGATAGTTGAGTAATCACCATTATCATGTATCAACAAATGATAACACTATCATCAAGTAGACATTTAGTTGACCGTTGTTTTTATTACTGCTACTAAATTATTATGGTCATTAACTATTCTAGTTTTTTTTTATACTCTCACGTTTGATCCTGTTTTTTTTTATTAACAATCAACAACCTGATCCAATGAATTCCATCATCATCAACATCATTTCCACCATCTTAATCAACTTTACCCAATATATGGAAACGTTTAGTTGCATCATCAGTTATGGCAAAAAAAAATGGCAGGGGTCAGTTCTTAAAATGATGCCAAAGGGTAGGGGAAAAATGATGCACCGGACAGCAAAATGAGATGATGGAAGAGACAAAAAAAACTCGGAGACAAAAAAAGACTACAGATGATACAAGGAAGAGAGATGATGAGGATGATGGTAGTGGTGGTGGTGGTGGAAATGTATATCATTGGTAAACTGTTTCCATCAATCAAAATGGTTAAAAAAAAAGATACTTCTTCATGTTTGACATGAATCAATTGGAAAAATCTGGTATCGCCCGAAACTGGTTCGTCCGGTCAGTTGGAAGAGGATAAATTGATGACGATAATTCCAAAAGAAAAAAGGAAGAGGCTTGAGCCTTATCATCCTCCACCTTTTTTACTTGTTCATTATCATCATCTTCATAATTACACCATCTAAGCTGTAAATGAAAAGAGGAAGAATCAAAACAAGAATTACAGAAGAAGAGAGTTTATAATAACAAAAGTAAGAGGAAGATGAAGATGAGGAGGAGAGTAAGATGATGATGGGACTTCTCAGCCCTTCTTCATTCAAGTGTGGCCATAGCGGGTCTTCATCTTCACCTTGATCATCATCAACAAGACGGCAAAGTCATTGAACCCATTGCCAAGGAAAGTTTCAGTTCCTCAAACCTGAAAACAACAAGTTTCATCATCATAAAGTTTATGTTTTCTTTGAGGAGTTAACATCATCATCTATCAACAGCCAATCGTCAAGTGAAAGTCAACTAATTGTGATTAATTGGATTGATTTTGTTATTCTGTTCATTTGAATGGTGATTACCACCGTTAGTGTTTAATTGCTGTTTAAATCTGTGCTCTCATTGTCATCGCTATCAACCCAATCTCTAATTCATTTCTCTCTCTCTTACACCATATGATCAATATGATTAATTTTATAATATTTCTCATCTATTTATCAACTTTAACATTAATTTATTCAGAGGTAAATTTGACAATTCCTTTTCTTTTTGTTAAATCAATTAATCTCTAATTGTTTATGTGTGTTTATCATTTTTTCCTACCTTTTTTTAGGAAGTTGTTAAACCTTTGGTTCCTAATCCAAATTCAATCTCTTATCATGTTGAATTTGAACTTTTATCTTATGAAAATCCTGAAGGTCGATTAGCATCAGGTGAATGTTGTTCCGGTTATAAATCGACCCTTGGTCATGGTATTTGTCGAGGTGGTTCAGCTTCATGTAATCCTTACTTTAAGATTTGCATGTCTCATCAACAAGATCCTCAACGAACCCTTCCCATTGAATTTTCCATGCCGGTTGAGAGACGCAGCGGTGGATTGAGCTTCGGTGGTTTAAGTGCATTTCGAGCTGAACCTAAGCCGGTGATCAAAAGGCCACCACCAACCAAACCACCACAGACCCGACAGTCACTGTTTAAGGGAATATTTAATCGTATTGTTGGATCATTTAGTAGACTGTCATCATCTCCAACTTCAAACAATACAACATCTTTAAATCGCACAGGAATTAATAAGGCCACTCTACCTGGGGCAACATCGAATTCTCAATGTACAATAGCTTATTGGTCAACTGAAAATGACCCTAACAAAAAGAAAGGTGTAATTAAATTACGAGCTGCAATTCCAATTGTAAATATGGTCAGAGGATTTCAAGCTGACGTTAAATCAAAGCAACAATCACCATCAACACAATCATTATCATCAAATCGTTCATCAAATTCATCAACCAGTGAACCTAATCCATTATCTCAAAAGGTTATCTTATTGGTTGAAATTTGGCATAAATCAAACGGTGGATATGATAAGTTAATTACTCGACACTTGGACATGAGAAATACAACCTTACAATTATTACCACTGGAAGATGATACAATTTGGGAAAATGGTGGACCCAATTATGGTTCTGCAAATACAACTTCCGGAATTAAGTTCCGATACCGTTGGAGGATAACTGGAAGTTTAAAATATTCAGCCTCAAGTGATTCTAATGAAGTTAACAATAATATAATAGCCGATTGCCCACCAGGATTCCGTGGCGATGATTGTTCCAGTCCAGTATGTAGAACGGGCTGTCACTCATCTCATGGTTATTGTAATGAGCCCAACGAATGTAAATGTAAATTTGGTTGGACTGGTAAGTGTTTAATTTTGTTTTTCTTTCTTTCAAAATGAATTATGAATCTTAATAATCAGCTGATGATTATGATGATTATGGTGATTATGTTCATCAGAATCTCATTATCATCTCTTGTCTATTATGATGAATTTTTCTTTCCGCCGGCTTCCCTTTACCTCTTCAATAACATCAATCCAATCATGGTGCTCATTGAATAACATTTACCGTTGATTAACATTGAATTTTATTCAATCATCTCTTCACTGGTAATCATAATCATAAACATCTTCATCCTTTTTCACCTCCTTCTTGATATAACTCATTTTCATCATCCTTTTTGCTTCAAATTAACTTTTCTTTTTCCTTTGATGCAGAATGATGATCATCTCTCTCTCTCTCCTTTTAATCATTATAACCTTTTAACAAATCGGTTTAACTAGAAATTGAGTTAGTTACAAAAAAAAAGATAAACCTGTTCAAAAGATTTTGCTTTTTTCGTGTTAATAACAATCATCTCCATCATCATCTCTCTTCCTATTATTTTCCCTTCTTGGCAATTCTAATCAAACTAACTTTTCTGTGAAATTCTCCCCTTTCTCTCTCTCTCTCTCTCTCTCTCTCTCTCCTACTATATTTTCATCATTTTCATTCTTTTTATCATCATCCCCTTATTCAAACCTTTTCCTCTTCATCTTGTATTCGCCCATGAAAAATAATACTCTAAGGGTTATCAAGGTTACGAGGTTTATATATTTCAAACTTATCAATCTATGGAAATAATATTATTTTATATCATATATAATCTGATATAAAGCTATTTATACATATAATGGTATACGAACCAAAAAAAAAGTAAGGTTATTAAATGAAAGAGCAAAGAGAAAAAGGAAATAGAAACCCAAAAATTGAGGATCTAAAAGATGATGAAGAGAGAGGATGAAAAAAAACAGAATCAACTGAAAGATGAAAAAAGTTCAGAAAATATATTAGATAGATATTGTTTTCTATGAGGAAGAAAATTACATCAACAAGAAGAATGTTATATATATTCTGATTTACCCCCTGAAAAGATGAAATCTTTTTCCAATACTAACCACCCACCTTTCCTACACCCACCTTGATCCCCTTTCAGTTGCCATTTACATGGTAATTGAATATTCAGAAAGCAAAACAATAAATGACTTTCTATTATAAAGATTGAATGTAATAATGAGTTATCATGAAGATTATTATCAATTTACAAATAACATTTATCAAACTGATCACCCGAGAAACGAAAAATTAATTGTATTTCCATGGTTAATTCATATTATCTTTTTTTTCCTCTCTTCTTTCCTTTACTCAGGTGAATTCTGTTCATTATGTGTTCCAATGCCAGGGTGTATTCATGGTTCTTGCTCCAAACCTTTTGAGTGTCGATGTGAAGAAGGCTGGTCTGGAATGTTTTGTGATAAACGTAAGTACAACATACAATTAATATCAATTTACAAATCTAATTAATTCTATCACCACAATTACCGTGTAATAATGATAATATCATTATTAATATCCATAGAAAACTGAAAGCACAATGATAATCAGAACAAAAAAAAATTCATTCATTTTAATACTATGAACATTCATTACATGTTTGTCCAATATAAACGATGAAGAATATTGTTTTTACTTAGTTTTAGTTTTAACGATTCCAATTGATACAAATTCATTGAGCTAAAAATAGTTGTAATTCTCACTTAAATGTATCATAGTATCGGTGGTGAGAATGATGCTGAGACAGAAAATATCAAGATAAATGAAAGAAAAAGTAATAATATAAACGAAAAGATAAATTCGATTTTTTTTCAATCTTTTCTACCTTTTCTGTCTCCTTGTATTAAAGTGAAAATAAACTTTTGAACTGAATCAAGCAAAGTGAAAAAAAGAAATCATTCAACTTGAGATTACCTTTTTTTTCACTTGTATTACCTGGATAACAATTTACTGTTGACTGATTACAACAGGAATCAGATTTAGAAAGAGAAAAAAAAACCAATTCCGGAAATACCAAAATCGATTCTCTTTGGTCAATATTAACCAGTTTTCTTTCATGGAAAACCAGAAAACCAGAATTTCAATCAATATGACAATATGAGAATTATTTTCAGTATATACATGGAAACTTGGAAAATAATATTATTATCATGTTATTTATATTCTATGTTTTAATTGGTAATTCATGTAATATAAGAGATTGATGATGGATTGGTGATGAAGATGGAAAAGTTCTGGTGCCTGAAAATTTATGGAAATTCTGGAAATCGTAAAATATATTATTTGATGATTGACATCAAGCTTACGAAAATTGTTACATTTCAACTTTAATAATAATATTGACAGTAGATTGATAATTTCAATAAGATTGTTGAGAGAAAAAATTACAAATCAATATAAATTGTTGATTGTAATCAATTTAATCATCGACTCTTCATTCATTATGTTTACAAATAAGCAGAGTAAACAAAATGATTACCATGTTTTTAAGAAATAAGGAAATGAATAACATCATGGAACTTGCTTCAAATTGTTGATAACATTTAAACAATTAACTGTTGATAGTAATTGTTTGATTGTTGTAATGTTTTATTTAATTAGTTAAACTTTATTGTGATGATGATGACCATTATTAACCGGAAATGTTGATAACTTGTTGTTACCTTGAACTTGTACATGTTAACCTTAACTTTTCAATGGTGATGATTGTTAACTATTAATGTAAGACCTTCAGGCTAATTGTGCTGATGATAACTTTCCAAGTGCAAGTTATCATTTGTGTTTCAATTTTCTTCATGTGTTCATCAGCTAATTAACTAAATTTACAAGTAAAATTTAATCAGGTTTTGAAACGATTAATTGATTAATTTGATTCCAGTTAATTGATATCTTGATTTACTTTTACTTAGAGGTTATATTGTATATAAAATTAGTTGATTGTTAACTGAAAGTGTCTTCCTTGTTCCGGTTAGATTCAAGAAAAGTTATTACACTTAATCACTTGAATCAAGTTTAATTAATTGTTGAGTTAATTGTGTAAATAATAAATTTAAAATAAACAATTGATTGTTGATAGATTGGAGTTTTGCTAATTTTAATTAACAATGCATGTTAGTAAAAAAAAAGAAAAGTTTAAATCAATTAATAGATAATTAATGATTAATTAACTGTTGAGAGAGTTAATTAAGATGTGTGAATTACAATAATTATTTTATTTATAAATCAGTTACAACTTTAACCATGAATTTATAATCAACCTCTTGATTATGATTTCTATTCAATTCATAATTATCATTGAAACTTTAATTACAACAATTAATTTCAATAACGACCAAAATGATAATAAAAAAAAAGACATTGTTGATTATAATTATGATTTTAACATATGAATGGGAATTAAAAAGCTGAAACTAAATTAATCAACGATAATTGATGAGAATCCATGAGGAAGATTAAGCCAGAGTTTCCATTGAATTTAGCTATATGAATTATTGAAGAATTTTTTTTTCATAGAAAATTTCATATATTAATATCTTTAACTATCATGAAGTTTGAAATTCAGAACTTTCAAAGTCAATATAATAACCTGATTCCTTGTATGCCCTAATTTATCATTGATTTACTGTTCCATTGAATAGTTAAGACGAGAATGAAAGAGATGATGGTGAAAAAAAGTTCTGATCCTTTCAATCATTGAAAAAAATGATAGAATCCAATGAAGAGTAAGGTTATACTTGATAATCATCATCATCATCATCATCATCCACTCATCTTCATCCTTTTCATCAATATCTTCAATCTCATTCTTATCCTCATCATGAACCCTCTCCTCCTACTCCATGTAATTCATTATATTTTGTCAACTCTCTCATATTATCAAATTGATTTCTTTTCCTTTGATTATCATAATACTAGTCAACTATTCAACTATTAATATGATTTGAATCAAGGAACCGGAAAACAGAGTAAAAGAAACATTTCTTTTAATACTTTTCAAAATTCATCTTGAAATCTCAGTGAATCTTATTATTATTATTATTTGACTAACGATAAATTACAAGTGAAAAAAAAACTTTTCCTTCTTTTTCTTTTTTTTTCTATCAAAATCTTTTAAATTCTCTGAACATTTCGATTCTGATCGATCGTATGTTCTAACCTTGAGTTGACAATTCAAACATAATAAAATGATACATAATATTAACTGATTACAGTAAACTACACATTATATATGCTTAAATAATACCCTCGTCAATGCGTTCAACCTACTAACAAATTATACACACACACGCACACACTTACAGTTAGTATTTGAAAGGAAATCAAATGAGAAATCAAGTTGCAACTTTTAGTTTTCATTGATATTTACTATTCGTCAAGTTGAAGGATTTTCCTTCTTCAAATGTTACACAATATAATTTGGAGGTTATCAATGTTTACTCTTGGTAATCATGATTATCTTACAAAATGAATCAGATCTTATTACTTATCCAATTGATTACTATCAATGGAAACTTTTTCTTTTCTCTTAACTTCATCATCATCATGGTTACTATTTATTTACACTCACAAGTCAACAGATCAATAAATGAAAGTTATATATTGTATTTCTCAGTGAGTATTTGTATATTGTGTAATCTATTAGTATCCATACAGTTTACATCATCAAATATCTCACCTTGATTCACCCAAGTTGAATTTTCCTCTTCCTTTTTTTTGCTTACCTTTTGTTGGTGAAAAAAAAAAGATTTGCTCAGCTAGATTTTCAATGAACAACATGACTTGGAAATTTTGAATATTTTTTCTTTATTCTCGCCTTTGCAAATTGCTACCTCAAGTATAATATAATACTGAATAGTTGATTGTTATCAGAATTACAACTATCTCCATTATCATCTTCTGGATTGGGTTATATCAAATAAATAAAGTCCCTGACAATTGTAATCGTTAAAAGGACAGCAAACAGGCAAAGGGAAAACTAACTCATGACAATTTCATATGCTCTTCATGTAACTTGAGTGTGAAAGATTGAGAATCTACTGAACTTTATCCTCCCGAGTTCAATACAAACGTAATCAATTGTAAGATTATCTAACAGTTAATCAGGTTTAAATGTAAATACTATTGAAAGTTATTGATAAAATTAACATGATCAACTTTCAAATGATCAACAATTATTAATAATACAATCGCAAAAAAAGCTTCGGCTAATGTATTAATGGTTGATTTAATTGTCAGTCTCTTTCTCAAGCAATCATTTGTTCAATTTCATTTGATTAGTCTGGTTATCATCTTTAACTGTGATAATCAGTCAAGTTAATTAGCATCAATTAAATAATGCATAGTAAGAAAGTAGTTGATTTTAAATTGTAACGATCACAATAAACAACTAACTCAGTTACAATTAAATTCCAGACTCTTAATTACTATCTCAGACTGTCGATATCTTTTTGTATGATCAAAAAATAACACAGTAATCAACTTAACGACGAGATTGAAAACAAATTCAATCGATAATCTTGTTAATTGATTAAATCCAAATGATTACAATCATCTCTACAATGAATAACCTTTGAATGAAGCAAAGACCTAATCTACTGATAATTGAATCTTGATCATCATCAATCTCCTCCTTGAAATCATTTAAATCACCAACACCAACACCATGATGATGATGATGATCAAAAGCAACATAAACATTGAATATGTCAAATGTATTCTAACCTTGTGATATTGAATCATTCAGATCATGAAGTTGAAGAGGAAAATAGATATTAGTCCAGCTATTATTTTCCAATTTTTTTTTCTTTCTCAATACTAAATAATCATAATACAGAAAATGAAACTACAATAATCACAATGATAATATATTAGCATTGTAATAATACCAATTTTTTTTCTTTTGCCTGTGACTTGAACCCCCGTGAGATTGTTATTGTTACATTGAATTGTAGTGACCCTTTAACATGATATTAAATAACCTGAATTGTATTCTGATAATATCCATCTATGGTTAAGTATTCAGATCTTGTTCTGTTTTCCTAATTTTTCTTCCTTCTTTTCCATGAATACCATGAGAGTATTCATCCAAACATTATTATTATTCTGTGAGTATTGATCAGAAATAATCTGAAATACTAAGGAAACAATGAGAATGAATAAGTTTCATGAGTAGAGAGAAACAAAGTCTTGAGATGTTTATATGTTTCTCTCTCTCTCTCTCTTTCTGTTTCTGTCGTTTCTCTGTTCTTACCTCATGTATTGTATTCAGTTTGTTGGAATGAGGAAGATGAAGAGAAACTTATATATAATATCATCATTCTGTCACCCAGTTTATTCCGATGAGATTTTACTTTTTTCCCTTTTCTTTTCTGCTCTCTTTTCCATTGGTGGTTAAAAAGTACAGGGTCACACACAGATTTAAATCTCTTGTCTCTCTTGAGTATATTTTCAGTTCTAAATGTGAGGGTATTCATGTCATCCTAATACTTTAGATACTTTTTCTCAAGGTAACTACTTCTGGTCTACGTCCATGCTTCCTGTCATTACGATTATCGTTTGAAATTTAAGCTTAAGTTGATCCATGTGAAAATAATATCGTTGATATTATAACAAAAAACAACGAAATCTGAGCAACAGTAAAAATAACAGAATCTATTATTTACCAGTAGATGTTTTTTTTACTGTAATTGAGTTGATTGTTCTGATTGGGGAAAATTAAATTCAATTAAAGTTTCACTATGAATGATAATCAATCAGTTTTATAAAAAAAAACTTTTTACAGAACGTTACCATGGTAACGAAATGGTTAAATTCAGTGACACATAATAATCAATTTATTAGTAGATTGTTTTTTTTATAACTTCTTTTTTCTCATAATAAATTTACATCCTTAATCATTATGAAGGTTTAATTACATTGGTAATAATTTTACTCAATTCGCTTGATTCAGTTTTATCTAAATTATCTTATGTAATTGTAGCTCTAATTTTATTTTCACTCTTTTCTTTTCTCCATCATTATTATCATTTCTTATCTTCATCATCACTTTTTTGTTACCTGTTGTTATCCTAATCATCTATAGCGAGTTGTAAGCTTGGCTGTCATCCTCAAAACGGTTACTGTGAACATCCAGGTGAATGTAGGTAAGTGAACAACAATTTCTTGGTAATAATAAAAATAACAATAGTCATTATCATCCTTATCATCTTTACGATCATCCAAGTCTAAAGAGAGGTAGAAACTCATCCATCTCAACGTGTATCCATTGATTATTATCATCTATTAGAAGAAGAGTAAAAGACAAAGATGAAGTCGATGCAGAGAATAGAAGGAAGAAAAAAATCATTTTCCTTCATCTTCATCTTCATCTTCATTTTTCTCATCATCATCATCATCTCTCTCTCTCTCTCTCTCTCTCTCTCTCTTCTATCTTATTTATTAGGTAACCATCTTCATCGTCGTTATTATTATCATTAAAAAAGATGAATGTTATATCTCCATAGGTTTTTTCGTTATCTTACTCTTCCGTTTTCATCTTACCTCCATCATTAGGATCTAAGGCCATCATATATTGATGTAGATGCAATAAATGGACGATTGACCTTCGAGTTCATCTTTTTTTCATATACCACAAATAAATTAGTTACAGCACTTATAATGACATTGTAATATTTATAAATCACTTGTTAGTATAGTATTTAAAGAAGCATAGACAATAACAACTATTATAAATTGTCAGAATCAACAGTTCTGTCATAAACACTCAGAAAATATCATGGACACTCATTGGGATAAAATTGTCAAAGCAAAAAAAATCCTCATAGTTACAGTATTAAACCTTTTACCTTTATGATGGTGATGTTTAAAAAGTTGCTGATGATTATGATAATGATGATTTTCATTCTGAATTTTTCCCATGTTAATACAGATTATACATGATTTTATCTCTCTCACTCTCTCTCTCTCTGGTTTTACTTTACAGAATTTGTTGAATGTTAATCATAAGTAGAGTCAAATTTAAATTTTTACAATTTATCTTAACTACTAAAACTTTCACCTGTTTACATTTAACATAATGTATTAAATTGCAAATTAAGTTGACTCATTTTAATTGCTTTATTAAAATGTTAACATAAAGGGTGTTTAGTTTAATTCCTTTCAACTTGATTACATTAAATGAAAATTATCTTACCTACAAATGATTATAAAGATGATGATGCAGATGAAAATGATGATGAAAACTATAACAATTAAAGGTTCAAGGTAAATTGGTGGCCTTTATCATCTTTTAATTAGGATAAATTTAATCTAATTTAGTCAAGTTGGAAGGAATCAAAAGAATTGCCCTTTTTATAACATTGAATTGCAATCAAAATCAGATACATTTGAAAACTTTTTTCATTTTGTTTCTCACTTTAATTTTGACAACAATTAGTTGATTTGTTTCCATTGATTTAAATGTTATTTGGTTACAAGTTTCTCACTAGTACTAATTTTTTATTTGAATGAAATTACCATTGATTACAAGGATTTACAATCAAAGAGCAATTTATTATGATCGCTAATTGGTTGTCAAGTTTAATCAATGAATTTTATGATGCAATTTCATTGGAAACAATAACAATTATGTGTCACTTTTGATTAGCATGTTGATTGACTAAATTTTTTTTAATTGTTGACTGTTTAGATGTCGATTTGGTTATAAAGGTGATAATTGTACCGAGTGTGCAACTATGCCTGGTTGTCAAAATGGTGATTGTGAGAATCCTCTTGATTGTAATTGTTTCAAAGGTTGGACTGGACTATTTTGCAACATTCGTAAGTGTAAACCAATTCAATTGATTAGTTTAATTGGCCAAATAATCAACTTTTTCTGTTCCAATTTTAGCCGTTTGCTCTGAAGGTTGTGACCTAGAACATGGTTGGTGTCGTCGTCCAAACGAATGCCGCTGTCGTGTCGGCTGGAGTGGATCAAACTGTTCGGAGTGTGTCCCATACCCTGGCTGTAAGATGGGCAATTGTACCCAGCCCTGGACTTGTGATTGTCAACCAGGTTGGGGTGGAATTGATTGTACCGAGAAATTAGATTATTGTGAATTGAATCCAAATCCATGTTTAAATGGAGGAACTTGTATTTCGGTTGAAAAAAATGATGGCGCTTTTATCTGTCGATGTAATCTTGGATTCGAAGGCAAAAGATGCGATAAAACCAAATGATTAACTAATCAAATGCCAGGAATCATCAATCAGCATACACAAAAGTCATTTCCAGCGATTTATATAATGTTATCATTTCTGTCTTAATCACAATGCCAACATCAACAATACTCATCTCAGGCTTAAATTTATGATGGTATTGGTAAGATAATCATCTCCCTCGGCATCATATCCAATCCCATATCATCATCATTTATCATCCTTGGGATGAAGATTAACTTTTAATACTTTGTAATAATTTTCTTCCTACTTAGGATAATATTTTCATCCATGTAACAATTATTTATTTATTTATTTATTTTCTCAGCTGATTTACTGCAACAATTAACTTATTATCAAGCTTCCAGTATATTTATACTTTATTGTGAACAATAATTAAATGTTACAGTTAATGTAGGTAAACCCACCGATGAAACAACAACGACACTTTTAATTTAACTGTAAATAAAATTAAATCAACGTTATAATTGGTTGTAATCATCGTTTTGTTTACCAAAACAATCAAAGTTGATTATTTAAATTTTTGCATCACTTGATCAGCTTTTGATTAAAAATTTTCTCTTTTAATTAGTTTTCCAAATGTAATTGAAAACTACAACAATCGATGAGATGGAAAAAAAAATCTTAATCATTTTCTCTTGATTGTTGTTGATTATATTTTTCTACTGACGATCGATTTTAATGATGAATCAAAATCAATTGGTTGACAATTTAAATGATTAAAATTGAAGATGAAGTTGAAAAGTGTTATGTTTTCATGGATTTTGATATTATATCATAAGGAGAGAAGGGAGTAACTTGAGAGGGTGGGAGGTGGTTCTAATATCTTCGCGGAGGTAAGGTTAATGTCGACAGATGAAGAGAATGAGAAAAGATGAGAGGATGAAGATAAGGATGATGATGATGATGGTGAGAGGAAATTGAATCAGTAAGGGAATTTTTTTTCTCACTTGACATACTCCAGAATTTTGGAAGATGGAAAAAAAGAAAGAGAGAAAGAAAGAGTTTCTTTCGAAATGATGATGATAAAGGGAGGGAGAAGGTGTTTTCTCCATGTGTACATGGTATATACACTGAGAGAATGATGATAAAGAGAAGATAAGAGAGAATAAGAGAGAGAGAGAGAGAGAGAGTGAGTGAGTGAGCATGATAGTCGATGGTAAACTCTGAGAATCCAAAGTAACATTTGACTGAGAATCAAACGTTTGATTTTTCCTCGTGTTTATCTCTTGAACTGAACAATTCTAATCAACGATAATCATCATCGTAGTTTATTAAACCGAAACAAAGTCGATAATTAAATTTTCAACAATAAACTTTTCATCGTCATCACAATTATTTGATTAAGAAAATGTTCCAAATCTTTGTGATCATCTGAATGAAATTTTCATTTGATCAGTTGATTTGACATTCAACTTGTTGCCCAATTTAATCCTATTTATAATCTTGTTTTTATTTGTCAATTGTTATCATGAATTTCATGATATATTCGGGTTGAAATAACTCCTAGTGTTGGTCAGTTTTCATCGATTGGTCATCTTTGCGTTTTTTTTTCAATTTTTATTTGTTCATTTTTAACTGGACAGTGTTTCACTTAACTGAATCAACCTGAGGTCCTTGCAGGAAACAAGTAGTAGGCCGTTGTTTTCAACAGGCCGAAACTGGATTAAAACTTTACACCGAGACATGGGTGAGTTTGAGTCCGGCTTTAGTGATATGAACCACCACCATGGTCATCAGGGTGGGTCAACAAATAAACAGCATTCAACTGATCAGTTAACATCTCCATCATCGGGAGCGACCACAGGCTCTGGAGGTGGTTGGAGGCGGAAAAAAGGAGCTGGTGTGAGAGGTGGCAGATGCACTGGACAACGAAGTGGACATCATGTTGGAGGTGGAGAGGGTTTGATTAAGAGACACAGTTACTCCCTTGAAGATGGACCTCATACTGATGAGGATGAAACAGTTGACGATGAGTTTATTAATCATGAAGTTGATGATGAAGATGATGATGATGGTGAAGATGAGGATGAGGATGAAGATGAAGATGATGATACAGATCATGATGGAAATCATAATCATCGACACTCAAATCATCACAATAATCATCATCGTTACTCTTATGGTAAAACTTTTTCAACTCTTTATGATAGACTCTGGAGTCTATTAAGATCAGCATTTAAAAAAGGTAATTAATTTACAATTAACTAATTAACTAATTAGCCAATGATTGTGTGTATGTTTGTATGTTTCATTTAAATTAGCATAAAGTCATGAAAATCAATCAAATTAGTCATTAAATTGAAACCTTCATGATCAACAATTGTTTGATTTGACTATTTGACTAATTGTCTTAGCACAATCAAAGTAAATGATTATAATTTTTATGACAATTAACATTTGTTAATCAATTGTTGACTGAAAACAAATTGATTACCTGTGATTGTTAATTATCATGACACACGTAATGTTGCCTGACAATCAATTCATTATCCCTACTCAATTAAAATACACTAGATTTAACAAGTTGATTAATTGTCTATCAAATCAAGGGTATTAACAATTGACAATACTAATCAAAGTAATAGCAACAATTATAATCTGATGATTAACTTTAATCAACCTAATCTAATAACAGATATCAAGATATAACCTTCAACTTTATCGGTTCAATTTTTGAAATTTGATTCGCAATTAAAAATGAAATCATTTCTCCCAATCAATAATTAACATTCATAAATGTATCAATACAAATTGACTTTAATTTTAAATTGTTAAATTCAATTCAATTTTCAACAATTTAACTGTGTAGTTTTTTTCTTCCAATCTAAATAAATGATCATCAGTCTTATTGGTTGGTAATTTCCCCTCAGGCTATTTAAGTGAATATATAATGAGAATTGAAAATAACATGGGAATTTATTAGAAAAATATTCTGAGAAAAAGTTGTTGAATAAAATATTCTGATTAATGGAATCAATTGTTTATAGATACACTTAATTGTGAAATCTTTTTTGATTGTTGACTGAATTTTACTATTTAACTGTTAGTCGACTTGAATGTAAATCAGTTAATTAATTGATGAATAGATGATGTTGATGGTCAAGATGAAGAGCTGTGAGTTATAGTGAAGATATTGTGCCAATTGATTGATTGTTTGAAATTAATTTGGTTGTTTAATTGTTGCAGAACATAAACTTGATCAGATGGAACTTTTCAACGAAGCTTGTGCCGCTCGATTGGCTGCGAATTATTCGGCTAATAAAAGTCGCCGCCGTCGAGAACTTGAGATTCTTTGTAAGAAGACAAAGTTCACCCGTAACGAGCTTAAACTCCTCTACTGGGGCTGGAAGTGTGCCTGTCCGAACGGAATACTGACTGAGTCCACATTCAAAGAGATTTATGCTCAATTCTTTCCGCAAGCGGGTGATTCCTCCCTGTACGCACATTACGTTTACTCGGCCATGTTTAACGATAAGGTTCGAACCGCTAACGGTGAAGTAACCTTTTCCGATTATGCTTCGGCTCTGTCCACCCTTTCCCGGGGGTCAACCTCCGATAAACTTGAATGGATCTTCAAACTTTACGATATCAACAGCGATGGTGCACTTACATGCGATGAGATCGTTGAAATTTCCCGTGCCATTTACGCTCTACTCGGTTATTATGTGTCACCCGGACATGATTCCAAAACATGTGAAGATCATGGCTATCGAGTGTTCCAAAAACTTGATATTCAGAGTAAAGGTTACATAACATTTGATGAGTTTCTCCAAGTCTGTTCAAAGGTAATTACTAAATATTAATGTCAATCAATAATAATTAACAAAATCGATATTAACTCAACATATTATATTAATATAACTTAACTACCCAATAACATGGTGCAAGTGTCTTAATATTATTCAGATACATATATTTGAATAATATTTCAATATATTGAACTTTTCTTGATATTATTCAAGTTCATTTTTGATGGATTAGGACATTTCCGATTAACGAATTCACCCTAATCAAGAGTTCATATATATTTTATTTCTTGATGAGAGATAATTACATGGGAACAATTCAAGAATTACTAGAATATATTAGTTATTCATATGATTAATATCGATTTTTATTCGTTAATTAATTTCTCAAAAATCAGTGATTAATTAACTATGGAAAATATTTAAGGTTCAAAATTTTCCCTCGATTCTTATTTCTGAACATTTCCAATTTCAGGATAACCAAAATCTCATGAAAAATCAACTCTTTTCATGGGAATTCAATGTTTAATCATTTCATATTCAAGTCCATTGAGATCAGTTAAAAATTATCAAATCAATTGTTCAAATTGAATTTATATCATTTGAAGCTCACTAATTTTACTTTCAATGATAAATTTGAAATGAGATATTAATTAATCACTGATTTCTGCTCATAATTACTGATTATCCTGTTGGTTTTACTTTAACAATTCATTTATCATTGTTTTCCACCATCTTATCATATTATCAATAGGATGAAACTATTATCAGTTCAATGCAACTTTTGGATACAATTGGATTGGATTAAACTCATTCGAGAGTTAATTGTTTGTTAATTGTTTAAGAGCAATTAACAATCTATCATGTAAACTGGTAAATTCAACAATTAAACTGTCCTCCTCAACTTATTGCCATTTAAAAAAAAAATTAACTAGATGTTCAATGTTATCTGGTCATATATTAATATCAAGAAAATTGATTTAATTGTAATGAAAAAAAATTTTACTCATCGATCATCAAATTGTTGTACAATCAAAATTGAAAATTTAATTTATTAATAGTATTGGAATATTATAAATATTAATTAGTTAGATTAATAAAAAATCACTCTTGTGTCAAGTCCGAATGTACAATTGATAATATGAAACGCCAATTAAACATGAAACATTTTCTAACTAATTGTCAATCTTTTCAAAAGTTCATGATTTCATTTCAATTCAAGAAACTTATATAACATTTATGGTGAATAATATCTCGTAATCATGAAGGTAGAGGGCAAATAAGATTGACCATAAACACTGGACTACATTACCATTGAGATGTACAGGGTGTTGATACCATGGTTAATATTCAATGAGTTCGTATAAGAATGAAATTCAACTGAATAATATGCAAATATCAGCTGAGGAAATAGATCATTGATAAGTTAGTTATTGTGGTGAGATTTTGCTGAAAACTTAAAAAATCAACAAATGCTCATCACTTTAACTACGAACTTGAAAAAGACCCTTAAGGCATAACGATCAATACGAACCATATAATAATCAACTATTAGACCAAAATTCTGTGGGATGATTAGTTGAAGAGGGATTCGAAAAGCATACAAGATAAATGGTTACACGCTGTACGATTCGTTGGTACAAACTGGTGGGATAATATGAGATATCAAAGGATAACAGAACTGTAATCTCATGGTGGGTATTCACTTGAGCCATTCTGTGGACTGAGCGGTAATATCAACCAGGGAGTAATTGAATGTGGCAAAGAATTACTAGTTAATTACCCTCCAAATGCTATTCGTCAAATTATTATCACATTGACCTTGAAGTTTATGAGGTGAAGGACTGAATTTCTAACAAGTCCACTGATTTAAGATTATATTGATTGGAAATTGAATAAAATTAAAGGAAAACTGCTCCATCTTTTATGCGAAATTCAATCAACAAAATGGATTGACTATCAACCAGAATTTTTCATCTTTCGATTTGTTTACCTTTTTATCCTCATCTTTTTGTCATATTGTCATTTCTTCAACTTTAAATGAAAATTTGTCCGTCAAAATGTTCATATTTTAATTATTAACAGTTAGTTAATTTTAAGGTAAATAAATTGTTTCTCTCAATTAATTAGCTTCAATTGTGATCTTTATTCAGTAAACAGATTGGAGTTTGCTCAATGTCTTTTTTCATGTTAATTTGTTTTGAAAATTTAATTCTCACTCCCTGATAATCTGATCATTCACTTGATTAATTAGATGAAATCAAAAATAACAACTTAATTGTTTATTGTCTTTCATGATTCTAGCAAATTGTTTTCTCATTTCCCTTTCAACCATTTGGTGTTGGTCATTTACTCGTTGGTCAATTTAGTTTGATGACATTATGATTCGTATAAAACCTGAGGATATTTTGGAAGGATTTAAGATGTAATCAACTAATTGATACAATTTAATCTAATTGCTAACTTGTTGATATTTCTTTCTCTCTATTCCTAATCAGTAATTGGATGAATCTTCGTGATGCAAGAAACGGTGAAATCCTATGGGAATCTAAGGAAGATTTATCCAAACCCAATCGTGAACATGAAGGTTTGTTTACCTTTATCATCTTAATTGTTTACTTTTTAAATTGTTCAAATTAATTGTCTCTAATTGAATTATAGCCAAGGTGCCAAAGGAAATATTAAAATGTCGAGCTGTTTCCAGGGAAATCAATTTCTCATCGATTCAGCCGATGGAGAAATTAAGATTAGAGCAGAAAGTCCTGTTCCAAGGGAAATGTTTAGAGGGTAACAATTAACTCACTGATTGTGATTAGTGAATTAGCAAATTTAATTCTAATTGTTGATCTCTTTTTCCCTCTACATTTAGAATGGTATTTTGTCTTTGGCTATGTAATACCCAATTCTACCAATACTTGGCAATCGTTAATTGAAGCAGCTCCGGAATCGCAAATGATGCCTGCCGATGTCCTCAAGTATTTAATTGATTTAAACCTCTCTAATTGTCACAATTAACTAATTTACTCTTCTACTTGTTTTCCTTTCAGCGGTAATCTATTTATCGAGACTAAATTTTTTGATGACAATCTATTACTTAGCACATCTCGAGTTCGTTTGTATTATGTTTAAATTGTACCAACAATTAATTTCTAATCACAATTCAAATCTTCAATCATAATCATTTAATCAATTGCAAATACTTCATCACTTTAATTGACCAATATCACAATACAACAATTAACTGGATTGATCCTGTTGTCTTTTTTTAAACATCATCATCAACTGATTGTTAATTACTGATCAAACATATCAAATTGTCACTAATCATGTTTCATTAATTTTCCTACACTTTCCGTCCAATTTTAATTGTGTAAAATTTTCAATCAGATCAACTAATTGTTTACAACAAATTTAAACTCAATGATTTATCTTTTATCAAAAATAATTAACCAATCGTAAAGATCATTTTAAATCATCGAGCACAATTTCAAATTCAATCCATCACCATTACTTATTTGATTTGACAATTAAATCCTTAAACAATTAACTAACTAATCGTACTGATTGATTGATTTTCTCGGATCAAATTTACTATTAATAGTTAATTGTCAACAATTAACTGTAAGATAATCAAATGAAAACAGCTCCACCTTTTGTAAGAAATTCAATCAACAACATTGATCGAGATGTTTTTCCCAACCAGAGTTTTTATAATCCCGTTACTTTGGTTAAATGACTCCCACAATTTTTTTCATCTCCCTATTTGTTTATCATCATTTCATCCTCATCCTTTACTCCTCATCGTCATCCTCTTATCATCATCATCATCAACCTGAAATCACCTATAACCCAAAAAATTTTGGTACCAACATGAGAAACCAAACAGATAACATGTTATTAGTATGTAAATGTTAGTATAAGAAATTGTTTCCTTTTTTTGTACAATCAAGTTTTCATCATCAGCAATCAAAACTAATCACCATCATCATCAATAGTAATCAATTTCATTTGTTAACAATTAAACACACAGACTATGTTGTTATATTTAATATTGGATTGAATGTAAACAACCAAGTGATTAGTTGATATCTTTTTATCCTCCTGATCAACAATTGTGAATATCATGATGATTGGATTAATTGTGATTTGTTATCAAGTGATAGAGATTATGACAATTAACAGTTAGAAATGAGTAATCAACAACAACAACAACATCAATCAAAATTGAATAAATCATGAGAAAGATAATCAAATTCATGAAATCATATTACCATCTAATTCATCGTATTCCTTAATTCATACAAATTCCTAGAATCAATAAGAATAATAATAAATATTATTATCGAAAAAGAGAAAAATAAAAAGTAAAATTTGAAATTCGAAATTCGAAAGAAAAATAATCTCATGAACCATGAACTTCCTTTGTGTTTGTGTAAACATCTCCTTTGGATTCGTGCCTTCAGGTAATGTTAATGATAAAAAGCATTAACAATTTTCATCTAAACGACACCAAGATCAGTCACAATCAGTGATATTCAACAATCAACTCACCTTGATAATATTTTGTGTCAATATCAGTTGAATAACATATGAAAAAATCGTCACAAAAGATGAAAAGAGAGAAAAAAAATATTCCAAACAATAATAATATCATCATGATGATTATTATGATAACACAACAATTAACGTGATCTCCCATTGGACTTGTAATTAAACTAAAGAAAAACTTTCCTAGAAAATGCAAATCAATAAATTACCAGAGAAAAAGGATTCGATATCAATGTGAACAGAGTTCGTAACTAATTAACACATCGAGTTATTAATCAGATGATAATTGATATACATTTTGCAGACTCAGGATCATCATCATCATCATCACAGGGGGAGGAAGATGTAAAGAAGTAAAAAAAAAAGATTGAATAATAATGATGATAAACTGATTATCATGGTGATGATATTCTGTTGTGATGATGATAATATCTTAATGAAAATTAGTTTCTCTCTCCCTCTAATTGATTCATTTGCATCATCTTGATGATAAAGTGTCGACTCATCAATTATATCACATCTCCAATAATCAATAATTATTGTTCCTCATCATCAATTGTTAATAATAATAATGTTACACCATCGACAGGGAGGATGATGATGGTGATGATGATTAACTTTATAATAGTGACCATGATAATCATCATCATGACAGTTATATATAAGTGATAATGATGAATTTAATAAACAACTGAATCGACTGAACTTTTTTTCTGCTTCCATTTGATATCAATCAAATTGTTGTTTGTTGTTTGTTGTTGTTGTTGTTTTTTTGATACAACAAACAAAAATATAAGAAACATTTTCCTCTGTTGATATTATCTGATCTTCCTGTTATCATCATGATTTGAAATTCATTATTGTTGGTGGTTTAATTTATGATTTATCATCATGACACTTTGAATCCTTTTTATCTTTATCCTTTCTGTTTTGTCGACGCCATTTTCCTTGTGACTTTTGTAATATCTTCCTAGTGCTGAGAGAGAGGAAATAGTAACTTTAATTTTCTCTCTCTCTCTCTCTCTCTCTCTACGACCATATATTCAGCTGATCAAATCGACGATTGACCTAATCACAGTGTTTAGAGTGTATTGGTCAGTGGATTTTGTTTGTTTCGTTTCAAATAATCGAAATGTCCCACCGCTCAATTCGATTATTGAAATTGTTAACCTCGCTTTCAGCACTTGGTTCCTTGTTCGCCCAAAGCATTGCTATTTTTACCAATGAATGGTTATACTCGGAAGAGCTAATGAATAATCCTGAATTTAAGAAATACAATATGTCCGCTGCGGTTGAACATCTATCCAAATTTACAGTCTCTGGCCTTTGGATTCTCTGTCAAAATGAACGTAAGAATAATAATAATAAATTAATAAGCAAATATGAATTCTAATATTATTATGAAACAAAAAAGATTCAGATTATGAGATTATCTTGTTAGATATGAACAAATGTAATCACTTTGAAAGCTATTAACAATTCATTGTTATTATCATCATGTATTCATGTTACATGATCAATTTATATAAAGTTCAATATTTAGATTTAGTTGTATGATCAAATAATCATTTATTATTGATATTAAATCACTGAAATCAAACTAAGAATATGGAAATAAGTTGATTGTTTGTTCTCGTAAAGTTAATTGTTTAAAGTAAAACGAAAAAGGTGAAAGAGTTTTACCAAACTTGATTGTTTCTTTTTTCTTCCCCTTCGAATTGATTGATTATTTAACCATGAACATGATATTTTGTCATGGAATTTATCTCACGAATCTGTACTTTCAACGAGAACGAGAATCTATTCAGAATTGACTATTTTTTTTCTCCATGTTACAAAACATGATACTGAGCATTGGACAAAAGATAAAATTGATTAGGAAGATGGTCAAGTAGAAGAGATTTAGAAGGAAAAAAAGTAGCAGAATCTATAAGAAGAGATGAAGATGAAGATGAAGATGAGGGATAAAAGTCTTACTTAGGTTTGAGAATTGAGAAAAGATATCAGCAAGAGAAGTGACTTAGAATTGAAACAAGAAGATGAAGATGAGCAAGACGGAAGTTGCCGTTGACAGTTAGGATTTTTTTTTGCTTCTCATCACAAAAGGAGGAATGAAGACATTAGATGACAGAAGAAGAAGATGAGAGGATGATGATAGAGATCTAAGAAGATTGAGATTAAAATCCATGCAAGGATGAAAAGTCTTCCATTATGATAATGAACATGATAATGAACATATTGACTTGGAAAGGCATCACCACCATAATCATCATCACCATTGGGAAAAAAAGTTCTGAAAGTAACAAAAAAAAAAGTTGATAAGAGTGACACCAATTTTTTGGCAAAAATTTCATGATGATAACTCAGCTATTCAATAACCGATGATAATATTTCATGGATAATATAACAATACCCATGTGAATATATATATAAGAGTAAATAGTTAATACAATGATGATGATAATCAACAACAACAATAATAATAATAACCAACACCTAATATTGAACAATTACAATTGAATTCATTGATTATTATCATTATTCCCTTGATAATCATTCTCAATATTATTCCAAGACAGTGATTAAAATAATTACTATCAAAGGGTAATAATCATCATCACAAGGTTATCATGTAATTCAGTTTTCTTGGTGTTATGAATCAGATGAATGTGATGGTAACGATAACATGATTGTTTTTATTGCTCACTCAAGATGAGCATGAAAATCAGAGTAACAGTTACAATAAGAAAGGGAAAAGGATTAAAAGTATTACATGAATTATTCATAATGAGCATCGTTAGTTTATTTCAACATCTTATGGCTCCGCTGAGATGATATTAATAGTGGCAGAGTCTAAATTATAACCTAAATTGTGATTAAATTGTTTCAAACTTTTTTTAAAAGGCTGAAAGGTTAATCAATATCGGTCAGGTCGGTGGCGGTGGTGGTGGTGTGGTTAATTGTTGATCTATCATAAGGAATTCTGATTTAATACAATCCACTTGGTGAAGATGATTAACAATTTAGATATCAGTTGTTATTATTTGTGATCAAATTGAAATTTAAGTTGAGATTTTGCCATAAAAGGCTTGATTCAATAATAAGGTTTTCCTTGTATTAATAATATTAAATTAACATTTACCTTTATATCATTGGGTCAATGATGTTACCTGATGATGATTTTCATGTTACTCTGAATATATTATCTCACAACATTCAGGATTTACTTGAATGTTAGAGTCTCAACTTGATGGTAATTTAGAGTAACTTGAAAGGTAATTCAGGATAATAATGAGACAGAAAAGAGAAGGAGAGAGAGAGAGAGAGAGAGAGAGAGAGTGAGAAGTGAATTCAATGTTATTCAATTGCCTTTTTCTTTTACATCTCATGGATTCATGTTCATTCAGCTTTTCAAGTTCTGGTGATGATGATCAACGTAATCTACGATTCAATATGAATATTTCAAGGTAATAAAAGTATCATCAGTATGATGGTATAAATGAATTCATTGTTATTATCATGTTTCTTGTTTTTAATCAAAATTCTAGACCAAATTGAGTTGATTAATCGGTGAATAATTGATTTGAATTACATGAATTCAAAAAATCATCATTTCAGAAATGATTGCAGATAAAAATGTAAATAATAAGCGAGAAAAAAAATTCTGATCAGGATTTTCATCTTAAATATTGTAACTACATGTATCTTATCACTTCATCATGGTGTATTTGCTCAGAATGATAAAGATTCCGAGAAACTATCTCAGAGTAATTAGATTCAACTTTGATGAGGGTGAGAAATTGCTAATCAGTCAATTTATTAATCGAATCAGTTAGATGATAATTTCTTGGGAAACTTTTTCATTCATCTAAACTGTTGGTGTATTTTATGTACTCAGAAAAGTAAACATCATCATCTCCTCAGCTGAATACTTAATAACATGATATTCATCATATTGGCTAATTAATTGGATGCTGATGATGAAATTGTTTATATCTGATAAAAGAATAAGAAGAAAAGAGTTAATGTTTATCTTGATTCGAAAATAATAATAACCGATTGGTAAATTGTTGATGAGATTTTTATATTCATAGTGATAATCATCATGATCTTCATGAAGACAATTGTTTGAAAGTGAAAATATCAGAGATCAAATGAGATTTCCATCAACATGATAATTTCCATGTGAATAGATTTTAATCTGAATGAAAAAAAAGTTCATTTTCATCTGAAGAGATGCAGAGATTGAAAAAATTCAGAGGGTGAGGTTGAGTTATCATGTTCACATGAACATGAATAATCACAGGAAAGAAGAGTAAGAAATGAAAATTCATCATGTAAATAAAAGATTTAATCAGAAAGTAAGAAAAGAATTCAAATTCTGGAGAAGATTCAATATATTGTATATTTAGAAGATTGAAAAATTGATAACATGAGAAATTCAATAAGATAAAATGAGAATTTCAAATATCTCATGAAAAGGAAAATTTATCATTTTCATGAGATTATTTCTTTCTTTTTCTTTCAGTGTAAATTTACTAATTCTTCATGTTAATTAAAATTGGTGATCATCGGAAAAAAAACTGTTCCTTTTGATTCAGTAACTCAATCGAATTCTAATCATGAAACTTCCATGGAGAGAAGATGATAAGAAGGTTACATTATTTTCTATTATTGTTCGAAAATTGGATTTCAAGGATAGAGAAGAACGAAAAAAAGAATTCGATTCTCATGAGAGTTCCAATTTCGGAGTTTGTCCTTTTTTTCCAATAAATGCTCTCGATTCTGTATTCAGATTATCTGAACCATGAATCTTAAGATCACATTTATTTCTCTTATCAGAATCTTCAGGCTTTTTTTTCCTTCTCCATGTTGATTCAAGTTCTCTTTTCCTTTCTTCATGAGGGATGAATTTTATTCTGTTGTTATTTTTTCTTCTTTCTGATACTTGTGACAGGGAAGTTCTTCTTACTCTTCATCATCTTCGTCGAACTTGAAATTTTTTCTTCACTTTCTTTTCGATGGTTCGAAAAGATTCGAGTACTGGCCCTTGACCCTTTTCGATTTTTTCGTCGTCAGAATAAAATCTTGATGCTTTCAGAATGTTATTCTTAAGTGAATAGACTCAATGAACAGAGTCTATTGAGAAACATGTAAATACTTTTTACATGATGATGAGATAAAATCGAATTGAATTTATCTCTTTCGCATCACTTTTTTGCCTACAATACAATTATGAGAATAGAATTGAATTGTGTACAATTAATTGTGATATAAAAAAAAATCATGTTGATTTTTTTCTTTACATTTCAATCAATTGATTGCTTAAGGGTATTTGATTTGATTATATCAATTCCTGTTTCTATCTTGATAAATTGTTCTGTTCAACGATAAAGTCTTACATTTAACTTGATTAAATATCGTCAGCAATTTAACTTTATCAAATCAAGAAACTATTAAGACTCATTTAGTTGTTAACAATCAGATGATGATAGATAGATAAACTATTTGCTGTTATGTTTAAATTTACTCCTTTGAATTAACTCACAATTAAAATTACGATTTTACTCCAATTATCTTTACACATTTCTAATGATTATCCAATTGTCTAATTGTCATCCTGTTGATTAGCTGGCATTGGAACCATGAACTGTACTCATATTGATTATTTGACAGATGAAGAGTATACTCCTGATCCTAATGATTCAACAATGGCAATCCCATGTAAGTAACAATTTAAAATCCATCATCAGCTGTTGATTATTTGTCGTGAAAAACTTTCATCATTTGTATCATAATGAATGTGGAAAATTATTGTTACACTTATATGATTTATATTAAAAGTTGTAGGTGAACATTATGCTGTAAACTATTTCCGTGTAATCCTCCTCCGCATCCTCTTTAAGTTTCCGGAAGTTGATTTGATGAAGAGTGAGAAAAAAAAATCTGTAAATAATGATGAAGATAATTTAAAAACATTATCATTGGCGTGAATATCATGAAAAGTTTAAGTTGTTGTGTTTACCGGTTGGATTTAATATGTTGAAGAAGGTAATTTGTATGAGATGATGATGATGATGGAAAAATAGAAGGAAAAGAAATTGAAAAATCGTAAAATTCATTTTTCGATCAAGATTTATTTTCCATTAGTTTTGCCTTGTCATCCGCCATTCTCTCGTTTAATATAATGATCATTCCATAATCATATTGAGGTATCTTCTTTATCGCCATCATCTCTTGGTGTTTGTGGGGATTGATGGTTTTCAAGAGAAATTTGGAAAATCTTCAGAATCACATTTATCTAATAGGAATTATAGAAGAGGGAAGAAGATGGAGAATAGAAAAAAAATATTAGTGAGAACATTTAACAAGGAAGATTTTAAGACATTTAAAAAGTTACTTCTCTCTCTCTCTCTACCCTTGTAGATGAAGAAGATGGAAAAGATCATTAATATTTCTAGACGATAAATGAAGGGAATGAAGATTATGATGAGAAAAGAAAAGAATCTCAAGATTCTAAGGAAAACACAGAGAGAGAAGAAAAGAATTTTTGAATATTGAACAGGAAAAGAAGATTGAACAGTTTTTTGGATTGAAGAAAAGATGAAGGCGAAAGGTTGAACATGTCATGAAGGTAAATTAATGTAAAAGAATAGAGATGAAGAGAAATAGGTAACAAGATGAAGAAGATAAATAAGATATTATCAAAATGTGAACATAAGAAGGTTCTTCTTACATGTATAAACTAATTTCTTTTCTCTGCAAGAACAAAATGTTGCCATTGTTTTTATTTTCTTTTCGCTGTTGATTTTAAAATTAAGTAGAATTCACTTCTAGAAGAGAAATTTAACCAAACCATTATCACCATCATCCTACTTTCATCAGAGGGTATCCTTCGAGATTAGATTATATTGCTGAGATTCTAAAGAAACGATAAAATACAAAAAAAAACAATAGAATAGAAAAAATCTCAAAAAGAATCACATCCATAAGAAGCTAATGAAAAGTAACTTTATGGTTTCGGTTACTGTTGACTAATCCAATTTACTCAACTTACCAAACGAAACATAACCAATTACGAATCAAGGGTTAGCACAATTGATTTGGAACAATTAAAAAACACAAATTAACTCGAAAAACAAAAAGACCAATTAACTAATTAGATGAAACAATTAACAATTGCGAGGAGAAATGTGACCCAAGACATGTGACCCTTTAGATTTATAATCTCCTTGGTAACCGATCACCTGATCGAAAAAAGAATTTTTTTTTTCGATTTCAAATTTATTGTTATTCTTTTGATTGTTTCAACTGTTGATTGTTAACTAAATTAAAGCTTTGATTGTAATTAAATATTTTCTTTAAATTCTCCTTTAATTGTTACTTGGAATTGATAATATTTCTAATCTTTGTTTGTTTCTTTCTGTTTGATTTGATTTTCTTTATGTTTCTTTATCAACACACCATTGGCGCCATTTTGATGATTCATATCTTTATCGTTTATACACTTATTTGATTTCTCTTCCCATGGAATTGTAATATTAATCATGGTTATTAGATGCTGCTAGAAAAGCAGCTCTTTTTATGGCCATATCCACTGGTTCAATACTATTGGGCTTTTTTTTATGTTTCACTGCCAACAAATGTAATCGCCGTAAGGTACTAACATTTGCCTCGGGAATCTCATTCATACTTTCAGGTAAATTATTCATTCTATTGAAAATCTTTTTCTCATTTAACATTAACATGACTACTTATCCTTTCCACTAAGTGTATGCCTTGTGTTTTCATCTTTTCGTTTCCCATTCAACCTTCACCTTTATCCTCCGAGTCTGATTTTTCATTGGAAAGGATTGAATGGAAGAGGAAAGAACATCTCAATAGTCTATGAGTATCTATCATTAACTCTTCGAATAATAGTGTAAATGTATCGCTCTCTCTCTCTCTCTCTCTCTCTCTCTCTCTCTCTCTCTCTCATCATAGGTTGACTATTTGGTGAAGAGAGAAAAAAATTGTCGAGAAAAAATGGTTTACTATTATAACGGTTTTGACCTATTTTCATTATATTCTATTCTCTATTTCTGTTTATTGTTCAATTGCCTTTTCCTTTTTAACTTCTATCTTCCATTTCCACCGTAACTGTCTTTTCCTCTTCACCTGATCTCTTTAAATACTATGAATTTCTGATCTTTGAAGAAAAGAAAAATATTACAAATCTAATTTTTTTTCTTCATCTTATTCTAGTCATAAATCACAGGAAACCTCATAGTTTGAACAAAGTGTCGAGAAAAAAAATCTCCTCCTGTGAATCTAAGCTTGCATAACCCTTCAGATTTTTTTTTCTCTTCTTTTCCTCACCAACATTGACTCAATTCTGGAATAACAGATAGAATTGGTATTCAGTTATGGTGAGAAAAAAAAGAGTAAAAGAAAAGAATCGAAGATTCAGTTTACTATTAGTTGTTACCATGTAATTCAGTGGAAACTAATCTTTGGTTACACACACACTGAATCTGAAATTCTCTCCCCTTATTGTCATTGCTTCATTTTGCCTTCAGTTCTCCCTTTCTCCTCATTAAACCCTTCATCTCTCTTCATCTCTCTTTCTCTCTCATTGTTAGATTATCAAAATCATCAGGTTACCTTTGAAAATACCTCATTAATGATCTTATAAAAGATATTACATTTACTTTGTGATACATTGTTTTCTCCTCATCATTTTGTCTTTTTTTCTTCCACTCGTCTTCACTGCTAATACTTTCCTCATCTCTCTAACTAATCTTCCAAAGATAAACCCAGAGGGATGATGATGATTCCTTTATAACTAACCAATATAACAGTTAACTATTTACATCTATTCAATGTATTATAATATCTGAACTTACCAATTTGTCCCTGAAATTATTAATACCATCACATGAGTTACTCTCCTTTCTCTTTTAAATAATAAATTCAGGGATAAAGTTCAAGAGTTTTCTAGGCTTATTGTGACTATTGCTCCATGAAAAGTGTCACCAAGCTTCAATACATTTCATCTCAATCTTTTTCCCTCCCTAAGCTAATGTATGTTATCATTAATATGATGAATTTCTTGCTTGTGTAATAATAAGCTCACCATAAAAAACTGTCATCACTTTTTTTCTCATGTGTTTGTATAATATAATTGTTAGCTTAATGATATCCATGATTAGCAAATGAACTTTTTTTTAATCAGTAAAAAAAAATTAGAATTCAATCCATCAGCTAAACCCAAAGTTCACCTTGATTTTAATTCCTTTTGAATCCAGTTTTCTGTTTCATTTTGATTACAATTTTCTTTGCTATTTTTTAATTGTTTTCTTTTTTTCCCCATTGTCCAGGTTTAATTATTCTCTGTGGTATTGTGATATACATCTCAACGTTTAAAGCCGAAGTGGGCAATAAATTGCGGCCTAAATCATCTTTCCAAGAGGCAACTTTCAGATATTCTTATGGTGTTTCCTTCATGTTTGCCGTTGTGAGCCTTATGATGTGTGAAGTGGCGGGAACTTTTTCCATCTTTTTATACATTAGAATACACCAAATAGATTGGGAGAAAGAGTTCAGTCAACAAGAAGCATTAGTTGATCTTTTACAAACTCCCGGTCCAATGGCATCAACTTCATTGAATACTAACCTTAACTCAATGGCCACGGTTACCAATTCATTACCAGCACCTATTGCCTCGTATTGTAAGAAACATGGTGGTCGAGGTCGTCGGTATAGCCGATCAAAGGAAATCTCTCGTGAACCCTCACCCATTCCACTGCCCTTGAAAACATCACGAACACCATCTTACCTTGGTGGTATTGCAAGTCCACTTCAAGTTTCACCACCTTCCGCTGATTATGGAGACAATTTCCAAGCATCTTCAAATTTTCCATTTCCACCGCCACCATTACAATCAATTTCTCATACTCATCAATCTAATCCCTCTTCTTCAACTAGTGGGGTTCATCATCTTACATCTAAATCTAGTGTTGGAAAGTCATCTGATGTCCGATTCATGGTTTCAGGATCATCTCAACATCATTCATTTACATCATCATCAAATCGTGAATCTGATCAAATACAATCTCACTCTTCTCATCATCTTCATCATCTTCAATCTTTACCCACAATCACTGGTTCCATTGAGATGGATAGAGAATCATCTTCCCGTGATGAATATTCACCTCCCCTCGATTCAATGTATCGAACAACTTATCCAACACCGATCATGGAACAAGATTTCAGTTCGAACAGTGAATATACGGGAGACTATTCACCGACTAAAGAATATCCATTAGACAATCTTCGTCGAACAACACCCGTTTGAAGAAGAAACGAAAATAGAACGTTTTTCTAAAGAAAAAACAAGAATCAGACTCTGGTCTTAATCCAATGAGATCTTTAGAAAGATAATCGAGGTTGATTTGGTAATTGCGATGAACGTTGAAACAACATTTCTCTTAATCAGTGAGAATTTATTTCCTCTGCTGATAAAATCAAAATAATCTAAAGGGACCAAAGGTTAAATCATCTGAATAAAGAATCAATTTTGTTGATCAACTCACCTTCCAAATCAATGCAATTAACGTAATAGCAATACAGTGAGAAGATTAATTCTGAATGCTGATTCTAATTCCATCAAATCATCAAGACAATTTGTATCACCCAAGAGGACAAGAAAATCCAATCAGAAAATCACCAAAAATCACCAAAGTTTTGGTGAAGGCGAAGATAAAACCAAAAGGAACAAACAAGTTATACATGCAATTCTTGAGCAACAGATTAATAATCTGTTTCTAAATTAAAATCGCAAACAAAAAAAAAGAGTCCAAACAATTTATTAATCATCAAAGAGAAAACTAAAAATGAGAAAATTATTGATGATCTTCTGTGGACTTTATCAAGCAGAGAAGTGAAAATCTTTGCTTTACTTTGTAAATAATGAAGAGAAAATTTTAACTAATAGTTATTGTGCTATTTGTTGAACAATTTCAAACAAAAGGAATAAAATTAAAAATCTTTTATAACAATTAACTCAATTTTGTATTCAATCCCCAACTAGGGACAACTAATCAATACACTTGTAACAATTACAGTGTTTAACGAGAGTAATGATATTGAAATGTCATATTAGCTTCTCTCCAAAGTTTATTTTTCATTTCGATAACTATATGATCAGTTCATTGTTTAATATACAAAATTTTTCGTTTAAAGCAAAATCGTAGTGAGTTTAATTGTTGCTGAACAATTAGATTTACAAATTACTCACATTGGTTGTTTGTAGTTTTTTGTTTCAATCCATGATCTGATTCTCCTCGAAAAGATGTTAAAATATAGACAAGCCTTGGTGGTAATCAATTTATATAAGAAAATAAAACTTTATCGAGTTTAATTGGCCTTTAATTATCAAGAATCAAAGAGAATCAAATCTTAACAATTTAACTCTAATTTTATTTTCAATCCTCCCCCAAGGACAAATGCTTTATACATTTTCCCACCCATGGTGGTACTACCGAGCTAGACGCCCAGTTTGCAAAAAATATATTAATACATTTACATTATATTGTATTTGATTTTTTTACAATTTTGAAAATTCTTTTAAATAACCTGTAAGAAACAGATTAGCGATCCAGTTTTGTTTTTTTTTTGTATAGTAAAAGTCTTGTATAGTATTTAGGTGTATAGTATTTGAGTGTCTAGTATTTAATTTGATTAAAGTTAAAATATGTGCCAATTGTTTGTGACAAAGGTGAAAATCAGGTCCAAAGATAGTTTAACTCATTAGGTTTTTCCAAGAAAACAAAATGGTTGAAGTTATTACGACGCAATAATAGCTCAGTTTTAAGAGTAACAAAAACCACTAAAGTAACTGTTGAACTATCATAATTTTGGTATCAACTTGATCCTTATGATGAGATGAACAATAATAACACAAAATTTAATTTTAAATTCACAGGTAAAGTTAATTAAATTATAATTTATCAGGAGCAAAGAAAGTTAAAAGTCTCTCTTTCATTTAATTCTCATTTAGTTTCTTTCGTTGCAAAGAGATGGCGCTGAGGAGAAGAGTTTATATAAGCTCAAGCTTCTCAATTGAAGTGAACATTTTGATTAAAATTGTTAATTGTTACACTCTTGTTTTAATTGTTCTAATTTTGATTTAGTGTTTTTTTTTGGTTTTTTAACATGGATAATCTTCTGTCGGCTTTGGCAATGAAAGAACGTAAAAGGTATAGATTGGAGCTGGAAAAGAATTTACTGGAAAATGATAATCGGGAACTTGTTGGTAACATTACGGTTAAAGAAGCGGAACTTAAATCAATCCAAGAAAAAATTAATGAGAGTTTAGCAATTAGAGGAAATGCAATTACCGAGGCTATAGATGCTCATAAGCAACGACTTAATAAATGTAAAGAAGAATTAAATTTAATCTCTTCAACAATCAAGAAATATCAAGAAGTAGGTAAGTCAATTTAGAAGAGAATTTTTTTTTATTCTTTTCTCTTTTCTATATTGGTAAAAATGATTCACTCTCTTGATTGTTTTTCATTATTTTCTTTTTGTGATTATGTGATTGTTTTTCAATTGCAATTTAGCCACTTCCACTATTGAGGATTCTGTTGATTTGGATAAAGAAATTATTTACAAAGAAAATGATTTGATTAAAACAATTACCCAAATATTGGAAGAAGACACTGAACCTTATGAACCCGCCGAAAAATGGTTGAAAGATGAACATGAGCTAAAAAAGAAAGCTAAGGAAATGGTAACTAACATGATTAGAAATGAGAAATTTCAATACCCACTGATTACTGATTTTTTTTCTCTATTTTAGATTCAAAGTGATAATAAATTTTTGGCCGATCGGGTTATGTTCTGGCGAAATATGAATAAAAGGCTAACAAAAATTTCACTTCCAAGAGCTGAGTTAACAAGCTCTCAATCAACAGTTGATTTAGACGAAGCTGATTTAGTCAATTTACATAATCTCCTACCCGAGGAATAATTTTACCATTTTCAAAGAAATAATCAACTTATTCCTCACAATTGGAATTGAAAAAATGGCTTATAAGTGATTCATCGCCGATTCATAAAGTGGAAACAATTACCAAATATCTGTTTGGTTATTGGAGACAAAGTTTTAATAGCTTGACTAATTAAGCTATAAATCAAAATAGTAAAGTGGTGCTAATTATTAATAGTACAATTTTCAATTGAAGCTTACATATATTAGATAAATAGGTTCGATTGATTTAGGATTTAATTGTTTTCTTCGGAGGTTCAACCGGAGATGAAATTATTCCAAGTAAAGTACAATCAGCTTCCAGTAGAGTTAAATCTTTACTTGAACCAAGAAAACGAGCTGACAATTCCAAATCATTTAACCTCAATTTCACTTTGGCTCCTCTTACATATTCGCTGTAATAGATGGAAAAATGGTGAATAAAAATTGATCACAATCGAATTACATAAAAAAGTCATATTTTACTAATTAGAAAAACTTACATTCCATTTTGTGGTCGCTTACAGACACAATGAAATTTTCCACCGAAATCAATGTACAAATCGTCTTCGATTGTGTGATAAATTGTTCCAGCGATTATTTTACCCTCAGGGTCTCCTAATGCGATGAGACCCGAATGACGAAGTAAAGTGTCAAACGAAATCTCTTCTTTTTCCTTAGATGCACTCGAATTGGGTAATGTTGCTGATTGTGAATTCGATGAACAAAAATTTGATTCTCTTCTCACAATCAATTCTTCACAACGAAGCAAATTCTTTCCAAACATCGGTAACTGGGGTGATCTTAAGGTAAGCTTTCTTTTACCTCTCACTTGATGACAACAATTAGTTGACCATAATTTATAACCTAAATCACAGAATAGAATAGAAAAAAAATCAAATGAAGAAAAAGACAAAATTAACACAGAGAAAAAACCACCGATTAAATTGATAGAAAAAGAAAGAAATTGTTCACTTAGAATAGAAATTGATACTTACCAACTGTTCTAGAACTGATTTGTTCTAAATTTTTACAAATTAAAGCCATAATTTATCGACAATTATCCGAAACAATCAACTTAGAAAACTAAAAATCATTTAAACACAAAACCAAAACAAGAGAAAATCACATGGAGGATCTGATACTTTCTATCGATATCGGTTAGTATCTTTTGATATTTTCTATTTTTGATTTTTGATTTCAATTCCAATTTTGATTAATCAACTTCTCAATTATTGATGAATAAACGAAATTTATTAATTTCATTAATGTTTATTGAACTAATTAAGCTTTAATAATTTGATTTTTTTTCTCAATTTGGTAATCAAATGTTGACTAAATTTTTACAGTTTTGTTTTTGTTTTGTTTTCCTTATGATTTTCAATCTTTATGATTTATCTGATTTACTTTTTGAATAAGTTTCAAGTGAAAGAGATAATTGTTTTCCATGATAATCAAGGGTTGAACTGAGAGAAGATGCAAATGAATTAAGAGTGTGAACAAGTTGAGCATGAAGAATAGGTAAACCTGGAAGATTAGCTAATTCTTTGAGTTCATTTTTCCTTAGAACTTGATTTTCATAAATACCAAACATTAGAATCATGAACGGAGCTGATCTTTCGAGTTTTAATAAATTGTTAACCTTAGAGATTGAAACATTATCTCCAAAAGCGACAGCAGTTTTAACAGATCGACTGTAAAACTTAAGCAATGGCCGATATCTGGTTGACTTTAGAGCCAATTCAGCGACATCGTTTCCATAAATTTCCACTTTGAATCCTAATCTCATGATTAAATTTTTATTCTCCTTGTAGGTTAAATCATCAATTGAATTAACATGATAAAAGATGGTCAAAGTTGATTTGTCCAGGTTACTTTTGAATTCATCGGCTAATATTTTGACGTATGGATGCGGTTCAAAATTTTCATCAGATTTCAAATTAGGACAAGTAATTGATGTTGGATAATCGGAAACCCTTTTCATTATCGGTTCACATGCCGCTAATAGTAATTTCTTTTCATATACTGGGAATTGAGGTGATCTAAGGGTAAGCTTCTTTTTACCTCTCACTTGATGACAACAATTAGGTGACCATAATTTATAACCTAAATCACAGAATAGAATAGAAAACAAGACCAAATTAACATGAAGAAAAAAATGTAAACTCAAGGAAAAAACTATCGATTCAATTGATAGAAAAGAAAGAAATTGTTTACTTAGAATAGAAATTGATACTTACCAACTGTTCTAGAACTGATTTGTTCTAAATTTTTGCAAATTAAAGCCATAATTTATCGACAATTAACCGAAACAATTAAATTGAAAAAAGACAATCAACTAAAAATAAAATCAAAACAAGAGAAACTCTTTATTTCTGTTAGCTTTTTTTACAAAGTGCCAAGTGTCTATTAAGATAGTCACATGACTGAGTGAGTTCGAATCTCACCCTCTAGAGGTCATGCTCATCCACCTCTTTGACATTCATTCTTTTTTTAGTACTTCTTGTGCTTCTTTGATTAATATTACATATTGTATAAATTCTGATATTATTGCTTTGTTTTCTGGTTTTGTCTCAATTTCATAGTTGTTTTCTCTCCTCATTTCGTTTAGTCCTGTTATTCCATCCATCCAGTGGCAGCTCGTGAGTAGGTGTTCCCATGTGGTTCTTCTCTGACAACAATCGAAGTCGATCAGCTTTTTTGTTACGATTTCTAATATTTGTTTCTCTGTTTTTCCCTTGATTTTCATTTTGGGAAAGAGGTACGCTACGATTTCCCCACTGTGTCTATATGCTTCCATGATTTTTCTTTTTGCCCATGTTCTCATGTATCTTCTTTGTATTAGTAGGTTCCAGTATCTCGCGATCGTTATATTGTCCAGTGAGCATATTTCATCTTCATTGAATTCGACTTGTAGTTTCTGGCCAAACCACCACCACAATTTGCTCTTGGCTTCGTTCATTATTTTTCGGACACTTTCGGCGAAGATTGATGATCCCTTCCAGTACTCTGTGATTTTCTCCGTGACTAGGATCCAACAATCCTCGATGTCCCTGTTTTTGATTATATATTCGAGTGCTGTCAGTTCCGCTTCCCATTCGTTTTTTGCTTCCATGATTTGGTAGCTTTTATCGATTTCGTCCTTCATCTTCTCGTCTTCCATTACCACTGCAATCCACTGTTTCTGGTATCTAAATATTTTCCAGTAGATTCGCTTATATGGATTCTTGGCCCTTTTCCATCTATTCCGTAACCACGACCAGTTTTGGTTTGATATTTGTTGATACTCTGGTGTACTCGTGAAGTGGGTTAACTTTGGTACTGGGAATTTAGATTTTATTTGTCTCATCGTGATCAGTATTGTTTCTACTGGATTTGGGCATTTGTTCCTTAAGATGTAAGTCCATCTTGAGCTGAGGCTGCTTTCGAAAAACATATTGTATATTGAACCAAAAGCTTTTACCATGATCATTATTGTTTCTAGAAATTCTTCTACTCCTTTCGGGTTTTGATAGAAGAGGCTGAATATTAAGCTATTGACTTTTGGAAAGATAATCGTTGTGGCAATTAGATTTTTAATCTTAACAGGAAAATATCGCCATGAACCTGATTTTGTTTGTATTTTATCTCTTAGTTTCCTTGCTTCTGTTGCGACCAGTTCTTGATATTTTCTCTCGATGTTTTCGTCTATTATTAATGAATATCCGACTGATTCGAATCTGATCATCTCTTTAATTCTGTATTCTTCTGTTTTTTGTTTATTCAACTTCAGGTTCAACGATCTCAGTGCTATCGATACTAAGTCGAGGATGTTGCTCGTTGGTCGTGTTGTTATGGCTACCATATCATCCGCGTAGGCGATGATTTCGATTCCAATGTTTCTCAGTTTTCTTATGGCCGAGTCGAGGCACATTATGAAGAGAAGCGGACCGATCGCAGTGCCTTGTGGTACTCCAATCTCGTCTCTCTTGTACTTTTTTCCTTCATCTGTTTTTATTACCAGCCATCTATTTATCAGTATCGCTTTGATCATGTTCCATGTTGATCGTCCGAGCGCTTTTACGAGTCTCTCTTCTTCGTTCAGTACTTGTACTTCATCGAACGCGCATGAGATGTCCATTTTTATTATTCGACTGTTGTCTTGGTGGTCTGAGTATATGATGTTGGCGAAAAAATCTTCCCTTTTCATGTCCGTTTGGAACGCGAATTGTGTTGATGGTAGGAGGTAATTTCCACACGCTTGTTGTAGTCTTTCTGCTAAGATTGAGTCGATGATTTTTAGCAGATAACATGGTGATTTGACCATTCGGTATCTTACTCCATCTGCTTTTGGTATTAGCATGCAGCCTAGTGTCGTTATGCAGTTTGGGATGTGCGAAATTGAAAACATAATTCCGATTATCTTTTTAATCTCTTCTGCATTTATTCTGTAGAATTTTTTCCATGTGTTTTTTGTGAAATTATCTGCTGTTAGCGATGATGAGTCGAATTTGATTCCGTCTATTTTTTCTCTTTCGTTAATTTCAAGATTTCCTTGGACTATTTCTGGATCATCCTTGTAATCTGGTTTTTCGTGGCTGAAACCTTTCATCAGATTTTCTTTTGACTCGACCGTTTTCGGGTTTTTTGGGTCGATTTCGATTTCGTCTTCACCGATGATACGTTTGTTTATAATTTGCCACAATTTTTTGTTGTCCTTCTCGTTCATTAGAATTCTCTTTAGTGAATATTTTTTTAGTTTTTCGTTGATTTTTCTCGTTACCTCTCTTATTTCTTCTTCTTTCTTTTCTGTTCTTGATTCTTTTAATAATTTTCTTCTTCTTTTTCTCATTCGATTTAGCGCATTTCTTTTTGGCTTTGGTGTTTGCCATCTTCCATGGTCATCGGGGAAGAATTTTATTTCTCTACATCTCGTTATCAGCGGGTGATTTTTATTCCATTTTAATGTTTGGTCAATTGTTATATGTTTTTCTTTTAATTTCCAAGAGCCAAGGATGAGTGTTTTCTTTTTTTTCTGTTTTGTTTCTTTTTTGTCGAATTGGTTGTTGTTTATTTCGAACTTTGCCGTTAGTCCAACGTGGTCCAATTTTTCAAGTCCTGTTGTTGCCGTTGTTAAGGCTTTGCACTTTTCGTTACTCAACATGATGTCAATTACTCTTCTGGTGTTTTGGTATGTTGTGTTGAGATTTTCGTGGTTGATTTTTAGGATTTTTTTCTTGATCATCTCTTCGAGTGGTTTGAAGATGGTTCGCCATGTTTCCCCTCGAGCTAATGGTGTTTCAAAATTTTTATTCCACAATGGAGATGCATAATTGACATCACCAGCTATGATTATTGGTGAGTTTTTGTTTTCATTAACCGTTCGGATTATCTCTTGGATGGTTCTTCTACCTTGTTCTTGTTTTATTTGGTCACCCCATGACCTTACATAAACAGCTCCTACTATCACTTTCATGAAGTTGAGTCTCACTAGTATCATGTTGTTGTTTCTGGTCATTATCGTACCACTGAGGTCAGTTGATAAAATGATGGCCACCGAGTTTGTCACGAACAGAGTTAGATCATTTGATCTTAGTTGAGCTTTCGCTGGGGATTCACTTATCAGTATTACTGTTCTTTGTTTGTTTTTAACTTTATTTTCAAGTAATTTGAGAACTTCGATTTTTTTTCTAATGTTTAAACTTATTATTGTAATTCCATACATTGTTCCTTTTTAAACTTTTTTTGTTTTTCACCTTCTCTTATTTCAGGCATGTGATCTTGTTTCCATGGTTACTTGATGTATTTTGCCGTTTATTTCTTCGTCTTTTTCTTTTCTCTTTATTTTAAAACTTGTTTTTCTTCCTTTTTCTTCTCGTTCTATTTTTTGTTTTCTTTTGGAAAAAAGAATGTCGGATTTTTTGCCGCTTCGTTTAACTGATTTATATTTTAAGCCCATTCTTGATGAGGATCGTAATTCGACACCCCGAAGTGGTTCTTATCATTCTCTTCATGTCAATGTTATTGGGCCTTTGGTTGGTCTTGTTCGTCGTTTTTCTCAGATTGTTCACGATGGCGATTTGACTTTCCATCTTGTTCGCTTAGAGATTCGGTTTGGTTCTCGAGTGTTTCGTGCGGATGCTTTTTCTCGTTCACGTTCTGGTGCCGTTAATTTAGCGGCTGAGAAGATGTTTAATCGGTTACTTCTAACTGATTTGGTCTTGGTAAGTTTCGGGTGATCTGGTGATCCTAATTTAAGTTAACTATTTCTTCCCTTCTTATTAAGATTATTTTCCCCTTTTCTATTTTCGTTTATTTGTTTATTTATTTAATCTCTTTTTTTTTTTTTTTTTTACAGCCTCCTCACATAATTGGGTTGCCTAATGTTCGTGGTCATTGTTTTTTGACGACTGTTTTGGTTATGTTGATGCGGTCTCATAGTTTTGTGCGGTGTCTATTTCGCGTTAACCAGGAGGTTACTAGTGATGTGAATTCCGGTGTTGAACTCAATCCTCTTAATCGAGATGTGCTCTATTCTTTTGGTGAAGTGCCTTTTCTTTGGACTCGAGCTTTCTTCCGCTTTTTCCGTTTGTATTTAAAGGTTTCTCGTAGCGGTCGACTTGATCTTTTAAATCTACCATTGGGTTTGTGGCCTCACTATGGTTCTGGAGATGCAACTAAGGTTAAACCTGACGTTGATCTGAGTTTGGACAATTTGATGATGCTCATATGCCGGTTACTTGGTAATTTTGTTCGTGCTGATTATCTGAGTCCTGGTGGTAAGGAGGAAGTGTTTTATTCTGATCTAATGTTGCAGCTTCGTCGTGAGAGCTCAGAGTTCGTGTTGACCGCTCATGTTTTGTTGTCTGTTAGTTTCGTGTGTGCTGATTGTGAATCTCAATTTGATAATCATCCAGTGGCTCTTCCTTATGTTTTTCTTCGTGATTTTCTTGGTTCTGGTGTTTCAGGATTTTGCGATTTTATCGCTGATTTTGTTCATTTGTTGCCTCAGCAGTTGATTACTTGTATTGGTAGTTTTGGTGGTAAAATTTGTAATTCTGACCGGTTGTCTTTCTCTTCTCATGAGATCGTTTCTATACCCTCTCTACTGGTTTTCCGATTTCCTGATTTAGGATCTTCTGGTATTTCTGGTCAGATGACTCCTGATGAGTTAACTATCACTTGGTCCAGTGAGATTCTACACTATCGCCGCATCGCGTATTCTTGTGATTATCGTGTTTATGATGGTGGTGTTGATTCTGAGTCTTTCAGGTTCCCCACTTCTTCGGAGGCTTTTTTGGGTTGGCATTCGATAGCTCATGTTTTAACTACCCGTGGTTGGTTGGAGTATAACAATGGTAGGGAGGGTTTACCCTCACCGGCTTTGCTGGGTGGTCATACTTCTTACTCTTTAGTTTTTTATGATATGGACAATTCATTTGTACCTGAGCCTTCAATTTGTTTTGAAGAGAAGTGATTTTTATTAAAAGGATTCAATTTTATTTGTTCATGAAAAATGAGAAAAGTTTTTTTTTTTTTTTCAAATGAGGGGGGTTTTAAAATGGGATGAGTTTCATTTATCATGCTTTTTTATTCATTAGGTGGTTCGCTGCGGGGGCGACCACAATTCAGTGTCAGCTCTCGATTTTGCGGCCACCTAATTTTTCTTTCGAGGGTGAATGATGAAGGAGTATGAGTAGTCGATTTGTTCGATCGCTTTTCTTACAGCCTGTTTGTATTCGGTGCACATGAAGTCACCAACTGAGTGGCCTTTCTCTCCGCATGATGCACATGCTTTCTTGTTCGAGTTGCACCGATCAGCGGTGTGATTTTCCGCGCACTTTGGGCATCGGTCTTGGAGACGGCAATTTACTCTTGTATGAGTGTATGCTTGGCAGCGTCTGCAATGAAGTATTTCAATCTTGTCTATAATGTCATGATTGTAGCTTCCGCAGAAGATTTTTCCATTCTTTTTATTTTGGATTTCTGATCTGATCGATTGGTCGACTCTGATCACAATCACGTTTGTTTTTTTAATTCCGATTGTGTAATGTTCAACCAGTTCGAACAGTGTATGTTTCGGGAAACCGTTCATTTGTTTTATTCTTGCGACCATTTGTTGCCAATCTGTTGCTGGTTTCATGATTTTCACTCCTGCCACTTTTATTTCCGGTTTCTTCCATTTGGGTACCTCGATCTTGAGGCCTTCCATTAGCTCATTCAGTTTCTCTACCATGTCTCTTCTTGTTACCTCGTTGTTTAATGCAATATTGGTCGAGTCGGCCTTCTCATTAATTCGTATGATGTTGCCGCTCATCATGTTGTTATTCAAGAGTATCTCGCTAACTGCGGCGTTCGATCGTTGCTCTCGAGGTCCCTTTATCACTATTGTGAATTCTCTTTCTTGGTGTGTCCAAGGGAGCCAATTCTCTGGTATGTTCGTTTTGTTGCCGAAGAGATTTGTTGCCAATTTTTGTTTTTTTCTTTGTGGTTCAGTTTGTTGGGCTTCTTCTTGTATTTCTCTGTTTTGTGAGTTACCAGCGTTTACATGGCTTTCTGTTATCTCTATTTCTGGAGCTGTTTCATTAGGTGTGTTTAATATTTGTTGTGTTCGTAGGGTTTGTTGTCTTTTTGTTTGTCTTGTATTTCTACCAAAGAGTGGACGGTTTTTTTGCAGGGTCGACTTGGGACGCTGAGTCAGGTCGCTCGACAGGAGGTTATCCATTTCCGCTTCTTGGGCTTCTCTTTCTTTTAGAATATTCTCAATCGTGTTTTCATATATCTTCATTTTGGTCTTGGTGGATTCATCAATTGCCATGAGTGCGACAAGGCTTGGTGATTCCAATGTTGTTTTGACCCATTCCTTTTTGTTTTTCAGGGACTCAGTGGGTAGATCAAGCAGCGCTTTTCTACATTCTTCTGGGTTTGGTGGTTCCCCAACGCACTCTGTGATTGTTAAGATCAGTCGAGTGTTTTGGTCTCTGGTGTACCTTTCGCTCATTCTAGTTGTTGTGATATAGGAAGAGAGAAAGGTTAGTGGTTCTTGTGATGGTTCTCGTTTAATTGCTTGTATTAGGCTTTCGCCATGCTCGTTTTTTTTTTCTTGTTACTTACGTGTTATTTATTGTTTTTTTCGCACTTATTTATATTTGTTCGAAACCTTGAGGTTCACTGAAGCACTTTTTTTCACTCTGGGGTTTTCTTAATCACTATTTGTTTATCTTTTTTACCTGTTGAAATTTAAGCACATTTATCGCACATCAAACTCATGAGGATCAGATACTTTCTATCGATATCGGTTAGTATCTTTTGATATTTTCTATTTTCACTTTTTGAATTGAGAATCAATTAAATCTTTAATTGTATTGTTTATAATTAGACTTCTCAATACTTATTGAAATTAAGCAAATTGTCCGCCAATTCATGAATAACATGAAAATTTCTCGTTAGTCAATATTAACTTTTTTTCCTTTTTCTTACCTTTGAATTGTTTTCTCTTTACAATCAAAATAATCCATTAATCTAATTCATTGATTAATCGTTTGATTAAATTACCTTAATCATTATCGTCTAATCATTACGCTTAATAAACATTAGGACAGTTAATATTACGATAATTTAGACAAATGTAAAGTGAAATCAGAATTTAATGAGAAAACAATTTAACAAATGAAAAGTTTATCAATAGTTAAGAGAAATGATCAAGGTTGATTGTCGAGATAAATTGATTGTAATGATTATCAATTGATATTATCATTTTCATTTGTCAGCAATTTAACACAACGATCGGTAATTAATTAATTACCTGATTATGCAAAACAAGCCGAATACAAACCAGAATTAAAATCTAATTAGATCAGGTAACTTAATCTCATCTCATCTCAATATCATAAATCACAATTAACAGTTTAACCTAATTTAATTTCTTAAACTTATACTAACTAATTAGCTACAAACACAATTAGACTTTAAATTGTCATTAGACAATTGTGATTATTAAGATTCTCGATAATAAATTAGCTAATTAATTGGATGAAAATCTATTAATAGAAAGATTTAGAAAGTTAAAATTTAGATTAAGAAATCAGATGAAGAACAATTTTCCAATCCTAAACAATTAACCATATTAATCGTTAGTTAACAGTCAACAATTAACTTTTTTAATTCTCAATGAATATCTTAAGGAATCATTTCCTTTGGTAGAGGAAGAAATTTACTCCAAAATTAGTTGATTGTTGGTTAATTGTTCCTTTTACTATTATTACCTAATTCGCAATTTTCAAAGGGTCAAGTTCACCAAATTTAATTAATTGTAGTTTATTGATCAGCTAATTGTCAGAAATTATCTAAATTAACCTTCGTTCACAATTTAACTTGTTTTCCCTATTCTTGTTGGTGTATTGATTACAATCAACAAGAAAAAAAGATTATTAAGATTTACGATTGTCATTTATTATAAATAAACGAAAATAATCATTTTCGATTGTAATAATTAATGATTACCTGAGTTCTACTTACAATTGTTGTTTCTTAATTGTAAACAATGATCAAGTAGAAATCAAACCAATAACGATAATTACAATTTACTATTTACAATTTGATGTTTTTGTCCATTTACCTTGAGATTTGGATGTCAATTTATTTCCTTGTGTCTTAATCATTGTTAATCTTGTTTATATCTTTACATCATTAAGCTTAATTAAGATCAAAATTAACTAATCGTTAACAGTTATTAATCCATAACAACAAAATTAACCCATTTGTAGATATAAATATTCACAGAGATGTTGTAAATTGTTTACTTATAATTAATGATCAAATTATTAGCCAAATGAAATTTAACTATTTGTGTGCAATCAGTTGATTGAGTTAAAGGTAAGTTAATTGTGATATTTAACCAGTAAACAAGATTTTAATTGTCAAAGGTTCAACTTGAATCCAAAAATAGAAAAGCAATTTGTATGAAATCAGTTAATTTAAAGTGAGTTGATTGCTTGTAAATTCAGTTCCATCGGTGGAAGAATCAATCAAACATTTAATTATTTCTTAATAAAAACAATTAACTAATATTTTCTTCTTTCTACTTAATTGTTGTTTATCGTTAACTTTGCTGTGGATTAAATGAATTTTTAGCAATCGAATCAAGAAAAACTGATCAAATTTGATTCACGGAAAGAGAATCAAAAAGTTGAGATGAATATTAAATATTCACAATTCTGATGGAATCAATTATCTATCATGCAAATTATTTTCTTTCTTACTAATCAAGGTAAATCTTCCTCAGGTAATTAAATGTTTTCTTCTAACTCACTTTTAGAGTTTAACTCTAATTCTAAATTTGATTCTAATTATAATTCGTGTTAATTTAATTTCTCTCTGAAATTCAGCCAGAGGTTTTTCCAGTTTCCATTAGAGTTCCGCCTTCCCTCTCTCTCTTTCTTACCTGATGTAAATTCATCAAATTGAATTTTGGTGATTATAAACACGATGATGATAATTGTGAGAGTGACGTAGTAATGGTAACGATGCTGACGATCATGAAAACGCAAAGGTAAACAAGAGATATAAGAAGAAAAAAGGAGTTCGAGAGAGAGAGAGAGAGAAAAACTTTGAGTGAGAAGTTTTTTTTCATATTCTAATTTACCTTCAGGGCAATTAAATTCTACTTATACTTTTTTCTCCATTTTCAGTCTTTCGCTCATTTATACAACAACAATCAACATAAACACGAAATAAACAACTTTCGTCTTTTTCAAGGTAACAGAATAATCAACAATTAGGATTCGGTTATAAAATCGGTTATCAATTGGAAAAGTGTATTAACCAAAGGATTACCAATATTCTGGAAATTTATTTCTTCTTTATTCTTAATTCAGTGATTAACCTTTTCTATCTAATTTAATCTTCATCTTTAGATTTGTTTTCTCACATTTACTTTTCCATTTGATTTTCATCTTATTCTCAATCTTCATCTTCAAAGTGTAGGTTTAATTTTCTCAATCTGTCGATCATCTGATCATTTCAATTTCTTATTAACAGTGTGATTAAAGTTTAGTAAATTTTGTCACAATGAATAATAATTTGGAATCAGTTGATTTGGATCAATCTCCAATTCAAGATTTTTATTCAGGGAGAAATGTTTTCGTCACCGGTTTCTCAGGTTTCCTTGGAAAGGTAAGTTGATTGGAACTTTTTTTTCTCTCATCAGTGTTTAAGATTTAGATTCTAATTCTAATTAATTTGATTACAGGTCATTGTGGAGAAATTATTACGAAGTGTTGATGTCAAACGTATTTATGTTCTACTTCGGGGTAAACGGGGACTGAGTCCATCGGAAAGATTGAAACAATTGATGAACAATCCGCCGTTCACTCTTCATGATAAAACTGTTCTTAATTCATACAAAGTGGTCGCGATCGAAGGTGACCTCAGTTTACCCAATCTAGGAATTGATCTTGAAAATCGTGAAAAATTGGTCAAGGAAATCGATATTGTCCTTCATTGTGCCGCTGATGTGCGTTTCGATGCTGATTTAGAGTGAGTTAATCATGACAATCAACGTTCCTTCCGATCCAATCTTGATTTGTGTATGGGATTTGATGTTTAATTTGATTTTTCATTCATTCTTTTTCCAACAATTAAGATCAAATATCGTTAATAATGTCAAAGGAGCTGAATATTTGCTCGACTTGTGCCATCAATTCAATAACTTAGCCGCTTTGGTCCATGTTTCGACGGCTTATTCGTTTTGTGATAGACTAAAAATTGAAGAAAAAGTTTATCCTATGGACGCTGATTACAGCGCTGTAGAAAAAATTTTAAAGTTAGTAACCTTAATCTCTGAATTTCTTATTATTATCAGAATATTGAATTAATTATTTTCTTCTTGTTCATTATTAAGATCTCCCGATCCTGTTTACAAGAAAAAACAAACTGAGAATCTATTAGCTGGACGTCCAAACTCATATACTTTTACCAAAGCTTTGAGCGAGGATTTAGTAACAAAGAAACGGGGCAAAATCCCCACATCGATCGTTAGACCTTCAATCGTCACCTCAAGTGTTCAAGAACCGGCACCAGGTTGGGTTGACACAATTCAAGGTCTCCAAGGTATCGGATTAGCCGCTCAAATTGGTCTATTACAAACCGTTGACTGGAACTACTGGGCCGCTTGTGATACAATTGCCGTCGATATCTGTGCTAATTTTATCATCGCAAGTGCTTGGTACTCGGCTACAAAAAAGTAAGACCAACTTTTAGACAAACCTTTCAACCTTCCCGTTACGAACCTGAATCGTTACTCATATAAACAAATACATCTCCCAATTTCCAGGCCAAGTGAGTGTATGGTCTACAATTTAACCGCCAGTCCCTATCACCCTGATATGACCTGGGGTGGAATCTTTGAACTTTGTCGTGATGCCGCTCATGTTTATCCAAGTAAAAAACAAATGCGACCTCTAATGAATCCACCAAAGTACAAACGGGCTCGATTCTATTATCCATTGGAAAAGTTTATCTACCATACATTTTTTGCTTTTTTGGTTGATTTTATCATCTCATTATTTGGCTACAAGAAATTGTAAGTAACACCGACGACAATTAATCACCAGTGATTCTAATTGTAATCTCTCTCACCTTAATTGTTAGCCTTTCTCGTCAAGCTAAACGGCTGAATAAGGGCTTGGACTTGGTCGTTTTTTTCACTACCCATGATTTTAAAATTAAAACGGACAATTACTTGGAATTAGTTGAATCTTTGTCACCAAAAGACTCAAAGATTTTTAATTGTGATTTGAGGAAATTGAATTACACTGATTATCTAATTGATTGTACCAAAGGTTTTAGGAAATTTTTCCTAAAAGAAGACGAGAAAGACCTTCCCAGTGCAAGAAGACAAGTAATGATGTAAGTATTTAGTTACAATTAAGATGAACAATTAACTTCATGGTTAAATTATTGCGAACCTTGAAAATTAATCAAAATCATCAAAAAACAGAAGAAAAAAAAAGTTTATTAATTACTAAATTACTTGTATGATTAAATTTCCTGGTACAAAATTAGACAGGATTAGAAATAATCAGAATCTTAATAAATCAGGTTAATTGTTGATTAGAAGAAAAAATTGATTACCAAGGTTTTTTAATCATTCGTGATATAAATAGACAATTATTCAATTATGAGAATACCAGTTATTCAATCAATGATTTATTAAATATGCTCTTTGCTTAGAGACAGCAATTTAATTGACAATTAACGACGATCGTATTTTGATTACGTTTTTTCGTTTGAACAATTAAGATAAAAAAATTCCCTTCAAGGAAAACAATTCAAATGAGTTATACAATTTGGTGGACAATTAATAAAACCATTTGATTGTTTAGAAATTTTTCAATTTAATTTATTGACAATTTAAATTATCCTCAACTTTTTACCTCTAATTTGGTTGGTTATTAATACATGATCAGTTTTCGTTAATCTAATTGTCAATTTAAGTTGGAAAATTTATCCTCATTGTTGTTGATTTAATTTCGATCTCTTCTTGATTAACTAATTGTTTTGTTTTTTTCTTAATTTCTAGTGTTTGTGGAGTTTATCGATTGTTTCAATTAATTTTTCTCGGAATAATTGGCAAATATCTTCTATCATTTGGTTATCATCTACTAAGCACATAATTAAAATTACAATTTAATCACAAATTAATCGACTGATTAACTTTTAATTGTTTTCGATTTCAACATGACTGATCTATGGTTCTACCTGTTGATGAACAATTAACATTTTATATAATCGATTTTCTAAATTTAATCAGCACATTTATCAAAAATTTCAAATTTCTTTATATTCTACAATTAAATTGTATCAATTTGTTTCCAAAGTCTTTCACAATTAGTTTTAATACAGGAAAATTCAGACAATTTGTTGGTTTTCGTTTCACGATTACTCAAAAACTACTTGACCGAACGGGTCCATATTTCGTCTATGGAAGTTTGACCGATACTCAATTTTCATATTTCAAGGTCAAGGTCATAAAGGTTATTCAGAAAAGAGCACACTTGAAGGTCATTTGAAGAACTTTTGAAAACTAGAAATTTTTTCAAGCCTGTGAAGTCAAAGCTTAATAATATCATAGAGCAACGTTGGTATCGTGATAAAACAAAATCAGCTGTAGATAACTTTTTACAGAAAGCAAATTGAACCAAATGACCTTCAAGTGCGTTCTTTTTTGAATAACCTTTATGACCTTGACCTTGAAATATGACAATTGAGTATCGGTCAAACTTCCATAGACGAAATATGGACTCGTAGTTAATCAATTGTTTTGAAAGTTTCGAAACTCAAAAAATTGTATAAAAACTGGAAAAAAAGAAAATACTTTATAATAAAGAAAAATTTTCACTCTCAATTATGTGTTAGTAAATTTAAACTGATCGCTGATCAGAATTTTTGGAGAAAAAAAAATTAAAGAAACAATTAAATTTAATCAATTGAAAAGAGAAAAAAACAAAGAAACATTTTACTCTTTTCGACACAAGAGGGAGACACTTTTCGAAATTCTATTGAAAAGTAAACAAAATTTTTTCTTCTCCATTTGAATTCATCTTTTTATTATTTAATTAAATTCACTTAATTAAATGGTAATTAATTTATTTCATGATAAACTTTTAACCACCTGATACACAATGTTAACCATGGAATGTCAATTAACGCTCCAAGTTGATCACCTTAATTGACTTGACAATTTTAATCTTTTTTCTTTGGTAAGTAAATTTTTTTTAAGATTAATTTTATATTAACATCATCACTTTAGCCTCTTAAAAAATATCTTGTTACTTATACTTTTTACACTCAATTTAATTGTTAATCTAATCGTTTAACCAGAGTCTATTAGACAACCACAATTACTAAATCATTACAATTTCATAGTTTGCCTTAAACCACTAAGGTTACAAGATTTTTACTTGTTGTGTTATGTCTCTTTGGAAAAAATTTTCTTCTCTTCAGTTGACAGATAAAATGGTGAGAATATTTTTTCCAATCAGCAATTAATTCCTTCTACTCCCTTGCCTGTAAATTTATTCCAAAAATACGAAAATTATTCAATTGCAATAATTGTATTTAGAAAAGTTTTCATGTTAGAGAAGAAAAAAAATGAAAGAGAATAGAATTTTTTTGTTCTATTTAAAAATTGAATCAAAGTGAATCTCTTTTTATTGAAAATAGATGGAACCACTTTCCGCAAGAGTTGGGGTGATCCCTTTTACTTGGCGCTTACCAATTTCAATTTATTCTTTGTTTTAATTTACATGTTTCCTCTCTTTATAATTTGATTTCTTTCACAGGTGTTGTAACCCACCGAGGATCCACCATATAACCACCTTATAACCACCAGCTACTTAATAGTTCATCTTTAGTTTAAGTTGTCTTCATTTCTATCACCAACATCATATTTACTTTTTCTCTTCATCTCTCTCTCTCTCTCTCTCTCTCTCTCTCTCTCTTTTTTCCTCTATTTTTCATCTATTCTTTTTACTCTGCACTTCTCTATTTCATCTCTTTTCTGGTGCAATGTATATAAAGCAAGTTATAATCCAAGGCTTCCGAAGTTATCGTGAACAAACGGTGGTTGAACCATTTAGTAAAAGCCATAATGTCATCGTTGGTAGAAATGGTTCTGGTAAATCTAACTTCTTTTACGCAATCCAATTTGTGCTGTCAGATGAATTTAGTCATCTTCGTCATGAACAAAGACAACAATTACTTCATGAAGGAACTGGACAACGGATAATGACAGCTTATGTTGAGATCATTTTTGACAATTCAGATAATCGTCTGCCCATTGATGATAGTGAGGTTGCCTTAAGGCGACAAATTGGTCTTAAAAAGGATCAATATTATCTTAATAAAAAAATTGTAACTCGTTCTGATGTTATGAATGTTTTAGGTAAGTGTAATTTACTTTTTTATCTGTTAGTTTTTCTTATTCATTAATTTTTTTTTCTTTATTCTAATCAATTATTATTTTTTATTTTTATAGAAAGTGCTGGTTTCTCACGAAGTAATCCTTATTACATTGTGAAACAAGGTAAAATTAATCAAATGGCAACCGCTCCAGATTCACAGAGGTTGAAAATTTTACGAGAAGTTGCTGGTACTAGAATTTATGATGAACGTAAAGAAGAATCTCGTACTTTATTGAGAGAAACCGAATCCAAATTGGAGAAAATTATGGATCTCTTAAAGTATATCGAAGAACGACTTCAAACCTTGGAAGGTGAAAAAGAAGAATTAAAAGAATACCAAAAATGGGATAAAATGAGACGATCACTTGAATACACAATTTATAATCAAGAATTGGAAGATGCAAGAAAAAAATTGAAAGAATTGGAAACCAGAAGAGAGACCAGCAGTAGTGTTACTGAAAAGTTACGTGAAAGTTTACAAACTTTTGTTGAATCGATTAAAGATCTCAGTAAAGACCTTCGTGAAGTGAAAACCAAACTTCAAACATCCAAGGATGAAAAAGAGGCCTTACAACATGAGCACAGTACATTTTTAAAAGAGAAGACTCGATTAGAATTACGTCTCAAAGATTTAACCGATGAAGTTAAAGGTGATGCTGAATCAAAAAAACGAGCTGAAACGGAGCTAAATAATCTGAAATCTCGGATAGCAGAGAAACAAAATGAACTTGACAAGATAAAGCCACAATATGAAGAGAACAAGAAAATTGAAGAAGAATGTACCAGAATGTTAGCTCTTAAAGAGCAGAAAAGATCCGAATTATATGCTAAACAGGGAAGAGGAAGTCAGTTTACATCTAAAGCGGAAAGAGACAAATGGATCACAAAAGAATTAAGTACATTAAAGAAGAGTATCTCCGAGAAAAATACCCAAATCGCTAAGATTAAAAGTGATCTTACCCGAGATGCAAAGAAAAAAGAGGAACTGGAAGCCAAAATTGAAGTAAGATTCTTTCCATTCTAATTTCAATTAACTCACAATTTAATCTAATATTCATATTCGTTTTCATTTAATTCAGGAACTCACCAAAGAACTGGAAAACAACAGATCTAGTATTGATAATCAAAATAAATCTTTCTACGATTTGAAGAAAAAGAAAGATGCTCTACAAAACGAAAGAAAGTAAGTGTAACTATTTTTAAATTGTAAATCGATCGATTTATTCTCATTTTTTTCTTTTGTATTGTTTTTTTTTTCAGTGAACTTTGGCGCCAAGAAAATTCTATGCAGCAAAATCTTAATATGCTTAATGAAGATAAATCAAAGAAAGACCAAATGTTACGTTCGATGGTTGGAAAGACTATTCTTAATGGTCGTGACAGTGTTGCTCGAGTTCTGCAAGTTTTCCGTGAACGAGGTGGTCAATATGAACAGATTGCCAAAGATTATTACGGAATGTTAATCGAGAACTTTGATTGTGCTAAAGAGTTTTATACAGCCGTTGAAATGACCGCTGGTAATAAATTATTTCATCACATTGTTGCCAATGACAAAGTTGGAACCAAAATCCTTCAAGAAATGAACCGAATGAAATTACCTGGTGAAGTTACCTTTATGCCACTTAATCGTCTCTATTCAAAAGATTTACAATATCCTGAAACATCTGATGCCATACCTATGATTAGTAGATTAGAATATGATTCTAAATTTAGCATTGGTATGAAATTTCTTTTCGGTAAAGTGTTAATCTGCCGTTCACTTGAAGTTGCTACTCAATTGGCTCGAAGTACCAGTTTGGATTGTATTACATTAGATGGAGACCAAGTTTCCCATAAAGGTTCACTTACAGGTGGTTATTTTGATACTCGACGATCTCGTCTGGAATTACATAAAACTCATTCCACAATTAAAAAGGAAATTGTTGTTCAACAAGAAAAACTGGAAGATCTACATCGTCGTCTAACTGAGGTTGAAACAGAAATCACTCAAATTGTCAGTGATATGCAAAAGGCTGAGACCAAGAATACCAAAAACAAGGATACGTTTGATAAAATGAAGACTGACATTCGTCTATTAAAAGATGAACTTTCAGCTATCGAAAGATCCCGACAACCAAGAGAAAGAAGTCTTGTAAGCCATGAAGCAAGTCTCAATTCTATGGAATCTCTTGCCGAATCATTATCAAGTGAATTACAACAAGATCTGTTGACTCAATTATCGATAGCTGACCAGCAAGAGGTTGACCGTCTCAATGATGAGATCGCTGCTTTAACTCAGAAAAACAAGGAAGCTTTCAGTAAAAGGATGCATTTAGAGGCTCAAAAAAATAAATTGGAAAATCTTCTTAACAATAACCTTTGTCGACGTAAAGATGAACTGGAAGCAGCTTTACAAGAAATTTCAGTTGAAGATAGAAAACAAAAATTGGAAAGTGAGGAAAGTGAACTCTCATCTATTTCAACTCGAATTGAAGGTGTTGTCAAACAGATTCGACAATTAGATGAAGTTATTGATGATTTATCCAAAAAATTGAAGGATATCCAATCTAAACTAGAAAGAAAGAAAAGTGAAGAAAGAGATACAATCGAAAGGATTAATGAGGATTCCAAGGATCTTGAAAAGATTACAAGTAAAAATTCAATGTTAAATAAGAAGATTGAAGAAACGATGAGAAAAATCCGTGAACTAGGAACCCTTCCCGTTGATGCTGAAACAAAATATGCCAACCTGAGTTTAAAACAATTGTACAAAAAACTTCAACAATGTAATCAAGAGTTAAACAAGTACAGTCACGTTAACAAGAAAGCTCTTGACCAATACATGGATTTCTCGGAGCGAAAGGAGAAACTATTGGAAAGAAAAAAAGATCTTGATAATGGTCATCGTTCAATCCTTGAATTAATGACTGCTCTTGAGCAGAGAAAATATGAAGCCATACAAATTACCTTTAGACAGGTTTCCAATTTCTTTAGTGAAGTTTTCAAGAAACTTGTACCCCAGGGTAGAGCTCATCTTGACATGATAACCTCACCTGATGCCGCCAATGCAACCGAGGGAAGTCAAGCTTCATCTGGATCCCTTGGAGCGAGTAACATTCCTCCATCAATTGATAATTTTACCGGTGTTAGTATTAGAGTCTCTTTTACTGGTACCAATGCTGAAATGAAAGACATGCACCAACTTTCTGGTGGACAAAAATCATTAGTCGCCCTTACCTTTATCTTTGCCATTCAAAAATGTGACCCAGCCCCTTTTTACCTTTTCGATGAAATCGATCAAGCTTTAGATCCACAACATCGTAAAGCTGTTGCAGGTAAATTTATACACATTCAATCTTGTTAACAATTGACTTTACTTTTGTTAATAGTAAATTAATCATCTATTTCCTTGATCATTTTTAGATATGATTCATGAACTTTCCAAAGATGCCCAATTCATTACAACAACTTTCAGACCTGAGCTTCTTGAAAGAGCGGACAAATTTTACGGAGTCAAATTCAGAAATCGAGTAAGTTATTTTGCCTTATCCACTTACCATATTATTTAGAAATATAATCAAAATTCTGGTTCATAATACTAATCATATTTAATCTTTTTGTTTGTCGATTTCAGGTCAGCCATGTCGAACTTGTTACATATGAAGAAGCACATGATTTTGTCGAAGATGATTCAGCTGCTTACACTAGATAAAGACTATAATCCATTTAACATTTTTTTTCGTTTATCATCATCACCACCGTCATCATAATCATCTTTCTCTTCCTCTTTAAAACTCATCGAATTTCAAAACCTACTTCATAAGAAAAAAAAACTTCAAAGAGGACAAGTTCAATTAATCAACCACCAATCTAGAAGAAGACGAAAGAATCAATATTTCATCAATCACAAATTATTATCTCTCTGTAATTCCCATAATATCCATCTATATATCAACTAATTCTCATGATATCTTCATTGTTTTTTCCTATTTCTCCAATATCATCTCCAGTCTTTATCTTTAAATACTTTTTTCCACTTTTATTCCTTTACGTTTCCACCCTTATCTTACTCAATTGTTTACTTCTTCCTAAATCATCACCATCTCCATTTAAATTCATCTAATATCTCATCTTCCTCTCTATCTTCCTATTTTTCTCTCTCTCTCTCACACACACAAACATTTCACTTAATAACAATAATTTTATTACCTGTTTTAATAACAATTCAAAGCTTAAAGTCGGTCGATACAAGCGCAAAGAGATGATAACTAAAAAGATTCACGATAATTGACTACAATAAACAAATAAGTCAACTAAATAATCAACGAGTTTGTAAAACATTTTAAATGCCAGTTAAATCTAATCAGTTAATTGTAACAATCATGGAAAATGTTAAACATCAAACTAACTTAAATCCAACGTAAATCAAATCTTTCAATTTATAAGAAACAATCAAAATTGATCACGAATTGCAACCAAGTTAATACAAATGAGTTTCATCTTATTAACACAATCAGAGAGTTAAATTAATCTAATTAACCTTTTATTTCAGAGAGAGAGAGAGAAAAAACTAAAATCAATTAATCATATAATAGTAAATAATTGATAAAAATAACTTAATTATCCTGGAAATTGTTAATTGTTTTGTATGGCAATTAGCCTAAAATTGAACATCAATTCAATTGTGATTCTGATCAATCGTTATAATCACATTTAACTTTGAATGTTTTTTACCATTTAATTGATTTGTTTAAATTTACTTTCCATTAATCAATTCAATTAATTATTAGTTGAACGAAATTGATTAATAGTTAATGAAAAATTGAATAGACTCAAGTAAATCCAGTTGAGTTAATTGTTTACATTAACCTTTTTCAATTAACTTGGAGACACAAACTATTCAATAATTTAAGTTAATCAGTTAATTTATCCTAAATCTATATTGATGATTAACACAATTGATTATTTTCCATTTTGATTTGATATTTTTAGTAAAATAATTAACAATCAATGAGAAGAAGACAAAATCAAATGATTACATTAATTGTTAACATTTCGCTTTGATTGTAGATGATTTAACTTTCATCGAATTGACATTCCAGAACTTTATTCAATCTCAATTCTCATGGGGTTTCAATCAATCACCATGATGATGAAAACCTTTTAGCAAAAAATTGAAGACAAAAATATAAATGAAAACTAATTTTCATCCTTATCATCATGATGATCTTCATCATCTTATATTGAATCTTTGTCTTAATCAACTGAACTTCCGATCAGAACTTTTTTATCATCCCTTGAATCTGAAACTGAATTATGATTATATTAATAAATATGATGATAACGACTTCGATAATAATGAATTATTAAAGTTCATTTTCTCATCATTGAACTTTCTCATGATTATCATGGGAGTTGATTCACGAGGTAAGTTAAAAGGAATCAGATGAAAAGTTGACAATTCGGAAATAATTTATTTAATTGTGATTGAGAAACAACAAAATTTAGTCTTCTAAATTATGGATTATCAATAGATGCTAATGTTTAGATGGACATTACCTGTTGATGGTCAAGAAATTGTTGCTAATCAATCAACGATAATGATGATACTTAATTGAGATAATATGAGTTGGAACATTTTTATTTTTCTTTAATAATCACAATTAAATTCTTGATTGTGTTCAGGGAAAAGTTTCTCATATTAGCATTTTCATTCCAACAATTAACTATTAATAATATTCTCCATTCTCTAGATCAAAATTTTCGCTTTAATTATCTTTTAGAATCTAATTAACATTATGATCAGCAATTAATTCATTGATAGAAGACTCTCTCTCTCTCTCTCTCTCTCTCTCTCTCTCTCTCTCTCTCTAGACTTTTAATTGCGATTAATTTTTCACATCAATTGAATTATTTTCATGATACTTATCATGATTATCGTCATGATGGTGAGGAGGAGCCAGGGAATGATAATTCAAAGTTAGAAAACTAAGTTATCTATTATTTAGTATTGATTATCGTTCTTATCATCTCATGAGTTTACTGAGTATTCCAATAAAAGATAACTCAGAATTTAATAGATGATCATTGATGAGAATTTACTTTATCTGTTCATATCTAACAGTTCGTATTCATTGTAACAATTAACTAATAATAATTATTGAAACTATTAAACTAATTAATAACGTTCGTAAAGTTTGTAATAGTTGGAGTTAATTGTTTTCAATTTTCTTTTTCTCCTCTTTTAATTGTTTTAAGTGTTTATCTTTCAACTAATCATGGTCAAAGTATTATCGTTAATTGTTTTGTTTCTGGTTCTTTTCAACACAATTATGGGTCAATTGTCCTTCTCAAAGGATTGGAGGGCCGGAGGTAAAAGGTCAGGGTCAACTTCAATCGAACCTTGTGATTGGAACCGATTGGCTTCCCTGTTAGAGACAATGGTTGTAAGTAAAATCTTTAATCAATTTAATATCAATCAGTAAATTGTTACAATTTAGTTTTCCAAATAAGGGATAATGAAAATAGGAAAAAAGTTTCCTCTCTCTCTTGTACATCAGATCTTTGAATTTGATTATAATTCTGTTAATTTAGTTGTTAGAGCTGAATTGATTTTTCTTAATTTTCTTGATTATTTTGCTAATTTGGTTGGTTTAATTGTTGTTTAATTACAGAGAGAAGCTGAAAAACTGAGTCAATGTACTCACCGTTTGAAATCAATTGAAGGTTTGACTGATATCTTTCAAAGATGATCAACAATTAATTGGAAACAATCAGCAACCAATAACCATTGAGAAGACATCATAAATCATCCTGATCGTGTTTAATTAAACAGAATCAAGTTTTAATTGTCAATAAAAATAATGGATAATCAAAAACCATAATTAACTTATCATTTGTTTTTATTACAACATCAAAATAATTATGATTTAACTTTCACAACTAAATTTAATCCTTTCTATTTAATAAAATCATAATCATAAAGAGCCAATCAAAAAGTCAAAACTAATTTACTAATTGTGTTTTTTGTTTACATTTAATTATTGATTGTCAAATGTGTCAAGTTAATCAATTAATCATTGATGTAATCATTTCAATCGTTTCAACAGTGTTTTTTTTTGTTCATCATTGACTGTCAAGACTAATTGTTATTCAACAAACTTTTAACAACAAAGTTAATGACAATTAACTTGTATCTTATTTTGAGTTTTCTTAATTATAATCATTAAATGTCCCAAATTATCAACAATTAACCAATAAATTGCATCAAAATTTATATGAAACATTTTCAGTCTCATTTTAATTTCATAGGAACAACTAATTTAACCTTGCATTGGAACAATTAACTAATCAATTAAATATAAAAATGACTAAATTGCCTTTATAAATTCAAACAATTAACCAAATTAAGTTTTGATCAAAATTTTACCTTGAAAAAGGTGCTGCCATCTATGGACAATAATATGACTTATGAATGTGTGATTAACTTTAATTGTTGATTAGTTTTTTTTATACTTTGATATTGATTTAGACAAAAGTAAACAAATAACCAATTAATTGTTTATTTTTATCAAATGATTAATAAATTTTCATTAGTCTGTTAATTATTACACATTTGTACGATAAAGGAAAAGTTAATTCAATGACAATTGAAATCATAAAACGAAAAGTAAAGGGAAAATTGTAAATAATAGTTGATTAGTTGATTATCAGTTAAATTGTTACCCGACAAACCTGAAAATGATTAAATGATGTACCAAATTGTCTGATAACAATAATTGGTAAAGATAATTGTTAATCAGTTAATTGTTATCAGTGAAACCAATGGAAACCAAAGGTTAACATGGAAACGAGAAAAAAAAATCTCTTCTTCTTTTCCTATTAAACTCTCAATGAGAGATCACTAAATCATTGAACAGCTTAACCTGCTACAATTAACGTTTAATTAATTGTTGACCAAAGAAAATCCAATCAACTCTACTGTTTAATTGTTCCGTGAATAGTGTTGATCAACAAAATAATATGTAAATGGCTTCAATTGTGGGTAAAGCCAACAATCAACTAACCAGCATTTATCAATCAAATGTATTGACACTCAAATCTCAAGTTAATCATCATCGTCATTTTCACAATGGATTTCATCATTTAACCAGAAAATCATCAGCCTATATACTTAAATTAGTGACAATTAGCTTATTATTATTTTTATCTTTAGGAATCAAACCAATTAATTGTTTAATGTAAGTATTGAAAACCTCAATTAAAAACAATTAAGAAAAAGTGATTAAGAAAACTCCATCATAACATTGAATCGGTTTCATTGAGAATTTTAATTGTTTCGTTGTTTAGTTTGATTTAATTTTCTCTTCTTTTCTTTCTCTTATACTATTTGGCTAATTGTGATCATCGAAATTTACAGTTATGATGAAAATTTCCTGGAACAATTACCATTACAATCAATTGTTTCCACTGGAACTGAGGTTCGTTTATACACAAGTGAGGAATTCACCCGAACTTGTTTCACCAAAATCGATTACAAATCGATGTGCGCCGAGTTTGGACCTAAATGCGAATTTAAGTTCGAATGGTCTTATCCTGAATCACTATTAGAATTAATTAAATCCGGTTTCGATGCAAGAATTAGAGTTGAAAATGATTTACCAGTTAGACTAAAATCTAATCCCGATTATGAGATTTACGCTTCTCACTTGATTGTTTCCAATATCGGTTATGCTCATCAAGGAATCTGGTCTTGTAATTTTAAATTCATTAATCAAGATAACGGTAAACTTGATTCTTGGCAACATAGTTTCACAATTGAAATAATTGGTAAGTTAATTGTTGAACATTTAATTGATTAAAAAGAGCGAGAGAGTAATACTCAGATTAAACCGATACCAATGACGTTAATGAGATTAAAACTGTTTTTTGATTATTTTCATTAACTAATTGGCGATATCATGAATCAAATTAATTTAACGTTGATCAATTAATTGTTACCTTATTTGTGATGATCAGATTTTTGTTTCAATTACGAAGTTAATTGTTTAGCCTTGATTTGGTTACTTAAATTGTTTTTCCAGTTGTCATTGATTAAAATATTATATAGTTATTATTATTATTATGATGATGATTAGTAAATAATGACAACACTTTAATCAAGATTAATTGAGACAATTAAATTGTCTTACTTATTACTCATCAAATTACTGTTGATTAGATTGATTAAGTTGATAGTAATGTACAATAATATAAACAATTAAAGTGAAACACTTAAGTTTGTATTGATTAAAGGTTGTGATTCTGATTAAATTGAACACTGTTAACTTGTTACAATTAATATTAATTTTAACCTCTTTTAATTGTTGATTAATTATTTACAGAAAATGGAGTCAGAGGATCACCATGTTTAACTAATGATCACTGTTCAAGTTTTAATTGTACCAATGAAATTTGTACATGTGATTCAGATGAACCAATTTCATTTGGTGATTTATGTTTAAAAGGTAAATATTTACAACAAATCAGTTAATCACAATCAATCATTATCACTTATCAGTTAATTGTGAATATGAAAAGTTGATTCAACTTTTAACTCGATTAACTAATTCATTTAAACAAAGTAACGATAATGATTTCATGGTGACATAATTTGTGATAAGAATTCACTTTGATACTAATTTGATTTACTAATTGTTGTCACTAATTGCTAGCACCCAATCTCGGTGAAAAGTGTATAATTAATGCTGATTGTGAGAAGCAAATTGAAGACGCTCTGTGTTGGTGCTCATCATCAGTATCTTCAGACGATAAAGATTCATGTTCAGATCGGAAAACTTGCCAATGTCCACCTTCATATATCGCCGTCAGTTTGGGCCTAGGTCGACATCGATGTCTAAAGAAAGGTACATTTATTAGTGTTTCGAACTTTTTTCTCTCTCGTTGTTCTAATGTTTATTTCTGATCTCTCGAATATTAGCTCGAATCGGTGAACATTGTTACCGAAGTCAACAATGTGAAGCTGTGGACATCAACACTTACTGTTCATTTAAATCTCGATGTTCTTGTCGATCAGGTCAAACCTGTGCCACTCCAAGTATACGAACTTGTACCGATTCGTCTGGATGTAACAGTACCAATGAATATTGTGGTAATGGACGATGTCAAGTGGTCAAAGATCTGTACGAATCTTGTGAAACTAGTGACCAGTGTGAAGTAAACGCTTTGTGTTCCCCAAGCACTAAAAAGTGTATCTGCCAATCGGGATACAAATTGTCCCCAGTTAAGATGACCTGTATTCCTGAAGGTTACTGTTCAAATAATCTCGATTGTGAACATGGTTACTGTGACACCGAAACAAGTACCTGTATCCCGGGTGTCAAGCTATCAGGTCGCTGTACCGTCACCAAACAGTGTCAAGCTTACGATGTCAATAGCTACTGCGATGGTGACACTAATCAATGTACCTGTGGTTTGGGCTATTATGTCAGTTCTCAAGGTATTTGTCTATTGGACGGTAAATGTCGTATCAATGATGATTGTCGGCAAGACGCTAATGGCCTTTGCTATTACGAGGAATGTATTTACACCAAGAAATTATCATTACCATGTAAAGAGTCAAGACAATGTTACCTGGAAACACCTTATTCTTATTGTGAGACAACTGACCAGCGATCTGGTCAAGCTCAATGTTCTTGTCTTAATGGTTATCAAAATTACGATGACAACGATAAAGATGATGATAATGATGATAACGATGATAATCAACCACCGCCTTCAAATGCTAACTGTAAACAATGGCGCGATTGTAATACGAACAAAGATTGTTCAAACATAATTAACTCTCATTGTGACCATTCACATGCTCGATGTTCATGTAACACTGGTTACAATTTAAATGTCGATGGTTATTGTTACAAGAAATCCTTGTCACCCACTTCGGACAAAGGTCAGTTAATCTTGGATCGAATTTAATTTTACTCTAAGGTTAAAAACTTTCTTTTGACTTCGTCGATTTTTGTTCACAGATTCATTTTGGGCTAAACTCTGGACCGATTATTATATTTACATAATCATCGTTGCCGCTGCTTCCGGATTCCTTATGTCGTTGATCATTTGCTATTGTTGTAAATTGTGCTCGAAAAGTGATTCCAATAACGAGGCTCCAAGAAGAGGAAAAAATTATCCTCGAAGGACAAGGTTAGTTGATTCTCTATTTTCGTCTCCTCTTCGAGTTGTAACCTTTTTTCCATATCATTTTCACCTTACAGGGAAGGTCTTGACCGTCCAGTTACTGGCGTTTATATTACCCATCAACCCACCGCTCCACCACCACCTTATTCACCGCCTTCATCCACACCTCGCCCACCACAAGCTCCACAAACGATTTCAAGAAACTTTTAATACTCATAATGAATAATGAGAATTCACTGCTTACATCATTGCTGTTTTCTAATTATGTAATTATCTCATTATTTCATTCATCAGTTACTCTTAATTGTTGATTTGATTAACACTAATAATCTTTTATGAAAAGTTATAGACTTTGATGAAAACGGATAAACAATTAAAAGTTTGTCACAAAAGTTGTTTTACTTTTTTTTTATAAATTAAGTTATGGGATTAGGATTTAATTTATATTCACAGATTAATGAAGTTGGGTAAGTTAATTTGAGTTATATGTATTAATTATTGATATTTTAATTGTCTCATGATCATCATCTTGCCTCGGGATCTTGTCGGGAGGTTGAAACGGGCTCTTTGGTGTAAGTTTGTAAACACATTGAGTCAATGATTCGGTCTTCATTATCGTGAATTGAATGTGACGTCGATGGATTGACCAGTGATGGACAACAATGGACAAACAGTTCTCTAAACTCTCGGCGAAAATTATCATTAAGAAACCCGTAAAGTAGCGGGTTTGAACAGGCGGATGACATACCCGCTAAATGGCAGCAAGCGAAAAGCACCCGGTAAACCTGTGAATTGTCAAAGGGAAAGTAAAGATCGGCGACAATGTTGACAATGTTCAATGGTAACCAAGAGATGCCAAAAATGAATGAAATCGAAATCAAAAGTAATCGAGTTTTACGATTTTTCGAGGCCTCGCGTCGTTGTTTCTCTGGACAAGATCGTCCACCCAACTTTTTCTGGTCCATTCGGTATTTGAGCCTTTTCAGAATCCGAATGTAGGCCATTGTCACAATGATACACGGACAAACGTACTGGAATATCATAGATAATATCGAGTACAAAGCTCGACCATGATCGATAGGCCACTTTTCAATACAATAATCGATCGATTTGAGCCAAAGAATGTCTAAATATAAATATCGATAGAAAATCGAATGAAGAAAAAAAAATTGAAATTCTAAATTAAATCGTAACGATATAATCGTTTAACCAAATACAAGAACAATTTATTGATTGTGAATCAATTAGACAATTAGTCTGATTGTTGATCAGTTAATTGTTTGAATTGTTTCATTTTGCCTGTTGAACAATAAATTGCTCTGATTGTTAATAATCTCGAAGCAACAATCAAGACAATAACATTATGAAGATTAATATTTGATGAAATGCGATTCACAGTTAATAAATTGTTCCTATTAAATTGTACAGTATTGAACTGTCAAGAATTGATTGTAACTGTTAATTATCATTTGCCTTTACTTTGTTATTGTTAAGCTTAATTGTTAATCGATAAACTCAATTGATTCATTAGCCTCTTATGTTTGAAAACAAGAAGAAAACAAAAAAAAAATCCAAGTTCTAAGTGCTGATGATTAACATGTAATCTACATGATGATATAAGGAAATTATAATAATAACAATTATTTTTGATTGTAAATCAATTGTCAGTCATTGATGAAAATGATGTTAATCCAATTCACTTGATTGTCATCAAAGATAATCAATGAAACTTTTTTTTCCCTTACAATCAATCAATTGAAATGAAACATTTTTTATTTTTTCTTTCAAATAGATTATCAGATTTGATTGATTTAAATATAATTTGAAATTGTAACAGAAAATTCAATTTAGAGCTTAATTTGAGATCAGCTGATTGATATTGTTCCAAAGGTGTGATTTTGATTATCATGGGATGAGAATTGAATAAACATTTCCCACTCTGATTAAGAGCAAGTGTAATTGTTGAAATTTACATTTGCCCCGGTGGGAATTTTGAATGTTCTTAATAGAAAACTAGAAAAATTCTGATTCAATTCAGTTGTTTTTCCTTCTCTTTCGATAATAATATTATTATTCTAATTTTCTTTCTCGTGTAGAAATAAAATGATTGAATATTCATTCTGAATTCTGGAACAAAAAAAACTATCAATTCTTTAAATATTGTGAATAAATAACAAACTAATATGATACCTGAAGGTAAGATGAATAGCCTGAAGCAATTAGAATGATAATAATAATTGTAAATGACAAAAGAGTGAAAAATGAAATTTAAAATTGGAAAAATTTTCTTGTAAACTTTCAAACCCAATTGATTCATATTCACATTGATATGATATTTTATTGGCACGAACTTACTGATCGGGTGACTTTCAACGGTTCGGTAAATGAAAAGTGGGGCTGAAAGGGCCAAAGCGGTTAACCAAATTGCTGAGAGTGTGATAAAGGTGTTAATTGGTTGACAGGGTTCACAATTAGGATTAACAATTACTTTATATCGATCCAAGGCAATTGCAGTGATGCTGATTGTTGATACAAATATTGAGGTTGCTTGAAGTCCAGCAACTAATTTACATGTTGCCTCACCTTAGATGATAATAATAATAGAATCAAGGAAAAAAAAACAAAATTCAGTTAATCAATCATTGTCATTATCACGATATTATTACATATTTAGTTAGTTAGGTGACATTTTATTTTCTTGAGGATGACCAGTTGTGTTAGTGGTCAGTTAACATAAAGGTAATCAATTCAATGTGACACATAAAATCAAGAGTAACATCCGTGTTGATATCAAGGAAAAAAAAAATATTCTTGTTGACAATCAAACGGAAATGTTGACAATTTAACTTTTTCTGTCAACAATCAAAATATTGTTGGGATATTTATGATGATGTATATTTATTTATGTTTATATATATTGAATACCCTCCAACAATCAGGTACATTGTTATTCATTTAATATGATGATTACAATTACTTTTAATATAATCTGTCAATAATATCCTTTCCGGTCAGTATGTTTAATTAAATCACTCAAACGTAACTTAATTGTAATCATCATGATTGGTTTATCATAAGCTGTCACAAAACAAAAATAAAATATTCTTGATTCAGTTTGATTGAATTTAATTTTCAACCTCCTGATTGATTAAATTGTTGATTAAATGGAAACAATTTAGAGTAAAATTTTCATAATCAAGTTATTCAAGTTAAATTGTTTGAATCACACACAATTAATATTAATAGTTTATGTTGTGTTTTGTTTATAATTAATTGTGATAATAACAATTTTCCTGGTAATTCAATTTCATTGTTTACAATTAAACCATTTAATCAACACTGTTAACTTAACTTTAACAATTAAGCTTCCCAAAGATGAGAATTAACTTTCAATCAATTATCATGATAATTAATAAGTAATAACAATCATATTGATGATAATCAATAAAACTTTTATCTCCATAAATTTAAAGCCTATTAATCAATTTAATTGAGTATTAACAATCAACAATTGATTCATGGATGAAATTGTTACAAGGATTAATTTAATCATCTTGATGATATTATTAGGATGATGAAAAGTAATTACTTTCGTTGACCTTTCATGATTATATTATCATCATGATGAATAAGTGAACAAGCAAATTGAAATGATAAACACTTTTGTTTAGATAACTGGATTAACTAATTCAGATTCAATATTAACCTTTAATCAATCAATAAGATTAATATGATTATATCTCAATTCATTAAGTTCAAAGGCTTTTTCTTTGACTTATAATTATCAAGCAAAATTATTTAGCATCTTCATCTTTATCATGATGATGATGATGATGATGATGATGATGATGATGATGATGATGATGATGATGCTCATCCATGAGTAATACAAATGAATTGAATTCAATTTCAATTCAAATTTTAACCTTTTAAATGATAATTGTTTCACTACCTGAGAGATTAACAATTACTTAAAAATAGATTGCAATTGATTTTCAGGTTCAACGATTGATGAAATGATAATCATCACGATAATTATCATAATTATCATCACCAACATGATGATGATAATAAGTGTTTCCAAAAGGTTGAGAAAAGTTCAGTGGGAAAAATAAAATTCACTCCCTGTAAATTGTTTGAAATCAATCAGGTTGAAAACTCATCGAAAGGTAAATTAAGACTTATTATCATTTCTTGATTGTTATTTTCATTATTATCATTTCTTTAGTTGCAGATAATGTTCATGGAAAGATAATCAGAATATAAACTGAATCATTACTTGGAACTTTTTTCTTTCCTCTTTTTTTTTATGATGATTATTCTGATGAAGATAATTGTTTCCTAATAACATTATCATTGAGATTTAGTTTCTCTGTAAATACATTATTATTATTTTCGGTTACCTTGATTATTTTTTTTATTCTCACCAGGTAATCAAATGATCATCATGTGTATGTATGTGTTTACTATTAGTGTATATTGAGCTGAATATACAGGGTGAACCTAAAGAGAATCCAATCTTAGGGTAGTTTTATTTTACCTCGAATTTGTTTTTGTTTTTCTTTCTTGGTTCTAATTGGATTTGAACTTATTTTTTACTCCAGTAATTTTCATCATATTATTATATGTATTGGGCTTTCGTTCAATTCATCACATGAATTAATTAAATGAATCAGAATTAGTTAGTTGATAAAAAAGACTTTGGATCATCATGATCATCATTTTCCTTCATTGTTTTCATCTTATCCTTTTTGTTGTTTACTCAGTGATTCTAAATGTTATCTGACACACTGAATATTGATCATGTTTCCAAGCTGAATCTCTTAACTGTCCGAATCTTTTTCCAGTTTCATCTTTGCACGATAAAATCACTCAGTCAGTGGTCAGACTTTCCTCTCTCTCTCTCTCTCTCTCTCTCTCTCTCTCTCTCTCTCTCTCTCTCTCTCTGTCACTCTGTCCACTCTCTTGACCACTTGTACCTCATCACCTACATGCGATAATTGAGTTGATAATAGTTAACTTTTTCCTCGAAAGTTTATCAAATGATAAGGTAAATTATTTTCTATTCTAATGTTTGGAAAATCAATCGACTGAAAAGTTTCAGCTCAGTAAAAATCTCAATTTACACCCTGACCTTTGAATTTCGGTTGCATTTTAGTCTAAAGGTCAGTTTTTCATTTGATAAACTTTGTTTCTTTTTTTTTACTTTTCCTCTTTAATCGTGTTGTTTTAATTTGATCTTCATGATGGTTTCATGGGGAAAAACAAACTGATCTGATGTTTATCATGTAACTGATCAATAAGATATGTAAACTACTGACCACTAGAAATTTTATCAGAATTGAAACCTTAGAAAATGATAACAAATAAACTGAACTTTATTCTCCCCCAAGGAATGAAAATTTTATCTACTGAACAAATAGAGAACTTTATTTTCACCATTTCAGAATTCAAATTCTGACCATGAATCAATTGATTGTTTGGACAATAATTGCTATCAAATTGTGACAAGAAGAAGAAGAAAAATCTAATGTAAACAATTAACATGATATCTCATCAAATAGGTTCACAGTCTATCAGACCAATAGCAATTTTATAAGCATGTTCATTCAGAATCGATGTCAGAACTTTTATATTTCGGTTTATAATACTTTTACCCCAATACACTCACCACAGCAAATACCTTCATCTTTCACCTTCCAATATTGACAGATTATCTCATGGGTATGAATAATGGAGGAAGAAAAATATCCCTTAGAATTTTCATCTCTATTTTTCAGAAACTTTTTCTTTCTCCCTGTTTCTCATCTCATCATTTCCTGAGATCTAAAATATGATCTGAAGTCTAGAAAATTATCGTTACCTACTGAATACACGCAGAGAGAGAGAGAGAGAGAAATTTCTTAGCCAAATTCATGATAATCTTCATGATGCTACTGATAATCTATAAGCTTGACCAGAAACCTAACACCCAATGGAAATGAACTCATGATTGATTCTGATGATCAGAAAAAAAGTGATTCCAATAAGAAAAGATGAGAAATTATCATGTAAACAACTTGCATCATCAGGATGATTATCAGGTAACATTTTTTTCTTCATTATCTTTTTAATCATCTATCTACATGTTCAATGTGGTAACAATTTAGTTGATAATAATCATAATCATCAGAAAAACTAATCTGATTGATGTTAAGATGATAATCTTACCTTGTAAATGTAATAAACAAATGCTAGTATAACTTTTGCATGTTGAACTAAATTCAGATTAATGTTAATATCTCAAGATATTCAGAGTAAGAAAAGTTGAGTCTTGAACATGGATTAATCTGAATAACCAAGGAAATCAGAGTTTCATCACCAATTTACATGCTAATCAGTTGAAGAGTTTACTTATATCATGAAATCAGTTATCCCATGAAAATATATATAAATTCAGTTAATCAGTTAATAACATTGGGACTAGTTGATAGCACGTAATCATGATTATAATCATGAGCTAATTATTCATGGGGGAAAGGAAAAGAGTTGTGATTAATGATTATCTGTTAACAAACAATCAACAAGTTGATTCTGTGTACATTATATCAGATTCACTAATAAAACATTGAGATAAATTATCAATATATATGAATCACCATGAATACATGATCATGAAACAATATTATACATGAGATTTATATATTTATAGATTTTCCTCCAGGTAAATAATAAATTTAGATATTACTCTTTATCTTATTGGAATAATTTATCATTTCAAGAAAATTTCATGCTAATACTGAGCATTGAACTTTTAGAAAATCAAAATGGAAAATGATATTTATGAATAGAATTGGATTAAAGAGAGAGAGAGAGAAAAACTTTTCTGCTCCAATTTTGATTCAGATTTTGAGTCGAAAATTGAATGACCAAGATGATGACCACTTACCTAAAGGCCAGAATTTGAGGACAATTTCAACAAGTGAGAAAGGCATTGTGAATAAACACAGTAAAAGGTCAGAGATGGCGAGGTTGATGATGAATACGTTTCTTGGTGTTCTCATTGAAGGTTTCCTGATGACCACCATGCAGACCAGTCCATTGCCCGCTGCACCCAAAATGATCAGGATAATATATGCAAGGGTCAAGTAGGTGAATGCAGTGTCATCAATGGCTCGATTTGAAACGTAAGCCTGAAGTTTTTGCATAATTTCACTCCTATTATCATATTCAGGGTTGACATCGTAATCTTCAAGATGTCCACCAGAATCTTTTTCTATGGGAAATTGATCAATAAATAAAAAGAAAATGGATAAATATTAATAATAGAAGTTGAAAAGAAAGATGGAAAAAGTTTTCTCTTTCTTGTTGATATATCGAACTTGAAGTTTTGAACTTTAGACCAATCTAATAATGATGATGTATATTGTTCATGTTCATCTCTGCCTCATGGGAGTAACAAAATGATGGTGATAATCTTGAGGATGATGATACTTTTTTTCATGATATAAATTGTGAACACTGAGAAAAAGTTTCATCGATATTCAGTTACTTTGAATTTGAAAATTTCTATTCATTCATTTCTGTTATGATTACAATGAATTCAGATCAATTTTCATTTTGATTTGATCATTAAACCAAGAAGATATTTGATTAGTTTGATTGAACTTTCGGACATTTTCAATAATCATGATTATTATTATTATGAGAGCATTAAACTCACCATAATATTAACACACCTTGAAATTTGATTCCATTTTTATCTCCATCATGATAATCATCATGATTTGATTCAACAATTAACGGTAAGGTTGTCCCATTATAATCGTTTAATGATTCTGGCTGTTGACAATTAATCAATTGAAGTTTAGCTAATAATAACAATTTTAATCCAATTGAAAGTTTCATGATAATTATTTTCATTTAATCATCTTAGTTAATATTCACTCCAGGTCCACAATTAAATTAAAACATCATTCCTTTGACTGATTAAGATTATATATTGATGATCACTTCAGAACAAATTAATAGTTCTTGATAATATGAATTAGTTTATCACTTTAATTGTTCAATTGAGTTACTGATCACAATTAATGATTAAAACTGTTTGTGCACTTGAGAAGTTAAAAGTTACATTAATAAAGATGAATTTAGTTGTTGAATATTACAATTTCTCTTCTTCTTCTTCCATCCTTTGAATATGCGCTCATATTACAATTTATTTTCTATTGAAAATTTTTCTCTTGATTATCACCATGAAATAAACAACATTCACCTTGGAGCTTTCAGAACTTCAAAGAATCCATCTAACTCCATCTATTGAATTTTTTCGTACTTTTTTAGCTCTTTTTCTGCCCACTAGATATCACTGGTTTATCGAACCTTTTCCCGCGTTTTTTGACATAATTGATTCAATTTTTATCTCAATAAGGTCCGAGATGTTGGGTTAAGAAGGGGCCTATTTCATTTCTATTCCTCTTTTAGCAAGTAGAAAAATAAATTCCCGTTTTTTCAAAGAAAACCCCACACACAACATGGTTACCTCTAAGAACCAGATCTGTTAATCAATGAATTAATCAATTAATCTGTGACGGTGTCGGGGTTCGAGTACCTTAGATTAAGAATTATTGAAAACAAACTTGGAACATGTTTACGACGTAAGAAGTCATTACGACAAATCATTGATTTTCATTCTGTGGTAAGTTCCTGGTAAAATCATGAAAAATTTTCAAATGAACTCTAAATATGTTTATCAATAAATGACTGGAATGACCTTGGAACTCGAAACTTATTTTTTTACATACAAACTTAACGAAAGTCGAATTTTATTGAGTAACCCTGTATATCTTATAATATTAACGATCAAGTCCGGCGCCGATCATAGCGATGGCTTTGAATTTATTTTTATTCTTTTTCTCAATTGAATAGAATCTTTGAAGCTGAATTAATTTCTTTTTCATCTTCGCTTGACCACAAGATCAGTTCGATTCATTTTTCCTTGTTTTCTTATTAAGATTGGTAAATATTTACCTGAAGATGAGAGACAAGGTGAGATAATATACCTGATGTGATATTCTGTATTTGTAATTGTAATAAGAAAAAGGATTCGAATCATTTTTTTCCATTTCTATTCCATCTTATTGACTTTTTTTTCTCATATTGATGGTTAACCTCATCTCCAAAGATTATGGTAACTCTATTATTGAATATCCGTGACCAGTGAATTTAATTTCATTCTGTTTCATCAACTTATTCCTTTTACAGAGAATCATATCTTATTTCTTTCTCTATTCTGTAATGAAAGAAACTGATTGTTTTTCTAACCCCATCTTCTTTACAATTTTGGCAGAAAATATCACAAAGACTCATAATCACCATAGATTATCATTATGAGGAATAAGATGAGGTAACAAAAACAAATGTCTTCAGGATCTTCAACTGAAGTGCTAAAGGAAAAAGGAACCACAAGATTAGGTGTTACAAGAGATCAGGATGATTTACTGAGAAAGGATAAAAGAGCTCAAAGTCTAATGATAATCTAAACTTGGATTCTACTAATCTCCCTCCCTTTATACTTTGGCCTTGGAAAAAAAATCTGAAAGATTATAAACTTTTGATTTATTGACCATTACAATGTTTGTTGTGTTTTCATCATCACAATCATCATGTTTATCATCATCATTTTCTGGCCTTTGCTAATTTAACTTTACAATTGCGATTCAATTTTTGTTACAAAATTTCAAATGATGCAAACATATTGATAATGTTTTTAGTATCATCATAAAATTAAAAGAGGCTAAAGGTTAACCCCCAAAGGAAACAAATGATCAACATCAAGTTTACAATAACATCAACACAACAAACAAGAAATAATCATCATGATGATGATGATAACAAATTAGATAATATAAATTACTGGATGGAATCGTCAACATAACCCAAAAAAGAAAACAGAAAATGTTATTGATTTGAAAGATGAGAGAGGAAACAAAAACTATTACATTTTGTTGATCATGATGATTAGTATTATGGGTTTAATGTTGTTTTTACTATTAAAACAATTTACACAATTAACTTAAGGTTTTCAGTGTATCTGTTGCTGTTAACCGAAAAGCAAACACAATTTCATGGGTAAATTGTTGTCAAAATACTTAATCATCATGATTAAATTATAACAATAAGGTTTTTCTTTGTTTGGACAATTCTGTGTATAACAAAATTTTCAACAATTTAGCTAATAAATTGATTGTTGTACTTTTCATGAAACCAATTGGAGTCCAAAGGAAGAGGATAAACTATTCAAATTGATTGGGTGAATTTTAATTTTATGCAAATTTCATGTGATAGTTAAAGTATTAATTCAAATGGTTTCATACATTTACAATTTACTTTGACATTTATATTTGAAATTTAATCTAATTGACAGGTTAACTAAAATAATTTTGTTATCATCAGATCAATGACTGGGAATGCTGATTAACAGGATCATCCATGTGATTAAAATGTACCAAGGATGAAATCAAACAAAAAGCCAATGGATTGAGGAAGGAGGAGAAAAGGATAATGTAAGAGACTATTGTGCAATTTATAAGGATGGAGATTAATAAAGAAAGAGGAGGAAGATGATAAGGATGATAAATATTGTATTCACTTCTTTGTGTCGTAAAAAAAAACTAATCATCTCACGAAAAAGATGCGGATGAAAAGTACCGTTAACTGTTAACTCTCTTGCTCTCTCTCTCTCTTTCAATGTGAATATCATTGGTTTAGTGTTGGATAAACAAAATTAATTGTGTCATTTTAAACAGTTACCCTTAAATTGTTATGGTTAATCATTTGATGGGCAGATTTTGTTTTCTTTGACAATTTAAAGTTAAACTGAAAACCTTTCGACTATTTTAATTGGTCTCACTCTTTCCTATCTAAATTAAGTTATCAATCTTGATTATTATTTCGATATCTAGTCTAAATTTGGTTAATTGTTTGCTTTTTACTCAATCTATTTTCAAGATTTCACAATTAACTTAATTGTATGGATTTTACTTTCGGTTAATGTTTTGTACTTGGAGATGATCAACTTGTACCTGATTAGAGTGATAATTATTTTTAGCTCTATGGGAAATATTTAAATTCCTTGTGGTTAACCACTAACATGAGAGAAAAGTATTTAAATTGATTGTAATCAGGTTCCAATTAACTTTTTGGTTAATAACGATGAGCTGATTATGTTTATCTTTGAAAATTGTGAGTCTATTCAACTTGTTTCATCAACTTTTTGTTTGCAATTTAAATGAACAGTTAAACAAAAAAGTAAACTCAGTTCTGTTAATTACTAATTGAAATTATCATCAACAATTAACAACAAAAATACTATGATGATTTCACCATTTTCCATGATTTAATTTGGTCGGCAAATCAGTGGATCAATCAATGAACAGACTTGTGTAACTTTTGCAAAAACAATCAATTTGATTGTTGATTTTAATTGTCAATCGATAAAAACTTAATTTCCCTTAAATTTATCTCCAATGATTAAAGGAATATACAATTCGTAAATTGTTTTCAAATGATCGGAGGACGGTCAGCATCTGGTGGACCTGCAATTCGTGATAATGATAACAATTTACTCCATAAGGATTTAAGATTTTATTGGTCATCTTCATATTGGTAAAGGTCAACAGCTCGTGGCACACGTGAAGTGCAAAGTAAAAAAGACTAAGACATTTTCGGGTAACTCGAGACAAGAACCAGTTTTTAATCTCAGAATGACCTGACCAGAAATAGAGACCAGGTGAAACATACTGGTCAATAGCGAGGATAATAAATACTATTTACAATGGACCAGGGGTCAAGATATCGGACAAGTTGGTCTAAGAAAATTGCGATTGGAAAAACGTCTTAAAAGAAACAGGACACGCTTATCATCTGCTCTCTTCTTGTCTTCACCTTTCACCTCAATCTGTTTCCTTTTAAACTTTTTCTCTCTCAATCTCCACCCTGTATTTTCTTAGACTTTACTTATCTTCCTCTTACTTTATCTTCTCTTTCTATTGTATCCTTTCTTGCTCTCTTTCTTTCTTTGTTATTTTCCTCTTTCTTAGCTCGTGTCATATGTAAACACAAATCTATTCACTGTCTGGTAACCTGGTTGACCTCAGGTCAATTGAATCGCTGTTTTTGGTTAAATCGTTTCCATTTTCAATACACTTTTCAACCCATTGACCAGACACAGAATCTGTTGCAGTTATTTGCCCACTGGTCATTTGAATTACTTGGAACGTGACTTTTGCTTCGAAGACGAATCAAGGTGGACATTTTAGGCTCTCTCTCTCTCCCTCTCAACCCCGACACCCACTTGCTCAAGTCAAGGTCTATTTGTCTAGAAACTTGTCGTCCGGCCAAAAGTATAATTTGATTTTGCCCACAATTGGAAATCAGGTAACAACCAACATCGGTTGACACAAACAACTTATTTGATTCGGACCACTGATTTTAGGTTAACAATTTAATCATCAGCTGATTGTTTACCTACCATGGATGATGGAAGACGGTGATCAATGGTTTAATCAAGATGATGGACCAAAATGATTGACAGATTAATGATTAACCCAATTGTTAATAACTTGGGCTCACCATTTAAACATAATTGTTACCAATACTTTTCCAGCTCACCAAAAGTTTTCATTTTGTTTGGATAACAATTAACTCAATCATTTCTAATCAATTTTATCAATCAGTTGATGGTTAATCATGTGTAAATTACAATCTACCTGGAAATTAACTATTGATTAACTAAAGATGACGATGATTATGATAACGGATGTGATAATCCTGATCAACATGATACATGATCCTTTTTATGTATATGATCAAGTTTAATTATCAATATAACAATTTATTGATCTCAATATTAATCAAACAGAGCGAGGTCAATGTGTTGATGATTAAATTACAACGATGAACAGTTAATTGTAACTTTTAATTTAGATCAAACTTAAGTTTAATAATAGCAACTTCTTGGTTGAATATTGAATTACCTCAAAGATGATGATTCTGATGATTAAACTAATTACGATTCGCCACAATAAGATAACAATTACTTTAAAATTAACTAAACTAGGGAAACAAATGTCTCATAAATAACAACAATTAACTATCAACTAATCAACAGCTAATTGTTACCTTCCTGTGACTTGATATTGGGTCAAATGATTGAGATAATGTACCAACCATTAAAACCTATTATTCTGGTGATTGTTTACCAACCAAAACAATTTACCGTTAATTGTTGAAGCGAAACGTTTATTTCAACTTAATTCAATTACTAAATTGTATTACCTATTGTGATAATAGTTGTTGATTGTTGATTTTGAAGCCAACAAATTGTTATCATAATCAATTATTTAATCTTGTTAACTTTTTTTACTTTGGCTATTGGGTTGACCTACGAGGGTGATGATTAAAACCTACTAAGGATTCCCGGATTAATTAATCCTTGATGATGATGATGATGATTTAATATCCAATTGTAATTGTGTTACAATTTAAATGTACAATCAATTTGGACACAATAATTTGTTAATTGTTGAAACGTTTATTTTGTTTTTCCATTGAAAATAACAATATAATTTTGTTGATAATTATAATTTTTTTTTATGTACATGAAAAAGCAAATTGATTAACTGATTTTATACTTGTATTAGTTGATTGTTGATGATTTGCTTATCAATAGATTTACAATTTAAAGTTAATCAAAGTGAAACAATTTAAAAGATGAAGATGATGTTGATAATAATAAAAAATATTCTCAATAAAATGATGATGATAATTACACACAATTTAAATAATTAGTTTAATAACTAAATCGTCTAATACCTTAATCGAGGCTCAAATGAGGTATAAGTTGAATAAGGTGATAAATTGGATGGATTGTTAATTGTTGTAATATAATGATGATGATGATGGTGATTAAGGTGTTGATTGTTAATGGCAGTATCATGGTAAGAGGTATAGATTGGTGAATTTGGCCTGTCCAATATAATGGCCGGTGAACAGGAAGTGACCATTTTATCTGATTGGTTAGTTAATTGTTGTTTCAAACAATCTGAACCATCGGTTGTACAATCGATGATAAAATTGTCATCGATTGTATTATCTTCGGGTATTGCTAGGCAAGGATGGGCAGCGGTCTCTTTTTCATTAGTATAATAAACGGCTCCTTGTCTTCGGTAAATTAATGCAATGATGATAATTAGAAAGGTCAACGAGATGACCACAAGGAAACCTAAAACCATACCGATTTTGGGCTGTGGGTAAGTGAGTCTCATCTGAATCTTGGTGTTATATTGACAATTATCAATATCATCATCGGAAATTGTGTAAATGGGTCGACCTTCAAGTTGACTAGGTGATGAACATTTAACGCAAAATTTACCGGCATTGTGACCATTTTGAACGCAAAGGGCAGAATAAGCGGATGGAAGTTGATTGAGCCAATTGATTAACGGTAAAATGTGACAACGTGAACAAGACCAGGGATTATTGTGAAGAGCAATTAACCTTAGGGTTGTCATGGAATCAAAGGTTTCCAATACTGAGGATTCCAGGGTGGATAATAGATTATGAGATAAGTTTAATGCTTCAAGATGGTAAAGTGGTTTAAATAGTGAAGCTTGAAGGGTGGTAAATTTATTCCTACTAAGGTCAAGGTGTAAAAGTGAAGATGACCTGTTAAAGGTTGACTCGTTTAGACTATCGTCCAGTTGAGTTTCAGCTAATGAAAGATGTTGAAGGTTTTTCAGGGGACGAATCAAATTTGCCACTGAGTTTCCTGGATTATAAAGGTTGGGATTATTGTTGAAATTAAGGGTTGTCAAATTGGAAATTGGTTCCAATAGGGTGTCAACTATACCACGAATTGAATTGTGGGACAGATCAAGTGAATCAACTGTCGATGAACAAAATGTACACGTTGAAAGGCCAGTTAATGAATTTGAAGAGAGCCCAAGATGAGTTAATTGAAGTCCATCAAAGGCATGGTCACTAAGTACCGTTATCTTATTACCATCTAAATGAAGGTATTTCAAATTGGTTAAATATCTGAAACCAAATGAGGTTAAATAATTAAGATGATTACCCTTTAGGTTAAGATAATTTAGATTGTTAAGATTCTTGTAAACGGAAGCGGGAATATCTTTGAGGCCACAATTTTCCAAGGAAAGATGATTTAAAATTGGAAGATCGGTAAAATATTCCGCTTTGATTTCACTAAGTGGATTTCCCGACAGGTCAAGATTGGTCAGTTGGGAGAGCGGGTAAAACATTCGTGGTACAAGTGACCGAATCTTATTCCGAGCAAGGCTCAACTTTTCCAGGGAAATTAGAAAGTTAAATGGAGCCGAGGGAATATTGAATTCATCTAGACGATTATTACTCAGGTCAAGGTTAATTAAACGGGAAAGGTTATAAAAATCGTGAGGTGATAAAATGCCAATGGAATTGTAGCTGAGATCAAGAGATCGCAATTGATAACCAGGCCAGAAAGACGACTCGCCGATGGCAGGTAATCGTGAATGGCTAATTTTAATCTCCTCTAATTCAGTTAATCCATTGAAAATTTTACCCAAATTAAGGCTGTTTTCTTGATCCGGTTTACCATCAACAATCAATATCTGTAATAATAATAAGACAACAATCAACAAATAATTAATCATGAAAATCAACCAAATTTAAAAGGTTAACACACATTTAAGTCAATCAAAAATTGTATTTGATTTTTTTTCAGGTTGGTTTCATATTCAATCAAATTTGGTTAATTGGTTAAATTATAATCATCTGAGCAATCAAATTGACTGATTGTTGATCAACAATCAACGGCAACAACATTTTAATTTAGGGTGAATTTTATAATAAATGTAATAATTGTTCATCTTATTTGTGAATTTGAAATGTTATCTAATTAATATTCCTGGTCCAAGATAATCAGGATTAAGAATTGTGGGGAAAATTTTGGTTAACTGTTAATCGTTAATCAATCAATCATCGTCATCATTTTGTGGTCTCCGTAGGAAATTGAAATGATGATTATCATGAGGTGGAGGAATTAATTTAATTCTCAATCAACTGATTGCTGTTGAAAATTTTTTGTTAACAATTTAACAAGAGGGAGGAAAATATCACAATTATCTTGGATAATGGTGGAAAAGGTGAGTTATCAAATTCTAACGATTATCGTTAATGAAAATTTAGTTAATTAATTTACATTGGATTTTATTACAAGGGAAGTTAATATGTAGTAGAGGTAAAAGGATAGTCAGGAAGTTGAGAGAAAGAGTGTGAAAGGTCAAATGGAAAAGGTCAAAAGTGAGAAATGGATAATATGTTCAAAGTATTAATAGTTATCAAGGGAAAAGCTATCTAATGAGAGAAAACAATTAGACAATAATCAGCGGGGATTCATAAGGGGAGAGAGAGACTGATAACAACAGAAAGTCAAAGAGCAAGTAAAAGAAAGGGAAAGGTGAAGGTGAAGGAGGAAAGGTCAATACGAGTTGATAAAATTTTTGTATTGGTCAACATGAGACAAGAAAAATGATAAGAATAATCATTTTGACGATGATAATTAATGGAGATGGTTACGGTTACGGATTAGTTGAGATAATCTTCCAAGCTAAATTTAGGATCAACAGAAAAGGGCAAAAGGGAAAAGTAAAATAAGCAAGAGAGAGAGAGAGAGAGAGAGAGAGAGAGAGAAAAATTAACCATGGACAATGGGCTGAAAAGGATAAACAATCATAAAGATTGTGTAAAAATGTATCGTTTGGAACTATCGAGGTGTGACCAGGTCACTTTTCAGAGACACGGGCGTTGTCCTTTTCTTCAGCTTTGCTTCATTTATTTAAACAACGAAGAGAGTGAGAGAGAGAGAGACAAGGGAGATAGTGAGTAAGAAAGACTACAGAAAGAGAAAAATAAGAGAGACTCTTTCGAGTATCAAGAATATACTCTGTCAAGAATGTTGCTTATCTCTGCAATCCTGAACTCCATGAGAATTGTTTGAACAGTAATAGGGAAATGGAAATGATGATAATGATGATGATGATGATAGTTGATGGTGAAACATGTCTCATTTACAGGATGAAAACAAGAGTAACAGTTTGAGAGAGAAAATGAAATCATGAGAGACTAATACAATTAGTGAGTGAGTGAGACAATTGATGATCATGGTAAAAGTTTAAAACTGAATTTCAACGATGAAAGATTGGATTAGATTTACCAGATTTACATGTAAATCTTACGAGTTGAGGAAAAAAATAACTTGAACTTGACACATAGACAGTGAGAGAGAAATGATAATGATGATATTTTCCTTATTTCTCTTTCCTGGTGATTAGACTAATTCATTCAAATGGATAATCTTGAATATCTAATAAATGTCTTAATCATTTCTCTTTATTTATCCCAACACTTTTTGTCGAGCGATGATATTACATTAATCTCTCATTTAGATTAGTCCATCATTAGAAAGACTTGATACTTAAGTTATATTCTTATTCTTATATTTAATTTACTCTTCTAATTGAGATACTGTTACCTGAGAAGATGAGAGAGGACAAGGAAATAGGAAGACTGAGATGAAGGTGAAGAAAAAAAACTCGAATGAAATTGATCATGATTAGTTTTTGGTGGAAAATTTTTCGACTGTATAACAACAGGTAACAAGAATACATGAGTATCATCGTTCTCATCATTGAGTGATTTTCTTCTGAATCTTTGGATAGTAATTGAATTGTAATGATGAAGATGATGAAAAGGATGAGGAAGAAAAATAATTGATGATATTTTCGTCTAGTTGTCAATTTAAACTAATCAACCATGAAAAGTTAAGGAAGAGAATTGATTTGAAGATGAGATGTCAACCATCATCTTATTTGATCTAATGAAGAGTAACATTTGTGAGTGTCAACGAGGATGAAGAAGAAGAAGAAGAAGAAGAAGAAGATGATGATGATGATGAGAGAAAAAAAAGAAAACAATGAAATAGAACAATTTGTTGATATTAAATAACATGATTAAGGAACAACAATTAGAATCCCAATGAAGTCAAACAAAGGAAGAAAACAAGAGATGAGGAATTGGATCGAGGTGAAGAAAACAAAGGTAAGAAACTGAGACTATCAATCAGTTTCATCTTCATCATTTATCCCTTGATCGTCATTATATCAAAATTGATAACCATCAAGGTAAGAGAGATGATGATGATGATGATGCTGTTGATTGTCAATGATTAACTTTGATGGACAAGGCACGAGTAATGATCAACTATTAACGCAGAAAAATTGATAATGGAGTTGGAATCTTTTCTTAATGGTAACAGATCAATTCTGATAAATCTTAATTCATGATTAGCGGAAAATCATTAACTTGATTCACTTTTCCATCACAACTGATCTGAGCCACAATTACGATTACCAAAATACTTCATCTCTTCATCCAAAGGTCATATCATATATATATCTTATTATCTAACAAGAGATACGAGGTCAAAGTTGATTCCAAGAGAATAATTAACCAGAAAAAAAACTTGAAATCAAAATGGAAACAATAAAATCTCATTAACTCTTAGTGTTTCTTGCTCTCCATCGTAATAAATATTAGATTTGAACATAAATATATTCGCAATGGTGAAAATCGTATCGTATTTGAAAAAGAAAATGAATATTCTGAATACTCTGAGTATCAGAAAAAGAGGAAAATATAATTAAAGTAGAAAACGAAAAACAACAAAAAAAAAGATAAACATTAACAGTGGAAAATAAAACAAACAATGTAACCATAACATTGAATAGGTAATTGAATTAAGAAAATGACTGATTAATATTTAATTTAGTAATTAATCAACAGTGAAGTTGATTAAAGTTGAGAGGAGACTCGAAAAGTTGAATTAAATTGAAAACTGATGAAAAGGTTAACCGGGATGACATTGGATTTGATTGTTGTAAGATAATGAAACCAAATTAAGGTGATTGATTGATTGATTGTTTATATAAATACAATTAGAATTGTTAATTACCTTTGTCGATGGATCAATTAAATTAGTAGGTATCCTGGTAAGTTTACCTGATTCACAAATTACCCTTTTCCTTTTAGTTTCATCCATATCACAGACACAACTTTTGATGCACCTCTGCCAGGAACCAAGATCAAGTTTATTATGATTATTTAGATTAAGATGATTAACTGAATCAGATGATGATGATGATAAAGATATCGATGGATTAGCTGAACTAATAACAATTATAACTGTAAGTTGAAGGAAACTGTTTACACAGAATAAGTAAATTAGATTGAGTATCATGGTGAAAATAATGAGAGAAAATAAAAGAATTGAAAATATCGAGAAATTGAAATGAGAGATGAATGAGAATCCAAGTTAACTGATCCAAGTTCAAAACATTAACTGAAGTCCAATAACAAGAAGATGATGAAGATGAAAAGCTGCAGTGAAAAGTGAGAAGAGAGAGAGAGAGAGAGAGAGACATGAATAGGTAGAAAGAGGGAGAGAGAGAGAAGGATGATAAAAAAAGAGAAAGGAGGAAAACCTTGAAAGAGGAGGAAGATAAGTCTTTCTTTTTCTTTCTCCTTCTCTTCAAGCCAAAGACCCGTTGTTGCCATTGTTATGTTATTGTTATCGGCCCGTGTAAAGGAAGATAAAGAAGATGAGGAAGATGAGGAAGATGAGGATGAGGATGAGGATGATGGTTCCAAAGGAGGTCGAGTGACTATGTTACTTTTTGATAGAAAACTTTTTTTTTCTAAAATTTTTATTCTCTCTCTTCTCGATATAACACATCGAGCAGATGTTACAATTTACTCTTTCAAACGAACCCAGAAAAAAAGTCCTAACCTATGGTTCCGTTTGTTGTCAGGTCACTTTTTCTTTTTAAATGACCAGTGGTGAACGTGTATCGAGAGGCATGTGGCACGCAATCATTATCTTCATCACAATCATCATCATCATCTTCTTCTTCTTCCTCTTCTCGAACTTGCAGATTTACCTGGAAAAGAAAAACTTTCATTAGAACTTTTAACTTTTCCTTGGGTTTCTTTTTTTTTCGACTTTTTTAAATTTCCTATTTTCGAGTTTTTAACTTTAATCATCATCCATTATCTTCTTACTCATCATATAAATACTGTAGTATATCTATGGGGATAAGGTTCGACTCCTTCTTCCGTTTCGGAAGTTCCTAATTCGACCTAATTCCTTCGTAATTGTTTAACCAACTTAATTTTTCCATGTTAATATTATAAGGAAATCATGATAAGTTTAATTTGAGGAAAAAAAAGTCAACCGATTACATTATGATGATGAGACAGTTTATCGAGTTTCATTTTCTTATAAAATCGATTGAGTTTTCTGTTGGAGTTTGTTGTTAGTTTTTTGTCGAATTCGAATAAAAAAGTTCTAAAATTGATTCCGTCTTTTAGCTAATTATTGGTGGCCTGACACGCGTATTATACTTTTTACTTGCTGTTGATTTAATTTCGTGTGAATTAAATCAAGATTTCAAAGGGAATTAAAATCCATCGGGATTAACATTGATTATCCCACGAAATTATATCTTGTACACATATTAGATTATGTGACTTAACCTCCTCCATTTCCGTCTCCTCCTACTCTTCCCTCAGTGGATCTAATTCAATTCAATTATTAATTCTTAACTTATTGGTTAATAATTACGATTATCATTTAACCGTTAATAGTTTTGGTTCATCAGCTGCTGAGAATCTTTTTTATCCCTTTCGCTTTTCATGATAACACAGAAAAATTCAGAGATTTAGATTATATCAATTTCTACCAATGAACAGTCGATGAAAATTTCTACCACTGATCCGAAACATGATAATCTCATTCATCAGTTAACAAGAAATTTTGTCGTGATTATTATTTGTGATCTCACATTTTATCAGATTCGATCTCAATATTATCATGATTTTATTATTTAATATTATGGATCAGTCTCAGTAGCGGTCAGTTTAATACTTTGGTCACTTTTTACTGGAAATTGAGAAAAATTCAGTCATAGGAATAACATTTATCTCTCTCTCTCTGTTGGGTTATTCGATATGTTCAAAATTTTCGTGGGATAAACACGAAATATTGTCCTAACCTATTCTAGTGGTTTATGATTTGCAAGTTAACTTGTTGTCACCTCCCTTGAGGACAAACTCCCTCGTAATGACAATATTTGGTTCACATGAAAACAGTTCGAGTTCGAGAAGTTGATATAACGGTAAATATCACTATCGAATCTGTTTCACACTTAAATGGACTAATCAAAAAGTCATCATCATCTTTTCAAACTTTAACATCTTCATTTTTATCCTCATCACTTTCACGTGGGAAATTTTTATCACCATCACCATTGATTATCAATATGTATTAAAAGTCACACGGAAACGGAATCAGTGAAACTTGTTGATTGATTAAAATTAAAATTTCCAAGAGAGTAGCTTCTTCTTGGATAACTTAATCAACTCAACAATTAAGCAACAATAAAGCTCATTGATTAACCTCTCGTCAATCTCACAACCATAATCAGAACCATCAATTTATCAATTATGGTAAAGATAATTAAGATAACTATAATTAATAGAGAGTGATGATCAACTTAATTTAAGTTCATTGATACTTAACAAGTGAGACTAATATTTGAATCAACAATCCAAATAATCAAGGTAACAATTAAACTGATTAGTTGTTTGTTTTTGACAGTTTTAAAGTTTAAACTTTTTCCCCCCAAATCATTTCCAGTATATGATTTAATAATAATAATCAACTTGGATCCAATTGTAAACATTGAAAACTATTATTAAACCCTGAGGGTTGAAGATGATGATGAGGATGAGGAACCTTTCAAAGCCAAACCTTATTTTTATCATTTGATTACCTTGATTGTTAGGCTATTGTGTATTGGAAGCAATTTATCATCTCTTAATGAACCTTAATTTTCATCACCTCCAAGCCCAGGTAATAATATTGACCGATGATAATTATCATCTTATTAATATACAATCAGTTTCCTTAGCAGTTATCATCAGGATAACTTTTGTTTTCATCATCATCAGTAAATCATTTGCAATCATCTGTAATCATCAATTGTGCAATATATTGCAATCTAATTTGATTCAAATCACTTTACCATCAAACAACATGAACAATAAACATATTGATATGATTTAATGAGAGAGAGATTGAGAGAGATGACAAAAGGAGGAGGAAGATGATTATCAACGGTGATGGTGATGATGATGATGATAGTGTGTTGTTTAGTACTGATGATAACTGATGAGAAGATAAGATTCAAAAAAAAGAGGGACAATGAATGTGAATGATGAACAAAAATCAGAGAGATAAAAGATGATGAGGAGCAAGAAAAAAAGATCAGCCCAAAATCATCATCGAAATCATCATCATCCTCTCCTTTCCCTTTTTTCCACCCTTCAGTATAATGATGATGGTGACCTTGCCCATCTTATTAGAACCATTTACCACCCCACTTCCAGTTCGTGCCTACGCCCTCCTCGATTTTACAATCTGAGTTTAGAAATTTGCTTTTCGCTCAAATGTCGATAATGCAAACACATTAAACTCGATGTAATATCATTTATATTGACATTGGAATATTTTTATTCTTGTTGATAATTAAAATTGTCTACAATCAGAGTGTAACTTTTATTCATAATTGATGGTGAGTCAACTATTTAGGTCTGTTTATCATCCTCATCTTCACCCTAGTAAATGTAAGAATCCATTAAATTTATCCCAACAATGGATGTACATTGATGTTCCTGTAACAACAGCCACCCACAAATTGATCTGTATCCCACCTCTGATGTACTCTCTCATTTTGCATCCCTATTATTATATTTTTGCGCTTAACGGTAAAAATTGATCTGATAGACAGTTATAAAATTAATTTCCTCGTCCTCGTCAACGTTTCCGTTTCACATCTGCAAGAAAAACTTTTTGATCTACTAATTGTTTCGCAACATTAATTATGAAAATTTTAATCAAGGGAGAATTCACAAAAAATTCCTTCTATTTGATTAAACTGCTTTATTTCGATTAGATAGTTCACATGTGGATCTTATGAATGCGATTCAATATTTCGAATGCCAAAGATCACTTGAATACCTCCGATCAAATTGAAAACTGATCAAAATGTTCATTTAGAATTTATAAGGATTGAGAGAGAGAGAGAGAGAGAGAGAGAGAGAGAGAGAGAGAGAGAGAGAGAGAGAGAGAGAGAGAGAGAGAGTTTACAACAAGTAACCGCTTTTCTTGTACATTCAGCTTCCAGAATTGAGTCATGAGAGTTTGAGACGAATAAAATGAGCATTTGTCTCTTCACAATCAATCCAATCAGCCTCTTCTCACAACACAACTATTATGGTCGATATCGAGCTTCTGGTGACATCTTTTAGAAGAAGTTACAACAAAAACAACGTGAAAAGACATTTAAAAGTTTCAGTTAGTTATTATAACATGTTGAATGACCGACATGACCTTGATGTGAGACTTGAGTTAAACAAATGCTTAAGGTTATACTAGGATATGTCTTTTGACTTACGAAGTTTTGCAATGACTTACATCAAAGAGCGTAGAATTTCAGTCATTTAATTAAACTCTTGTAAAAATCATTAAATTATTAAATCTCATAAGGTAAAAATTATTGTTTACCTCTGGTTAGTAAAATATCGCGATCGGGTCTTTACCCGGTGCTTTGGATTACTAACCAGAAAGCTTGGTATGTGACATTTGATTAACTTGACTTCTCAGATATCTCTCGATCTTTTTCGTTTATTCAATCTAGTATATTAATTTTACTTCTAAACAAAAATGTCTAAATCCTTTGAATATTATCTTTAATTATCTAATTATCATGTATATCGAATTTTTGCCAGTAGTTAATTTTGAGAATAGACGTTAGTTCGTCAATTTCAAAGCTACTAAGTTAATTGCTTTGTTACACTTGCAACTACTTGACCTTAATGACCTCCTTCTCAATTTTTCAGTCAAAGGTCATTTCAAGGTTACTCCGTGTATAAATATTGTACATTTTCTCAATAGCTCCAAATTAAATAAATCCTTTTGGTGTAATTGAAAGGTCCGTTTTGAGCGATTCTTTGTGATATGTGTCGATGTTTACTGAGAAATACCATTACTCCCAAAGTACTCTGATGCAAAGGAACCTAACAAAGCTCAAAATTAATTACCTTTTAATCACAAATTAAATTACAATTAACTAAATATACAACAATAATTTTAAGCTTCTCTGCCAATAGATGGCGTAACCAAACCGAAACCAATAATCGACTATAAAAGAAAATGTTGAATAAACAATTAGATGTTTCAAACATTTGATTGTTAATCGTAAACTGTCCAGTATATCAGGTCATATAACATCCTGTGAATAAATATTCTATCCGAAATTGGCTAGTATAACAATTCGATTGACAATTTGTCATGTTATTTGTTGTCTTTTTCAAAGACAATTACTATTTACTAATCCATTGGTTTAAGTTCACAAAAAAAAACAACTCCAAATAATGAGTTAATTCAATAAAATGAACAAGATAAACATTTTCCTCTCCATCTTCATCTCGATCATCCTCTTTTTTTTACCACAATCAACTAAAGTCTCTAATCATCATCAAGATCAGTATTTAAACACAAAGTAAATACAAAGACAATTTGATGAAAATAAAAACTGATCACGTTTACCCCTAAATTGTAACTAATAAAACAATCTAAAAATTTGAATCAATTTAGGTTCTATTGTTACATGATAAATATCACGAGGCAATTAGAAAGTTAATGATCAAAAATTCTGATCACCCTGAATGTCCATCTCAAAATGTCCACCAAAATATTAACTTTCTTTCTGATTCTTAGTTGTAATAGTTTTTTTTTCTAATATTTTCCATTCGCAATGTTTAATTCATCAACTCTGTTCACCTTAAATTTTGGGATAACTTTTGATATTTTTTTCTGTCATTCTAACAACAAAACATGACAACATATTATTATCAATGAGAAAAGTATATGTAAGATATTATCTTAGGCGATTGTAGGGAAAAGGTTAATATACAAATTACAAGGAGATAAAATGTCATCAACATCTCAGGTGATTTATGGAAATGGACACAACTATTTAAAGTGAATAATCATACTATTCACAAACTGACCATGATGATGATGATGTTAATACATGAATAAGTTATCCAACTCGCTTTCATTTCCGGATTATATTTTTGTCTTTTGAATAAATTACCTCATTCATATTATGTATAAATAAACCTTGAAAACTGACCATCATTTGTTATGTCCACCAATGAACATTGAAAAGCTTTCAAACCTTGTCTGTGTAGTGTCCAGTAAGTTAGAAAGTATCACTTTGAAAAAAAAGAAAACTTATTCTATTATCATCTTAATATCAATGATGACCATCGTCATTATCAGTGGTCATCTTTTTTCAGACTCCCTATTGTTTTTTTTACTCTTATTCATAAATCATCATCAATTATGTATGAATGGTAATGGTCAGTTTTACTTTACATTGGGCCATTGTTTTTGTGGTGTTGACCATTTGAAATATTGTCGATATATTTTTTTTATCATCACAATAACTTATTCAACTGGACATCAGCTGATATTTGTTTCATTTTCGTGACAATAAAACAAGAAATTTATCAATCATTAAGATTTTATTATTGTTTGATCATCATAATTAACTTACCTGTCAATTAACCGTCACAATTTAGCCTCAAGGTGATTACACTTATCCAGATTATGAGACATCAAATGATTATCAATATTTACCAAAGTGATGAACAATTAAACCATCAAAAAAAATTGATTGTATATCAATTTAAATTGTTAATTGTAAGTTTAAACAGTTTTACCATTGATAAGAAAAGTGTTAATTGTTAATCTTTGATTGTGATTATGCTTTAATCGTTTGTATTTTGTGATGATTAACTTTTTGATTGATTAATGAGCCTTCAATTTATCACAGCAATCAAAGTTGATTTGGTTAACAATTTAACATTATTAACCATTTGATTATCAATCAGGTTTGATTTTTATTATTATTATCATAATTTAATATCATTTATATTATCGTGATTGTAACAAATTAGCTAATTAGTTAATTATTTGTATTCGCTTGGTCTGTTCGTGTGTGTAATCAGTCATGGGTCAGTTAAGTCCAGTGATATGTTGACCAATGAATTATTTTTAATTGTGTATTAATTTGGTTATGAATTAGTTTTATTTTATTAACAATTTCTTTTCTGTCTTTGTTCATTAATCATTCAAGTAACATAATTAGTTTATTTAAATTGATTGATTGATTGATCATCTTGTATTATTAGGATGATATAAATGATGACAACAGGATGGTCACTATCAAAATTGACCAGGAAGGTAAAAATCCTATTGAATTACCTGTTTTTTTGGTCAAAACATGAAAGGAAACACGGAAACAGAATAAATCTCATGACCTCAGTGACCAGTGGTCATTTTTTCATGTACATATACTTACTTTTAATCAGCATCATTGCCTCTGACATGGCGGTGATAAAGCTTATATCAACTGAGACCTCGCAGACAAAAGTGCCGCTCGTTTGATTGTTGACCTCACGAAGGACGATCCTGGTATAATTTGACCTTTCTCTCTGTAAAATGAGAAAAGGTTGACAATTAGAACTTTCGAAAACTCTGAAGCTTAAATTTATCTCCATTACAGAATATTGAATATTAATTACAATCTTAAATTGTCAACAATTTACTTCACTTTGTATTGTAATCTCATATTCCTACCAACAGTAATTTCCACACCTCTTATTTTTTTGATTGACACTTTGATTAGAAAAATTTTTCTCAGTTAATTGTTCATGTTCTGTGTCAATATAATATATAAGCTAAGAATCAGGGGAGAAACTATGACAACAATAAACACCCTGAGTTATCTGAATGCGTTTCAATTGTAATGATTAAGATGATAACCAATGGTTAACATGTTTGTCTAATAATGAAAAGTTTGATGACAGAAAAAAAAACTTTTCCTTTGTCTGTTAATCACAATCAATGAGTTTATCATAGACACTCAATGGACATTAATTAATATCTTTGATAACAAGATGATACAATGAAAATCAATTGATTGATTGTTAGTAATCAACGGTTACAATTGAGCAAAAAAGTTAAATTGAAAATTGATCCTCAATAATCAATCAAAATCAAGGAGATCAACATATTCACCTATCACAATAACGATGATAATCAATTTCTTATCATTAATATCGATAATTTTTTCTGATTCATTTCCAACAATTTAAAGTTTCGAAAACTTTTTTCTCTTTTATAACTTTTCGATCTGATATTTCGCCCTCCAATACTCTCCCTCTTGTCTTCTTTGCCCATCTCTTACAAAATCATCCATTATGATGATAGAGATGATAAAATGTTATAATAACTTGGATGTCATCATAAGGATGATGATACTTAGATAATAATATTAGAACTCGAAATCGATTGGAAAGAAAATCAGAACTTTTTTTCCCATCTCAAACTCTTCAAAATTACCTCATCTCTTTATCTCATTCCGATGATGATGAACTTTCATCATGATAATTAACTAATTGTAAAGACTAAAAAAAAGTTCTACAAGACAATTTGATTGTTATTCAACTAATTACAATTAAAGATTTTAATGAAATTAGGGAAAAAAGTCTCTCTCTCTCTCTCTCTCTTCCTGTTAAGTAAATTTAACAGTCAAAAATCAATAGAATTGAACCTGAAACAGTTTCCCACTGCTCCTCCCATTCCCACTCCCTTTCATCATCATTACAATTATTATTAGATTCAATTAGATCCAATTTAACTTTTTATATTATTATTATTATGAATTTCTTGTTCATCGTTTCCCTTGATGTTTAATAAATTACAATAAACAGTAACAATCAAATTAAATTCAATCCAAATGATTAAACAAATTTAGTTATTTTTTTCTGTATCTCAACTCATTAAATGTGAAAGTTAATCAACAACATTGAGTTTTTTTTTGTCAATTGAAGGATATTTTCATATTTAATTGTTTTGATTGTTCCAATTCAAATTGATTAAGGGAGAAGGAGACAATTAAGTTGATTTTGTTGGTTAACTTGTCATCATTGTTTCAATCTAAATATTGATCTTGGTCTTGGATGTGACCTGAACATACAGTTTTCTGGCCTTAATCATATCGCTCAGTTGAGCATAAAATAATTACAATTATCTTATCACCAGCAACATCCCACTCCCACTCTTACTCCTCCTTGATAATCATCATCATCTTAATATGATAAAGTCAAAAGTAATCAAAGGTATCAAAAGGTAATCACTGTGGATCCAAATCTGAGTCAACCTTCAAAATCAGATTCATGGGAGTGGAAAATAGGACATTGATTATATATATAAACACCCTGAGCCCATGAATATCTAACTGAATTCTCAATGGTTCATCTTAATAATGATCAATTGATCATCAAATTTCAAATGAACTTGAACTTGAAATGATCATGAACAGATGAAACTCAAGATGTGACATAACTTTGAATGGTAAATAATGATTATTTCTGATCCATATTCAGATATTCAAATTTTATCAAGTACATGTAGCATGATGATTATAATGATAACGATTACTAGATGTCTTTTTCAGGTGATCATCATCATCAACATCACAGAAATTAATATCAAATGTATGAGTATTATCCTGAAAAAGAAGATGAAACAATGAAAAGAACAGAAAAAAAAATTTCTCATCCAATCCACTTGATCTAATGTAATTATTATGTAAATTTTGCCTGAAGCAACATTTTTGTTTTCCTGGTTTCAAGAATCAATCAATGTTAATGATCATCATCATAGTAAATATCATGCAAATAGATTTTGAATGAAATCATTTCATGATGATATCCATTGAATTTATCTATCATGAAATTATTAGAAACAATCAAACTTTGTCTATGGATTGAAGTAACTAAAAGTTATTAAATCTTTGTCTCTCATGATGATCATGGTAAAGGTAACGATATTATCATGAATTCATGATGACTTATGATCAGAGATAAACAAATTTGATTCAATCCATTGAGTTACAAGTCAACATCTCTGATTCATATCTGTAACTTTTATCACTATTATTTCAGTTTCATCATGAAAGTTATTCAATTAACTAAGAGATCCAAGTGTTAGTTTACTTTATCTACCTTGGTGTTTGTACACATGAAGACCAATCAAAGTTTTTCCAATCATCTGAATGAAATAATTTTAGAATAAAAATTTATTAAATACTTTCGATATTCTCGATTGTTACCCTGGTTATACCATGGATACTCAGGTAATACTCAGAAGTTCTGTTTTACCGGAAAGTTTAACAGGTGAATAAACTGAAGATGTCGAAATGAGAGAAATGGAAAGTTCCAATAGATAGAAAAGTTTTTGTCAAAGTTGTAAAAAGTGAATAAGAAGAGAACCAAAAAATTTGTCATCTTTTTTAAAATTTGGATACTCTAATGAGAGAGTTGATGATGATCATCATGAAATTACCTTTCAGATTGAATAGAAGCTGATTGATTGAACCATGTGGAAGAAGTTAAGAAAAAATTCCCTCCCTGTAAATGATGCGATTGAGAAAAAGATGCTCAATGATAATGATGATGGTGAAAATAATCAACAGAATAAGAAGATGAAAAAAACTAAAATGATAACAGAGTTTCCAGAATTTTTGGTCTGGTGTATGGTTTTCATCTTGATCATCATCATCATCATCATCATCATCATGAACCATATCTTGATCATATTCATTTACGGTGTTTCTGTAACAACAGTAAATCTAATTATCAAGTTTAACTGATTATCGTCTATCAGGCAACAAGATATTTACAGTTACATCAATTTACCTTGTCTCATTTTTATCCAACCTCATGAATACCCTGTTTTCATATGTGAACGTAATCAACACTCAACTTACTTTCCATCTCCTTAATTATGTTACTGTTCATGACACACTTACATGTGTGTATACCTGAGTTTGAATTGTAAGCTGAACTTTTCTTGATCGAAAACTTTGATAAAAGTTGAAATGTTCAAATATCGAACTGTTGTAAACATGATGAATCAAATGGATAAGTTTATTGTCTGTTTCAAGATTCACCAATTCCATGGTGTTGATATTGATTAATGAGAGAAATAAAAAAAAGTTCATTTAGAAATTTGTTTTCTTATATCACTGAGCAAGAAAATGACTAATATGATATAACTAACTCATCATGTAGATGAGTGTCCAGTTGATATTTACAATTATTTACTATTCCCTGGTGATAAAAGTGAAGGTGATTGACTAAACACACTCAACACCTTCAGGCTATTATAACGGTTTATTGACCAACACAGAGAAACAAAGTGAAAGGCCATCAAAAATACTATAACCGCCTATTCTGGATATAAAATAATCGTACTGACCGAATGACTTTTGTCCAACGTCACTGGTCAGTGAAATATTTACATACCCATTGACCATTAAAATTGAATATATAGTTTGATGGTTATTATCATTTTGTATATAAAAGGATTGGAAGGTAAAAATTCATCAACTCATGAATTTATATCATCTGATTTAATCAACATCATTGACCATTCATATTAACTAATCACTGACCGATTGTAACTCATAAAAACAGGAACTAAATAATAATAAAAAGAGTAACAATTAAATGTGAAAATGTAATAATAATAAATGACAATGAAATGGTCAAGATAATAAAAATCAAAAGAGTTACAATTAAATTACATTATTATTTAGATAAATTGTTAATGAATTAACTTTAATTGTCTCAAATTGTGACAATTTAATATGGTTGATGATTTAGTGATGATTAAAATTGAGTAACAAGATTGACACAAACAATCAAGATAATAAAAGTTAAATCGTATCCATTGAGAGATAATAACAGTTAATTAATTGATTAATTGGACAGAAATCTAATCACTAATTGTTTAGATTAAACTAATTGAAATTAACAAATTTAAACCAATCAAAGTGTTAATTTGATTTTGAATTGCAAATTAAATGGTCGAAACAAAAAATTATGAGAAAAAAAGTTTTTTTTCATAAGCAAAAGTTTCTCATTGAGAAAATATTGTTACACTTTTCTTGGAGTGGAAACTTTTTGGTTTCGATTCAGTGTTATTATCTTTAGTTTCATGGTGAATATGAACTTACATCGATATTAATTCCGGGCACTGGAAAGTATAAAACTTGCCTCTTTTCCTTTGGTTCATACCGATAAAATTCATTCTCTTCTTTGTACCATTTGATTGTATACAGAACTTCACCTCGAGTCAGATTATATTTACATGAGAGTTCAGCATCAGAACCATGATTCACAATCTCGGGCACTTTAAATTCAGTTATATTAACTGATTCCAGAGCTAATCCATTAACAGATTGAACCGTTAATCCGTCCAAGAGAAATTGTCCAATTTTCGATATCGAAGCAAAAAATTTGAGACGAAAAAAGTTCCAAAAAAAAGTGATTATTATATTGTAAAGATAATTAATCATTTAATTGTTTCAAATGTTGGCTCTCCTGTAAATAATTACCTTTAATGAGCATTAATAATGGTATGATAATTAATTTGAGGTTAATTAAAATAATAAATCCACTCATGGTGTTAACAGTGATGTCGATGATTATTGTTGTGTTTAGAGTTGATTTCAAATTTCATCCTGATAATCATGATAACATCAAGTCCCATTTGCTAATTGCACAATAATCACTGGATATTGATCATTACTAATCACTAATGACTAATCATCACGATTAAAACATATTAGAATGTCAAAAGAATCACCTGAGCAAAGTTTTTTAGTTTTTCCATAAAATTAAGTTAAAGTTTCGATAGATGAATATTTTTCATGGTGGTTATCAGTTGTTGAATTATCATGGTAAACTCATGATTAAAGTTGTGTAATGTGATGAAGGTTTTCACAGTTGAGTTGAGTTTCCGATTCGGAATGATTATGAATCAAGGGAAGGGAAAAAAAAAGTTTCACTTTGAAATTCAGTCTTGAAACAGATAGAGGGAGTGATAGATACATTTGAGTACATGCCCTGTAAGTTCATGAGGTAACCACCCCTTCAGAACTTGAGGTGAACTATAGTTAACATGATGCTAATAATATTTGGAATAGGAGATAGATTCTCAATCTTAAGATATTGAAATTGAACTGAAATCCGTATTTTTTTTTCTTGATTTGTTTCTCTTCCAATCTCAATCATCATGCTCATTTTTTTTCAGAAATTTCATCATGATAATAAGCACAAGAACTTTCTCCATGTATCAATGGTAACATGATACTCAAATTTCATAATAATCATAATGTGATTGTAACATTGAATCTTATTCATTGGGAAAGAGATTAAAACTTCATGGTTCAAGTCTCAACTTTTGTTTCGATAAAAATTCTGATTCTGAATTTTTTTCTTCCAGGGGGATTGATCATGTTTCCACTTTATGTATATATATATGGACGTACCTGTAGGCAGAAGTGCTCATTGAGCTCATCAGTATTCCGGAAGAGGTTCATGATTATCTCCATGAAAAAGAAACGAGTAAAAAGCGAATTTACTTCTCATCTCAATTTCAATTCTAAATTCTGATTTGAAATTCGTTGATGAACTTTCCTCAGATTTACATTTTAAGATATTTTAACTTTTTTTTTCTTCTTCAAACTAATTCGATTGATGATGAAAAACTAATTAACAACAATCTAAACTAATTGCAAATGGTAATGAACTTTACCATCTAATCATGTTTATCTGAATAATGATCATGATAGATTTCAGATGATTGTTGATTAACAATCGTAATCATTTTTGTTTAGAGACAAATCTTTTAATCTTAAAGTAAACTCATAATAATTAGATTGCTACTTGATATGAATTCATGATAAAAGATAAAAAAAGACAAAGATCAACATGATGATGATTCATTCATGAATATTCAATGAGTTCAATGATAATCAGTATGATGAATAGACTATTATTAAATGGATCAGATTGGAAAATGATAGATGATTAACTAATTGTTCCTGGTGAATGGGAACAACATTTGAAGGACCACAATCAAAACTGTAACAACGACAATTAATTGACAACTAATTTACCCTCAAGGATTGGGAGTTAATTGTAATTATCGCAGAGAAATAAAATCTAAAAACAGAAGAAAAAAAAAATAACTGAACTTATCATGTTACTCTGATTCCAATGTTTTCAATGATCAAATAATCAGGTTATTTGATTAATTGATTGTTCCTGTTGATTAACAATCTAATATAAAGTGTATTAATAAACAAGTAATATAACAATCATATTGAAATAATAGTGAAAAAAAAAGTTCTGAGTAGTTATCATATCAAATTGTTTCATGATGATAATGATAAACTAAATTGGTTTCATTAGATTTCAAGATGTTTCCTGAATTTCATGAAATGAAACAGAGTCAACAACTAACATGATTAACATACATATATTGATATAACATGGTAATGATATAATAATAATAATATCAACCATTTACCATGATTTTCATGGGCTTGGAACTTTTTTCTCTTACTCAACCAGAACTTATGAGCTTTTTTCCAAGCCCCTGGAATCGACCATGAAATAAACAACAATAATCAACTCAGAGAAACTTAGATGATCCAAGTCCAATTAAAATCTAACATTTCAATTGGATTTCAAATCAGAATTAAATATTATATACACATTTTCATGGTGAATTCATGAGGATATGATATGAACTCAGAATTGTGATTCCGATTTCCTAATGATGATTATTTCTGTGTGTGTTTCAATTGTTTCAACGAAAATAATAATGATCATCATGTTAATATAAAAGCAAGAAGAAAAAAAAATAATCGTAATGATTTAAAGGTTTTTAAACTAAATTAGTCTCATTACAATTATATCATTTTCTTGAATAACTTTTTGATTCACTTTTCAAGAGTCTTCAGATTTCTGAGCTCCATGTATTTACCATGATTCTAGTTACCAATTTTCATTTGCCCTTTTACCTCTTGGGGAAACATTGATGAAGACAATTTGTTGAAGGATAAAACAAAAAACTATCCAGTTACAAAGTTCAGTTAAAGTTCATGAATATTATCATTCTGTTCATTTTCATTACAGTTTTGATAATTTCTTGTTTCCATTGTGTTTGTGTGTGTGTGTTGGTCATTTGTTTACCGTTACTGTTGGTCAAACAATGACCATTGTTATTTGTTACTTGTTCTCGTCATTATATTTGAGTTTCAGTTTGAGTCCCAGGGTAATATTAATAATTGGCGAGTTTACAGAACTTTTTTTTTGTTTTTATCTCTTTTCTACTCCAATGTTTATCTTGACGATGAAACAAAGATTAACAATCATTAGGTCTTTACATATAAATCTATTAAATTATTATAAACATGATAATCATGTGAATGACTCTTGAGAGGAGAAGTTCAATTCTGAAATTTTGGGTGGGAAAAGTAAAATTCATGATAAAATCGGAATCAAAAGAGTTGACCAATTTCTTGACCAAATATCTGATGACGATTAAGATGAAATATTAATCGATTGACAAATTATTTTGTCTCATCTTTTTTTCTCAAAGCCAATTAATAGTTAGGATAACATTTCATCATCAAGACAATCATGATAAATGAAGATCAATATCTTTATCCTTCATCATCATCATCATCTTAATCATTAATAAGAAGAGGATAAAATTGATCACCACCATCCTGGATTATCAATGATTACATTTGGATTCTCATTTCAATATATTGAAAATTCAACTGATTTTTTTCAGAATTTTGTAAAACTATTCTGGATTATCCTCTCTTAACACCTCATAATCCATTAATTGTTATCATCACTATTATCCGAGAGTATTTAACTTTTATAATCAAATCTATTTGGATGGCATGAATTTGATTACAATAAAGATTTGGAAACTTAATCGTAGGTTTCAATAGCTCAGTTCTGATAACTTGTAATAAGAAAAAAAACCAATAATATTATCAAAATTGATAAAAAAAAGTTCCTTGTGAGGATGATACATGATAATCATCATGATTTACATGATATATAGCGTATATATTACATGGGAAGAATATGAATTTTTATCATTTGAAAAATTTTTCGAAAAACTTTTTGTTCTTCATTGTAAGTTTCGAAAAGAGTAACTATTTATTCAAATGAAGTGATAATATTACATTAAAGAGAAAGAATAAAATATTATCATGAATATCCACCTTCACACTCCCATCTTTTAGAACTTCAAAAGTTTACCTGAGAGAGAGAGAGAAATGTAGATTTTACTCATTCGAATGAAGAAAATAGTGAGTTGGGTCCACTCTTTTTCTTAAAAGTATCTTGTCTTCATCTTGATTATCATCATATTTCATCATGAAATGTTGACACAACAACAACTTCTTGTTTCAAAGCTCATTCAATCAATCATGTACAATTATCATGCTACTCAGAATCTTTTTGTATTCAAATGTGACAATAATATCTGATCCCTCATGAGGATTTCTCAAGATTGAGGGACCATGATAATGGACTCAGGGAGAAGAGGGAAAGTTTACTCTTTCCCTTTTTATCGAAAAATTCGAAATTCTCTCTTTATCTACCTGACATGTTACTGGACAATCAATATTCACCCTGAGCTCAGGTAATTATAGAGCTTGAGCTTTCTGAGTGTTGATTGAAATTGATTAACTCAACTTTTCTGTTTTCCAAACATCTTGGTGACAATATTATTATTTTGTAATCCATTGATAATCATGAGGTAACATTAGTTTTACCTTTTGTAAAGTGTTTTCTTTTCTGTTCGAACAATATTTTTCATGAGAACAATTTATCTCAACCATCGCCCAATCTCACCCGATCAATTCATTTATCATCTGATTATCATGTGAGACAGATAATTGAATATTTATCATGTAAATTTATCAAAAACTCAAGTGAATACACATAAGATTTGAATATATGAAAATATCTTCTATTGATCATGATAAGATTTCAGAATTTTTCCTTTTCTCTGTTACCTAAAAGAATCAAATTTCACATGATAAATACATGGGGAAAAAAATGAATTAAGCTCATCGATATATATATATTGTAATACATATACCTGATTTTTTTCGAAAAATTCTGACAGAAAAAAAGTTCTAACTGAGATAAAATCGGAACAAGCAACTGATGACTTTCTGTCATGAGCCTTAAAAAGAAAGTGTTTTCAATGAATCTGAATCATTCATGAAATCAATGATTTAACTTCAGGATTACCAGGATAGGAAGAGAGAGATAATAAAATAATGATGATGATGATGATCAGGGTGATCAGGGAGAGTGTGAATGATATTTTCCAGATTGAAAATGAACTTTTCTCTTTCCTCTACCTTCAAGTCAATTGTTATCAGAACAAAAAATCAGTAACTTACCTGAACTCGGTCAAGAATTTACAATAACAAATATAGCAAGATGATGATGATATTTATTTCATCTTCATGATGTTTTTATCATCATCATCATCATGAAACTTGAATTCTAAATTCCTGGTGTATAAAGGCAATTGCAAGTTCTGTTTGCCTGTTGTATCTGTTTCTGATCAAACAATAACAATAGAAAAAGGTAACTACTTTTTTTTTTACTTCGAACTTTTTATTTTATTTCTTCTTCTTTTATTTTGTTCTACCTTCGATTCTTATGATTGTTGTTCAATTGTTGGAGAACAATTTGAAAGATTGATTCTTCATATTTCATGTTTCCATGGTTCCATGAAATACCCACCATCAACTTCCACCGAGAGCAAATTAGATTAAGATGAAAATTTTTATTCCAAAGTTTGTTTTTCTTGTTCTTCCATCTCAATCATCAATTGAACTTTTTGTTCCTTCAGATATTTCAATTCTTATCGGTGATAGTGAGTAGATCGTAACTCTCACCATGGCTCATGAATGTCTTTTGTGTTACCTTTATGTTAACATCAATTAACTTTGTCACCATGATGCTGAATATCATCAATGATGATCAACATGAAATTCATGAATTTGATCTTGTTTTTTTTTGTTCTATTTGATTTTTTTTTCTCTGTTCCTATTTGATTGTCAGGTAATTAAAAGCTTTGTAACCACAATAAGGAAGATGAGGAGGAGGGAGTGGGAAGAGATAAAATCTTGAAATTAAGTCACGAAGTTACATGAAAGTTCATTGAATCAACACATAAACTGAATTCTCTGAATAATCTGACTTATTCTAGATACAAAGAGCTCTGAAATTATCTCTGAATTATCATCATCTCGGATGATGACAATTGATTACAATTCATGAGGCTAATTTGTAATTACTCAACCATAACCATCATCATCATGAATTTGAGTTAATCATGAGATTCTCATTTTAAGGTGAAGAAAAAAAATTAACTTGGAAAAGTTTTTTGTAGAAATAAAAATAAACCATTTTCATGGAATCGGATTGAATTTTAATTGAGACAATTTCGTTTTCTAATTCAGCTAATTGTTATCGATTCTATTTTATAAGAGGAAAAAGTGTAACTTAATTTCAAGATTTTCCAATCGATTGGATGGTTAATTAATTCAACATTCATATTGGAAAATATTGACACTTCATGAAAGTCTTAGAACTTTTCGAATTGATGAAATTTTCTGATTTAATCGGCGGGGGAGTGGAAATAAAGTTCTAAAGGGAAGGACAGTTAGTTGATTGTTATCGAGTTGCAATCGAAATGCTTTCAGGTTGATTAAATGTTGAATTTTTTACATTTCATCAATTCAATGTTCATAGTTATCGGTTCTGATTCGGTATCATGTAGATTGTTGTTACAATGTGATACAGTTAATGATGAACATTGAAGAAAAGGATTATCATGAAATTATTTAGAGAGAGAGAGGGAACCAAAAGGTAACTGATTAATTTTGATTTGAGAAAAAAGTTCTGTATCATATCTATTGCTGAGATTTAATATCACCCTGAGTGCTTTCATGGTGATTCTCTGAACAATATTTTTCTTTGGATTCTTGATGTTTAACATCATGATAATATAATTCATCTTATCTGTTTCTGAATATCAGATTATTGTGAATGAATGATTTATGGTTGAACATTTGATTCATCATATTTCATGGTGATTTTCACGATGACTATGAAACTAAATCAGGAGATACAACAGTAAATCAGATGAAACCAGGAAGTTATCTGATGAAATCTAAGCTTCACTGAATCAAGTCTATTTTTTTATTCATCATCATCATCATCATCTAGTTATCATCTTAACCACCTTTATCATCATCGTCATCATCCGATGCTTTCAATGAATATTGTAAAATCAATGTTACAAAATCAATTCAATTTCAAGTTATCCTTTTCCATGATGATCTCAATTACCAATCATGATAAACTCATAAACATCATGATAATCATCATATTTACATTGTTTAAGACTCTGGTTGATGATTTTTTCCTGAGAAACATAATTTTCCCATTTGAAAAGGATGAGAAATAATAACAAAAATAACATCATGAACTTTACTGAATATTGAACATTGGGAATTCAATTGTTTACCTTTAACTCCATGAAATCATGATCATTGTCTAATGGTGGTTTCAAATAACCCACCGGGAAAGAGGAAGAGAGGTAAATGTTTCAACCCACACCAAGAAGACACCAAAGTTAAACTAATAGAATCGTGGTAATAATAGTTGATAATATTCATGATGATTTCTGTGAATTGATTTTGAAGTTCATTGAATTTTCAAAAGGAGATCAAGGTTAAGATCTTACTCTCTATTAACACTTAAGCTTAACCTGTTAACTTATATTTTCATGGTGATTTTCATGATAAAATAAGTATCAAAAGGTGATACAATTTTTGATAATGAAGTCGATTCATAATTGATGTAAAGGTAACATTGGATTCTTGAGGTTCATTGCTTGTTGATTTTCATGATAATAACAAGTTCTTACCACTCTTTGGGATACAAGGTGATAACTCACCAAGGTGAAGGGTGGGTTAGGTTAATTCAATGGTGGTGGTGGTTGTAATAGTTGCATAGAAAATAAAAAGTCATGTAACAAACATTAACATGCTCATCATCACCAGAATCATTATCATGATAATCTGAAAGGGAAGTGATTAAAGTCTAATAAGTTGAATGGGTTAACATATTACAATGATTATCATCATCATCAAGTTTAATTTGGTCAGTTAGTTAGTAACTTTATCTTCATGATGTCCATCCTCTTATTAACCATCTACCTTTGAAGATCAAATGAATTAATTATTAGAATCACTGAATCAATATCATCAAAGATAATACCACTCAATAAGTTGGATTCCTTGTTCAATCTGAACACTTCATTCATTAACAATCCAATATGATTAATCATTAATCAACCACTAACAGTTTGGGCTTTTTTTTTCATATACATAATGAGCATCATGAAGGTTATCGTTACCATGCTGATGAATCTGTTCAGTGAATTTCCAATGAAACCGATTGAATCTCTTGAGGTCTTGGTTAAAGTATCAACTTAACCATTGAATCTCTGAATTTCTGTTCAATCAAAAAGTTTTCTTCTTAATTTAGTTCAATTAAATCTGATAAGTTCGGACTTTTTTTCGCTCCAAATAAAGTTCTGATTAGAAATATAATATTACATTAACTTGGAGAATTGGTTATTTTTAGATTACTCGATTCTGAACTTTATCGACAACCTTTTGTTTGTCTTTTTTTTTGAAGAAAATTAAAATTTATCAATTGATCAACAATTTAATTTACTTTTCTTATGAGGTTTAATTGTTTACTCTTGACAATTAATTTGATTTACTGTAACAATTAAGGTCGCGCCTCCTGGTTGATAAAAAGGAAACAATTTCTTAATCAATTAGGTTTTGTTGATATCTTTTTTTTGCTACAACAATTAACTTGATTGTGTTTAGAATCCTGGTCATTTTTTGTTTGTCTTTAACTTAATTGTTGACAATTTTTTTAATCCTTTCAATTGTTGTCACATTGGTTGTGTTTAGATTGTAAATTGATCAGTTTTCATTTGATTTCAAGCCGTTAACATTGTTTTTTGTTTTCCTTGTTTTCATTTGAAAATTGTATTGATTTATATAAATTAATTTTAATTAATCTCCTGGTCATCATGGTTCAAGAGGATAGTCATGAAGGTGACAAAATTAGCAAGAGTGACCTTGATCGTGTCATTGAACGAACCATAATGAACCGTGTTTACCATCGTGCCAATACCCTTGAACTCATCATGATTTTCATGATCAGTCTTATGGTTTCAATGTCAATCTTTTTACTCTTTGATATTGTTTCTTCCCGAGATCGTTATTATTTACCCTCTGACCTTGAAGGTAAACAGTTTGGTGTATCAGGATTCCCATTTTCAGATCATCCCCATGGTCCAAATCCAAAGTGTCTACGATTCCGTCAAGAGCTTATCCCATCGTCACCATTTGTTGGGCCTTTGAGATCAAATGAAGAAAAGCAAATTAATTCATCTGATTCAATTATCCCATCATGGATTAAAGTGAAACTATTAAACTCCTTTGGATCACCATTCTCATCATCACCAGCCAGTAATTCAAACAGCTCATCCTCGGAATCAGGAAGTTTTTTCAATCCCTTTATCCGGATTATCAGATTGACACCAATTGATTCCGATTTTCATGATAAAGAATCACCAACAGTTAACATTTCAACCACTCAATCAAGTGTTAATCGTCCAAGTAAAATGAAAAGCTCAACTCTTGTTGGTAACAATTAAATTAAGGATCAACTTCAAAACAACAACAACAACAACAATTTAAAATCAAATGAATTCTAACAATAAATTGATAATAGTAATGATTTAAGTTGATTATTCCCTTTGAGCTTAATTGTCCGATTAGAGGTGAGTGAGAAAAATTTACTATTCGTAAGTTTGAAATGTTCAAAATCGAAATGTTTTCATTCAGTTTTGCTCTTAATCGTGAACTTTTCTGTTTGTTTTTGGTAAAAGATTCTGAAAATTTCCAATAGATGGTGACCTCTTATACGAAGGTTCAATAGTTCATATGTTTATACAATTCTGTTGATGTCATGGTAACTTCATGGGGATACGATGGTGATTTCTTCATATATCAAATCAGTTGATGATGAATTTCAAGAAACATCTCAAGAAATGTTCATTAACTTGATCAGTTTTAACAGAAGATTCAGTTTTATAAAATACTAAAGAATTGTTTCAAATTCAATAAGCTTTTAACTTTGATAAACGGAAGTGAACTAATCGAACTGTTTGACCTTAATAGTCGAAACTAGGAAGAGAAAAAAGTTTCGATTTTTTCTCAAATAGTTCTGATCTCGTTCAAGTGGCCTAATCTTTTATTAACCATGGACGAAAGTGTTAAACCAAATTTGAGACCGACGAGTTTTGTCCCTCCATTGACGGAGAATCGTCGATACCAAGGATCAAGTGGACTACCAGCGATCGAAAGTCCAGATAATTTAGGACTTTACATTCCAAGGTGAGTTCGAGAAGCGAAATCCCAAGAAACAAGTTTTTCCATTTTTCCTTGTTCTTCATCCTCATCTTTCATCTCATCAGTAGATTTTATCATTGTTTCAAGTTGATGAAATTCTTTCTCCTTCTCCCTTCAGGGAGATTCATGATGATTCAAGTGATTATCTTTTCTGGTGTGTAGATAAAAGTAATTGTTGTAATGATAAAGAAGGAAAAAACATTGTCAGGCAGAAGAAACCAAATGAACAATTGCTCAGAACTTTTTCTCGATTCTATTTCATCACCTTATTTACTATCATCTCAATCAAAGAGATGATAAAACTTAATCATCTCAAGGTGTTTTCTACCTTTACCTGTAATTCAACGGTTGATATTTTATTCATTAATCCTGAGAGATTATCCTAAACTCCGAGATAATCAGTATAATCATAATCGTGATGAATATAATTACTGACAAGATAAACTATTATAATATCTCAGAAAATGATCAACATTATCAATACAATAAATTAACCTTTTCAAATCAACAATTAGCCAAGAGAAAGTTTCAATTGATCAATTGAATTGAACATTTAAAACCATCATTACAATTTGATGATTAAATCAACTTCAATTAGATCAATTGATTGCTAGTTGATTATAATCAACTTGATACTTGATTAAGTTACCAAATTAATAATGTATTAGAAGATGATATTTTTTTTTCTTGCTCTCATTTCACTTTTTCTGAAATTTTGATCAACATGATGATCCCCATGAAGTTGATGATATTTTTTTTTCATCATCATCATGGTGATAATATTAATCCCGATTTGATTGATATCATTAATTAGAGATTATGAAAAAATTTCAATCGGACTCCCTGTTGTTTGAAGGTTAATTCAAATAATGATCAATGTTCAAATTGATTAATTACCTTATCCATGTAATGAGATTTGACCATTGGTCAAATCTGAATTATTATTCATCTGATTTTCTGGTGAGGTAAATTTGACAATTACCATTGAATAAAATGATCAGGGTAATCATGATGAACTTTTTTTGTTGTTGTTCATTAACAATATTCAATGTTGGTTAATGATGATGATGATTATGATGGTGGTGGTGGTGGTGATAATTAAGTTAATTGATTGTTGTTTATTGTTGTTTATTGTATCGACAAGTTGATTAGTTGATTATAATCAATTGTAAGATCAGTAGCCTTGAGTTTTTGTTTATACCAATTGACTTTTCATGGGGATAGAGTTTAGATTCGGGTGATTTATTAATTGATTAGTTTACCAAATTGTATCATTACAGTTAATTTACTTCAAGGTTTTGATTAATTAATGTTGATTCATTGATTGTTTTTCTGGATCTGTTTGGATTTCTAGACTTTTTTTTTCATACTGAACTTTTGTCTCCCCTGATTCATGATACATTTACACCCTAAGGGCTAGTAAAACTTTGGACATTGATGTTTAGTTATTGATGATGATTCATTTCAAGTTCATACATTAATGTGTATTTCTCATGAGGGTTCAGGGAGAGAGTAGTATTTATCATGATGCAGTTTTGAAATCGCTGAATCTTTGAAATCTGATATTTATTGAATTTTATTCCATTTTTTCATCTATTGTAATGATAACTATCTAATTCTGATCTATTTTTATGGGAAATTAATTGTTATCAAGAAATTATGGTTTTTTCTTTAGGATGATGAATGATTTAGATTCACATTCAACTTCCGGAAAATGTAATTTCCTCATCGTCGTTAGATAACTTTGAAAGATGATCCAATCATGAATCATGGATTTCATTACAATTCTGTGATTCTAATTATCACCTGATTTTGTCTCTCACCCACCCAATAGTTTACTAATATCCTCGAATCACGAGAACTGATTGTTTATCAGAAGCTATCGAATTCTAATCTTTTTTATTATGATTAAAACTACGAAAGTTGAACGTGAATTTTACCAATAGACAAAAAAGTTGATCCATTTGATGAACTTTTCATGAGTCAAGAAAAGTTCTGATCAAAGATTGGAAACAAATGAAAAAAACTCGAAACAAAATTATTAACCTTATACACTAGTATCTTAATCTTTAAAATGATTTACTATCACCATTAAATCATATGATGAGATAATCACATAGTGTCAATAGATGAATCCGGAAACGGAAATGATGAAGTTTTTTTTATCACTCACAGTAAAGTTAACCAATAATAATCATTTGCTGGTAGACTATTATTAAGTTAATCAAATATTAAAGGAAAATTTCACTTTAATTGTTGATTTAATTAGTTTAACTTTCTAACTGATTTAACTTTGGTTTCTGATTAGTTGATTAAATGATCATGATGGTTAAATTATCAACCATCAGAAATTTTTGTCGCTACTTTTTTGTTAACATAAAAAAGAATAGGAAATCGTAAAAGTTAATTAAGACAATCAGTCGAAATGATTAATAATTAGATTCATCAAGTAGACTTTTCTTAATCATTATATTACCATAATCATGATTGTTAACCGGTAACAATCAATGTTTCAATTTGTTTCAATCATTTACCTCACAACAGATTAGGTTAATTAATCAACTAGATAATAAAAAGAAAGTAACTCATTTGAATTACAATCAAAATGATTAACATTTTTAATGATCACAATCAAGGTAAATTGTTGAATCTATTGTAACCCAAGCAACTTTCAGCCCCAAAGGTATAAAAAAAAACTTTGAAACAATTAAATTGTCAAAAGTCACGTTCAGTATTTCAATTGATTTATATAAATCAGTTGAATCAATTGATTACTTTCTCATGATGATAACATGATGAAGGATGTTTTTAATCAAGTGAATCTTTTGAATATCAAATTAATCCCAACAACTTAATTCAAATTAATAATTTAAATCAAAGGTAAATATTATATTGTAATAGATCTGGAAATTAAAAGTTCTGTGTTTAAATTCAGTTGAATAATTTTCAAATCTTCACCCAGAATATTATCCAATATTATGGTGATGAAATTTTCCACCTTTTCATCATGTTCTTCCTACAGATGAATATCCTCCTCTCTCATCATCTTCATCTTCATCATCACTTGAATGAATTTACAGAAATTAACATGATTATCATTTACCTCACTCGTTGGTGGATTTATATTTTTACGTATTAATCAAATCAATGAACATTTTTCCTTGGAAAGATTCACCATCGCCATGAAATTCCTTCCACCCTGAAAAGATTTCAGGGTTAACCAGAATTATTCAGATAACAATGTTTACATTTTTCCACCCAATATCAATATTGAACCTTAGGAATTGGAAGATGAGTCCAGGCCAATTAGGACAATCGTCTGAACTTTTTTTTTATCTTCTCTAAGTAAATATCCAAGAAATAATATTCGTTCATGGAATTTATGAAATTTTATCATCACCATGAATTTTAATCGAGTTCATTAAGCTTTATTATTCAGGTTCGAAGCTGAGTTTTCCGTCTTCAAGATTTAATCTGTTAGAAAATCCCTGATAATATAATGTCTTGTTAAGATTAATTACCGATATTAAAAATGATGAGAATTGGAAAAAAGATCCTGAAATAAATTCTGCTCATGAAAACTGAATCGTTTATCTAATAATAATAGATGATGAACTTTTTGTTTTCATGATGATTGGAATCTTGTGTTCTGAATAATGTAAGAAACATTTTTTTTTCATCGATTCTGTTTATCGTTGTAACTTTCAATTTCTAGAACTTTTTTTCCTTCCCTTACCTTTTAGAGCTGAGAAAAGGGTGAAAATTGAAATACAATGTAATCTCTGGATTAGTGAGTGATGTTGGAATCAGAATTGAATCTTATCATGGTATTTAGAAAAGGCTTATCTCTGGAGGATTAACTTTAATCATTAACACCAATCAGATTGTTCAATCATCCCCATGAAATTTGAGCCATGAATATGAAGATAAGTTGAAAATTTTTTTCTTCTCAAAAGAAAAACATAAGAAAAAGTCAACTTCATGAGCATGATTGATGAAAACATGATGATTTCCAGGGTGAGTTATTGATTTTGTAATTCAGTTCCATACTCAGCTTGTAGATGTCTCCATGAACACCATGAAATCATCTGAACAGTTCACTAAATGTTAAATGAAAATAACGAGCAAATTGAAAATTTCAACTCAAAACAAAACAGAAAAAAACTAATATGAATACAAGAATCACCATGATAACCATCACGATGTAATTTAATTCAAATTAATTAACTCAATGATCATAATTAATTTATTGATTTTACTGAAATCAGTTAATTGCTAAAAAGTTGTTGCTTCAAAGATTATGAATAGAAAACAGAAAACAGAAAAATTGAAATGGATTCACAGGAATGAAGCCTCATGATAGATAAAATCATGATAAGTTCAGTGAATAGAAATGATTATTTTCATGAACAGAAGGAGTAAAAAAATTAATACCCTGAATTGTGAATGAATAAGTGATAGAGATAAATTGGTTTCCATTAAGTTTTATCATAATCTTCTTTTTTTCTTCTCATTATATTTTCCCTACCATTAGCATCCTGAGTATTTCAAGGTGTCTACAATCAATTGAACACGCAAGTCAACTGATAGTTCATCATTTTCATGATGAAATCCTACCGAGAATGCTTGTTGATTTTGTCTCTCTCTCTCTCATTTCATGGTAAATTGTTCAGTGTTGATTCAATTGTATATTGAGTTTTTTTGCCTTCGAATCCAAATGTAACATTAATTTATATTTTCTGGTTCTTCATTTTTATTTATCAAAAAATTATTTCCGAGTAGCTTAAATAAAGTACTCAGACTTAATTGTCCCCATTAACTTAATTACATATTTATGATCACCATCATCATCGCCATGAAAAGTTAAATTGCTCAGGAAGAGCTTCTTAATTGTTGTTGATAAAATTATACTTTTTTTTCATATGATTTGAAACTTTTTTTTTTACTATTTTCATTGATAATATTGATCAATAAGTTCATCATTAAAATAAGTCCATTAAATTGATTGCTACTATTGAATCAAATTATTATATTTTTGGTGTTAATCTGTTGATTTGATTTCTTTGTTAAATTGTGATTGTAATCCAAAGGATATAAATGCTTATTAACTGTTATCATTATTGCAACAATTTAAACACTAATACACTTATACTTGTGTTGGATTAGTAATGAGTGATCACACTAATTGTGATGATTTAATGACCATCGCTGGTGGAGGTGGTGGTGTTAATAGCAGCAGCACAACAACACCAGCAATTAAACCACTTCCTAGAATCGTGGCCCCACCTCATCGTCCAAGTATCGCACTTACAGGGGCCGAAGCCTCGATATGGTTACAAAGTCGACGAAGTGTTTTCGATGAAGCGTAAGAATAAATTATAAATGAAAACAATTAGACAATTAAACTAATCGAACCTTTTAGATTACAAAACGCTCAATGATTAAAAGCTAAACAATTAACCCAAATATCAATTAGTAGCAATTAACAAAACTAATTACCTGAGATGAGATTAATAATCATTTCCTGTTACTATGATTTCACTAATTAAATGATTTGAGATGACAAATGATGATGATAATTTCTTAATTACTCTAACATGAAAATCTAATATTTACAATTGTTAATCTAATTATCTATTGATTTCTATCTTTCTTTTTTTTCTTTATATTCCCTCAATAGAGTTCGAGTCGAGTTCTATGTAAACGAAAACACCTTAAAGGAAAAACTTCAAATCTATTTCATTAAAAATCAACGAACTAGTAAGTTACTTTATCTTCACCATTTGAATTTCAAATGTTAAGTAAATGAAAAGTTCAGTTACATGATTATCATGAATCTTTCTTCATGACTGTTTGTCTCTCGATGAACTTTAATCCATATGAAAGTAAAAGTTTTCGAAAATTTCCAATCCTCATTTTCCACCAATTCGCATGTATGTTTTTAGTGAATTCCAAGTCGAATATGTCTTTTCTCTCTCTCTCTCTCTCTCTCTCTCTATCTTACGGTAGAACTTTTTTCTTTTCTTTTTCTACTCTGCAGTTCCATTGATTCTCCTAATTCATATATAAGTTTTTCTTTTCTTTTTACCCAGAAACCTTGAGAACTGAAGCTTTTCTACTCATAGAAACTCAGAACTTTTTTTTTGTTTCTTCTCTCCTTTTTCACTTTGTTCTGAACTTTTTCTCTTTCCTCCTCTTTCGAAACAAACTTGCTTCAACTATCTCATGTTTTCCTCTGAATTTTAGAATTCACATGGTGTCTGAATAGGTTTAGTTTCAATATTTGGAAATTTTCATTATTCTTTTACCATTTCAACTCAAACAATAATGCGGTTCAACTGATGGTTGGTTTGTGGGTGGAAAAGAGGTGATTACACATTTTCAATGATTTTCTCAAGTAGAAATTTTTTTTCCACAATCAATCAGCATTTTCCTAGATGATTAAGATAAACATTTGATATTTACCTTTTCCACCTTCATGACAATACATATCATCGAGAATAGAATCGAATTGATAATATCTCAATCATGATGTATTCAGTAAGAGGACAGAATCATGTGTCGAATTTTGATCTTTCTCCTCTCCTCCTTTTCCTCTTCTTCTCCACTCTAACAATTTACCACCATGGGTACACCTGAAGATGTAATCATTAAAAACTCTCAAGGTGTAAGGTGGGAAAAAAATGGTTCCATCTAATGTAAAATCAATATTCAAATAATTCGATCGATATAATAAATTATCAGGATAAGATAACGAATGATATTTATTATTATTATTATCCTTACCTGGAAATTTGTGATGACAATCATGGTGATAATGATTGATTACTGAGAAAATTAATCATCTCTAGATATTAAACACTCGTCTTATAATTGGATGGATTGAGTTAAATTGTACTGATCAGAAAAGATTTCGCTTTCGATTATGTGATTAAGGTTAAAAGAAAATCTAATCATCTTTTTTGGTTTTTTTTTCGTCGAATTTGTTTTTTTTTCTGTGCTTGGAATTTATGATTGACTTTGAATTTCGTGCTTGTTCCTGGAAAAACTATTCAAAGGTTTACGAATTCGAACCTTTAAGTTTGCCCTCAAATCGCTCGCCTGCCTTTTGTACGTGCTTCGAGTTATATCCGATCGTGGACCTTCATTTGCTACATGGTGAGTACATCAAAACGCTGACAATTCTATTTCCGTTCATCATGTTACAGAATTTGAAATAGATCTTCTGAGAGAGAGAGAGAGAGAGAAAGAGAACTTCGAATTTCGAATTTCGGAATTTTTGTTTACTATTATTCTTTTTTTTGTGGTGGAATCACTTTCTTTAATCCTGTTTGTTTTTCCAATTGTTCTGATCGTTAGCTGTCAGAACTCACGTTCATTGTTTTCGAGACGAGATTAGAACTTTTATCCATTGACAAGCCTTCTCATTTCCTTTACCTTGATCACCATGAGATTCAATATTTATCTCAACCTGAATTTATATTCCCATAAGAATCATTTCCTATTATTAGTTGTAGATTCCAATGTAATCTTACTTTAATTTCATCGAAATGATGATCACATTGTCCATCATGATGATGATCAGTTGGTAATCAATTTGTCCAGATCATTGAAAGATCATTAATCAAATTGATTCTTTCATCATTTTACCATTAAAGTTCAAATTGATTTTCAGTCATTTGGATTCAGATTCAATCATCATCTTTGGATCTTTAATAATATTAATAAGAACTAATTTTTTCCGCTTCTTTTTTCCTATTCAATAGATTATGTTACCAAAAATAATGTTCTAATCTGAGAAGTTAATCTTATCTAACCTTTAATCTTATTGTCCGGTCGTTGTCAGTTAATTAGCGGTGATGGATTTACCTCAAGAGAGAGAGAGAGAGAGAGAAATATAAGAGTTCTGAAAGCTCAGGGAATTATAAGTAGAAGAAGCGAAAAAAATTTGTTTCTTTTCACATGAAAATCTCTGAAATAAACATGGAACACAATTCAGAATAATCTGCAAACCTTAGAAAGTATATAATTTCAGTCTCAACTTTTCTTTCAGATTCTGAGATTCAGTTAAGTCTTTATTATCAACTGACCATGGTTATTATCTTGTTCAGGTTACAAGATTCTCGTTTCCAGTAAATTGAATCCAAACACCAACAACAACATTGACCACTGTCCATAAAAAGTTGTTCCCATGATGAAATGAAAAGAAACTTGAACCAAGAACCATAATTATCTCAACATCTATGATAGTAATTAAATCATCAGAACTTTTCATCTAACAAAAAAAAAGAGAAAAATTTTTCTTTTTCAAACTTCCAAATAGAGAAAATTTTGGGCTAACAATTTAATCTATTACCTGAAAAAAAAAGTTATCGAAAGCTAAATTATTTAGTTGATTAACATTCTCACAACGATGAAATTGTCAGATTAACCGATTATCATGATAATTAACAGAGTAATTGACAATTGATTGATGAAAATTCATTGAACCAATTCAAAGGGTTTAGTTATTTTGTATCAAAGCTTAAATTCTGATTGTTTGGTGAAAAAGTTTCATTCTACTCAATTTCATGTAAAATTCATGAGGGATTATATTTTTTTATCTCAACTTGAATAATTATCGTCTTCTAATTATGACAGTTATCAATGTCCAGTGGGAGCTAATAGTACGCAGTTAATTGAGACAAGGATTCCGTCCAATCCTCAGGATAAAACTTATAATGATGTTAATTGGTAAGCTGATTTTTCATTCATCTAAACTGATCCGAGATTCATGGTGATTTTCATGAAGATGATAAATTAACTCTCACAATGAAAAAGAGATCAACAAATCCTAAAGCTGAGTTTCAATCTGTTTTCTTGAGTAGTTTTCATGGTGAAAACATTTCTGTTGATATTGATTAATCTCATTTTCTTTCATAGGGTAAAGAGGAAAATCATCATGAACATGAAAGATTCATGATGAAATTTACATTCTATCGTTTTTTTTTATCAGACAATAACAAAAACTTTGATGAACACAATTTTCTGAAATTAGCAAATTATTTCCTTCTATTCATCTTCATGGTTCCATGAATTTTCATTACCTCTTTTTCATGATGAGAAAAGATTTGAAATAAGTTCCAACTATTGAACTTTCTAACCTTGACCTTTGTCCATTGTTATTTACCTTTTGTCTCTCCATAGGAATGCTATTATTTGGGTTGACAGATCGTTTCTTATTTGGATATTTCAGGTAAAATTCAATTACTCATCCTCATGATTATGAATTCTGTTCATTCCATGTACCTCATCTCAAGACCTTCATGATTTTATTTGCTGTTTTATCAGCAATTTATTACCAACTTTGAATTAGATTATCTAATGACCAGAACTTTTTTATTCACATTAACAAATATCCTTGACTTTCAACTATTCACTTGGTTTATCATGTTAATCAGAAGAAATAAAAAAAAGTAACAACAACAATTTGAGTTTAATGATAATTAAACATGAGGAGGAGTAGAAAAGGTCACAACTGAATTAGATTAGTAATTAACTCGAAATGTTCAGATTCCATTCTGTAATTTTCGATGTTGAATAATCTGTATTGATGAAAGAATTAGATTATCATTGAGTCTTTAGTAATTACGAATCGTGATCAACATTTTGTAAATGAAAATGAATTCTGTACATGTTAAGGTTTAGAACTTTTTTAGTTGGAATTAAAGTTCGATAACTAATATGAAATTGAAAGAACTGAAATTAAAATCGATTTTTTTTCAATTTCCAATTTTCTGCCTCGTGTGTTGATATTGATTGTCTCATGTTTATCTCTTTAATTATTTAGACGATCACTTCGATTACTTGCTTTTCGGAGGCCTCATTGTTGGCCTATTTAACGTACAAGGGAAACATCGTTCGGACATTACTCAATTTCCACTTCATCCTCGAAATCGTGGCCAACACAGCATTCATACCAACTGTAAGTTTCGAGTTAGAACATTTTCTCCTCGAATATGCAAACATTGTTTTTTATTTTCTTTTCAGATTTCCAAACATAATAAGAAATTCTGAAGATGCTAATTCATGAATCATGTAAATATCTATTCAGAATCTAAGTTCAGAATCAAATTTTCTAACAAGATAAACAATCGTTTGTTTGTGTTATCGTTACAATTTTTTTTTCTTCACTTGATTAACTTGAGTTCTATTCATTTATGAGTCAATTCAATTGGATTTTGAATCAATCATGATAACGATGATTTCTCATGATGATACTGAATGATGAATGGCTATCAGACTGGTGACCTTATCTTCTGGTTGACCAAATCATTGATTCTTTTCACTCTTCATATAATAACATCTCTTTTCAAAATGGCCTTAATCATGTTAGACTAACTAATCGTATTCACAATTTTGTATCATCGAAATTGGAGTTTTTTTTCACGATTAGAACTTTGCTTTCAGTTCTGTTGAATCAGCATGATAATGTTACTTTTAAGTATTCATAGGATTCCTGTTATTAATTTTATCTCTTCTCATGATAATATCAATGAATATTAGATTGATAAGCAGATTATTATACTCATGGTGAAAATGGAACAAAGATTTTATTTTTCTCTCTTTTTCTATTGCTACGAATTAATTGTAAACTCGAGTATCTCGTTCGAATCAACATGGGATCAGAACTTTTTTCCTTTTTTTGTTTCAGCTTCAGTTCATTGTTACAGCTCAGGGGAAATTCATAAATCTCAGGGAAAAGAAAAGTAACAAGTACCATGGAAGAATATGCATAATAAATTCATGTTAGTCTCATGGAAAACAATTACAAGTTTCAAAGCAATTACAGAGAGAAAGAAGGGGGGAAAATGTTCGAACTCGAAAAAGATGAACAAAAGTTCAGAATTTTTGTTTTCTTCCATATGGAAATTATCAGAACATCACAAGCTGAAATCTGAATAAATTCCCATGACTTTTGAAAGAACTGAGGAAGAAGAAAAAATTTCACTAATAATTTAACTTGAGACAAAAGTCGAGAGAGAGAGAGAGAGACTCAAATCGAACACAATATTAAATAAGAACTTTTATCGAAAAAATGGAACTTCTTTTTTTTCATCTTCTCCAATTTCTATCGGAACTTATTTCCTGATCAGTGAAAAAGTGAAGAAAGTGACCAACTGACCTTCACCTGAAAAAATAGTCTGAATAAAAGTTCCAACTCTTGAGTAGATGACGAAACAAAAAACTCCCAGAATCAGGTAACTAAAGGTCAGCTTTTGGTCAAGGTAATTGTGTCTGACCTTTATTATCATGTAACTGAATTAAATCAAACAATAAATATTGATGATTAAATTTCAATCAATAACAATGTTTACAATTGAATTTGATTGTAAATTGTTGTCAAAATCAATTGTTAAATTGAGCACAATGATTGAATTAAATTTTGTATTTCTCTTTTGGGTAAACCAATCAAGTTAATCATTTTCAATTCCAGTTACAATTCATATACATTGTCCACTATTAGCTTGACCATCACCATGAACTAATTTGAATGAAAAAAAAGTTCTGCTTTCTAAAAGCTTTTTAGTGTTGATTCAATTTATTTCCAATTGATTAGTAACATGATTTTTTTTCCCTCGTTGATTGTTATCATCCAATGGAAATTGATTCAGTTAATAGTCATGACTATTTATCCTCAATCTCCCATGAGATTATCATGATAACCATGAGACTGTGAATTATATGATCCTAATCATTATTTTCCAATAATAAAATAATATCAAAGTTTCTATTTGATTAAATTTACTATCAAAATATATTCTTAAAGGATTGAATTTCAATGAACTTTTCCATTATATTTATCATGTAGATTTTTTATCCACCCATGAGAAATATATTCATTCCTGGTTTTCTTAATTGTTGGCTGGCCAAACGAACTCTTGAAAATATGTTTGTAAGTCTTAATTGTTGGTTAAAATTTACCCAAAATAATTAACATGATCTCTTAATTGTTGATCTAATTTCATTACTACAGAATGATCTTAATCGGGTCATGCAAAGGTCACAATCAGCTCTTTCCCATCGGCTGATGATTTTATCAGCTACTTTACTTTGCCTTATATTTACCAGGTAAGTGATTAGTTAATTGTTTTCCCATTTAATCATCACAATCTTATTGATACAAATTGTCTGTATATGCTAATCAAATTTAGTTAATTGTCAAAGTAATCAAGATAATCAGACGCCAAGGAGCAAAAAATTTAACACTTTTTTCGTGTATCAATTGAATCTTGAATCTGATTGAATTTAATCATTTGTTAGAGCAAAGTAATTAAGTGTAAATGTCAATTGTTAACTGGAAAAGTAATTGATTTGGATTCTAATTGAAGTCAATTTACAGATTTGTAATTAGATTTAGGTGCAAATGGATGAATAGGAATATAAAAGAAAACCTTTTTCTCAATGGAATGGAAATTTATTTTTCTTCAATCAAGTTCATTTTGATCACTTTAACGATTGTAACAATTAACTAACAATGAACTTTTCACCTTTTCCCCCATTTCCTTTTTTTTTGCTAATTTGAATTGTAAATGAGTTCGATTGATTTGATTACTATTATTAATTGGATTAATTATCCATTTAGTGTCTGTGGTTTTCAACATTTCCAACGTGCCGGTGGACGTAATGTTAACCTATTTGAAAGCCTTTACTTTGTGGTGGTCACTTTTGCCACCGTGGGTTATGGGGACTATAGACCAGAAAATATGCCCTCCCAGTTGTTCATGGTGGTCATGATATGTGTCGCTTTTATTGTACTTCCCACCCAATTTGAGCAACTTGCCTACACGTGGATGGAACGGCAAAAGCTTGGCCGTAATTACAGCATCCATAGGTCACAAACGGAGAAACATGTAGTCGTCTGTGCGACAACCTTACGAGCGGACACCGTAATGGACTTTCTTAATGAATTTTATGCCCACCCTTTACTCCAGGTAAACTCATGGTAATCCATTGATTCATGATGATCAATTGTTATTGATTTTCACTTCTCCTTTTATATTTCCCTGTAGGATTTTTATGTTGTCCTACTTTCACCTTGTGAACTTGATACAACCATGAAGATGATATTACAAGTGCCAATGTGGGCTCAAAGGGTTATTTATATTCAAGGGTCAGCACTGAAAGATACTGACCTTATCCGTGCCAGGTAAGTATTCAAATGAACTTTCCCTGTTTATCTTTTCAACTGAACAATTTCAGGGTGTTAACTATGATTATCTCTCTGACATGTAATAAAACATCAGGTTGATAAACACCTACATGTACATGTATCTCAGCTCATTAGTTAATTGAACTTGATTGTCAGATGAGTTAAGGAATAAACATAAAAAAGTTCTAATCCTAGAACTTTGGTTTTCTAGTTCTTCATGGACTGAATAGAAAACTCTGAATACTAATGAATAGGCTCACAGAAAAGTTCTTACTATTATTTACCTCAAGATAATTAACTCTGCAAAGTTGAAACTTGAATCGTTGCAAGTAAATTGTTCAAGTGAAAATAAAAAGAAAATTGAATTTTGGAAATGAGAAAAAAAATTCAGATTCTTGTAACTATTAGTTTCCTGAATTACTGAGTAACTGAATAAGATGAGATTCACTTGACATATTAATACATATTCATGGTACTCATGGTAAACCTTGAGGGTATTCAAAGTGATAATTACATACCCTCATATCACTGCTACTCAATTTATTATCATTTGCTCATTTCTCTGATTATTTAATTAACTAGATGATGATATTATTAAGCGTCTCAATCCTTTCCCAGCCATTGAACATAATTCATATTATTATCATGAAATGTTCAAGAATTGAATCAATTTATTATTATCATAAATTGATCTAAATTGTTGCCTCTTTTATTATGAAAATAACTCAAGTGATTACGATTTAGTTAATTGTGATTAGAACTTTTTTTTTCGCATGTAATATTCATCTTGATTCTTGTTCATCAATCATTTATCATCATGATCGAATTTGTTTTTTTGTTCTCTCTCATTAGAACTTTTTTTTTCACTCTCATCTACTTATGTTAATATCTCACCTATTTTCATGTCCATGGTGAACAATCAATATTAATTATGATTGAATTGTACTCATAATCCAAAGTTACCACGTTAATTGTCAAATAAACCCACTGACTGGAGGGATAATCATTTATCATGGAAAAGTTCATTATTCATGAATAGATTTTAAGAGGTTGGAACTTTTTTCCCCTTTCTATTCATGAAAGTTTCACATGATAAACTTCAATTCAGTTTGATAAAAACCAGATGATTTTCATCATGGTGATGGCGATGATTATGATTGTATTGATAATGATGGAGAAAAAAAGTTCTGGGTTGAACTTTTTTTTTGTTCTCCTACCTGAACTTTCAGCTAATCTCCCTGGAGGCAATTGGAGCCATTAGCTGATCCATGAGGTGCCATTACCCTGGAAATTATTATCAAGCTCAACAATTTATTATTATCTTACCTGAGATTTCATGATGAAATTGATTCAGTATTTTTTTTTTCTTTATGGTTAAGGTCATGACAAACTCACCATTCAATCAATACTTTCAAATTGAAATTTTATCGATTTATCAACAATAATTAGATGAGTTTATTATTCAAGTTTCATATTATTGAAATATTTTTATAATATACAAAATATTAGTTCAGTCAATGGATATTTAATTTTTAATGGTTTCACTTTTGAAATTTTGATTAGGATGTTGATGGTCATCGTCATATTGACCATCAGAGTTGATATATGATTATCATGTTCAATCTCAATTGGGATTTTAAAAGTTCATTCATGTTTCTCATAACATGATAAAAAGTTTCATTCTGAATTATATCAACCATGAAATCACCAATCAAATGTAATCACAATTAACTGACAGGTTTTCAACAAGATGAAAAAAAAGCTACTCAAGGTTTCGTGTTGTTGTATACAATGAATTCAGATTAATATTCATTTGAAATATCATGAAATTTTTATCAAATTCAATCCAATAAAAGTTTAGTATTATTATTATCATTTATCAATTCAACATTTCAATAAATGAGTTTAAAAAAATTGAATGATAACATTGAGTTGACAGTTTTTATTGTTCAATATTAAATTTCCCATATAATCAGTTGATTGTTGTCAAGTATTCCAACAATTTAGTTAATCGTTACTGAGACAATTTTGTTGATTCGTTTTCCAGGATGAATGTGGCCGAAGCTTGTTTCATTCTGGCAGCTCGTAAATACAATGACAGGAGTGCGGCGGTAAGGCCAATCGATTTCGATCGTTTAAAAAAACTAAAAGTTCATTTTTCGAATTTAAATTTAAATATGAAAAATTAATTTCTTTCCTTTTGATCTATGATTATTCTGAACACCATGAACCTGTGGGGATAATCAGGATGAACACACAATCTTACGTTCATGGGCAATCAGGGATTTCGCACCAACGGTACCTCAATATGTTCAAATATTTCGTCCAGAAAATAAGATTCATGTTGCATTTGCAGGTAAACTCAGAAATTGATTGTCAGCAATTAACTTAAATTGTTTATTTATTTTTTCACTTCTTTTCCAGAGCATGTTGTTTGTGAAGATGAATTTAAATATGCTTTACTAGCAAATAACTGTCTTTGCCCTGGGGCATCAACCTTGGTAACCTTATTGCTTCATACATCTCGAGGCCAGTAAGTTATAATTGTTATCATAAATCATTAATTTAATTGTCTCTATGATATCTACTTATTAATATATATATTCATGATTCAGTTACAAGAACCATGATTCATTATTTATTTGATAATGAAAAAAAGACTCAGCATGAATCTCAATGGGATAAATTGTATTAATATGTTTGAAGCTGAAACATCATTAGGAAACTATTGAAATTATTGTTTTCTTAGTGTGTTTATTTGTTTTCTCACTAATTGTCTTTGGAAAATTATTTAATTGCTATTAATTGTTATTCCAAATGAAACAATTCATTCTGATGAATATTTATACTCCTCAATTCTCATAGGGAAGGACAAACTTCCGATGAAAATTGGCATCGTTTGTATGGTAAATGTTCAGGGAATGAAATTTATCACATCCGATTGGGTGACAGTCGTTTCTTTGGTGAATATGAAGGTAAAAGTTTCACTTATGCCTCATTTCATTCACATCGAAAGTAAGTTTCCAATGGTCAAGTCTTTTCCTTGGTCAGTCAGGTAATCGGATCTTTTTCCATCCCCCAACAGGTATGGTGTGGCTCTTCTTGGTGTTCAAACGGACATGAAGGGCACTTGGCCCATCATGTTGAATCCTGGTCCAAGTTACATATTAAAATCTTCTGATATTTGTTTCTACATGAATATTACCAAAGAGGAAAATAGCGCTTTCCTTCCGGCCACTACTGAGAGTACAAAACTTGGTGGGGTTGATATTGGAGGCGGAAGTGGAAAGAGAAATGATAAATCAAGTGGTAAACTTGATGTTATCCTTAAATTGAATAAATCAAATGAAACTTCCTCTTCAACCACTGCCAATGTTTCAGCTGATGCTAATGGTGGATTCTCATTACCTCGAACTCATGCCTTCCAACATCAACACCATCGACCTCATTCAATGTCTCCCTCTCAAAATCCTCTATCACCAAGTTCTCATCATCAACAGCAACAATCTAATGTGCCCATTGAAACAATTGATTCTAGAGATGAAAATATCTCTCATGATAAATCACAGATTAAATCAGCTGCTGGTGTTAAACAGACAATCATTGAGATTGCAACTCGAACCTCTCGAAAAATGAGAAAACAATCAACTCATCTTGACATTCCGATTATCGATTATGGATCAACACCCAGAGATTCATCTCCTGTTGATCTTGGTGTTGCTCGAGGTCGACGGCCAAGTATAGCTCCAGTTCCGGTTATGTTGAAAGATGAAACTGAAGATTCAGATGAACTAGATGATAAAGAAATTGACCAGTTTCTTGAAGTTCCTTATTCCAATCAATCTGAACACACTGAGTATGAATCGATCTGAATCATTTTCACTCGATCGAAAGTACTTTTATTATATGAAAAGTTTATTTTCTCTTTTCAGGATCGTCAAAGGTTTCCCACCAGTCTCACCTTATGTCGGTGTTAGTCCCACTCTGTGTTACCTGTTGAAAGAAAAAAAGTCCGCTTGTTGCCTTGAACTTGCTCAGGTAAACGAATCGAAGCAAATTATCAATCGAATGTTAAATTTTCTAATTTTCTCCTCGATTTTTTCTTCCATATTTTATTCAGCCTTGTGATCATTGTGATAATAAAAGTGCTCGAGATTACGATTGGCTTAATCCCTGTATAATCCTTTCAGCCGATTTCGCTTCAAATGGAATCTACAATTTCATTGTGCCTTTAAGAGCTCATTTCCATTCCCTCACCTCTTTGAGACCAATTGTCCTTCTCCTCGAGTCTTATCCGCTTCCCGCTTTCATTGACGCGATTTCTTGGTTTCCAATGGTCTATTGGATGCAAGGGTCAATCGATAAGTAAGAATTGATCTGATTGAATGTTTAACGGTTTTTGAATGAATCCAATTTTCTTTTTCAGTTTGGATGATCTAATTAAGGCTGGTATCAACTTAGCTGATTCTGTTGTCGTGGTTAACAAGGAGACAACCAATTCCGCTGAAGAGGATTATCTTGCTGATTGTAATACGATTGTCGCTGTTCAAACGATGTTTAAAATGTTCCCAAGTGTCAGAATTATTACCGAGCTAAGTCAATCCTCGAACATGAGATTTATGCAATTTCGTGCTCATGATACTTATGCTCTTTCGCTCTCAAAAATGGAGAAACATGAACGGGAAATCGGGTCACATATTTCTTATATGTTTCGTCTTCCTTTTGCCGCTGGTTCTGTTTTTAGTGCCTCCATGTTGGATACCCTTTTGTACCAGGCGTTTGTCAAGGATTATATGATTACGATAATCAGATTACTTCTTGGGATTGATCAAGCTCCAGGTTCTGGTTTTCTTTCATCAATGAAAATTACCAAAGATGATTTATGGATACGAACTTATGGTCGATTGTATCAGAAACTTTGTTCGACAACCTGTGAAATTCCTATTGGAATTTATCGAACTCAGGGTTCTTACACACCAGAAGTTAATACGGTTAGTATTTTATTAGAAAATGATGTCGAGGAATCGATTGAAAGGAGAAGAAAAATAAAGAACTAAGAACTTTTTTTCTGTTAATTTTTTCGGTTTACAGATCAATTTGGACTTCGTTTTCCCGTTCTTAATGAACGAGTCCGATACCAACAATTAAGTGCTGAAATTGAGAGACAAGAGATCGGTAATCTGGTCAAGAATCGAATGCAAGATTTAAACTGTCCAATTGAAGATTATGGTCAGTCAAACTCTCTCTCTCCATAAGATTCAATTAAAGTTCTAATTGTTTGAGTTTTTCATTCTTTATTTAGATGATGTTTCTGAGAAACGAAGTTCAATTTCATTCGTAATAATTAATCCCAGTTGTGACCTTAAACTTGAAGAGGGTGATATGGTTTATCTAATTAGACCGAGTCCAATCAAGAGCAAGAAAACTTTTCTTACCCGAGGAAATTCAATAAGAGCATCAAAAGCATCATTGAAACGACGAAAGGTCAAAGAACACAAAGTTTTGACCAGTTCAGTATCTTCACCGCCCTTGACCACACCAAACCCCGGAGATGGAGGATATTCAGTGATCAAAAGTGGTGGAGGAATCGTAACCGCGACAAATTCAATGCCAATATCTTCCTCTTCCTTATCATCTCCATCTCAATATTCATCATCATTATCACCAAATCTATACGTTAATCTAAAAGATCAAAATTAATCAGATGACAATAACAACCTTCTTTATATCCCTTTTCCTAAATGGTTAATTGTTCCAACTACAAAAAACTTATTTCTTTTAATTGTCCGATTTGTTTTCATTTTTTTTTCTTTCGTTCAAATCATTTGCTCAACTGGTTTGTTAACCTTTTCAATTTTTACACGAGAAACTTATATATAAATATTGTTAATCCTGATTATCGAGTGAAATTAAAGAAACCCTGTCAGGGGAAAAAATTATATTCTAATTAAAATTGTGATTAATCATTTTTTTTGAAATCGAATCATCGTAATTAATTTGAATTTCGCGGGTAATTTTTTTCTTTTCTCTCGTTGAGCTTCACCCTGACATCTAGCGGATTCTATTTCGATCGAAGTGACTAATTTCTTAAATTCGGTTAATTGTGATTCCATTTCTGGTGCTTTCTCTAATTGTTTCTTTAATTTTTAATCACTAATTTATTTTTTTCCGTTGATCTCAATCAGAATCCATGGAGAATAAACTTGTAATAACCAACTGGGCTCACGATTCAGGGGACGAAGATGAATATGATATTTATCGAGATGTTTATTCCCAAGCCCCTTTACCGGTTTCTACTTTCCAGATTGATGGTAATACAAAGATTGTGACATCTTATAAAAGCGAGGAGGGTAAAAGGTTCAAGATTATCTCTTATTATAAGATTGAACGGTTAAAGGTTTCTAAGGCTGTGGCTTTAAGGAAAAAGTGGAAAAAGTATGGACTCGCAAGGAATGATGAACCAGGACCCAATCCATCAAATACCGTTTGCTGTGAGGATGTTGCTATGCATTTTATTAACAGTAAGGATGAGGATAATTTGGATAAAGATGATATTTTACAAACTATGGGTAATAAGAATGTGGTTAAATGTAGATATTGTGAGATGGATCATTGGACTCTTAAATGTCCTTATAGAGAGAAATTTGAATCAAAGGAAAAAGATGGTGGTTCAAATGTTAATGGATCATCAGGTGGAACAGTTCAATCTAATACCATGGAAACGTCAGGGTCAAGATTTGGTGAGGATAAGAAAACCGGTGGTAAATATGTTCCTCCAGGTCTACGTGAAGGTGGTCAAAAGCCAGGAGCTGATCCTTTAAACAACCAGCGATCAAAAGATGATGCCAATACAATTCGAGTTACTAATTTACCCGAAGAGATACAAGATAGTGATATAAGAGAACTGTTTCAACCGTTTGGTAAAATTTGGAGAATATTTTTAGCCAAAGACAAATATACTGGACAATCTAAAGGATTCGCTTTTGTTAGCTATGAGAAGAAAGAAGATGCTACCAAAGCGATCGCACATGTGAACGGCTTTGGTTACGCTAATTTAATCTTGAACGTCGAATGGGCCAAACCATCGGCTAACAATTAATCCTTTGGGCACTTTGGATCTTCTTTTTTTTTTTTTCTTCTTTTTCTTTTCCTTTATTCCATTTTTCTATTGTTAATTTTCACATACCCAAAGGGCAACTTACAAATCGTGTTGAACATTCTCGATTACAAATGAAAATTCTTGGTAAAACACAAATAACTGCTCAATAATTGATAATTTGTAAATTGGAATTTGCAACCGGTTAATCTGATGAAATTATATTTTCGTTGATGTAATTGTAACCAAAGATGGAGGAAAGATGAACATAATTTACTAACTATGGCACGTGGAGAAACACATACACACACAATTAACTAATGGTAGTGGTTAAACGGATAAGGAAATCGATCAATTCCTCTACCCACTTTTGATCGTTTAATTGGAAGTAACAATTTCTCTCCATTACCAATATTTGGTTCACTTTCTTTAATTATCTCTGCTGGTGGTTGTCCCCAAAATGGTTCACCTCGATTAATAATTTTCTCCGTTTTCTTTGGATGTGATTTACGACACTTCGATAGATCTTTGTATTTACAAAAATCTCTACCAAAAGCCTTCAAATATCCGTAACCTTTTTCCCTGTTAAAAGTTCCGTCCGGTTTATATGCATATTCAATTCCATAACCGTAACCATAATAGTTCCAAGGTCCAGTTCCATAAAGATGCTTTGGATCGTGTTCTGCTCGATGGTCATACATTTTCACTCTAACGGGACCAGCGAAAACCAATGGACACTCACTTATAATCAAAGAAACACAAATAACCGCAAATACAAAACTCCAGCAACAATTAACCAACTTAATCATTTTCATTTTCATTTTCACTTTGATTTCAAAATTTCATCATTAATCCGTTTGGTTTTCAATCTTGAAACTTTTTTGTTCAACCAATAACTTTGATTCTTACGACAACATTGAATCAACAACAACAACAACAACAACAACAACAACAACAATTAATGATCAGCAACAGTTAACCAGAATAACCATTCAATTAACTTTTAAATCATAATTAGCGGATAAAGAGACACTATCACTTGGAAAATAACATTAACAGTGAAAATATAATTTCCACCTCACAATTTAATAATAACTCTCGTGTTACCCAACTGGTTTCAACTGATTGTGAGGATTTTTTTCTGCTGCCGATTAACATGATCACCAAATCAGTCAACGATCGGAAGGAAGTGAAAGTGAAAGAAGACAGGGAAGAATCGCGAAAAAGAAAGAAAAGAAAGAGAAATTTTCTCTTTTTTGTTCGTTAATCGTATTACCTGTTGTACCTTTTGGTTCTCCACCTTCTTCTCCCTCCTCTTCGACAATTGCATCCAACTACCGTCGTTAACTATTGACAATCAACAGAATCTCAACCTGTATAACAACAATTAAGCCCTAATTGTTGTAGCTATTTTTTTTCTACACTTAATTTCTGTTCGTTAGATTTAACTGAACTTTTTTTTATTGTTGTTTTTTTTCTCATATTAATTTACATTAACTTGATCCTAAATTGTATTGATCGTTAGTTTTGATTAAATGTTTTTGTTAATTGTCCAAAAATGTGAAAAAAGAAAGTGAAAGTTAAACTATCATCGTTGACTTTTTTTTTCTAGGTTGACCAATTAATTAAATTGTTCGACAATTGATTTTGATGGTTAAGGTTGATGATTAAAGGTCGAAGCTCAATTGTTTTGATTGTTAATCTTTTTCCTTTCATCTGTTTATTCAACAATTAACCTTAACTTTTTAAATTAAATTCTAATTTACTGATTGGATTAAGTTTCCATTCTTATTGGAAATTGTTAATCAAATTATCCATTCATCAGATTGTTAATTGTTTACTATTCATTTTTGTATCTACAAACTAATCTATTATATTGATCACAATTAGATTAACTTGTTAAGGCCTTTTAATAATTGAGATAAAAAGTTAATTAACATACAACCGGAACAAATTAACTTACAGTTAATTATTAGTTTGAATTAATTGTTGTTGATAATTTGACTGTGATTAGTGTAACGGTTAAGTTGATCAACAATTTATCTAAATTGTAATTAAAGGTGATGTTGATTAATTGTAATTTGTCACAATGTTTCATCTTTATTCAAATGTTGTTTCAACAATCAGTTGATTGTTGCAAGAGATTGTAAATTGTCAGTTGTTGAGTAAAAATTGTCATTAAAAGTTATAAAAAAATTGATTGTGATTGTGGTTGAAAAAATAATTAATCATTAGGTGGGTTTTTAGTTAATTGTTGATGGTAAAGTTATTAATAAAAACGGATAGGAAATGATTAAAATGTAATTTGTAGGCACTGAATGGAAACACAAATAATTAAATTGCTGTAACCACAATCACAGATTTTAAACCCGAATTGTTGAGGTAAATTGTCAATAATTGATTAAAGGAATCAACAATTTATGTTGACGGTTGGACAATTAAGAAAAGTATTCAAATTGATTTGAATGTTGTTAAGAAACAGAAATTTTTGTCTTGTCTTGATTGTTCAATATTATTGGAGATCGAAGCTAATTTATCCTCGACGACCATGGTGACCATACCCACCACCACCATGATGTCCACCACCATGATGACCACCACCATAGTTACCACCATGATGACTTCCACCGCCATGATGACCTCCACCTGGATAATGACCACCGCCATTATGATGACCACCATTTCCTCTGTAACCACCACCATTATGATATCCACCATAACCTAAACAAACGCACAAACAAAAGTATCTCAATTAAATTGTCACAATCCATTGATTAGTTAATTGTTTGATAACAATTTAAACTCTTAATTAGTGTCCATCAACTGCTAGAAAATTACAACACCATAGACAAATATATTTGGACAAACACTTGAACCCAACACAGAATTGATTTTTACTCAATTTCTTTGAAAGAATCAAGTAAATCATGTTGTTGATTACACTTTAATCCTAACAATTAGTAAATTGTCAATGTGATAGAGATTAACAGAGAGCAACCAAATCAACAAAGAGGTAAATATACTCACCGCCTCTGGAAGCAGCAACAATTGAGATGATGAAGAAAATTGAGAAAATAATAGCAAATACTTTAGACATTTTGATGGAAGTTAATTGTTGACAATTAGAAGGGAACAAGTTGATCCGGTGGAAAACTGAAATGTAATTTAGTTAAGAATTAAACACTTTTTATATGAAAGAGAATGGAGATCGAGAGAGATGATGATGATGAGAGAGAGAGAGAGAAAGAGAGAGATGAGAAGGTCAGATTATTCTAAGTACATTTAGATCATTGGCCTGGCCTTTGAGAGAAAATTTTTCAACAGAAAAAAAGAGAAAGAAAATCAAGGTGAGTGAGAGAGAAGAAAAAGAGAAGAGAATTTCACTTTAAAGATGAAGAAGAGAAAATATTGACCAATGAAAAAGAAGAAGATGAAGATGAAGATAAAAAAATAAAGAAGATGATGATGACCGAAGTTTTTTTTTCGCCAAAAAAATAGTTAGTCTGACATTTTGTTTTCTTTCAAAACTATAATCAGGTAGGAACCAGATTAAGAGATTAGTGTTTGTTTTAATCAACCAGCTCATGAAAATGGTTCTAATTAAAGTTTGATTATATGATGAATTTAATTCTTGGTGAGCTTGACCCTGATCAGTTGATTTATGTTCATCTTTTTAATCTGGTTCACTGTTTTTTGATGGTCGATCCTTGAAAATTAATTGTCAATAGCTAATTTGGTTTCTAGGATTTTCCAAGTGATTAATAATTTTCTGGATTCTAATCAGCATGATAATAAATCCCCATGGAAATTGAAACGATCAACTTTGATCTTTAGCCTTAGATTTGACTTTTTCTGACAATTCCTTGGTTGCATCTTGATTATCCCAATTTGTCCGTTTTATAATTTGTTAATTAATCATTTAAGTAGATTAGTTAATTAAAATTAAAATTGAAATGTAATCAGGTAAATGTTGTGATTATATTTGTCTCTCTATTAAGGTAAAGGCGTTAGCGGTAAATTGTAATCAATTTAGATGATGATTAATGATTGGTTTATATGGCCAAGTGAAAATTAGATTGGGATTCACCTTTAATCAATCTCAATTGATTACGAAATTTTGAGTTAATTAGGTGATCATAATTATCTTTAACAACCAGCTTAAGGTGATTCTCTTGGTGACTTATTTTGAGATGAGATGTTTATTAATTGTTGATTCAGGCCAAATTATTGGGTTATTAAAATGTATCAACAGCTGATTGAGGTGAATGAATTGATGAGGATGGAGATCAGGTTATTATTATTGCTATCAAAGTGATCGAAATGATTAAAGTTCCTAAGGCCTGGAATTTATTATAACTATTGTTGATCGAGTTATCGTTTAAACAGCAAATATTCAACTGAACTTTTAATTGTCGTCGGATCACTTGGGGTAATGGTACTCGAATAGTCATCGATTTCAGCCTAAAGTCCAATCGTTATTTATACTCGAACAATTTATTTGTAATGTCCAAACAGCGAGGGTTGGGTAGTTTCGATATGGAGTAAAGAAAACTTTTTCGGGTTCTTATAGACTTGATTCGTTGGGGACAATAACATTGCGATGACAATCTAAGTGCTTGATGGTCCAAATGTTATCAAATGTCCAGAGATATTATGAATATCGAGTTATTCAGGTAATTAGTATGTTCTAATTAATAATTTACACTAGTTAAGTTCGTTGGCTGATTCCAAATTATTGGTGTTATTAAAATGTATCAACGGTTGATTGAGGTGAATGAATTGTCGGATTAATTTTGATTTCCATTTGAATGTGAAATTCAATCATTTTGATGGTGAAAATTATGACGAAATCAATTTGAAATTTCCAATGAACTAATAGCCTCAAGCTATTGATTTGGATTCCATTTCAATCGTTTGCTGGTTTTACCAAAGGCCATTGGACTATAACTTAAGAAGATCAATAAACCAATACAAACAAAAACGATCAACAGGTAAATTACCACATTTAGAACTAAATCAACAGTTAATTGTGAACATTTGTACGAGAATCGATTTAGTTTGGTTGGAAGAAAACTCGAACCCATTGATTAGAATGAAATCAAAGCGATCAACAATTAGTAAAACTGATAAAAACAATTAAGAACCATAGAGATTTTGATCAATTGGGAACAAAAAACCACTTTCACGAGGTTTGATCCTATTAGACAGTAGCTTCTTACTCTGGATAAACAGACTTCACCAAGACTCCAGTGGCAAAGAAAAGGCGAAACCAATTAAGATATAATTAAGATTCTTAATCAATAATCAGTGATTCTAATCCAAGAGAATTAGATAAAAACAAAGCTTCTTCTTTTCCTTATCCATAACAAATGAAACCAAAATTTTCTCCAGAGAAAAACAGAAATTAAAAATTTATCGAAGTTTAAAAGAGAGAAAATTATGAATTTTAATTAATTAAAACTTGCGAATCAATTGTCACAATTAGAAGAACGAGTTGATTAACAATCGAAAAAGAAAAACAAACATTTCGATAGATCGAATCCAAAAAGTTCGATATCGATACCAGCTGATATTCTGTTTTCTTTTCTTGTTTCGACCTCGTGTTTACATTTTCGTAATTAACTTTTAATCTTTTCGATTTTGACAATTTTTAGATTAATCATGTTGAGATCTAAAGTGAATATGATCTATCGATTAGCAAACACTGGTCATTGTTGTTCAATTGGTTTACAGAGATTCGGTTATCGTAATCAACACTTTTGGGTTATACCGGGTAAACGATTATCTGTTTCATCAGCAATTAAAAAATATCTTGACAATTTCCGATGGTTTTCTGGTCAACAACAATCAACTCCAAGTGCTGGTGAAGAATATTTAACTAATAAACTGAAAGATAAGATTCCAAATTGTTCCCATGTGGAGGTTCATGATGTTTCTGGTGGATGCGGAGAGATGTACGAGATTTATGTTGTTTCAACTGATTTTAAAGGAATAACAGTCTTAGCTCAACATAAGATGGTGACCGATGCTCTCAAGGAAGATATTCCTAAATTTCATGGTATTCGTGTGGCAACATCATCAACACCACCACCTCCTGAGACATAGATTCCAAATGTACAGAGTATTAACATTGGTGTTTACTAACCTTATGTCTTTATTAGTTTTCAAATGTTACCGGTTATTGGGGTTACTTATTAACCTCTACTACTAAGAAAAATAAAATAAAAATTCAATCGTCAATTGAATGAGCCTGATAACATCATCCGAATTCGTTGCATCATATATCATGGTAGAAAAGTTGGTTGGAAAATTTCTTCATGCTAAAGGAGAGTGAAAGAGAAAATGATTAGCTCGAAGTTATAAAACGTTCGGGTCAAGATTTGGTGAGGATAAGAAAACCGGTGGTAAATATGTTCCTCCAGGTCTACGTGAAGGTGGTCAAAAGCCAGGAGCTGATCCTTTGAACAACCAGCGATCAAAAGATGATGCCAATACAATTCGAGTTACTAATTTACCCGAAGAGATACAAGATAGTGATATAAGAGAACTGTTTCAACCGTTTGGTAAAATTTGGAGAATATTTTTAGCCAAAGACAAATATACTGGACAATCTAAAGGATTCGCTTTTGTTAGCTATGAGAAGAAAGAAGATGCTACCAAAGCGATCGCACATGTGAACGGCTTTGGTTACGCTAATTTAATCTTGAACGTCGAATGGGCCAAACCATCGGCTAACAATTAATCCTTTGGGCACTTTGGATCTTCTTTTTTTCTTTTTTTCTTCTTTTTCTTTTCCTTTATTCCATTTTTCTATTGTTAATTTTCACATACTCAAAGGGCAACTTACAAATCGTGTTGAACATTCTCGATTACAAATGAAAATTCTTGGTACAACACAATTAGCTAATGGTAGCGGTTAAACGGATAAGGTAATCGATCGGTTCTCGATCCACTTTTGATCGTACAATTGGACAGTAACAATTTCGGTTAACAATTAATCCTCTGGACATTTTGACTCTTTTTTTGTGTTTTTCTTTTTCATCGTTCTTTTGTTTATTTTCACTCACACAAAGAGTAACTTATCAATCGTATTGAACATTTCAATTCTCAATTTCTCCGTTCCAGTAACTTCTCAATAATTGATACTCGCATTTAAATCGGGATTTGAAACTGTTAAATTGGGAAATTGACAATATTTGGTTCACTTTCTTTAATTATCTTTGGTGATAGTTGTTCCCAAAACACTGAGCCTCGATTTATAACTTTCTTCGTTTTCTTTGGATCTAATTTACGATATTTCGATGGATTTTTTTATTCATCAAAATCTCTACCAAAAGAAGATGAAAATATAAGCTCACTTGAGGACGAAGGAGAAAGTGTGAGTCTCTCACTCTCCTCTCTTCTTTATCGTCTCTTTTTTCATCTTCTACTCATCCTCATCTTTTTCATTCTTCTCCTTGTGTAAAAAAAACTTGAAGAATTGAGAATTGAGTCAACAATCAAGGATAAATCAGTTCAATATCTTCATACACAATCATTAGATTATCATCTTAATCCTCATCCTCATCTTTATCTCTCTCACTCACTCACTTTCCGTTTAAATTTATCTTCCCTAGATAATCAATATAATAGTTACTATATAATTGATTCACCTTCAACTTGATCACATTGAAACACAACAACTAATAATCGTGAATCATTTCTGATTGATGATTTTACTTTTATTTTGATTGTGACAATTAATTTAATCTTTACATTTGTTGATTTACAACATTTCTTTCATTGTAATCATATTTTACTCTAATTACGATTTATTTTGTTGTGCTGGTCATTTAATTGCTCCCAATCAAAGTTACCAAATTTTAATCTCCAGCTTTTATCGTTCTATCATAACAACAATTAACTAATCACTATGGCCGAAACTAATGATTCTAGTCCATTTACTCAACAAGATGTTGATTTAATTAAATCAATCTGGTCAACCGTTATGAAAGATCCCAATACACATGGAATCAATTTTTTCCTCAAGTAAGTTAATTGTTTACAATTTATATTAGTAAATTTGATTAAATTAATCAACAATCAACTCTTGTGAACAATTGAACTTTATTACTATCTTAGCAATCAACTAATTACGATCAGTCCTTGATCACTTTCAGTTGGTTGAAATGATTAAGCAAAAATTGTTCAACGTTGATTTAGATTCACAATTTATTGATCATTTTGTTTGTAAACAATTAGCTTTTTAAATCAACAGCCTTTTCTCAGGGTTTTGACTAATTAAATTTAATTTAATTTGAAAGCCTCTTGAATGTTTACTTTGATTGAACAATCAAGTTGAAATTTAATTTAATAATATTCAACAAGGATCAATGTTTTATCAAAATTGTTTTTAATTTAATTGTTTTGACAGATTGATTAAAATTATGATGAAAATGATTTAAATTAATTCTAGTCAATTGTTATTAACATTGTAAAAATGAAATAAAGGAAAATCAGATCAATTAAATTAAAAACGATGATGAAATGTTAATTAACTGAGAAAAAGTTTCTTAATCATCTTGAATTGTCATTGATTAACGCAATTGTCTGTTAATCACTTTAGTTTAATTCCTATGAGAAATCAAAGGTAACAGATTAACTTGTCAACATTCAGGTTAGTTAATTGTTTAAGTTAATCAACTGATTTGTTTTTCTAGTGTTTATTTTAATCATAATTTACAGTTACAATTATCTAATGAAAAAAGTGATTAAAAAGTAATCAACTAACACAAGTGATTAACTTTTAATTAATAATAATAACGAGAAAAAAACTTGGCAATAAAATTAGTTAATTGTAGCAACTCAACTGTTGATCAAAAATCAACTTTAATTTTGATTCAAATGGTAAACTTTTACCTTTTGCTAATTAACTATTTAATTAATCAACTGATTGTGTTGTTTTATTGTTACAACTCATTTGATCAGTTATCGTGAAAATTAGTTAATTGTTTTGAAAGTTTTATGATGCAATTGATTTACTTGGTACTACAACTCAATTGATCATATTGTTTAGTAATTAAACTTAATTAGCTGTTAATTGTTGAATTATTAATACATATAAATATTAGCATTGATTTTTCAAGAGCAAAGTCAAGGTAATTTAAATCTAATCACTGTCATTATAAACCAATCAAAATTTACCCTCTCATTTGAGGCCTAATAATCAAGTGATTTAACAAGAATCAATAATCAATCTCGAGTACCAATTAAAACTGATTGGTAATTAATCATCTTCAATGATTGTGATTAAATCAGTTAATTCCAATGAACACTCGAAATTAATTTAATTTCTTCATTTTCTCTAAATTGTTGTAGATTCTTTAAAGATAATCCAACTTACATTGAGCGTTTCGCTTCACTCCGAGATCTAAAAACGGACGACGAACTGAGGTCATCGAAGAGGCTGAAGTCACACGCATCTCAAGTTCTTTATGCAATCACTGCGTTGGTTGAAAATCTCGAGGATTTGGTGTGTTTCTGATATGCTACAAAAGATTACCGTTAATCACCTGAGGCGATCAATTAATTGGCCTTTCTTTGAGGGATTAGCCAAGAGTATGGTCAGTTTCTTGACCGAAACCCTTGGTACATCAATAATGGATTCTAAGGCGACCAGTGCTTGGACCAAGGTTTTCACCGTTATCATAGAAACAGTTAAATCAATTGAAAAGCAACAACAATCGGAAGCAAATGCAACAACATCACCGACATCTCTCACAACTGCACCTTCATCAACATCTTAACCAAAAACTTTCAAACAGTTGGCCATTTCAAAAATCCACCTTGGACAAATAATCAAACCTTTGTAATCACAATTGTGACCTTTTCTAATCATTTAAAATCTTATTGATTAAAGGCGATGATGTTACAGAAAAAGTTGTTTCCATTTTAGTTCAATTTAATTAATGCAAATCTTTCTGATAGATACCTTTATTAATAAAGACATAATGATGAACACAAAAGTGCTTTTCAATTTCTGAGTTTAAGTTGCATCTCTCGAGTGATGATAATTGATCGAATTTCATCATAATTCCCTGTTCACGCTTATATCACAGATTAAACTGATAAATAGAAGCAATTTAATTTTATATCAAAAAAACTGTTGATACAGCCAACAGCGGTTCATTTATTGAAATTTTTACGGAAGCTTCACAAATTCTCAAATTTTCTTTTGGTTTGATTTTATCCATTAGAATGTGATGCAGTTTCTTCATCACTTTATCTATTTTTGCAATTAGCTGTTCACCTTTAGTAAAGTTACCTTTCGAGTCTTTTTCTTTGATGAAAATAACTCGATTGTTACTATTATTTCTAGCTTTATGAGGTTTGATGGTTGTCGAATCTCGAACAATATCTGCATACGATTTTTTGTTAATCTGAACGGAATTAACTTTCTCAACCATTTTCTCCTCTATCTTCACTAGAAATTGTTTTTCTTGTTTGTTGGCTACTTTTCTTAGTTTTTCCATAACATTGAAACATTTGGCCATTTGTGAAAGTTTTTCCGTTAATGGACTCTCCTTATCATTTGTAATTTCATTCACAAATGAAACCAAGTGGTCATTTATTACGTCTTGTTGTTCACTGTCCGTTGAAAAAATGATGGAGTTTAGCTTAGATGAACCTTTTGCTTTTATTGACTTGGTTAAGCTTCCATTGAAGGCTACCATGTCCACGTGGTTTACCATGCCTTCTCGCTGGGTGAATTTTCAACCGCCAATAACTTTGACAGTTTAACTTTTTAAATAACAGTTCAGATACCAATCGATTTAGCACAAATTTATACACAATAATAACACACAACTGTATTAATTACGGTGATCAGGTTTGATATAAAATTGAAAAACTACAGGTAGATAAAAAAGCGACTTTGTGGCTTAGTTGGTTAAAGCGCCTCAATCAAGTCAAATACATGCCTTGGAACGATACCGCGAACCATTATTCTTGGGTTTCTCTTCTTTGCTTTCTCAATTATAATTCCTGGCAGATATTTGGTGAGCACATCGGAAGCTGCTTTCATGTCTTTCTTCGTGCTACCCATTAACAAGAAACTATTTTCTTTTGGTTTGATTGTATCCATTAGAATGTGATGCTGTTTCTTCATCACTTTATCTATTTTCACAAGTGATTTTATTTAGAATTGAAACCATATGGTCACTTATTATATATTGTTGTTCGCGGTCCGAAGGAAAAAGGATAGAATGCAAATTAGATTGCCTTTTATAACTTTGATCAGTCACATAGTGAAAGCTTTCAGTTCAAGGTGGTTTATCATGCCGTCACGGTGCATGAATTTCAACCATCGACTTTTTCAATTCAACTTATTGATTAACAGTTTATATACCAATCGATTCAACACTAGCTTATACACAATAATAACACAATTAAATCGATTATGGTGAGTAGATTTGGCATAAAATTAAGAAACTAAAGGAATATAAAAATGTGGGCTTTATTAACATAGTCCTTGGCTTCTGACCTTACAGACAGATTAAGAATTTTATGATGATTGAAACGAATTAATTGGTAGTTATTGGTTAGTCTTTTCTTATGGGACAAGATCTGCTTTGATTGTTTCTTTCATTACTCCACTGATTCAGATTTTGTTGATACATCTTATTCTTAATACAGTAACTAGCATCCGTTAGACTCGAGATGTATTTCTAAATTCTGTCTATTAGTGTTTGTTTAATCTTTGCTTTGTATCTTACCGTTTATTTTGGCACTCTGTCTTTGCAATGATTAATTGGTTCTATTATTTTCTTCTCTTCCATTCTTAATGTGGCCATTTGTTCTGTGTTGTTACTATTAATCCTAGTTTTCTCCTAATTGTTGCCTCTTGCACCTATGTGTTGTGAAAATAAATTGCTCAATTTTTTTATTTTATGTGATTGAATTTAAACAAGAGCCAGGTGAAGAAATCAGCTAGAGAGAGAATAACAAGAAATAAAATAAGTTTCATTAAGATAGTGTTGATTAGAAATCGATTATTTGAACAAATTCTCCCGGTTGCTATTTATTGAATTCCATGCGAAGCCACAATTCCCTAAAGATACTCACAATTATATGATATTTTTTATTAGAAACAGTTCATTTTTATAGTTAAAAAACAACTGGAACAAAAAAGCGGCTTCATGGCTTAGTTGGTTAAAGCGCCTGCCTAGTAAGCAGGAGATCCTGGGTTCGAATCCCAGTGAAGCCTTTTTTTGCATTTACTATTCTTAACTAATCTCAACCACATCTAACTCGTTACATCATCAACATTTTTTTTCTTAATTTTGTTGAAACAATTTTTTAATCAATTTCAGAATCCATAAATTGAATCTAATTTCTGTATAAATTTAATATCTTCTTTAATTGTATTCCTTTAAAAGCTTTTGTGTCAAATGATTTGTTTCTCAGTTTCTCTTGATTGTTTGTAACATTTATTTTGGTGTTTTTCTTGTTCATTTAATTGGTAAATATTTAACTTTTCTTCTTCGGTTAGTTAATTGTTTGTCAAACTGATCTTCTTCTCTTAATTGTGATTACCTTTCTGTACATTGATCAGCTTGTTTTTGTCAAATATTCCGCTTGTTTCTCAGCTTTTTTATTCCTCTGGTTTTAATAAGCCGGTTGGTTGTTTACTTTTCTAGGAGCTTCTTTTTAACGGTTAATCTTTTGTTTTTCAATTTTAATTACAGTTAAATGTTTTTAATCTTATTGTTTACCTTTGACACTTGATCTTTCCAATGATTAATTGATTCGTTGATTTTGTTTATCTCTTCTATTCTAGATGTAACCATTTCTTGTGTTGTGTCACCATTGAGCCTTGTTTTCTTACCTCTGTATTGTTACCTCATGGATCTGGTATGTTAACATGAAGTGTTTAATTGTTTGATTTAATATGTTACGAGTTGAAGTTAAACAAGAACCAGATGAAGTGATCAGACAGAGAGAATCAGCTGAGGCTGAAGCTGCTTGTAGTCAAATCTCCCAGTTGAATGAACAACAAATTGATGTGAAACCATTTCAACAACAACATGAATCTGGTAACATTAACCCAATGGTCTTTACCAATGGTCATTCATCAACAAATCAAAGTCAAAATGGTTCTGATGCAATAAACACTGACCCTTTACCTGAGAGAAATGGTCTCACTCATGGTGAAGATAATGGTAACAATTACGATGGGATTGGTGAAGAAAATTTAACTGATGAAAGAGATATTCAAGTTTACGAGGAGCTGATGACCCGAATCACCGCTGAGGTTGTCCTAAGAGAGCCGATAGCAAGTCGTGTTACCGTTGATGAGAGGATCAAGAAGATCAATTGTTATCTAGAAGATGAAACTAATTGTCAGATGATTATTCTCAATGATGAACCAATTAACAATGCTTGGTCCTCTTTTAGATATCCTAGAAATTTTGATGATTTTCTTGAGACTGTGTTCACTTGGGCTGATAATTATCTCAACGACCAAGATTGGCCTCAAGATGAGATTCTGGTTCGCCTTAAGGCTTTTCCATATTCACTAAGATACAATTCATTCAAAACTTATTCAAATGCTACAATTTCATACCTTTTGGTGCTTTATTATGATCGACTTAAGAAGGACGCTGACAATTTACTTAAATCCCCCAATAAACAAGCGGCAAGGGACAAAGGTGTTTCCGCCAAAGTTGATAAGATCACCACCGATGACCAATGGTCTGAAATTATCTTCAAGCTATCAAATGATTCGGAGAATCTTAAATTTGGCTTTTGCTGTATGTTAACTGTGATTGACTCTTACCTTTTCCCGGACCGCAAATACTTTGGTAGCATTTTGGGTAAACAAACGGTCAAGCAAAACGGAGCCAATGTGACCTATTTGACGATTAAAGTGCTAGAATTTGTCCCATTTGTTGGCGATGAACTAGCAATTACTAATCTTTTCCGAATTCATCATATTTATACAGCAGCTGAGTGTCTCTTTAAATTGGAATCTTCTGAATATGTTCAACATTACACTTCACCTAATTTGGCCTCAGGACCTTCCGGTGCAAACTTAAGGTTTGATGAAAAGAACCTGGACTTGACTCCCTTTGATTGTGACGCTATTCATAAAGGTGTTGATACTTTTAGCATTTCATCAAGTGAAACATCACCAGTTTGTTGCCTCGATTTTAGGGAAACATCTAAATCGCTCAAAGATCTAACCGATATCGCCGTTCAAATCTTGGACATGATGAAATCGGTGCCAATTGATTCTCGATGGATCGGAATGGACATTCCAGCTTTGGTCATCTGTAATAATGAGGAAATAATTTCCACTCTCCATGAGAAGTTTAAAAAGGCCAATTTTCCAATATACCGATTGAATCGAAAGGGAGAACCAACCAATTTACGAGATAAAATTCCTAAAATCGGCAAAGCGTTGGCCAAAGCTCTTTCGAATATCAAATTAGTTGAAGATGCTCGAGAATACGGAGAATTGTTCAATAAATGGGAATTCGCTGATGAAGGAATTTTTTCCTCCGAAGATCAAGAAACCAAATTCAATGAGATATTAGAATTGGCAAAAGTTTTCGTTATCCAAAATTCTGCCGTCATCTTAGGAAATATTTACGACATTTGTAATGATACAATTCTTAACAGTGCCTATTGTAAATTTCCCGTTTGTATAATTCTTGGAGCTTCATCAATCCCAGAAGTTTTCACTCTTCCCCTGATGAAATATGGTTGTGAAAAATTTGTTCTAATCGATCGAGAATGTTCACCTTGGCCTGGTAATAAATCGATGTTCACCCGACTTACTTCAATTTACGAAGTTGATCATTCGGTGATTAAAGGAGCCAAATGTGCAGTTGTAACCTCCGTTAAAAAGAAATTAAAATTACCCGATCCACCGAAAGTTAGTCGACACAAGTTAATTGAAGAAAATGCCAAAGATTCATCAACAATACCATCGTCATCTCATCCTGGTCCATTTAACGGTTACAATCCCGAACAACGAAAAAATCCCCGAAATCGGCTTCCATATTGTCCTAGACCCGCTACCACCGAGGCCGATAATCAATCAAAAACCAATACAAATCAATCTAATCCTAGTTAATCAACAAATACCCTTTTGTAAATATCCACTTATTGATCAGTACAATCAACCAATTATCCTCGTTTTTTTATTATTATCATTACCCAGATAATTTATTTCAGCTAATGAAAAGTAAATCCGAATTGTCATTATTTTCAGAAAGCAATTAACTGAATGAAACCAGTGTGAAAATTGTTAACCATAAAAAAGTAAAAAATGTAACAATTAATTTTAATAATTTGCTAACATTAAATTGTCTTAAAACGCCATCTAAAGGGCAATAATTGATTAATTGAATTAAAAAAAGGAGGAGACTAAACTTAAGTTATTCTTACAATGGGCTACATAATTTGTTAATCATCACTTTCCAAATAATTGAACTCTGATTTCTAACTGTTTCCGTTGAATTTATATGTAATTTCCGTTTTCTTGGTGTTTTCCAGTTCTTTTCTCATTAAAATATTAATTACATTGTATCTAATTCTAACTGAATGATGATATTTCCTCACCATTCCTTTGGTCATCCAATTGACCGTTTGACCTCGAAAACATCCTCATGTTTAACCGTTATAATGATGACGCTCTTAGTCACCCAAATTTCAGCGGCTACATTCTGTAAATTCGGGTTTAAATCGTCCAGAAACCCGTGTCCCCTTCCTCCAAGTTCGACTACTCCGTCCACTAATTATCTTGCTCCAATCGATACTGGATTGCAAAGCATCGTCACAAGAACCGAAACTGATTCGAGCATCTTTATCATCACTACATTAACAATCTTAGGCATTACTTGGATAATCATATCGACCACTATCGTGTTTATTTAGTTTATAAAAAGACGTGCAATCATCGTGGCCGAGAATTACCTGTTAACAATGAAAACAATTCTAATTCAACACCAACCTCACCATCTCATCAATTACCTCGACCAGCTGATCCAATAATTAATTCTCGACCGGAAACAATTTGAATCATAATATTACTCCAAATGAACTTGAACGTCGTGCTAATCATTACCTTTCCAATGGTGGTAGACCCATGAATCTAATTTAATTGCTTCAGGTTCAGATAATCTACCTTCTTATGAGGAAGCAGCTAACCACAAATGATTAAAGTTACAATCAATTTAATTTGGACAAAATTTTCTACTCATCAAAAAACCAACAAATCAAATCGAATCAGCTAAACAACTTCATCAATACCCGATAATGAAAACTTTTTCCATCTAAAACTCTTTTGATACATATAAATTAAATTTCGAAATGAATTAAATAATAAGTCATACATAAATGTTATGTATAAATTGACATCTCACCAAAATCAATAAACAATTAGTTAATCAATTCATCTTCCAAAATATGATTTCCAATAACAACTCTACTGAATTAAGAGTAAGGACCTAGTTAATGATTGGAAGCGGAGCCAATGATTATTCAACACACTTATCGCTAGTGTCCGTCAGCTCAAATAGGCAAAATTGCGTTGAATTTTGGGTTACTTGTGTGCCCGTTTGATTGTCTCAGGCCCTTCAGGCCTTCATATGTCGATTTTGACTTTCTAATAAAGACCTAACCTAACCTAATTTAAAAACACAGAGATAAGTGTGATGAGTAGCAGATAACTCCTCATCCAACCATTAATTAAGATCTTACTGAATTAACTCATGATGAAATGTAAATTGATTATTTCACATTAGAGACAATTAAAGAGAATCAACAAATCAAAGTCAAAATGGTTCTGATGCAATAAACACTGACCCTTTACCTGAGAGAAATGGTCTCACTCATGGTGAAGATAATGGTAACAATTTCGATGGGATTGGTGAAGAAAATTTAACTGATGAAAGAGATATTCAAGTTTACGAGGAGCTGATGACCCGAATCACCGCTGAGGTTGTCCTAAGAGAGCCGATAGCAAGTCGTGTTACCGTTGATGAGAGGATCAAGAAGATCAATTGTTATCTAGAAGATGAAACTAATTGTCAGATGATTATTCTCAATGATGAACCTGTCAACAATTCCAAAGAAATTGAAATTACCCGATCCACCGAAAGTTAGTCGACACAAGTTAATTGAAGAAAATGCCAAAGATTCATCAACAATACCATCGTCATCTCATCCTGGTCCATTTAACGGTTACAATCCCGAACAACGAAAAAATCCCCGAAATCGGCTTCCATATTGTCCTAGACCCACTACCGGGCCGATAATCAATCAAAACCAATACAAATCAATCTAATCCTAGTTAATCAACAAATACCCTTTGTAAATATCCACTTATTGAAGAAAATCAATATTATCCTCGTTTTTATATCATTACCCAGAATATTTATTCAGCTGATGAAAAGTAAATCCAATTGTCATTATTTTAAGCAAAAAATTCTAAATGAAACCAGTGCTATTAAATTGTCTTAAAACGCCATCTAAAGGGCAATAATTGATTAATTGAATTAAAAAAAGGAGGAGACTAAACTTAAGCTATTCTTACAATGGGCAAACATAATTTGTTAATCATCACATTCCAAATAATTAAACTCTGATTTCTAACTGTTTCCGTTGAATTTATATGTAATTTCAGTTTTCTTGGTGTTTTCCAGTTCTTTTCTCATTAAAATTTTAATTACATTGTATCTAATTCTAATTCTAACTGAATGATGACATTTCCTCACCATTCCTTTGGTCATCCAATTGACCGTTTGACCTCGAAAACATCCTCATGTTTAACCGTTATAATGATGACGCTCTTAGTCACCCAAATTTCAGCGACTGGATTCTGTTCCGAGGAAACTTGTAGTGACCCTAACGCGTTGTGTTTCTAAGCATCGACATGTTACTCGTTACTGCATATGTAAATTCGGTTACTATCAACATAAAAGTTCTGGTTTATGTTTTGAGGAGAAAACTGTCGGTGAAAAATGTTCCAGTTCTGAACAGTGTGAAATTTCCGATGAAATTCAACTTGTGACCATTCTATTGGAATTTGTGTCTGTAAACCCGGGTTTGAATCGTCCGAAAATAATCCGTGTTCCCTTCTTCCAAGTTCGACTACTCCGTCCACTAATTTTCTTGCGCAAATCGATACTGGATATCAAAGAATCGTTGTCACAAGAACCAAAACTCGTCCGAGCTTCTTTGCCTCCCCTACATTCATAATCTTATCGATCACCGTCCTAATCTATTTAATTAAAAAGACGTGCAATCATTGTTGCCGAGAATTACCTGTTAACAATGAAAACAATTCTAATTCAACACCAACCTCACCATCTCATCAATTACCACGACCAGCTAATCCAATAATTAATCCTCGACCAGGAAACAATTTGAATAATAATATTACCCCAAATGAACTTGAACGTCGTGCTAATCATTACCTTTCCAATGGTGGTAGAACCCATGAATCTAATTTAATTGCTTCAGGTGAAGATAAACCACCTTCTTATGAGGAAGCAGTTAACCACAAATGATTAAAGTTACAATCATTTTAATTTGGACAAAATTTTCTATTCATCAACAAACCAACAAAATCAAATCGAATCAGCTAAACAATTTCATCAATACCCAATAATGAAAACTTATCTAACGACATCTTAAACTCTTTTGATACATATAAATTAAATTTCGAAATGAATTAAATAATAAATCATATAAATTGACTTCTCACCAAAATAAATCAACAATCAGTTAATCAATTCATCTTCCAAAATATGATTACATTTCCAATAACAACTTTACTTAACTAACTTATGATGAAATGTAAATTGATTATTTCTCATTAGAGACAATTAAAAGAGAATCAACAAATGAAAAGAATAACATTTCAACAACAATTAATTCTTACAATTAGATTGATTGTAATTCTTTCCGTCGATTGCAACGCCATCTATTTTCTATTTTTTTTCGACTTCGAAATTAACTCAATTGGTTGTTTACCTTTTCCCTCACAATTGTTAACCTAATTTCATTTTACAATTAGAATTGTTTTAATTTAATTTTTCTTTTTAATTTGATTGAATGTTTGTTTAATTCTTTACTCTGATTGTAATCGTAAAGGAGAGAGAAAATGATTTAAAAGGTGTTCGAATATATTTCCTGGTTCACTTCCTTCACTTTCAATCCTTTGGTTTTTTCTCTGTTTTTCTTTTTCTTTTAACATTGTGATTGATTTTTTCTCTTCTTTTGATATTTGATTCTGGTTTTTTTTTCGCAATTTGATTCTCTGGAAATTACCTAATTTCATTCTTTATCCTTGATGGACTCTATGCTTGTCTCATTTATGGTAAATTGGACCCAATTATTTTGTAGATTTGCTTCCTTTCAATCGTTTTTCTATTAGTCCATTGGATCTCTTTTTGTTGATTTACTATTTTTTCCTCTCTATTGTAAATGTCAATCTGATGGAAAATAATTCGCCAATACTTGCAGTCTCATCATATTCATCACCGCCATCATTATTTACATCTACTTATCATCCATACTTCTTGAGCTTTCTACTAAATTACCTGAAGTTATTAAACCATCAGCGACATTGATGATAGAGAAAACGTTAGTGTTTAATTGCCCATAACCTTCACCCGAAACAGTTCAACAATCATGTCTTTTCTTTGGCTTTTCTTTATTCAATTTAAACCCTTCACCATGATCTCTACGCCATCTTTAATTGGTCTTTTTCTTTGGTCTTTGGCCTCACCAGCAAATGCTTACAATGGAAATGGTCACACTTTGTACGAGCTTCCTCTTTATGTCAGAGTTGCAGCTATCGGTGAACATTGTACTCCACCAACAACCAATTGTGGTGATCCTAATGCTCTTTGTGTTCGGAAAACATATAAATTATCGGGTCAATGTAAATGTGGACCCGAATTTAACTTTGACCGGAAATTATCCAAGTGTATTCGATCAATTCCAATAGGTGACCCTTGCTCTGAATCGCGTGAATGTCACTCCTTTGACCGTCATTCTTATTGTGACTTTGCCCAATTGGTTCGTAAACGTCGGCCGATTTGTGCCTGTCAATCGAAATATGTCTACAACCATGAGAAACATCGATGTGTCCCCTGTCGATCAACTTTAACCGATTGTCGTGACCCTTCAACACCCACAAGTGCCAATTCCCTTGCCAAATATAAATTTGCACTTCTCATGAAGATAATACTCATAGTAATTGGTTTCTCCCTCCTGTTAAGCTTAACATTTTGCTTCTTCATCAAAATACTAAATGGTTACAGTAAATCTCGCCGATCAGCTGTCTCAAACAACAATCAGCCAATTATACCAACATCACCTCCAACCATGGGAACAATAACATCAACCCAACCTCCACCACCACCACCATTACAACCTCTTCCACTCTCTTCATCATCATTTCACCCATTCCCACCTTTACCTCCACCCTTACCATCCCTACCTCCACCACCACCACCACCAGGTAATGGTAATCAATATCATCCTCTGCCTCCTCCTCCTCCAGGTATTATCTCGGACACAATGAGATCGACAAATGGCCGTGATCAAATTCACTTTTACCTCCCCAATGGTACCATCGCCAGTGTCCCACCGGCCATCATTACTCATAACTCTAAAAATGGCCGATCAACATCATCATCTCCTCTTACAAGTAACCATATTAATAACATTGATCAAAGACTTTTATTTGCATCTTCATCGGCTGAAGATAAGCCACCATCTTATGAGGAAGCTGTTCATGGATCAATCTCCTGTAAACGTAATCTACTAATCTCACTTAATCCTAATTCCCCATTAAAAGGGAATCCGGTTTAATTTGGTTAATTTAATTTACACTGAGGAAAAAAAATCAAAACTTTCAACACAAATTATCAGAGTAAACACCATGATTAATATACGTAACGATCCTCACAATTTTTAAGGTCAGATTAACACAAGCAAATATTTAATTGTATATTAATCATCATAATTAACTCACTGATCCTTTGCTCCAATCTAATTTCAATTATGGATTAACCTGCGCTCATCTCCAACAAAATCAAACGTTAATTTCATTTCTCTTTCACTCTTATCATTACAATTATTGTTGATTAACAATTAGTAAAACCAATCATCTTAAATGGAATCCACGAAACAAAGTGAAACAATCAATCCAACAATTACCACTCTTAAATTCCCAGTTCAATGCCAAATGTAAATTAACTCTTTACATCATATCATCACCATCATCATCATCATAATCATTATATTTAACACACCAAATTGCTCCTAAATTAGTCAATTAATCAACTTCCTAAAATGTAAATACAACCAGAGAGTAATTTAATCAAGAATCATAATTGATCAAGTCGATTGTGAGAAAAAGTTAATTGTATACAGAGAGAAATTTGAATCTTAATTTTTTGATTAACTCTCATAACTCCTCTGGGAAAGGGCAATTAAGTAATTTGATCAAATCAAAGCCACAAAATTATCAATGGAAAACAAACAATTTGTTAATTAAAAATCCTCAGATTAAATTATTAGCCAATGAGAGAAACAAACAAATTAAGTTGCATCATTATAATTTAAATTGTTTCCTTTTCAATTTGTAATTCCAATTAATTGTTGTTTTAACAAAAAGTCACAATCAATAAATTGCCAAAAAACTAATCAATACAATCAACAACAACAACAAAACTTTCAGGTTCACATTTAATTGTTTTAATTAGTTAAGTTGCTTTTGATCAATACATAATAACATGGAAATATATTGTTATCTTTAAACAATTAATTAGTTGATGATAATAATATTCAACTGATTTTGATAAACATGATTAAATCAAAATTAAATTAGATTGTGATTGAAGGTTAAGGTTAAAAGTACCTAGAAAAGTAGGAATCAATTACGTTTACAACAGAATTAAACAATTAATTTGTTTTCAAGATTCTTACAATTAAAGGTAATATCATAAAGAGAGAGAGAGAGAGACAATTAGATTATCCATCTTAATATTGATTAAGATGAACAGAGATTAAATAATATTGAGAATTAATAGTTGATTGATGAACCAATGGATTAATTATCTTTCCGAGTGTCAAATAATCACAGAATTAATTGTTGACATTGATAGGCTGTCATTGAAAGAGATATTGATCAATTATCTGTGTGAATACAAGATTATCACTTGGAGTATTAATAGTAATAGTGATTCACTTAATGGTGACAATTCTGAAGACAGAAAGAGTTAAGGTGATAACAATGAGAAGTAAACATTTGAAATAGACATCGATTGATTTGGATGGAGAAGGAGGAGAAGATGATGATGAGAGAGAGAGTGAGAGAGAAGAGGAAGAAGATGAGGATGCGAATGAGGAAGAGGAGGAGGAGGAGGAGAAGGATAATGATTAAGGATGATTATGGTTAGAAATCAGTTCCATAAGGAGGAAGAGTCTTATTAGCATTCCAAGGATCTTCACCAGTCATCATTTGGAGCATTCGGAAGGATCGTGAAGGAATCGATGAGCCGGTGTATTGAGGTGGACTTTTCAATGGAGTTTGTTGAGAGGGTGGAACCATTTCGTTTTCTCTAATAATTGGTATTTCGATTTCAGTTCTAATTTGTCGTCGAGTTGATTGCTGTTGTTGAGTTAATTGTTGAGATGAAAGTGGTAATGGTGATGATGGTGATGATACTTGTTGTTGATGCCGAGGTTGATTCGAGTAGCTTGATGGTGATGGTGATCCAAGAGCTTCAAGAAACAAATGAAAATGATTTTATCAAATTTAGATTCACAATTTAAGTCAGTGTAGAGTTAATTGTTTATGATTAACGCTTTGAAAATGGTTGAAGATTAGGATGACATATATTGTGAAGATGAATTATTTCTCATGGTTGTCGAAATGTAAGAATGAGGAGAATTTTTCTCTTCAAATTCTCTCTTTATTTTTGGATATTCTTCTGATAGAAATTTCTAAATTTCGTGTAAATGACTAATTATGTTTGGAAAATTGTTAAGATGAATGGGATTAAGATTAAGACGAAACTGGGTCATAATATTTTTGTCACTTTGGAGAAACAAATTTTTTTCTAGTTACTTTTTTGTATCTTTTTCATGGTATCATAATCTTATGGAGGATGAAGGTTAGAGTACTTAAGCTAATCCTCATGGGAGAAATTGGCTTAATCGCAATTCTAATCAATTATTTAACATCGACACTTACAAATTAATGTAAAGTCAAAATAAGAACAAGAATTTTCAATAGAAAAAGAAACAAAATCAATACTTGTAATCTATTTTTCTCTCAAAATTCTATTGGGATTAAATATGATTCAGTTTCTATTTTTTTTCCAAAACTTTTCCAATGAGAGAATGAGACATGGAATAGTTGAGAAAACTACTGATTAACTAATTGGATTGAAACACCAGAGTGATTAATAAGACGAAGATTAAAGTGTTGATAAGATTATGAAATTGAAAAGAAAAGAAAAGTGATTTAATCTCACCTTCTTTATCCGTTAATCCAACCATATCTTGTAGATATTTAAATGAATTACTGGGAATGGCTGATCCTCTGTAACGAGGGTCAATTATTTCTTGTTGACCAAAAGGTGACCCTTGTTGTTGAGAACGAGGCTGTGGACTTTCAACGGACGGGGTTCGACGCCATTGTGGTGTCCACTCTTGTGGATTTTGTTGTTGAGCTTGAGGTTGTCTTTGTCTCTGTTGAAGCTCTTGTTGAGTTTGTTGTTCAGCCAATTTAAGATTATCCAATTCATCTAAATTATTCCAATCGAATTATTAACAATTTAACTTGTTTTCTCTCTCTCTCTCTAATTCTTACCTTGAATTCCTTCAGTTAATTTCTGTAAAACTCTAAACGATCTCGATTGAATTGGTTCACTTCGTTCATCATCTAAATCGTTTGAACCATAAAATCGTTGCTGTGGATTAGCGGCCTGTTGATTTACCAAATATTGAGATTGTTGCTGTTGTAAGTAGATTTTCAGTTAATTGTTATCAGCTAATTGTCACCAATCTTCTTACCTGTTGTTGAGGTGATGGTGATTGATATTGTTTCCTTGATTGCCATTGCTCTTGGAGTGAAGGTCCAATTATCTTTGTCGGTGTTGAATAAACGGCCGGATCGTTTTCTTGAGTCTCTCTGAGTAGATCAATTTTCTTGGGCGGTGGAACTGAATAATAGGTTCGAGGTCCTTGTTTAATTGTCACCGGAGAGCCTGATGAATAGGGTTGATTGTTTGTTGGACTTTCGATTCTGCCACCGTTACTATTACCATAAAAGTGGTTATTGTTATTCTGATAGCCAATTGGTGTTGTTGATGAACTACCGCTCATATTGATCGGTGAATTGTATCCGTAATTGTTAGTGTTTTGATTACTATAATTGTCTTTGTAATTATTTGATATTATGGGATTTGAATAGGTGTCGGTGATGAATTGCCCGTTGCTGGTGAACTATTGGTGTAATTGTTAACGAAAGCAAAAGGACTTGTGGTGTTTCCTGAGGAGGGTGTTGATGTTTTACAGCCGGTGGTCACAAATGCTGGTGATGTTTGTCCATAAGGGATCGGCTTATATTGTTCTGGTGATCGGCTAACTGACCTTAGGGCAGTGTTTAGACCCTCTAATTGTTCATTGACCACTGCTTCGAATTCAACTGGAGACATTTGTGATTGTTGACCTTGATTATTTGGTCGATAACCGGTTGATGGGCTTGATTGCTGTTGATTAGATGCTCGAGCCATCAATTCCTTGGTGAAATCAAGTTTCGGTGGTGTTGTTACATTGAATGATTGTCTTCCCTGATTCTGTGAATTTGCTGATGATGGACGATAATTGTTATTAACATCGTAATTGTTTGTCATCGGTAGTTGATCTGGAGTTAGTGCTCGGTGGGTTTCCATATCTTTCAATGAGAGACTCGGTGTTTCCGGTGTGTAGGCTCGTCTCTCAACTGTTCCTGGTTGTTGGTTAACATTTAATGAGTTAATTGTCGACTGATTAGTATTATTATTATTCTCATCGTCTTCACCCTCTCTCATATTTGCCAATAGACGTTTCTTCATTCTCGGTGATCTGATTTGACTCAAATCTAATTTCCCTTTGTCTCTGTGAGTGTGTAACAATTAAATCGTAAAAAAAAGTTAATCAATTAGTTACTTTATATGAAATTTTCATCTAATAAGTTTTCTCAACAGACAAGTAATTAGAAAATATTTGATTTAATTGTTGATGATTAAAGCGCATGGATCAAGCCTGTTCAAGATATTCATTTTCACCATGAACTTGAAATCAACAATTTCCCTTTTTGGTTATCACATTTATCGGGTTAAATTAAGATCTACAAACAGTAAATTGTAATTAACTTTCAAGAAGAGTAATCAACAAAATTTAACCAACCAGATTACATTTTGAACTGAAAATTTTTAACCTAATTTCACAATGAAAGTGGTTAATTGCTGGGAAATTTACTAAATGTAAACGGAAATAGTTTTCTCATCTAATAGAAACAATCAAAGTGATTGAATTGACAATTGAAATCATTAATCAACGATTTGTTTCCTAAATTTTTAAACCATTTCAATATGACACTTAATTATTGATTTTCTTGCCTTTTATTATATTTTGATTATTGGAACAATCAACTAATCACTTACCCAACTGCTAATGGAGTATAAGTAAATGGTTTTTTGTCTTTCGCCATCGTATTCATTAATTGTGGAGGTAAATTAGCGTATTGTTGTTCAGCTTGTTGTTGTAATTGCATTTGTTGTTGTTTCTTTTCAAGTTCCTCCCGATAACTTGGAATCTTGACCGCTCCAATAGCCCCAGGCGGAGGTGGAGGTGGAGGTGGTGGAGCCATTCCTCCTGAAGATAATAAAAGATGATGAGAAATCAATTTATTGACACAAATTATTTGATAGAAAAAAAAACAAATTGATTGGTCGATTTGAGAGACATCATCATATTCAATGAAATATCATTTCTCAGCTTACCTGAGGATGGAGGTGGTGGCGGAGGAGGTGGTGGAGGGACCATGACACCAGAATCCATAAGTAAACAACAAGTAAATCACAATAAAAGAGATGGACAATCAAAGTTTATCAAATTGTAATCTAACACTAGATCAATCAAATGGATGTGTCAATACCGTTAACAGTTTGAAAGATACACTTAAATCAACCGGTGGATGATGATTATGGTTGTGATGATAACGATGGTGGAAAATCAACTAATCACTGAAAACGAATCAACAATTAACCCATTCGTTAACTGTGGAGGTTTATTTTTTTTTTCTCTCGACACTTTCAACGATCTCAATATAATCTAATAAACTCTCTCTCTCTCTCTCTCACTTTCTCACTCACTCTCTAAGTCTCTCTCTCTCTCACTGACACACTCTTACTATTATTATTCTTCCTTCTCTTTCACCTTATGTCAAAAATCACGAAAAAAAAGACGAAAGATGAAAGACAAAGATACAGAGATGAAAAGGGAAAAATGGTGTTACGAGAACCTTCAAAATGTTCGAGTTCGAATGAGAAAATGGTTGAAAGAAAATTGGAATTACGATAGAATGATATTCATCCTTGACTTGGTTCTCTTCTTTATCATCATCGTTGAAAGAATCTTCTTCATCTTCTACTCGGAGTAAAAATAGTTATCCCGTATTTGGCTTTTCAGAATGTTCCATTCCAAAGCCATTGAGTTGGCGTCTACATGGTGATCTCTGGAAACTTGTTGCTCCTTTTCTCATCTCTGTCATGTTATTAACAAAGAGCTATTAATAGTTCCTTTGATTATTGTTGATTTCGAGCCAAGAAAAATTGTTTGCTCAAAATCTGCGATCTTCGTATTACATTAGGACAACAATTAGTAAATTGTGATAATTCTGATTCTCTGCTCATCTTATTTACCTTGATTCAGGAAATTGTAACATGTTCATGATGAATAATCACTTTAATTGTTTTCTTTTCCGATTGGTTATTAATTGTTATTATTATTAACAACTTTTCTTAACAATCAAAGTTTTACGATTTAAATTGATTGTTTTGATTATCAATTTTCATCTCAACTTCGTTATTCAATTGTGATCTTGATTGTGATTGTTAATTGTGTTGATTTCATCTCTTTTTTGGTTAATTGTTGTTGGATGTTTCGATTGTAATTTTTTTTCTTCTTCAACTTTGGTCTGTTTAATTAATCATTGTCACTTAATTGTGATTTAGATTGGAGTTGATTGTAAAACTTTGATGATCTAGGACAAGGCTAAATTGTTGTTTATATTAAAAAGAGGGCAAAATTTTTGCTGCCAAAATTTGATTAGACTGTTAACCTAATTGGCAATTTAAGTAGATTATGATTAAGTATTTGATTATCAATGTAAATTGTACAATTAACTTTAACTCCTTGTGGTGATTAAAATTAACACTTACACTTGATAATAAACTTATTTAAATCTAATTGTTGTCTCTTGGTGATAATCAAAGGATTGAATTAATTTTTCAAGGTTAATTGTCAATAAATCAGATCAATTGTTAAATCAATAAGGAAATCAAATCAACGTTCAAACAAATTGTAGTTATTGCTAATTAACTTGGAATAATTTATTTACTCATGATTAGCATTAGAAATTAACAATTACAACATTTCTAATCAATACCAATCACAATTATGTTAATTAAATGAATTAGCAATAGCTCATAATTACCTTTGAATTGTAATTAATCAATTGCTAATTCAGTAAATCAAGTTTTAAATTTAGACTCAAATTTCAATGATTTGTGAAAATCAAATTTGATTGTTATAAAATCCCAATCAATTAGCTTATGAAATCAATTGGTTATTTTTAAATTGTTGAATCAAATTTTATAGACTACAAATTATCAATCATTAAAAGTTAATTCAATTATCACTGAATCTTGTTTGGACAATCAATATTGATCACAATTAAATCAGAGTCTGAGTTGATTGTTGAAACAAATAATTTGGATTATAAATTGTCAACCATTAAAGGTTAACAATGAAACCTTAATTGTTACAGTTTCCAGTTATAATAAACAAATTTAATCTAATTTAATCACAATCCAAACAAATACATCACCAGATTGAACAATCAACTAATCAAAAAGTATAACAATTAACTCATGAGATTGAAAATAAAATTCATCTAATTGCTGATTAACTTAGTTTTCCCCTTTAATTAATCATTGAGACAATTATAAGTTAATTAACTATTCAAAACCCCTCGAATCTGTAATAAATTGGTTGATCAACTTTTCTCAAGTGATTAAAATAAATTGCTCGGGGCAGTTAATTGTTGTTTCTCAAAAATCAAGGCCATTAATATGATCATTTAACTTGATTAACTATTTTAAATGTAGTTAATAATCATAACCATTAAGACTGATTGTAAAATATTTCAAACAATTGTTGATTGAACAAAATGTTGGACGATTAATTGATTACAATATAGAATTAAAATTAATTATATGTTTTTTATTTTTAATTTTTTTGTTGTTTTTATCAATCAAATTAAACGAAATCATTGAATTTAATTGTTGATCATTTTGAGCTTTTATAACTGTACTTTTGTTGTCAACTCTTTTTGATTAATAAAAAAAATTCCGTTTAGATGATCAGTCCAATTGATGTTGATTATTGGAGATTTTTTGTTCAAATTAAAATCATTACAATCAGTTAATTGTTTCTAATTCCTTTGAGTTGATAGTTGCACTTCATCTAGTGGGTCTCACAGGGTTGGATCATTTCAATAAGTGTTTTTTGTTAGTTATCAGAACCACAGAGTAACCTGTAAATATTTATTTTTTTATCGTTTTTTTAATGATTTTTACAGTGGCTTTACTCAGTTGTCTTGGTGGAGAAAAAAGAAAGAGAAAAGGTAAATTGGGAGAGAGAGAGAGAGAGAGAGAGAGAGAGAGAGAGAAAAAGAAAAAGATTTTGTTGATTCATCGCCATCTATTGATTTTATACATGTTGTAGTTTTCTGTATGAGTTAGTTTGATGATAAAAAGATGACATCAGATGCATGGGGTTTAAATTTTTTTGTATATGCATATATATGTATTTATATATATAATATATATAAGAGATTAAATGACCAATCTCTTGAATCTCCTTTTTTTTTCTTGACCATTTTAAATTATTGAAAATATGATTAGACCGGGATCGTAGACTCAGTAGACTCAATAGATGGCGAGATCTCTAAAAATACAATACAATTTTTTTTATAGTTGAGTTACAAGGTAACTGAATACTCCACTGTAAATTTTTTTTTTACTTTCTTTTCTTTCTTTCTTTGTGTGGTTGGTTGGTTGTAGATGTAGTGTGTGTATATTTATGATGCTGCTGCTTTCTTGTTGTTTTAATCCGATGTTTTCTTTTAATTTTTTTCTCTTTGGTGTCGATTCTCCTTTAAAATGAATTAACTCGTATTTTTGCTTATAGTTTAAATTTTTTTTCCTTCTTCTTTGCTTTAACTTTTAAACTCTTTTCTTCGTTTTACTTTGTTGTGATGGATTTATAAATTCTTTTTACCTCCTCTAACATTGACTTGTTCCGCGTTACCTGTTGTATTACAGTCGATGAATTTTCTTGCAATGAATTTCAGAGCTTCATCTAATAAGACCACTGGAAATGAGATCTTGAGTACTGTCCACCATTCCTCAGCATTAAGTGGGCAAACGGAGAAGATGACCTGAGAGAGAGAGAGAGGGGGAAGAGTGAAAAAAAGAGAAATTTTAGTAATACGAATTATAAAAGAAAAACTATTAATACATACTGATACAACGTCGACATAAAGAAGGAAGAAGTGAAGACCCATTGAGAGAGCCATAGCACCCAAAAGCCATGGATTTTTCCACGGTGGCATTGCAAGAAGAGATTGATTCTCAGATAAACTGTGGGGAAAAAAGATTAATTAGTTAATAGTGAAATCTAAATTCGTGTCAATTGTAGCTGATATAAAGAGTGTCTTTTTTTGTATACCTGTTGAGAGCGTTCAACATTTCAATTGTTACTAATACAGATAAGGCCATAGTCATTGGATGAGGATCGCGGAAAACGGCACAGTCTACATTTGCAAATGCTTCGTCACCACTGAGACATTGAAGATGGTGACTAAGTTGATAGAAAGAAAGATGAGGTCCTTCGGGAGATGCTAAGAACCACCATGCAGCGGCTCCAACAGTAGCAGCACCAACATAAGTACCAACAGCCATGTATCGGAAGAATAACCATCCAGTGATAAGTGGCTCATTGGCTCGTCGAGGAGGTCTTTCCATGATGTCTAAATCAGGGGGATTGAAACCTAAAGCAGTAGCTGGTAAACCATCAGTAACCAAGTTGACCCATAGAAGTTGAACTGGAATCAAAGCTTCAGGAAGACCAAGAGCGGCAGTCAAGAAAATACTAAAAGGATAAAGAAATTAAAGTAAATAATAAGAATAATAAAAGATGAATAAGATTGTCTATTAACAACAATTAACCGACAAATCAAGTGAAAAAAAGCCATGCTCGATTAGCAATGTTTTTTTTTTCATTCTCATTTTCTAAATTTTTACCTCACAACTTCACCAATGTTGGATGAAATTAGATATCGAATGAATTGTTTCATGTTGTTATAAATAGCTCGACCTTCTTCTACGGCAGCGACAATAGATGAGAAGTTGTCATCAGCTAAAACCATTTCAGAAGCTGATTTGGCAACAGCAGTTCCTGATCCCATAGCAATACCGATCTCGGCTTTCTTTAGAGCTGGAGCATCGTTTACACCATCACCAGTCATAGCGGAAATTTCACCATCAGCTTGTAAAAATTCAACAATCTTGGATTTGTGAGATGGTTCCACACGAGAGAAAAGTCTAGCTTGTCTAACAGCTTCACGTTGTTCATGAACAGGTAAGTCATCAAATTCCCGACCAGAGTATGATTTACCAGTTGTATCTTCATCTTCTCCGAATACACCAATTCGACGGCAAATGGCCTCAGCGGTAGCCTTGTTGTCACCAGTAATTACGATAACTCGAATACCAGCAGCTCGACATCTCATGATTGAGTCAAAAACTTCCTTACGAGGAGGATCTAACATACCAACAACACCGACTAAAGTACAACCGACCTGTGGATTTAAGATGAAATTTGGAAATGTTAATTATATAAATGATGATACAAAAGAGAATTAATCTAAATGAAATTTACCTCATAGTTGATAAATTTGTTAGAATCATTAAGGTCCATTTCATCAGGAGTCATTGGGGCATCAATTGTGGCAAGGGCAAGACAACGAAGGGTATCTCTTCCTGTACCATATTGTCTGGTTGTTTCCAAGATTCGATTTCGAATACCTTCGGTCATTGGAACTTTTCGGTCTCCAACTCGAATGTGTGTACACCTGTCAAGAACTCCTTCGGGAGCACCTTTGACAAACATCTTTGGTCCAGGTCCTAGTTTGTCAACCTTCTTGGGAATACAGAAAGAGCTCATTGATTTTCGATCTCGAGAAAATTCAAGGGTAAATTCTTTCCTCCACATGGATTGGATATTGTGGTTAACTACTAAGGCAGCATCTCGACGACTTAATCCAGATTTACTGTAACCCCATGGATTTAATTTCTCAGCTAATACAATAAGAGCAGTTTCGGTGGCCTCACCGACTTTCTCAAAGGCTTGTTTGAACTCGTTAAAGTCAATACTGGAATCATTACACATAACACAAATGGTGGTCATTTCGAATAATTGATCGTAATCACTAGATTTTGCTCGTTGTCCTTTGATGAAAACTTCACCAATAGGTTCGTATGTTGATCCGGTAACTTCAAATTCATCTAATTCACAGTCGTTACCAGAAGCATCTCTGACGATGAAAAACTGTAAAACAAAATAGAGTCCAAATTAGAATACAAAATACATGGTAAAACAATTCAAGGAGAAAAAAACTCTCGAGTGTTTAACTTACCCTACTAACTGACATCTGATTGGTAGTAAGAGTACCAGTCTTATCTGAGCAAATGACTGAGGTACAACCTAAGGTTTCTACTGAAGGTAGAGATCGAACAATGGCATTCTTTTTGGCCATTCTTCGGGTACCTAAGGCTAAACAAGTGGTAATCACAGCAGGTAAACCTTCTGGGATAGCTGCGACAGCGAGTGCAACAGCAATCTTGAAGTAATAGATGGCACCCTTTAGCCAAGAGCCACCATGAACGGGGTCGTTAAAGTGTCCAATATTAATAGCCCATACAGCAACACAGATGATTGAGATAACTTTAGATAATTGTTCACCGAATTCATCTAACTTTTGTTGAAGTGGAGTTTTAACCTCTTCGGTTTCACTCATCTCAGTACGAATCTTACCAATAGCGGTTTCAAGACCAGTACCGATGACAATACCTCTCGCTTTACCAGCAGCAATATTTGTACCCTAAACATTATGGATAATAAGAAAGAGACAAAAAATGAATGAGATAAGAATAATGGTAACAATTTAAGTAACAGGAAAGAGTTGATTAGGACCTTCCATAGCAAAGATCATTGAAGGTGAATGACTGGTAAGTTTTTCTAGCTTCTTTTGTAGTTGATTATTTTTTTTATCGCAAGGATACACATTAGTAATCCAAGTGAGTATATCCAAGATTAAGATGGGGTGATGACGACAGGATAACATGATACAGGTTGACAATGTTGAACTAGTTGGTAGAAAGGAAAGAGAAGAAAGAAACAATTCCAGCTTACCGAGAAACAAATATTCTTCTTATCCTGGTTAACAGCTCTTGGATCTGGTACAGCATCGGTGTGTTTAATCACAGAGACAGATTCACCAGTAAGAATAGATTGGTCAATCCTTAGGGTCGTTGAGTATATCTTGACTAATCTAATATCAGCGGGAACTTTGTCACCAACTGAGACTTCAACCAAGTCTCCAGGAACAATTTCTTTGGCTCTAATTTTTTGTACACCTTGTTTGTTAGCCCGAATAACCTTTCCCATCTCAGGTTCATATTCCTTAAGGGCTTCAATTGCACTTTCAGCATTTCTTTCCTGCCAAACACCAACCACAGCATTGGCAATAAGAATGAGTAAAATGACAAAAGGTTCGACAAAGGCTGTTACAGATTCATCATCTTCTTCAAAGAAAGCAAGCACAAATGATATAATGGCCGCAAGAAGTAAAATTTTCACTAAAAGATCATCAAATTGCTCCAAAACCAATTGCCACAATGATTTACCCTCTTCAGTGGGTAATTCATTAAGACCATACTTGGCTTGGTTCCTTTTAACTTGATCTTCAGTTAATCCTCTCTCCGGGTCAGTTGAGAAATTATCAAGCACTTCCTGGTAGGTTTTACAATGGGCCAACTCCATGGCTGTGGTTGATTAATATTAAAGGTGTTTGTTTTTCCTCCGTTTGTTTGGTATTAAGACAAGAGATGATGAAGAAGAAAAAAAGTATAAAGAAATGATGATGATGTTACACCAAAGAAAAAAAAAGAAGAAGAAGAGAACCAACAAAAAATTAGAGAGAACCAAACAAACGTATATACACACAAACACACACACACACACACGAATATATTATAAAGATATATTAATATATTATTATAATATATAAAAAAGTGTCTTCTCTTCAACAACGAAGAAAATGATGATGATGATGATGTTTCTCTTCCAGTGTGTTGATTGTATGTGTGTGTTGTTTTCTTTGTCAGAATAATAAAGGGATTAGATGAAGAAGGGGGCAAACTGGATTAAATAGGTTGATGTGGGCTAGAAAAACACTTTTATATATCGAGAGAGAAAAAAAAGATTATTGCTCATTCATTAACATGAATTTCTATTTGCGCGATCATGGCACCAGAAAAGAAAGAGGAAAAGAAGACGACAGAAAGAGAGTGAGAGAGAGAGACACACACAGAGAGAGAAAAGAAAGAGGATATAAGACACATAAGAATAAGAAAGAAAGAAAGGAGAGAGAAGAGAGACCTTACCAATATTTTCTCTCTCTTTTTACTTTCGAATTTTTATTCTCTTCTCTTTCTCTTTCAACATCAGTTGTTTCTCTTTTCCACTGAGTCTGCGCGGAGAAAAAACTCTTTAAATTTTTGTTCTTTTCTAAATCAGCGACATCTACCGAATGATTTAACTTCTTCTTCTCCGCAACCGGTGAGAATTTATTTCCAATTTGATTACGTCAATGGAATAGTAAAAGTAAACATTGAATTTTTTACTTTTTCTCTTTTTTAACCTGAGGAGAATTTTTTTTTCTTTTGCTTCTTCTTCTTCTTCTTCATCATGATTCTAAACCTGTTTCATGGTGAATTTTTTTGCTCTCTCTCTCTTTCAAGTTGATCTTCTGTCTATTCGGTGTTTCAATGTTTCTCCTGTTCAGCTGATGCGGATCAATTTGATTGGTCCTTTTGATTCATTTTCTTTATCCATGTTTACCTTGTCACTATTATCCAACATGTCGCTTTCTCTTGATATCTAAGGAAAATCATGAATAGAATCTTTTTTTTCTCTTTCTCTTTCTCTTCATTTTCTTTTATTCTTTTCTCTCTTTCTCTTTGCTGGTTGAATATTTTCTGACAATTCAGGTAAAATTGATCAAAACAATTCCATCGCCTGTTGATCTTGGTCACAATCATCACAAGAAACATTTTCTTCCTGTCAAATGAATTTCCCCTTAATTTTTCATATCATTTCATTCACTCGGATTCATTTTATCGTTCAATATATTGACCTCACTAACTTTCTCTCTCACTCCTACCTGTTTATCTTCCTCTTTTTTGTTATTCTCTTTTCATCACCATGGGTATCGTAGTTTTTATTGACTAATCGACTTCATCTCATTAATATTAATTACAGAGTTTACACTATGTTACTATTTTCTCTTCTTCTCTTTTCCTTTTCTTTTTCTCCTCTTTGTACTCTTATATTATTCTCGATTATCTTCATTCTCTCTCTCTCTCATTCTAAAATATCTATTGTGATTCTGCTCTTATTACAATTTAATTTAGATTCAATTGGAAGGGCAAAAAATGGTTTCGTCTTCATCTTCATTGGTCTTCCTTTCTCACTCTCTTCAGGATTGAATAGTTTTTTTTTGGTAAACAGTTGAACAATATTTGGATTTTTATTCTCGTTGTAATTTAATAGCAATCAACATGAACGCAGAGGGAAAAATTCACATACACACGGAGGAAAAAAAAAGATAACCTAGATTAATGATATAAATATCGTTATTATCATCAGATTATCATCATCACAGTTATTATTGCAACTTCACCACTCTAAATATATCATCAGATATACAGGGAAAAGTGAAAGACAAAAATTGACAACAAAAAGAAATGTCAATTTGATGTTTATAATTTATTTTTAATTATTACACCAGAAAAAAGCTCTAGGGGAGAGAGAGAGAGAGAGAGAGAGAGAGTGACAACTAAATTGCCATTGACCTTTGGCAAAAAATCATCATCATCATCATCATCATAGTAGAAAATATCAATCAATTGATTGTAATAGTTGATTAATTAACAACCAATCCAATTGGGATCATCGTAATTACCATAATAAACAATCATCGACACGTAAAAGTTACAATACTTACTAATTACCAATGATTTAATCAAAGGTGAGATGAATAAATTGTTGCAGTTTAGTAATTAGTATCAATCATCAGCCGAATTTTTGTATATTCACAATTAGTAAATTGTTAGTTTCTTTTATCAATCTTGTTAGTAGTAGATGAAGAGTTTACAATTTGAAGGTCGAATCAAAACTCTGTCAATTGATTAAATAAAAGGATGAAAGATGATTAGATGATGATGATAATCAATAGAGTAATTAATAGGATGATGATTAAGAAAAAAAAATTAATTCTAAGGCCGATGTAAGTTAATCTCTTACGTGAGGAGATGTTAATTGTTTTTCCTCATTGAAGGTTAACTTTACCATTGGAACTGAAGTAATCAAATTAAGGTTAACTACTGATTGTCAATTCTAATAACAACATGTTATGATAATGATTTGATCTAATCCAATGAAAGTAATCAATCTGATTGTTGGATAAGGAGTTAAATAAAAGATCATGAGGACAATTAATCTTGATAATCGGTCGACCAACAATTAGAATTGAATTTTTCATTTTCGTTATGTTTTGCAAATTAAATCCATTGATTAGATTGTAACTGTCTGTTGATTGTGAATCCGGTGGTTCATTTAATTTGGCAACTATGGAACCTAAACAATGTTAATTGTTGTCTTTAATTCTTGATTAGGTGTATTTATATTTTTATATTAACTAAATTTATTTAACTACTTTTGATTTACAAGGATTTTCAAGCTAAATAACATTTTCATCATCATCTGTATCCTTAATTGTTGATTCCTCTTGTAATCCACTTTGTGGATTAACCTTCACTTTAAGCCAGGAATTTGTTGGCTTCAAAGTTGCTTTGGCACATCTTCATCCTCATCTTCATCCTCATCCTCATCCCAATCATCATCATCATTATCAGAATTAGAGTTATTTCAAATTCAAATTTAATTCTGATAATTTAATATCAATATACATTGAACTTGATACAACATTCAATTTACAATTGAAGAAATCAAAGTTTCCAATTTAATTGAAATTATTTGAATATTAGTCTTTAATTAAATGGTTCAAAGTGCAGTTTGATTAGTTAACAAATTGCAAACCATTTTTACAATTTGGTTAATCTAATCCATTGATTGTCCATTGAATTTCAAAGTTAATTGAGTGAGAGTTTGTTTCTTTTGGATTAGCAATTAGAACTGAATTAAATCCAATTTTCTCATGATTTGAATCTTTTGTCTTTTACTTGGTTAACCCTTTCCTTTGAATATTTTGGCTTCAAGTTGATCTTGGAACTTGATGAATATGATAATTTAGATTTTTTTTTGTTTTCGAATTATCAAAAATTAGAAGAATAAGAAATTTAGAAGTTTCCAATATTCTTCTTTTCTCTCTCACTCTCTCCTTTCCTTTCTCATCTTCTCTTTCTCTAGGTAACTTAGTTGTCGATTATTTTTGTCATTTGTTATCATTCAAGGTTATCATCATCTTCATCTTTATCTTCATCATCTAATGGATTCTGATGACTGCGGAAAAAGATGATAAGGAAGATGCTTAAGTCTCAGGCTACTATTGAGTATTTAAGAGGAGGGATGATAAAGATTGATGAGAGAAAGAGCCAAGAGAGACTTTCGAATTTGAACTTTTTTTTTTATTCTCTTAGCAGAAAAATGTTCTTGTTCATGGAATTGATTCTCTCTTTTCTTCCCCTTGGATTAGGCCGAGAAAAAGAAACAAAAATAGATCCCTCTTACTCTCATCATCTTAATCTTCTTTCTTATTCTTATCCTCTTCTTTGTGGATATTTCATCGGGAATGAGTTTTGAATGCGAATCCTTTTTTGGATTTGGAGTGATGAAGGTAACAAGATAGATGCCAAGTCGACGACGAAGTCACATCTTCAAACCTCTTTGTCTCATAATCACAATTATCATCATTACTTTTTCATCTTCATCATCTTCTTAATCTTCTTCTGTGTATCAAACTGTCTATTCTCTTCCTTTCCTTTCTTCGTTCTGCTTTTAGTGTTTATCCTTTGAACTCGAGTTCGAGACAATGTTCAAAAGTTTCCTTTCCATTTACGATCAAAAATGAACAATTGCTGAAACAATACTAATAAGTTTTAGATGTTTTTTGTTGTTGTAATTAATTATATCAAAGGTTGATTGTCAAAAATTAACAATTGATGAATAATAATGATGATAAAATATTGGGCAGTGTGTTAACAATTAGTGATTGATTGAGAATTGAATTAGATTCATTGATTTTGTTTTCTGAACTGGAATATGATTTATATTTGAATATAAGTGCGTGTGTGTATAAATATGATGACAATTAATTATCAATCAATCATTAATAATCCACGATTAATAATAAAACTTGTTGAATGTTTTCTTTTCCCGCCAACATTTGACATTGGATGACAAGGGAATATTGGATTTCCTGAATTGTTTACAACTGTGGAATCTTTTTTCCCATTGATTTAAAAGGTGAAAGATTGAAATCCATAAATAGCTTTCGATATATGAATGATAATTAAGATCGTTGATTGAACAGTTTCAAAGTACAGTAACCAGCTACTCCAGCTCCAACAATTAAGGTCGACCTGTTGATAATAATGAAAGAAAATAAAAATAAAAAGTTAATCGACATTAAGTTGACATACAAAAGAAAGCAGAATAATCAAAATAAATCATGATAATTCTGATGACATGGGAGAGAGAGAGAGAGCAAAGTTGAATCCATTTTCTGGCATAAATTGTTTTGTCAACTGTTCTGTTAATATTATAGATTGTTGATTGTATTAAGATGCAAAGTAGAAAACAAAAAATTAGTAAATTGTTGGCAAGTAAATTACTGCTGATCAACTAATAGCAAACTAAGTTATCAGGTTAATCTTAGGTCTAAAAGAAAACAATGTTTTCTGAAGGTTTAATATTCTTTGTATATTAATAATAAATAAATCACATAATAATAATAAACATTGAAGATAAATTGTAACAATTAACTACGAAAAAAAAAATGAATTTAGTGAATCTTGATCACAATGAACAGTTGATGCAATCAAGTTAATCAAAGTTGAAAAGTTAATGAGAGTAATTAATGTGACGGTGACTTTGAAAATGAAAAATCTTAATATGAAGGCCTCCGAAATCAAGTTATATTTAAATGATATTAATATATTATTATTAATAAATCGTCAATTTCTAGAGTTAATTATCATTAAAGTGAAATAGTGTTGATTGCCAGGGAAGGTGTTCATCATCATATGTGTTCAATGTTACGCAAATGAAACTATTATATTTTAATACTTTTGACAAAATAGACAAAGAAAAATGAAGAAGATAAAGAAAGGGAGGTGATGATCAAGACAAAGTAGATGAGGATGATGGTGATGAGGAAGATGAGGATGACAGGGATGATGATCATCATCATGTGCCAAAGATGTTTGGTAGCCAAAAAATTTGCTGGCTAAATGCGAAGGTAATGAGAGAAGAAGAAAAGTCTAAACCCAGGGAAGATGAGGAAGATGTACTAACGTCAGGAAGAAGATGATGATGAAAAAAAGGCTTAGTTCGAAGGAGAAAAAAGTTTCGAAATTAATGTTTCGAATAAATATTATGGCGAAAAGAAATTCTAATTTGGTAATCAGATGATAAAGTCGATGAATCTAATCCATTGTTGATAGAAAAGGAGAAAGATAAACTAAAGATGACGATGATGAGCAAATTGAAGATGAAAGATTTGTTTTTCTTCATTCAATTTTTATCATGCAAATGAGAAAAATATTAATATACTAAACATTATCATCATTACTAAATTACTATTAAGAACGGATAATCATGATTAGTTAAATAGTCTTTGTTAGAAATCATTGTGTTCCAGTGACAACCCTGAAAAATTAAACTTTGTTTCCATTAATAGTTGAATAAGTTAATCAATCATTCATATCAACGAACGTCACTGAATTGATGAGTTATCATTATCTAGAAATTTAAGTTAATCAAAGTTGAATTTTGATCACAATTTAATGATTAACCTTGATTTTGAAAATTCAAACGGTAAAACTTGCAAATAAAATTATTGATTATAAGTTTCCTGGTTAAACAATTAACTTGTAACAATCAATATTTTCAATCGATTCAAACTGTACAATTTGAATCCAATTAACTTACCATAAAACTAATCGTCCATATTTTGAGTCTTTAATCAAATTGTATTGGGTAATCTTATAGTTTTTATCCTTACGAAACTTTTCAATGATTTCTCGAGCTCTGTAACAATTAAAAAAAAAAGAGAGACAAACAATTAGTATTGGAAAATTGAAATGAATAGTCTAATCAAATGGGGAGGAGAAAAATGATTAATTTGCATAATTAATTGTGTCTCTTGTGAGAGTTAATTAAAACAAATGAGTGAAAATTTGCCCGGGCAACAATCAACCAAGTGATAATTAGTGTGAATCTTTTTTGGCAACAATTAACAGAATCAACAATTTTTCATTGCTACCGTTTTGAGTTGAACCCAAGTAGACATGTAGACACAGTTGAGGGTAAGAGAGAGACTCTCGAAATAATTATTACAATTAGCAATTAAGAACGATAAATTCAATTCAAATCGTAATTGCATATTTTTACCATGGTTGTTATGTGTCTATCTCTTTGTTCAGGGGGAAGAATTGAGAGAGAAAAAATCTCCATAGGAAACAAAAGATAATAACATGATGGAGCTTAGTGATTTTCTTGCCTTCGCATTGAGGCAACAAACTGGATTACAAGGTGACGATTTAGAGCGATGCGAGTTTACAGTTATATCAAGGAAACGAATGAAAATAAAAGATGAGCTATGAGAAATTTAAATACACAACTATTATCATGCTCATCATCTTCTCTTCATCAGAAACAAACAAAATCGAGTATATTTGTTTTTCTTAAATTAGAAATTGACTCTGTCAATTTGAGTGAGTTCCAAAAATAAGCAGCAAAAAAGAAGACAAAGTTTTCGATTCTCGACTTCTCGAAACTGTTGAGAAACATTCACATACATGTACATGATGATAAGGATGATGAGAGATGATAAAGGAAAAGATGAAGATCTTTTAAATTATTTACATAAACACACTAACATATATTCAAATTACTTTCTTTGTACCACCTTATTTATCATCATTCAGGATAACTGAATATTAAAACTAATATCATTTCCATAATGATGATTATAATTTTCATCTCTATACAATTATCATCCAATTGAATTAAGAACTGTTACTATTTAATCATCATTCTCATTCTCTCATCATCTCTTAATCTTAATCTTCTCTTGTTCTTTATTATATTTCCTTTGAAATTGTTTTTCTCGGTATGCGAAACTTTCTCAACTTCTATGTTACTTCTTATGCTTATTTTTGGCATAACTTTCGATATATTTACATACTTTTACTTATCCTGGAGAATATCATCTTCATCTTCTTCCTGATAATCAGTGTATGCAAATATACTGTTTGATTTGATTTTTCTCCCTTGCATGATAATCAATGGCTATTCAACAGATTGTTCATTTGTAGTTAAGCAAATACAATCATCAATATGATATTTCAAATGAATGAATCATTTGAATGGTTGATGATGGAAATGGAGATGATTCAAACTTTTATGTAAAGGAAAAGTCTGATGTGAATGAATTGACATTGACTTTTAACATTGAAAGTACGAGGTATGGGATATAAGTTTTCACTTTTTTAAGCATGAAAATTGATTAACTTACGATTTGAAGTTTCCAATTGCTAATAAGATCTCGTTTTTACTGATCGGACGAAAATCAATTGTTGTACTGTAGGAGGCGAACATCCCATAAATCTAGACAATTGTAAGGATTCAAAGTGATTAATTGTTGGGTTATAATCGATTTAATTAGATAACAAACCTGAGGTAGTGTTATGGATTGAGATGAGTCTCGACATCTAAGGACTAACCATTCAGGTCGCGCTGCAACTTGCGATTTAACTTCGAGATCCTACAATCAAAACAAAAGTAATCAATTTAATTGTTACAATATAAATTTAGTTAAGAAAATATCTTTTTACCATATAGTGAAATGCAGCTCTAATTAGATTGATTTTGTTCTTGAAACAAGCCAAAGGAGAGATAAAAGATTCCCATTGAGGTGATATTTCCTTAATTTTACTAGAGAAGAAAACAAGAGAAAAAAAAATTCGATTAATCATAAATTATTAATTACTAAGAGATTAAGATTATCCTGATAACAGAAGAGTAAGATCTTTTGCTCTACAAACAGGACAATATCAATGAACTTTATATTCCTGATTAAACCTGGATAAATTGATTGCATGATAATTGAAGCGAAATGACAAAAAAATATGTCAACAATTAAGCTGCAATGAGAATTAAATTGAAATCAATAACATTTAAATCACAGATAAAGTAACAATTAAAGCTAGTAAAATGACAGCAATTAACTTTTCGCTTGTTAAATTTGAACAGTTCACCAAGTAACTAATAATATAAACATTGAGTGAAAAAATCAACTGAAAATGTATTATAATTAACAGAGAACCTGTTGAATATGAGAGAGAGAGAGAAAGAGATCAATAAATTAATGAACTTTTTGCTCTAACTACTTAAAGCTAATTCTAGAATGTAACATGAGCAATTTATATATAATTAAGCGAAACCTAATAGTGTGATTTTAAAGTCAAAAACCAGCTAAATAAATACTGTCACCCACATTGGTGGGAGTTAATAGTTATCGGAATTGTTAATCCTAAAAGTTTAATCCATGGGGAAAGTGGATCACAATCAACAGATTTATCGGTTTCCTTTGAAAAGAAAACATCTTATACTCTCTCGGTGTTTCCTGATAGTTTCAATTGTCATCTTGATCTATGGGTTAATTGTTTCTCTTGTATTAATGGTAATTAAGATGATGATATTAACTTACTTCTCCGCTTTAGCTGTAGCTATCATTGCACAGATTCTAAGGAAAACTGTTGAGAAAAAAAAGAGATCATAATTAGAATATGTTCTTATTACATAATTATAACAATTTGAATAACAATTAAGGTGAATAAGGGACAGAGTGGGAGAAAATTGTAACAATTGTCTAAGGAAGGAAGATATATATGAATGGGAGAAAAGTAATTATGATAATAGTAATTGATTAATGATGATCGCGCTAAAAAAAGCATGAAATGATTTATGAAAGGAAAACAAGAAATAAAAACTAACTGTGGGGATAACTGATTATTTGTTAGTAATTAATAAATTACATGTTTCAGAATAATAAGATGATTGGTTAAGTATCATCATCTTAATATTAATTTTCTTCCGAATTTCGAATAACACTTTTTACTTCATGAACTAAATTAATTGCACAGAAAAACATAGATGATTGATTGACTTGTATGGGTAATCAAACTGTCAATCACTCATCAATTCGTAAGGTTGACTTGTTGATTGGTTGAGTTGATTACTTAAGACAATGGGAAAGTGAATATATCAGGGTTAAATATGAACAATTTAAAATATAAACGGATAGAAAAGTTGAAAATGAAATTAGATACTGAGAAATAGTCGCAATTAATCAGGTTAATTAGGTTGATATTTAACTTTCAATTCAATTACAATAACATCGCAAGATAAATATCAAAATTTTACACTAATCACTGAAAATAGAGACTAATTTTCTCAAGGTGAGTTGAGTTTGACGACAAAGATTTGACCTTAGAATCTAATGTGTAGACATAATCAGCGATTTCAAGTTCATTCAATTCTCTGTGAGTGTTATAATCATGAAAAAGATACTGACAGGTTTCTGAACATCGATCAAGTGTATTGATGATCATCCAGCAGAAAGAAAGTAAAGAAAGAGTTTACAGAATCAACTGTAATTTTTGGCTTCGTTAATTTAACAAATCACTTTTTTTCGAGTAAAAAAAAATATATTAAAGAAACGATGATTACGTCCTTGACCATGGAGATTGAAAGTTCAACCTTGACAAGGGTGACATGGATTCTCAATCCTTTTCCTTATACTAAAAATAGTTTTTGACCTGAAGACATATGATCAACGTCAATGATTAATTATAATCATTCATCAATCTGTAATTTTTGATTGAGTAAAAATATCTCACCATATCCAGTGGCATATGCATCGGATCCTGCATCGTGGCAACGATTAACAACATCACCTGAATAATTAAAGATTTTTGATCAATTGATTATTCAACCAGCATAATGGTCAATAATTAACTTACACTTCAAATCGTCATCTCTTAAGATTAGTGGTTGATATGGACTTTCACGAATAAATGACGGAGCGGATAATTTTCGATAAAGTTCACCCAAGTTTCGAGCTGATATATCATCCTCATAGGCTGGAAAATGCTGTAAACAATAACAATTAACGAATTAGTAATCGATTCGATATTAATAGGAACTAGTAAATCACCTTACGAATGTTGGAAATTATTGCCTTGATATCGTAGATTGAGTTGAAGTTTTTGAGTAATTGATCTTTGAATGTTTGCAAATCACCTAGAAAAGATTAAAAAAAAGTGATTAGATTTCTTATTGACATCAAAACAATTGAATTGTCACAAAGTGTTTGTATTAAGATAATAGTATATCTCAAATGAACAACAATCCTTTTGACAAGTGGTTGTTTTTAGCTATTGTTAAAACTGCTAATTAGATTAATTGTGATTAGAAAATTGTCTTTGGACATTTACCAGGCAGAGTATCTATGTAATGTTGATATAACATGACCATGTCAACCATCATGTTATTTCCGATAATGGGTTTATTTGAATCAATTAGGACTTTAACTAATCTGGATAAACCAACACAAGAATTGATTACTTCCTCTTCCTCAGCTTTGACATTGTTAAGTAATTGTTTCCTTTCAATGGGAGAAACTGAATAGACATAAACATTATCTTCCCGTAATAAGATCCAAAATGCTTTGAAATCATTTCTTAGATGATCAATGATCAAAAAATTGCTGAGTGGGTTGACAAATTGCTGGTAAGGGAAACTAGATTGTCCATATTTTCTTCCGCCTTTAACGGGAAGTGTTGCCACCCAATCACTGATGAAACCTCGAAGTTCAACCAATTTGTCCATCACTGAATGAGAAATGTCGATCCTTGTTCTATCATTCATATAGCTTTTGAATATCTTTTCTTGTGTTTCATTTAAAAATGGGATTCCAACCTTAGCAAACTTAACAAGAGAAGAAAACAAAAGAGAATTAAATTTCAATTGATTTTGGATCACAATTTTCTCATCTAAATCTTACTCTGTTGAAATCGAAACAATTTTCTGATAGAAATTCAATGGCACCAACTTCCATTGAGAAACAATTCACTTGAGGACCATAAGGTCTTGGACAGCAAAAGAAGGAGAATGTTTGAGCAATGTAACTGTAATGGAAAAAAGAACATGTTAAAATTTAGAATTTCCGACCAAAAGAGAATAGAACGAATCAAATTCTTTTTCCATGACAATACTAAACTCGTTTCTAGTTTCATGCTTGGTAAACGTTGATATTCCAAGTTGGATGGGGATGAAATTGGAAACATTGGTACGTAATTTTTTGTATCTATCTTCCAATGAGTCGAAAAGTGATGGCATGCAATTAGAATTAAAAAATAAACCAGAAAATTCAATATCAAGCGCTAGAGAAAAAAAGAAAAAAAAACAAGCGGTAAGAGTAACGGTTAAGCAGAAGAGGTTCTATTAGAAAGAAAACAGCAAAAACCCTTAAAAGAATAGGGAAATGAGATCAATGGAATCATCAATAATTGATTTCTCTTTCTCTTTAGAGGTTAACAATTTAAGAAAATCAAAATGGAGGCAATAATTGTAACCGGTGAGGGTTAGCCAAAATCAGAGGGATAATAATGACTCAACAAACTTACCAATAAAGGTACAATTTTTGATCTGTTCAACCACCTTCGGGTAAATTTGTTGGAAATTTGTAATGTCAACTTGCATTATAAAGCAATTAACTTGTTTCACAAAACAATTAAAATAAAAAGACAATAATCAAAAAGGTAAAAATTTAAGTCAAGTGAAAAAATTGAAAAAGTAACGGACACAAATAGCCAACCAACACTAGAAGGATACAGAAAGAAATGAGAGAAAGGAAAAAATTGAAAACAATTAACAATGTAAACCACACAATTAACTACATGATTAGAAGTGGGGTGTTAATAAAAGATTAAAACTATTTAAATTGTGACAATTTACTGACCAGATTAAGAAAACACTTTAATCATTGAACATTTTTTGGAAAAAAACAAAAAGCTACTTATCGATACTATCGATTAGTATCGATAATCTTAAATTCTCATTGATTAAATTTTCACTTTTTAATTATAATTTGTCTGGGAAAATAAAGTTAAATGTGAAACTTAAATAAAATTCAGTATTAAGAATAAATTTTTATTGTTAATCTAAAATAATTTGATCAAAAAATTGACACACAGCATTTTGCTGCTAAAGTGTTTTTCTTATACATATGAGTGAATATAAATTTTGTTTCTTTCGATAATTACATTTGTAAATTAAATAATTATTGGGTTAAAATGTTAAACAATTTTAGAGAGAAATTTGTGTAATTAACAGGGAAAATAATAGAATGGATAAAAATTGAAATGATCCAATTGAATTGGCTGAACTTGTATTTACTCTCCTTGCAATTGATTCAATTGCAACGATTGATTGACTCGTTGTAGGAATCAGACTGGTTGTTGTGTTAACTATAATTGTAACATTTTCCATTGTAGAGGTTGAGACAGTTGTAATTGTTTCACTGGATTTGGTTCCATCTTCCTTTCCAATGGCTCGTTGATCTCGAGAGATATCATATGCTGAGGCAATCTCGTCAGGAGATAAATTGGAATCAGATGAATTAGATTTATTATTTACTTCCTGGGTGACCACAGGCTTCGAACTTTCGTTACTTTGAAGTGGTGTTGGCGTTGCGATGCTATCATTGAGATCAGGTTTGCCAGAATCAGAAGGGTCGACAGTACTAGTACTACTATTGGCATCATTATTAGGAGCGCCACGAAAGGAATGACTATTTTCTTTATCTTTTGAATTAGCTGACGATGTGATTGGATCTTCAGTAGTTGGACTAATAGTTGTGGTTGAAGTTTCAGTGGAAGTGGTTGTGGTTGATGAAGGTGTAGTTGTTGGTGTAGGTTCAGTAGTAGTGGTGGTAGGGGGTTGTGTTGTAACGGTGGTTGTAGTAAAAGGAGTAGTAGTCGAAAATACAGTTGTAGTTGATGATTGCCGCGATTCATCTTCCTTATTAGATGCACCATGATTATCATCATGATCTTCAGGCCATTCATCGGTTTTCGATAATTCTGTTGTTGTAGATGTTTTCAATGCTTCTGTTGATTCTGATTTCTTATCCATGGGTGATTCTGTATTCGAATTCTTTGTTGTTTCTGGCGATTCACTGGTAAATGATGTTGATGACGATGTTGTAGTTGTTGTAGGTGTTGAAGATTGTATTGCAGTCGTTGTTGTCTCAGAGGTTAAATCTACTGTTTTATCAATAGAGAATTTTGTTACAGGACGCAACCAATCAAATCCCAGCATACCTGATGATACGGCAATCCAATGACTGAAAATAAAGATGTAAATAGAAGGACGTTTAAAAAAGTTCGAAAACATGATTAACAAAATTAACTTGGACACAAGAAAATAAACACAAAACTATTAGGATAAAAAGGAAACAACTAAAAAATGGGATAAAAATTAAATGACGAAGATGATTTCGTTCAGCTAAATGAATTGTGAGGACAATTGAAGATTGTTCAGGATTAAATACATAATTTACATTAGCAAGATGATCGTTTTAATCAATTCCCAGATGACAACATAGGAAATCTAATTGGTTCCGGAATCATGTTTAAATCAACACAACCAATAAAAATTTTCTAAAAAAGGAGATACATTTTTCAATCTCTTTTCATTGGTGTTTACTTGGTCTGATTTTTACCTGTCTCGTGTCTAAAGATTACTTAACTTTGATTCACCTTCATCTTTCAATTAAGAGAAACAAGAACAACATTCTTACCTCAATTGTCACCGTTAACATACAACAATTAACAGTTTCAATGTTGATTCCTCATTTTCCTTGTCCAATGTTTGCTTTTCCTTCATGACCAATATTTTGATGTTTTCCTTTGAAATTTGTTCACTTTAATTACCTGTGACTTGTCTACTTCAGTAATTGTTTAACCAAGAATTTACAATTAACTTGGAATTTGAAAACAATAGTTTGTTTTGATCAGTCAAATGGTACCGGTTGTTGTTGCAATAGAAATCTGGTTACGTTGTTTATCATTGGAAAAGTGATTTAATTTTGTTTGTTATTCCATCATTATTGATATCAAATGTAAACCAATTTAAGAGGAGAACATGTTGATTGTCCATTTATTTTGGTGATTCGATTAATTTGGGTTGGAATTTAATAAATTTAACAGCGTCCAATCTCCTTTCAATTTCCTTCTTCAGACTTTTATGTGCATCTATTCCGATAGGAAAGTGAGGCCCTCGTCGATTCTTCAAGGTAAACCTCATGATTTGTCTTTTAGCGAACAAGAAAAGTAAGATGAAAGCCTAAAAATTATAAAGATAAGTTAATTAATTAGCGAAAATAATCAGAGTAAAGAAAATAACAAAAAGTGAAATTGAAAAAAAACAACAAAAGTAAAGGAAAATAAACAAAGGCAACAATCAAATAATTACCATGATTCCCACAGCAACAACCATGATAATAGTAAATCCTGAAAGTTCATTACTATCCGCCATTTTTATTAAATTTCAGAAAAGAGTAAAATTTAATTAAATCCAATGGAATAACAATTAACAATTAGAGTTTTTTTCACTTCAATCAAAACAAACACGAAAGACAATCAACGCCCTCGATCGGCGATTCACTAAACCAATTTTATTTTCTTTTCTTTTCTAAATTAATCAAATTAATCTTCTTAACCTTTAACCTTAAATTACACACTAATTAACACTGTTTCTAATTAAATTCAACTGTAATTTCCCAGAGTCCACCAGCAAAGTTCCAATTAGAAAAAGTTAATTAATTAAAATCTCTGTTGAAAACAGAAAATCACATCAAATGTCAAGAGAAAAAAAAGAAAAGAGAAAATGGAAAAAGTTATGATTATGATCGATAGATGGCGAGAAGTGATCGTTCTTTTTGTCATATCAATTGTTTTGGTAAACTGACCTGATAAATCTTGATTTAATTAAATTTACCTGGGAATCTTAAAAGTTAATTTGGTTTTATTAGTGTTTAGCTAATTACAAGGATCAGGTTGATACCTAGATTTCAACAATTCAACCGTCACTTATATTGTTCCAGACAATCTTAGGACTGGACCGTTAACGAATCACAACCATGTGTTTTCTTGGTAAGTTTTGTTAATAATTACATGTATTAAAAAAAAAATTTAATTTAATTTCTAATTTTCTTTTATTTTTAATTTTAATTTTTATGTCATACCTAATGAGCCAACCAATTTGGACCTTTGGACAATCGCCATAATTTTGAAAAGGACTCTGGTCCGAGGAAAATATTTTAAGGAGAAAAATTTTATGGAAAATAGCCTTTTATTGGGATTAGGCGAATAGAATTTTTGTGAATTAATTAATATTTTATGTAATTCGACCTCAGGGGAGAAAATTTATTATTTATTATTTATTATTTTCTTTTCTTTTCTTCGTCCATTATTCCCTTCCTTGTCTCTTATTTCCCTTTCCCTGGTACGGTCGTATTTGCCGGAAACGATGAATTTTCATTCATCGAAGCCTCCCCTGAGGTCGCTGTTGAAGCTTAAAATAAAAATTGTGTTGCAATCGGTAGATGATCAATCCAATGGGTGTTGTTATTTTCATCTTTAATTAATTGTTCTCAATTAGTCCAATTTTTTCACCTTATTATCTTGGTGTTAATCAACGACGACTTTATTCAGTTAATCAACAGTTGATCACGTTTATCATCTTATTCACTCCAATTGCCGGGTTTTCCTTTACCATCCAAGTTAACAGTATTTTTATTTTTTTCTCTTTTTCTTCCCTGTGATTCAATTGATTGAATTTTCTCATTACACTCATTCAATTCTCTCTCTTAATTCTCATTCATTTTTTCTCTTGTCTTTTATCTTCGTCTTTCATCAACCTCTCTTTCTACTTTTTCTTTTTCGTTTGTCTTCTCTCTAACTTAATATTCTCCATTTAAATGTCTCCATTCCCCTTCGTTTTTTAATCTATTCAATATATAAATTTTGTTCTTTTTCTGGTTATTCTACTTCTATTTATCTCTCTCAGTGTGTTTACCTTTCTTGTGTTATAATAATTTTCTCAATTCCATTGGTTTAGTGACTATATTTATTTCTATATTATTATTTTATCTCTTTTGAATTTCACCCTTTTCTCTCTCTCTCTTTCTCACTTAATCTCTCTTTCTACTTTTCTCATCGTCATCACTCTCTTTTTTTTCTAAAACCTCTTAGTCTCTTTCTTTCTTTATCTCTCCTTCGTTTCTATCATCAATCTGTGTTCAGTGTGTATACACTTTTTGCTCCCTCACTTATAAAATTTTTCTTCTATTCTCTTGATTCTCTCTCTCTCTCTCTCTCTCCTCCTTTCCCTCAATCCTGTTGTTTGATATTATATTATTATTATTGTTCTAATTTGTGATTTGTGATTACGATTAATTAATAGTATTTCAACCTTAATTCTATTGAGAATCACATCGTTATTTATACTATGCCATCTGAGATGAACAAAGTTGAAACTGAGTTGAAGACATGGGTTGATGCTTTAAGAGAAGACGATGATTATGAGTATGAGTCTTACGATGAAGATCCAATTATAAATCAAATACTTCCAACAACATCAGCAAACACCGATGGAGATAATGTCCCTTTCAAATATGACGATGGTAAGTATATTCTAAATGGATTCTATCTTTATTTTCGTTGTTTTCATCTCAACCATAATCTCTTTCTGTGATCTCTTGTTCTCTATCCCATAACTTACCCCTCGCCTCCTTAAGATTCAGGTCCAGATACCTCGAACATCGATAACAGTGATTTCAAACAATTAACTTTACTTCACTCGGGCCTTATCCATTTTACATCTCGTCAAAAGCCTTCCTTACCATCAATGGTTTCCCAACGACAAATTGGTTCTCTTACAACCAACGTACCCCGTTATTCATCACCCAATTTAACCAAATCATATAAATGCCTGTTATCGGAGAAATATTTACCTCGTCGAATAAGTAGACTTGACAATTATTCGAGTAAAGCTTTTTGTGGTTTCTACTCTAAAGAGGGAGACATGTTTCTAACCGCATGTCAAGATTATAACATAAGGATATATGATACCAAGAATGATAATTTTAAGTTAATGAAAACTGTTTGGGCTCGAGACGTGGGTTGGAGTGTATTGGATGCTGACATGAGGTAATAATCCAAAATGGTTATTGTGATAATTTAAATCTATTTCTTTGGATTATTGTTTTGTGTGTTTTTGTTGATCTCTTCGATCGATTGACTAATCTACTTTTGTGCTCTTTTCTCTCTCTCTCTCTCTCTCTCTCTCTCTCTTTCTCTCTTTCTCTCTCTTGGTATCACCATTCACAGTCCTGATGGGAGACATTTTGTTTATTCAAGTTGGTCAGAATCACGTGAGTCAATTGTTACAATTAAATTAAAACCTATTATAAGTCCTCAAGTATTATATCAAGATAAAACGTGAAAAGGTTTACAATAATCAATGAAAAAATCAACAATTTATTAAACTCAATCGGTGTTGAGAAGCAAAAACTTACAATGTTTTTATGTCGTTGTACTTGATCAACCTTTCACTAATGATTTTAGTATTGATTTAATCCCGTTTTCTCATTTAATCATTTTTCCAATTAATCAGTTTCATAATTATCATGATAGTTTTTAATTCATCAAGTCTACATGTACCTGTCTGAATTTTTAATTTTCTATTTGTACTCAACTTGTAGTTTTTTTTTATTCATTTGTAACAAATCAACTAACAATATTCATTAGATTTTAAAATAATTTAACATTATCATGATTGTTTTTCATGATAATTGATCACAATCAGTATTAATGAGCTTTAATTTTAATTTTCTAATCAGTAATTATCACATTTATATAAATTTTCATTACTTTTTTTCATGATACGAACAGTTTAACTAATTATCAATGATCTCTTGATTTTTCTGCCTCTTTTTTTATTATTGTTTTCATTACAAACACTTTTTGAACAGTTAATCTAACTAATTATGATCACCTTAGTGATTGGTTAAATCACAATTAACCTTACTAAACGACTTATTTACGTATTAAGTACGTTTCAAGTGATTTAGTTAATCATCTATCAAATCAAGTGCATCATTTACTATTATGCAAACTTTCACATTAGTAAATCTCTTTAATTGTGATAATTAATACAATTAATCTACCACATTAGATTAACTTTACGCTGTTGATGAAACAATAATTAGATTCTCTGTCAAATTGTCCGAAGATTTTTATTAATCAATTTAATCAAAAAAAAGTTTAACATCGTAAAAATATTGATGTTAATTGTCAATAAACGTTGCCAATATTATAAAATTATTATTATATTTATCAAGAAGGTTAATCATGATTAGCTGATTGTTACTCTGATTGTGCACCTCATTTTAATCATCATTAATCATCTCAGTAATTGCTTTGTTTTTTTTTCTGTATCAGTCTATCAATTTAATTCCTTTTGCACATTTGAACCAATTTTGATTTAATTGTTACTTAAATTGACCACCTATCATTAATAATGATGATTCTCGTATAATCAATTTAATGCCCTTCTAATTTTAATAGTACATTATCATCAATCAAACTAGAGCAGTTAATTGTTAACATTACCTCTTATCATACTTTAATTATCATGATTATTAATTATTATCAATGTTTTCCTTTAACTGGATATGTTATTCAAGTAACTCAAGACTCTCTTACTTATGATTTAACACTAATTGAGTTTTCCCCCTCTTATCATAACTTAAAACAAGCCAACAATCAACAATGTATATACACAAATTTAATCATTGACAATTAACCAGTAATCCTTTTCTTTCCTCCTCAATTATTTAATCAAGTACTACAATCCATTTTCAAACGATTAACTAATCAACCTCTCAATCATCAACATCAAATCCAATACGTATTCAAATAATATCATGATGATGAAAATGATTCTTCAATCATTCTAATCATGTTAACAACAACAATAACAATTTACCTACAGTTGAAAAAGTTTCCCAGGTAATGGTTAGTGATTAGAGCTTACAACAATCAGCTAATTATTTCACACTTACTTTGTAAGTCTGAAATGATATCAATGACATTTTTTCACTTTTCAGTTTATCTTCCCATGTTGGTTACCTTGTACACTAAAAGAGAGGCATTGAAATAGAAAAAGGTACAGAAAGAGTGAGAGAGTTAGACAGAGATGATGATGATGATGATGATGAAGACACACCATAAGGTTAACACAGTAACATAGTCTATTCCTGTTTTCTTGCTTCATCGTCTTGAGTGAGTACATTTGCACTAAGACGAATCAAGTACAATAGGTAAACAGTAAACGATTTCAATTTATCACTTTTCCATCATCATCATCATCATCATCATTTCATGACACTTATTACTTCATTTGTGAATCAATTAACCAATCAAGTTGTAAAAAATAATCTACACCAACGTGTATTTTTTACTTCCCAAATTAGATTGGATAATTAAAATTGATAGTAAACAAAATTTGATGATCATTTTTTAAACAAAGTAACAATTTTTGTTTTTATATTGATACGAGACTTTACAATTAATTGATTGTGATTCGTTTTTTTATTACTATTTGTGAGATTATATGGGTTTTAGGATGATACTAAATATTGAAAATTGAAACATTTAAGCCATAAAAGTACATTAAACTTATATAGTAAAAACATATAATACCCTTAGGTTATTATTTGCCAATGTTATAAATTATTGTTGTAATTAATTGTTAATAATAATCTTTTTGATTGTTATCTTTATCATTACAATCCCATGAGGAGTAAGATATAAATCTTTCATCATCCTTAGCCTGATCACTAAGTGAGATGATGATAATAATAATAGTTTTCATGGTAACAATCAAATTAAAACTTGATTTTAATTAATGGAAAATAGTTAATTAATTAAGTGAAAAAAATCTAATCAATTTACCAATATTTTTGTTTCTTCTTTCAACAATTACCTCTAATAATCTGAAGATAATAATATTTCATCAAATTTTATCAAATTTTATCCAAAATTGTCATGATATTTTCTCATCACAACTAATTGAATCAGAATCTATCTGATGATGACATTCATGAACAGGAATAAAGTGATGAAAGGGAAGATGATAATTGTTATGATCAACTTTTTCTCAATCAAAGCTCATCCTTGATTGATAATCAGTGCACTGAAGATTCATTGGATTGCTCATAATTAGCCTGAGGGAGTTTCACGTGATATTAACGTTCGATTACCTTTTTAATTAATCTAACTGGTTATCTGAGAATCCATAGTATCTGTTATTTTTCAAGTTCTAGAGAACTCTAACTTTTTCCCTCTCTTAATATTGATTCTATTCCAACTTGATATTATCTCTCTTTCATTTTGAATCGAATCAATTTCCTTAAATTGATTTTCCCTCCCACCCATTGGCAATCAATCAAACATCATCTCTATGTAAATTGACGATTAAAATTTAATTACGAACCTTTTTTTGTCCAATCTAATCTTCCAAAACTCTGATCCCTTTCATTGTTTATCGTTTATTAATATTTATTAATCACTGAAGAATTTTTCTATTTCCTATCAGAATTTAATATCTATTCTGATTATATCATAATAGTGATTATTACCCAATAATTTAAACTTTAATTATTTCCCTCCTTCAATCAGTCAAAATTATGATTGATTATTGACCTGTCAAAGATTGACGATTATTTTACTTTAAATGTTGCAACTTAATTAAATTTGCTCAATTGATGAGCATCAAAATTCAATCAAAAACTTGGTAAAACCTAATTTACTTAATTAGTTTACATTAATTAAGTAATCATAGCTTAAATTTTTACATTGAACTTGCTCATTGGTAATATTAATATTTTCCAGTCTCTATACTATTGTATTAATATTAAATTATTACTAATAAATTATGATAATATTTTGATTCAGTTATTGGCATCTCGGTGCAATTGAACTCATCATAAGCTGGATAAGTAAGAAGCAGGAATAGACCCTGAAATATAGTAAACATCATGTTTATGATACAAATTATATTAACTTACTGAATCACTGTTGATTGTAACAATTTACTCAACGTCAATCAGGATAAACGTTGAAAATCAGATCCATAGTTTTATTGAATCAATAATTATACAATCAAATCATTTATAGACTCAAATAGTTTTGAGTATGGTTACTAATTGTCGTCATTTGATTTAATTGATCATTTTTTAAGTTAATATTACTTAATTGTTAACTTGACAATCATCATTCCAATGGTCATTTGAATACCATTGCTATTATTGTCTTTTGATTAGTATCTAAATGATGATTAATGTTGTTTTTAATTTGGATTTCAATTAGTAATTGTTGTTGCTAGTTGTTAATTGTCATTAATTAAAATCCATATTAGTTGTACAGGGTTTTTTTAATTGCTTAAGTGCAATCAGTACAATCACCTTGACAATCAACTAACTTTATTAATTACCCTTCTGATCACAATCGTTTCCTTATAATTAATTGACTCTTTTAATTAATATCAACACTATGATATTTAAGAATTCAAAATAATTTAAACTAAGATTAATTTTAATTGTTACAAGATTCTTTTTGTAATATAATTTTCCCCTCTGATTGTATTGATTTACCAATTGATCAGTTGATCTATCATCTTAATCCTCTCAATAATTAATGTTTAAGTCATTATTTAGTGTTGCCATCCTTGGATCAACTAATTGTTACTGTTATCATCATGATATTGATCAACAATACGATTAATTAATAAAGATGATGATCAAAACATAGAGAATGATGATAATTAAGTGACAAAGACAGTTAACAATTAATATATTCTACTTGTAGATTTTATCATTCCATCAAACTGATGATGATGACGTCTTTTTATCATCTTGTTGAGATTCTTAAAATTCAGTCAACACCAGAATCTCATGATAACTTGGGTGTCTTTTTTCAGACTAATCCTAATCCCTTAGGAACCATTAATCTGCCAGCAATTTATATCTATAGTTTAATCAACATTGTTGCCAGTATTTTGACCTAATTTGATAACATCCCATCAAATTTAGTCTTAATTGTAAGCCTCATCAAAGATACTTTGATTTGATTTGATTGATAATCAAAAGTAAATGAGAAACTTATCGATTAATTTATCAAGTGATCTTTTTTTTTACTGTAACTTGATTATATTTATCTAGTCCATTAATTGTGTATTAGATGATAATTTATTTTGATATTTGTTATGTTTGCCCTGACGTTTAGTTTTTATTACAGTTTAGCTTAATTTCACTAATCATCAAGCTCAATTTAGGTTCATGATAACTTATTATTTGTATTATTTTTTTTATCATCTTTGTGTCTACACAACTGAAAATGAAAGGCAAATTTGGACTTGTGTTAATTAACTGTCAATAAGTTGATTGTAGTCTTAATTGTCACAATATATCAAGCTTAACTAACAATGGATCTGTTGATCATTCACACATTTAGCTTCATTTAATTGATGTTTCTGTAAAAATCTTCAAGCGTCATGTATTTACCTGATGATATAGTAATTGTTATCAGTTATTATTTAATTACTCAAGTTTTATTTTATAATTGATATTAATTTCTCTCTTTCTCTCTCTTTATAATTTGACCATAGTTCACATTTGTAACGTTCATGGAGAGGAGGTTCATGAATCGTTGGCACTCAATCCCAATGATAGACTATTTTGTATATTCAGTTTACGATTCAGTCAAGATGGACGGGAAATCATCGGTGGAGCTAATGATGAATGCATGTATATTTTTGATCGTCAAGCCAACACCAGAACCCATCGGATACCCTGTCATGAAGAGGATGTTAATTCAGTTGCATTTGCTGATGGAACCTCTCAAATATTATTCAGTGGTGGTGATGATACTTTAGTCAAGGTTTGTGATGATTTGTTATCATCTTTATAATTGTATAAATTATCATCTTTACTGTTTGTATAATCTTTTCACTGTTTCCATAGGTTTGGGATCGACGTACAATGAATGACTCTAACCCTAAGCCCGTCGGTGTTTTTGTTGGCCACGTTGACGGAATCACCTACATTGACCCTAAAGGTGATGGTCGTCATCTGGTTTCTAATTGTAAAGATCAAACAATTAAATTATGGGATATGAGAGTTTTCTCACCTCCAAGTGAAGTGAGCAATTCTAAACGTAATATAATCAAAAGTGAATGGGACTATAGATGGCAAGCATTACCTAAGAAATGTAAGTCTCTTAATTTTACAATTAGCAAACTTCCTTCTAGTTTGACTACTAACTGTAATTAAGATTAATCTCCTAGACAAATAATTGTACAAACTTGAATATGGATTATTATTTCATCTAATTTAATATCTCTTTTCCTTTAATAATAACAATTGGCTTGTTGAAATCTGAAAAATATTTAATCATCAACAATTAACAGTATTGGTGATTAGTCATATTTGTAGAATTACAATTTTGACATTGATCAATTCCAATTGGAAATTTATAATCAATCCGATTGGGATTTTATTTCTACAATCAGTTGATTTATCTTGAAATGGTTTTTCATAATTTAATTTTCTGTATCCACAGTTACCTCATCTGATTGATCATTATCATTTACAGTATTGATTGATACAATTATGCAATCGTGATGAAATAATAATCCATTCATTTATTTTACTAATCTTTTGATATTTTTCATGATGATATTGATACTTTTCTGTTATTAATAAATTTTCCAGTACAAGTCGCAAGGAAACTTGATGGTGACACTTCATTAATGACTTATCGTGGACACAGTGTCTTACAAACACTGATAAGGTGTCATTTTTCACCTTTACTGACCACTGGTCAGCGATATATTTACACAGGATGTGCCTCTGGACGAATGATAATTTACGATGTACTCACTGGTAAAATAGTTCGGAGCTTCATTGGACATAAAGGTTGTGTTCGAGATGTATCTTGGCATCCATATCTCCCAGAGATTATCAGCAGTTCTGTAAGTAAATCTAATCTTGGAAACGAATGTTAATCATCACAATCAAATGCTAATTTTCTGTTCTTTTAATTATAGTGGGATGGATCTGTAATCAAATGGTATTTCTCTGAAGAAACCGAAGCCGAATCGAGTGCAGATAACTGTAAATACGTGAAAAAATTGGGACGAAACTCTGGACGAAACAAGACACTTGAGGACATTCCGTTGTAACATAATTATCATTATAACTCATCATCATTACTAATCACAATTAATTATTCATTTAATTAGTATAATCTACACACAACTATCACATTTACACAAAGATTCATACACATTAACACACAACCAACACCAACCACATGAAACAAAATAAGGAATCAAAGAAATTACAACAATTAAATTAATTATACCAAACTTTTTCCTCTCTCTCTCTCCATCTTGCTATCCACTTTAATCAACTAATCACAATTTAGTTAACACTTTCAACACTGTATTATATTGTAATATGATAATCAAAACAATATAATTGATATCATTCTGTTGAATTAAATTTTAATTGTTTCCAATCAACTAATATAATTTATACAATAAAAAACATAATGATTAAAATGATTGTATCTAAATTTGATTTGTTTAAACGTTTTTTTTATCCTTAATTGTGATTTACATGAATTAAATCAAACGTTATAATCGAGATTAATTATTGCTTTTGATTTTGTTTTGCAATTTATTTATTTTATTAATAAACTAAATCATAATGTTAATACATTATCATTATTATTTTGTTTGATAAGTAATTGAATTTGTGTAGTAATTGTTAATTGTTGGATGATAATTGTTGTTTAGTTAATGACGAGTATGATGATGATGATGAGTAACAACAATCAAAGACAAATAATTACGAGAGGGATCAATGGTGATAACGTTAATCACTTGTTTAGTCATTGATCTGGTTGTTGATCATTTCTATTGATCATTTCTGGATTTACTTTCTAATTGTGATGATTAAATATAATTTTGTTTTATATGTATGCATATATATAGCAATCAAGTTAATCACAATTAAGATGAAGACAAAAATAAACATGAAAAGAAAATGTTTCTCAAGTAAAAAGCTACAATCAGGAAATTAAAGGAAACAGTAATGAAGCTCCTTTTTTGATTATCATTGAGGTAAATTTGTCAACAATTAAAGATGTTGATCTACAATTTGATCAACTTGTCAATTGAGATATAAATTGAAATGCAAGTTATATAATTGCTGAAGGAAGATAGTAAAGGTCGGTGGTGAATTAATGATTGTAATTAATGGAGGATATTATGAAGGATTAGAATTAGATAATTCTAATTGTATTTTTATCGTTGAGACCAATTTATGATTCACTTGAACAGATCGCACAACGAATCGGCTTATCGATCAAATTGATGGAATGAAGTTTAATCCATCGGTTATTGTTATCGTCATATTGGAGTACTTGGAGAGTACAGTTTTCGAAGATCGCTTTTTCCACCAGATACAATTTCGAGTTAAGAACCAATAGATCGACTCGTGGACAGAGCGAGTGACTTGCTCCACCATCGGGTAACCAGTTATTCCAATTAGCCAGAACACCGTCCGAACCATCTTTCGGGTTAAACCAATAGAATTGATCTGGTGCGGAAAAGTTTATTAAACGATCTTTGTAAGCGATAAGCGATTGACTGTTATCGATTTTCTCTGGAATTGGAGTCAAGTTTTTCCATGATTGGTTAATTGGATTGTAGGCTAATCCAGTTTTCACGAAAAGTATAAGACCTTCATAGGCTAGGATAATGTCGCCTTCCATTGCGACCCATTCGTAGACAATACGAATCGGGGTTACAAGGTCTTTAATAGGATCGTATTTATGTAAACTGTATGGACCATTATCACGGAATCCGAGGAAGTATATGAATTGGCCAACAACGCAGACCGATGAGATGATAAGGTCAGTAGGCCAACAGTTTTTAGTTGACCAAAATTGATGTTCAAAATTGTACATTTCAACTGATCGACCAAAAGAGTTTGGATGTCCAATAACATAAAGATTATCCTCTATGTTTACACAAAGAAAAGTGGGTCGAGATTGTATTTTCAGGCTAATACCCGTTTCCATGTCAATTTGATGAATACTGTATTCCTCTGGAATTTCTGAACGTCCACGAGCCAGAATGTACAAGTATGTCGATGTAGGAACGGCAGTTGAAGCACCCGAAGAGGCAACAGCCGTGGTCGATGAAAGCAAAACAGCCTCAGACAAATTGGATGAAATGGAAATGGATTGGGACATTATGAGTGAATTCTTGTATTCGTCGATAATATCCCGACATTCGAGACTGTTTCGTACCAATCGTTGATTTCCAAGTTCAATCAATTGTTCTGGAGATAATTTATCAAGTTTGATATGCCTTAAAAGGCCTGGTAGGTAAAGCGATCGATCTTCACGGAATTCTGTCCATCGAAGGATACTTTTGGCCAGAGCATATTCCATCATTGAACCATTTCGACTCATGGTAATTGTTTTGATCAAACTTTCATAAGGAAGATCAAGTAATGATTCAGAAGAGAAAATTTCCTCTGCAAAGCGAAAAACCATTTGCTTGAGACAATCAAGTGATGCTTGGTCATTAGTGACTCCAGCCATGTTTACCATGTCCATGACATTTTTCAAGATAACTTCCATCATGTTAACTGGTTCATCAATCCTTTTAACCTCAGTTGGAATCGATTTAAGATAATCTGGTTTATTGTTATTATTATTGTTCTGTTCAGTTGCCATGGGCTCAGAGGTATTCGATTCAAGAGTTGCCTGGTGGTTACCAGATGAGGGAATAGCCGTTGTAATTTGAGAAAGAATAGGAGGATAATTAACTGGACTGAAACATACTGGTGAAATTTGAGGACCTTCCATGATCGCCTCAAAAGAACTTGAAGAACTGGAACGAGAAAGATGCATGTCTTGAGGGAAAATCTCAGAAGACATTTTATTTATGTTACCACCAACCATGTTTTCATCCCAAAGCGAAGATGCTTTTTTCTTGTCAATAACTGTTCGCATTGAAGCTTTGTACCATGGAACATTTTATGCTCAACCGAAGCAGATTCATCTTCCTCATGGCTTTTTACCAATAAAACTTCCGAGTCAATTGACTCAACAATTGCAGACAATTTAAATGGCTGCTTGGATCGAATCGCAATAACTTGAATGTGAGCTTCAGATAAACAATTATTTGAATCTTCCATTGTTTTATTTAAATTCACAGTCAAATCAATATTAATCACACAATCAAAAGTAATAAGAAACAATAATAATTCTAATTAGCCAAAACCCAAAAGAAAAACACAAATAATCAGAAGTGAAAACAAAGAAATGAAAATATTTCCTTTGTTATTTTTACGTTTTAAAAATAATCGAATTTAGTAAACAATTTCCAGCGACATCTGGTGGTTCAGAATAAAACTTGAATTCGATGGGATCGGATCCAAGAAGCGAATCCCAGTTGAGATGTTTTCCTTTTTTTGTAATGGAAGAAAATTAATTGTAATCATGTTAATTTAATTGTTCTTTTGACATTTAATTTTGTACGATCTTTGTTTCGTTTCATCTTTTTTTCTGTGATCAAAAGGTTTGTCTTTACTGTTTTGTTTTCTAAGCTATTGTGATATTTGTGTATAATTATTGTGTATTTAACATCGTCATCATCACCAACAACAACAACAACATCAAAATATCAACAATGTTTAAAAGCTTGAAACAAAAATTGGAATCTGAAAAGGTTGAGACAAGCAGTTTGTCATCAGAAAGTGATGTAACTGTCAATCCATCGACATCATCATTAAATCAATTTGATGAATCATTGAACAGTAATCATAAAAAAAGTAATTCTAATTTATCTGGTGAGAATGAAGGTAAACGGAATAACACTAATGGTCATGAGAGTATTTTAAAATGGATGATGAATAAATCTTCATCTTCTTCTCAGGATATAAGTAGCTTAAATCAACGGTCAAATACAACGACAACATCTACTAATTTAACTTCTTCATTAAGGCCTACTTCAAGATCATCTGTAACTCTAAATGAATCGTCCTCTTTTTTAACCTCTACCAACAATGATTCTCAGAATGAGGAGAAATTACAATGGGAAAATGTTCGACTAAGAGAACAAGTGAAATTATTATCGAGAAAAATTGAAGCTGCTGATACAAATGATGGTAAACCAGTTGATCAAATTGATGATAAACTTCTTAAAATGGTTGCTGAATTGATTGCCAAAGAGTCGAGTGAAAATAATCAGCCAAAGGAATCAAATGGTGCTTTCAAATCGACCTCAGGAAATTGGTCTTCTCTCTTGTTACCACCAATTAGTCAAATAAACAACATAACTGATGATCAACATAAACAAGAAATTGATAAATTACAGAAACGAATTAATGAATTGGAAGAATCTTTAAGAGAAAAAAACAAAACTATCAGATTACAACAACAAAGGATAAACGATATAAGGAAAAGTTTTCAGAAAGGATCAACTCTTGATAATAAATTGTTTGATTTTCCAGGAAATCATAATGATAACGAATCAACAACAACAACTGATGGCTCATCATCAAACAATTTGACAACATTGAGATCTGAAAATGGTTTTATTGATCATCAACAACAACAACAACAAGTTAATCTACCAAATCATAATCATTCTAATAATCATTCTCATCATCACCAACGTCAACTTTCCGATTCTCAATCTCCTCTTAATTGTCCAATGAACAATATTAGTTGGCAATATTTACGATCGGTCATCTTTAAATTTGTCCTAACTTCGGATTATGAGGCTCAAAAGCATTTGGTCAAGGCGATTTCAATGATTCTACAATTTTCCGACGCCGAAGAGAAACAAATTAGAGACAGTTTAGAGCAGAAAGTTTCATGGTTTAAGAATCTTCCTCTTCTTGGAAATGGATTTAAATACAACAATCAACATAATAATAATAGTAACAATTCAAATCACCATTGATTAGATAAGAATCGACTTTTACATTTATATTTATCAATCGGACTTGAAATATGATCCAAATTGTTACAACAATTAACTTGCATTTTCATTTTCATCGGCACCCTTTACATGATCATCGCTATTTAATGATAACCTGGACCATTCCCGTTTAATTATCCAACTATACGAATCAAATTAAAACAGATAGAGACCATTTTTATTTAGTGAAAGAATCAACATCATCATCATCATCATCAATTAACCTTGATTCCTCATGATTTAACAAAGAAAACACAGTTAATTGTGTGTGATTAACAAACCATCAAGTGTCCTTCTTGCTCACTTGTGTTTTAATCTAATTTATTTTATCGATTACAATTATTATTGCTATTGCGAGAGTAGCCTAAAAATGAGATCTCATACTTTTAAGCCCAACAATCAACTGATTGTTGATACTCTTGGTTGATAATTTTGTTTTTTTTTCAACGAAAACACAAACAGGCAAACAACAAATAAATCACAATCTATTATTATTATTATTATATCAGATTTACTATTTAAATCATTAGCATGATGATGATGATCAAATCAATTCTGATTCTGTTTTTCTAACTTTGCAATAATAAAATTGATTTAAATTCTAATCGAATACTCGAACTCATTTGGTTAATCCCTTTAACTATTATTTTAATCTTCATCTTGAGTAACTTATAATCTGATGGGAACAAAAAAAAAGATTCTAATCCAATTTAATCCCAATCGAAGGGAAAAGACAAAATTAACTTGATTAACTTTTGATTAGATTAGAAGTTCTCAGTTGAATGACATTTGGGTCTATTAATTTAATTCTTAAATTGAAGATAATTAAACAATCCAATTTTTGTAATCCGAATTTGAATTGCTTAGTCCTGATTAACTTTTTCCATATAACATTCAAGATCTTCATGATAATCAATTGAGCATTTAAATTGTTCACTATAAATAGAATCAAAGAAATTAACAATTCGAATCAATTAGAAATTTAATTTGCGAAAGAAAATGAGTGAGATTGAGCCGATTCCTCGGAGATTTTCATCAATTAGCTGGATTAAGATCTAATCAAGTCGGCATCTTGAATCGGCAAGGAATATGTCGACCCTAAAATCGACCTCCGTCAAGTGTAAAACAAACAAATTTGGAGTTCGAAAATTTCTGGTTAGGCCACAATCGGCGATCGAAGTTTTCTTTTGTCATAACGCGCTAAATTAGCAAAATTTCATCGAAATGTCCAAAATAACCAGCGAAAGTTTGACCCGTTCCATGATCGTAATCAATAAAATTGTCATGTTAAGAATTTAAATTTGATTAGAAAAAATCATCAATTAAATAAGTTTAATTTGTTTGATTTTAAATTGAATTTGTCTCGTTCGAGAACATGGTAATCAGTATCTCATATGAGGTCAGGTTGAAATGTCAACTGATTGTTAGAATTTTAATTTGATATTATTTATATAAATAAAAGTAAATTACTATCGAAAAGTAGTAAAGTTGTATGTGTGTTTGTGTAGGAGAGAAAAAGGTGATAAATTCACATTGTTTCCAACAATTAGTAAATTTGGATGGGTTTAAATGCAAATTCAATTGAGATTGATTGTTACTTAAATAATCAAAATCATTGTGATGGTTTAGAAGAGATTAAGCCATGGCCATTTTTTTTTAACTAAAGAATAATTAAAAGAAACAAACAAATTAGCACAAGTGAAATGATGAATTGTAATCGAAAACAAAATAGATTCAAATGATTAACCTTTAAAACTTTGGTGTCCCCTCGTCAATCTGATTATCACATTTACACAATTTAATATAAAAAAGTCTTTATACAATATTATTCACTGATCGGGAGTCACCAATTCCTCCTTTTTGTATTGATGTTAATTTAACATCAGGTCCGTCGTTATTATCATCATCATCATCGGAATTATCGATATCCGCTATTTCCACATTTATCTCTGAAAGCGGAATCTCAAGTAGTTCACATTCAGCTGATCCTTGATCGTTTCTTGGTCGACGTCTAATTGCCGTAGGTCCATTTTCACCATAACCTTTATAAACACCGTTGTGGATGTTTAACTTTGTTAGCGTTTCCTTTTTGGGACCACAACAAGTTTGTGCGGCACAACTTGTATTCTGAGGGCAGTCGAGAACACAGTTTTCTTCATCTTCCTGGTTAAACGAAATTGGAAAATGAAATGAGAGATTAATAAGATTGTCATAATTGATTGAAATTCATTTAAAATTGTTCAATGAAATTAGATTTTCCAAAACGATAGTGTTATTTTTTTCTATCTCAAGGATCAAATTCGTAAAAAAATCTAGACCCTGAATCTTTTTTGCATTACCAATGATGTTCATGGAATTGAAATGAACATTTGCTCTAAATATTTAATCAATTTAATTGCTTAGTCATGGTAACAATGGAATTGTCAGAAACAAGGTTCCTTTTGTTCAATATTTGATAATTTGTTGACGTACTGATGATTTCAGTTGATTCCTAAATAGTGAATTAATGACGATAACAAACTGACTCAATGACAGTAATTTAGTAATTTTATGAATAAGTCATGTTAATTTTGGGTTTAGCAATTGACATCCTCCTAAGAATCACAGTTATAATTAGGCATTTAACCAATGAAATTTCAAGTTGACCATGAATGAAAAGTGTATAACATTGAAACTTGATTGAATTTTCTGAATAACCCTGACAAAGAAATAGCAAACACATAGTAAATGATTTATTAGCTTGGGTTAATTTGTTTACGCTGAAGGTAAATTTAAACTTGTAATTAAATTTGTGATCATTTCAATTCTAATTATTAACTAATAGCCTGGAATTAGGTGTGAATTGTGTTGATAGAAATCACATCGAATGAAATAATAATAAATGGTAATAACTTACTTCTAATTCAATGTCTACGAATTCAGGTTGTATTGTTGTTGAATGAATTCCTTCATCATGGAAAAATTCTTTCACCTTTTCAGCTATTCTCATGTAATCATGGAGATTGTGACATCTTATATGAGCTGAAGCTATGATACGATCACCAGCCAATTGCCAGACATGAAGTTCATGGACAGCGAGAACACCATCAATCTAAATGAGGAAAGAAAATAGATATTTTGTAATTAGAACTTGATAATTACTAATTGTAAATGGATCATAATCATCAACTCACTTTTTGTAATAATTTTCTTTGAAGAGAATCAATTTGAATATGAGTTGGAACAGTTTGTAATAAAATCATCGCTGATTCAACTAAAAGTGGCCAAGTACTATAGCTAATTAAACAAACCATGATTACAGAAAGAGATGGATCAACATAGTCTTTAATTGACCACGAAGTAAACATAATTATCAGAGCAGATATGATAACAATTACTGATCCCAAGGCATCGGCAAGAACGTGAAGAAAAACACCTCTCATGTTCATTTGTTCACTAGAGTGTCCACCCTGTTTGGATGATTTATCTAATAGAGAAAGATGAGAAAAGAAATTTAAAAATTGATCCCAATCGCTAATTTCTCAACAATTTAAACTAACCTGACTTTTTATTCTGATTATGAACATGACCATCACCAGTTTCATGTGAATGATTGTTACTACTTCCTCCACCACCATGTGAATGACCGTGTCCATGAAATAGGAATAATCCAATTACATTAACTGCTAAACCAGTAGCTCCAACACCTAAAATTAATTGAGGTGCATGAAGCTCTTCAGGATTGTAGAAACGTTTAATTGATTCAACAAAGATGGAGAAACAAAGAGCAACCAGAAAAACAGCATTTACCAAAGCTCCGAGAACTTCAGCTCTCGCCCAGCCGAAAGTGTTTTTAGCCCATTTTTTGGGTGACATGAGAACCGAAACATAAGCAATAACCAAAGCAATTACATCGGACAACATGTGAAATGAATCAGCAACCAGAGCCATTGAATTAGTAACATAACCAACAACTAATTCTACGAAAAAAAATGAGGTCGTTAGAACAAGCATAAAGAGTAACTTCATTCGAGCTCCTTTGTTCTCAGCTGTCATTTTGATCTAAACAAATACAGAGAAATACAAAATTAGTATCATGCAAATTAAGATTTTCATTGAGTGGAACAAGAGATTTAAACTTACCTGTTTTGATTAGAAATGTATCAATAAAGTAGAAGAATCCAGAGCTCTGATTAAGACAGATATTGATGGTTACTATTGATTGAAGGAGGAGAGAGAGAGAGAGAAATTAAAGAAAAAATTAACACAAAATATCAACAAAATGTACAAGTGATTTTTCAAGTACTTGTAGTGAAAATGGGATTCGATTGGAGGATTATCAATTCTACCTCACGTAGAGGAACATTGGGAAATTCCAATTTCTAAGAGTTTCATTATCTACAGAATTACATGAACTACATTAAGAGAGAATCGAATTATGTAAATATTAGTAATAGTGAAGATAGAAGACAAAGGAAAAAGTAACTAATTGATCACTGAGAGAGATGGAGGAAGACACAAGGAAAAGTAGTGGTAGCAGAGATTTACAAGTGAAAAGATAACATGAGATAGAGAAATGGAGAGAGGGAGAAAGAAATAAATTAAGCCTATGAATGAATATTTGTTTACTGTTGGATTGTCTTGGCTTTTTGTGATTATTTTGTGTTGTTTTTGTTGTTGATTGAAAAAGGAGCTAATTTTAAGAGGTGATTGAATGTCTGATGGTGATGGTGATGTTTTGATATTGTTGGAAGATGATGGAAAAGGGAAAACAGTTAAGATGATTTTATACCAAAGGAAGATGAGACCAGATGAGATTAGATGAGTTGGCAGAAGAGATGAAAAAATTGTTGCAAATGGTTATTACTAAAGAAGAGAAGTAACAAAATCAAGAAGAACAAGTAGAAATGTTGATTAAATAGGTAAGTTGTCATAAACGAGTAAATAGTTGAAAATAATTAGGAGCAATTAAATTGTCTTTCATTGTGTGTTCAGCTTATTTACTATTAAGTGAGCGGCTTCAAGTTCCTTTGGCAAGTGAGCCAGTGAATTTGTAGCTAAGGGCCAGTCACCCAAGTTCTCAATGAGAACTTCTCATTATCTCTCATTCTTTTTTTCAGGTTTTCTATTCTATTCTTCAATTTCAACCTCACCTTCACTTTTTCTTAGAAATTCTTACCTGTTTCATGTTCACTCTTTCACTTTGAGATCTTCCCTTCTCTTTCAAGCTGATTGTAGGTGAGAACGACTCTCGATTACTTGATAGACCAGTGAGACGAAAACAAAATGGTGATTTCTGAAGAGAGAACAACAATAAATAAGATTAACTGAATTGGATTAGAAAATAATCTAAATATTGATAGAAAAAAACAAAAATAGAAATACTTGTCACCTTGGTATTAAAGTGAACACATTACAAGTTACTAAGAGAATGGAAATGTAATTTAAATGATTAACTTGATAGAATTTGATAATTCATGTGAAATTTCAATATGTCAACTATTTAGAAATTAATTGTTGTTTCATCATTAGTAGAATATCAAATTCTAGACTTAGAATGAGAGAGAAATTCCAAGCCAGTTGGAAGAGAAAGAGTTTGATTAATACTCGGCGGCGGCTATGAGTTGATCTCTTTTTCTTTCCTATTAAAATCTATTCGCTCGATAACTGGAATAGTAATTAAGATTATTCTTCTCTAATTATTATCGAAATCAATAAAGTTTTGAGAAAATCATTTGGATAACAATCAACTGTAAGATAAACAGAATCAATTTCAACTTAAACTTACCTTTAATTTAATAGAATTAGGTAATCACATGATTGAGAAAAATCCATGAGAACAAGAATTAACGAATCATCATGAAGATGGATTGACGAAAGTTCCAAAAAGAAGTTGTTAATTACTAATTAAAAAGAAACAAATTTTAATAACTAATTGACTTCAAGTTAATTCGAGATGAAAAAGTGAATCTTCTTGAGTTTATTGAAGTTTTTCATGTTTTCCTGATCAGATGAAATTCAATCAAAGGGAAAATTTAATTGATATCAGTCAATGTTTAGTAGTTGATGGTGACTTTTAATTGTTCGCTGAGTTAATTAGAATGTTAATCTAACATGATGGTTATCTCTTTTGAATTATAATCGTGTTAATTGTAAATGTAATAATATTTATATATATTTGTAATAATAATCGAGGATTTAAATTAAGTTATTCCTTGATTTTGATTGTGTTGATCTGGGAATCAGCTGATTTTTTTTTCTCAAAGCAAATTGATTCTCTTTAATTGCTCTGTTAATCCAGTAATCACCATTCAATGGAAGCCAAAATATCCAGAAGAGATTCAGAAGGGGGTCAATGAAGAAAACATTTGATTGTTTCCTAATTGTTGCTCCTTACAAATAACAATTAAATTGCCAGGATAGTTTGTTAGTATTTATAACATATATTCAATCATTCAATTTGTACAAGGGAATCCTGGTTAATTGTTTGATTTTTTCCAGACACTAGTTAGCTTGTTGATTGATAATTTGTATTTTATCAAAATGTGAATTTCTTTTGCAATTTCAACAATTAAAGGAGCTTAAAAGCAACCGTTAGAAATCATATCAATCGACTGTCATTGCAAATTCTTGGCCCATTAAGGATAAGAATTAAAGGTTAACAATGAGATGCTGAAGGAGATGATGATGACGATGGTGATGATGGTGATAAAAACGAAGATAAATAAGAATTGAAATTTTCTTCCCTGTTGGTAGATTACATTATGTTTACTCTATCGATGATGATGAATTCAGATTGAAGAAAAGCATAAATAACCAACTATCATTTGCTAATAACAAAATTACAAGCTCAATCTGAATACATTTGTCTTCATAGAGATAGATTGGAAGATAATTGAAGCAAAGATGAAGATGATGGTGAAATATGTAAATCAATCTTCTCGTTGAGAAAAGGACTTTGTTCTCGCATTAAAAAAAATAACCATCCAAATGTCACCTTTTGATTTGATCATTTTCCTTTGACAGTTTTACTCTTTTTACGATCATGTTTGTACCTTTGACAATAACCTTCGACCAGTAAACGAACTTTTTGTGGATTAATCTCTCCTGATTTGCTGTGACAGATCTACGATTTGACAAGAAAATAAATAACAACAACAATTAGTTAATTTTTGTCTCTTATTTGATAGCAAACAAAATTTACCTTTGGAACTGCTTTTCTCATAATTTCTTTGTATTCATCTTTGGTGATTTCTTTTCGTTGATAAAATGGTTTCAGTACCATTTTCACCTCTTCAACTACACGTTCTTGTCTATTCAATTTTTTCAAATACTAGAAAAAGTGATAAATGAAATATTAGAGTTAATTGTCTGATAGAATTGTAGAGATGATTTAATTTGTGACACAAACCTTTTCTTTGACTTGTAATTCGACTGCGGATGAAGGTACATCATCAAGAACGGCAACATCAGTTATTTTCATTCCTGGACCTTGAGGTGCTGATCCAATTGGAGTTGGGCCTTGATTTACTGACGAAGTTACTTTTTTGGTTGGTTCTTTGTCGATTACCTTTGTTTTGACTGAATGATGATGTGAATGGGAGACTGAACGAGATTTAGAATCTAAATGGAGAAAGGAAAATAGTGTTGATGAAGAAGATGCTACTGAAGAAGATGATGATGATGAAGATGAAGACGATGAAGACAATGGTTTCTTAGATAATTTATGGGGAAACATTGATTCTTTACCTAAAACGGGAGCAGGTTTTTTGAAAATATTGTTGACATTTGAAGATGATACCATTTTGGATGACTTGGTTTTAGATTGTTGTTGCTCTGCTGCTTTGATTAGATTTTCCAATAATGATTTTAATGAAGGTGATAGTGAATTTATATTAGGTGCTAAGGTTGCAGTTGATGACGATGATTTATTTGTTTGATCATTTCCAGATGATCCACTAGCTGCTGATAATGTAAATATGATAAAAACAGTAAATCAGTAAATTGAATAGACAATACAATTAATAAACTTTGTAAGAAGTTAATAATTTACCATGAAGAAATGTTGATGATTGAAGAGATGATGATGTAGATGAGGATAAGATTCCTATGTGGAAATATGAGAAATAAAACAAATTGTTAAAATCAATAGTTATTGTTACTATTTATCACTGATATTTGATTCTTCTAGACCAATGGTTTTTGTATTGTTGTGATAATTTTAGAAAATTAAATAAACAATTACCAGTTGATCCGCTATGAGAAGGGTGAGATTGCTTGGATGAGTCTCTGTAATAAGAAAAAGAGAAAAATTGATTATCTTTGGTGTTAAGTTTTCTTAAATAAACAAGAACAAAACTCACGAGTGAGATGAATGAGTTTTGGTTTGAAGGTTCAAAGTTTTCTGAATTTGAGCTAAAAGCGAGCCTGGAGCTGGTGGTAAAGAGGATTCGGCGAGAGTGGGAGCCCGACAAGTTGATGTTGTCGATGATGAAAGAGGAGGAATGATGGGAGATTTAAATTTATGTTGATTTGTTGTTGTCGGGGTATTGTTATTGTTTGTGTGAGGTGATCGAGGCGAAGGCAATTCCGGTGTTTCAGGCCTAGGGACAGTTTCAACGGCGGAAATCTGCTTCTCACTAGGCGATAACTTTTTCTCCATCTCGTTTAACCTTAAAAGAAATTGATAAAAAAAAAATCAAAGCGGAAACGATTAATAATCACAATTCCAAATCAAGATATCACAATTAGTTACAAGTTTTGATGAAAGTGAAGAGATAAAAATAAAAGATTGATAATAAACAACTGATTAAACCAGTTAGTTATCAGGAGACAACTGTGACAATCAAATGATTTGGTCGATTAAATTATTTAGTGACATTGGAATCAAATTTTTCATTTAATTCATTCAATATGAGAGGAAACTATTAAATGGGTTAAATAAATTTTTTATCAATCCAAAGAAAGTTAACTTACTTTGCCTGAGATCGAGCGATTTCACTTTTAATCAATTGATCGTCTTCAGGACTATCCAATGGAGCTTCCGGATCATAAATATCTGGATCAATCGAAGGTGAATTAAGTGATTTAATGCTTCCTTGTTGTTTAGTTGGTGTTCCATTGCTATAATCTCCTTCAAGAGATTCATCTTGAATTGGAGTTGGCATAGTTTGATCAGGGGAGGAAAGGATAACGTTTTTCTCGGCTCTTTCATCATCTGGAGGTGTTCTTGGACCCACCGTGGGTGGAAGATGAACATTTGGAGACGTTTGATCGGACAAAAGTGTTCGAGGTAAAAACCGAAGTCCAGTTTCTTCTTTACCAGACTTATCGATAGTTGGATCAAAATCTACAAGGGAACTATCGACTTTCTTATTCTGACTGTTCTCATCCCAAAAAATATCAAATTCAGTTCTTGATTTGGATACTAAACGAACATCCTTTTTCGGTGGTGAACCAGGTTTCGATAAAACTGATTTAATTTCCGTCGGGGATCGGGAAACTTTACTATTACTGTTATTAACATTATTAACATTATTGGTATTGTTTGTATTGGTGCCTATCAGATTGGTTGGGATACCATGTTCTTTGTGATCTTTATAATCTTTAGCATCTTCAATTTTCACTTTAATCTCTTTGGTGTTCACCTCGTTCGTGGTTGGATTAACTGAGGATAAAACTTTCCCACTCTTGGTTTGTATTGATTCGCGTCGATCATCTCGATTTCTATTGGAAATGTGATCATGATCAGATGGAGATGAGTGTCGCGCTCTTTTCGTTCTAGAACGAGATATACGTGACTTTTCATCCCTTTCTTCACGATGGTTAGGAGAGGTCGTTGTTTTATGAGATGAAGAAAGTGGCGATGATCGACCATCGCGTGAATGATGACGATGTTTACTACTACTCTTTTTGTGATGATGATCTTGATGGCGAGAGTTATTGGTAGAACTTGTTGCTATTTTGTCACTGGTTAGATTTGTCGATATTCGTTTTCCATTGCTACTTTCAATTGGATCGTAATGTTTTGCACTTTTTGTTTCTCGATAATCATCTTCATCGCTGTATTTACTGTGTTTATGTTTATGTTTTCGTTTCTTTTTCTTTCCTTTTGATTTATCATCTTCTTCTGGATCAGATTTCTTTCTAATGTCACTGGTTTTATTTTCAATCGGATCGTGATGGGGACTTGTCTTTCTCGACTCTTTTCGAGTTGGTGATCGATTATTTCTTGATGAATCTCTTCTATGACTACTGCTACTTCGACGTTTCGACGAATTATCATCAGATCTTGATCGTATCGTTGAAGAAGTTAAAGGTGGCAAAGGAAGATGTGATAATAATGTCGCATTTGTGGTTGTTGTTGTTGTCGTCGTTGATATTGGTAATGTTGATGAAGGTGAAAGTATTTCTTTACTTGCACTTAAACGCTTTCTTTTATCACTATGAGTTCTATCTTCACGTAGATGATTTTCACGATTTCTATCATTTTCACGGTGTTTTGAAGTTCTTTCATCATGTGGTATAAGACGCCGATTATTATCAACATCATGGCGATTTGGTAAAGATGATCTGCTTCCTCTATTTTCACGAGAATCTTTCGGTGTTTCCTCATCTCTATCTCGCGGTTCTTTCTTGATTGTTCTTAATAAACTTGATTTGTGATCTTCTTTCTTGTTATCCTTTGAGCTGCTTCGTTTAGATTTACTACTTGAATTGTTATCGTGTTTTTTGGCATGAATAATTTTACCATGTTTACATCTTTTCAATTTAGCTTTACTTTCTCCATCAGGATCAGTTGTTTCCCTCTCTTCGGCTGTTGAAGGTAATTTAATTTCTTCACTTGGTGTTATCGTCTGATCGGCAACTATACTTTCATTTACTTGCACTGGAGGTTTAATATCAATCACAGGTAATTCATCGTGGTTTTCATTATTATAAGTACTTTCTATATTATTGTTATCGGTGGTGATTATATCATTATTATCATTGTTTGTGGTTAAATTGTTGATTTTTGTGTCCTTATTATGGTTACTTGAATTGTCAACATTATCAATTTCTAAAGGAATATCTTCTGGAGGTAATTGTGGCCCATAAGAATCTTCCTGTTCATCAGGTAAAGGTGAACGATCATCAACACCAGATAAATCGGTATCTATATCAGGACCATCATCTCTTAATGGAACTGAACCATGAGAATTTAATTCTGAACCAAAAAGTGAAAGAACACCAATACCAGCAGCAGATCTTTTATGATTAATTGTATTTTCTTGGGTCATCTTTCTAATGGTGGGTAGAGAATGAATACCAAGAGATAAATTTCTCTCGATTCCCAATTTTTTACAAATTCTTGCTCGAGGTGTTAAAGCTTTGCCAGTAACCAATTTTTTAGTTGTTCTTTTACGCCGAGTAGTTTTTCGTGTGGTTGTTGTTGTTGTTGCAGTTGTTCGGCGTCTTCTTCTTCCCTTAGTTTTACGTTTGTAGGTTGATTTTCTTTTGGTTGACACTTTACGTCCTCCTGCTTTTCTACGCACTTTACGGGTTCGAGTTACTTTTGAAGCACTGGTACCACCGAGTTCCAAATTTTCATGGTAACTTTTAATGCTGTTTGGCTTTATATCTAAGTTAAAATTAACCTTTGTCTCCTGTTTCACAGAATGATGAGTATTGGCTGAAGATGAATAACAAGTATCATTTTTCTCCAATTTTACCTTAACTGGTGCACTTGGTTCAGTTTTCATCAGTAACACAGGGGAAAAGGAGAAGGTTAAAAAAGGCAGAAAATGAAATGGAAACAAAAAAAAATGAAAAAAAAAGAAACACTAAAAAAACTACCAAGGGAAGTGAGAGAGAGACAATAACAAAAGATGAAGATAAAGATGAAAAAAAAGATGAGTGTGTATGTGTAAGAAAGAGAGAGCGACAGAGAAAGAGACAGAGAAAGAGGAAAAAAAGGTAAAGGTGGTTAAGAAAAGTCCAAAAAGGTGATCCAGAAGAGACACTAAGATAACAAGTCGAGGTAATAAATAGTAAAGTGAAAACAATTTAATTTATTTATTGAAAATTTTAATTTTTCACCAAATTAACAATAATTTCAAATCAACTGAGAATTCAACTTGATGGAATCAAAGAGAAAAATGAGCGAGACTGAGCCAGCCGAGTTTTGGGAAATTCTATTCGCCGAAAAAAGGAAAGAGAAAAATGGAAAATCAGCTGAGAGAATAAATTTTTTTTCTTATTTTGATTTAGATTAAAACTCGAACAAAGTGATTTCGGTTTGATTTAATTGTAATTAGTTGTTTGTCTTTTTAATTTATTAGCATCGGTTGATTGATTGTTTTACTGTTTTAATTGAAGTGATTTTGACTTTTGATTAGTTTTTTATTTGATTATTTTGAGTGTTTCTTATGATTTTTTGATTTGTGACTCAAAGGGATAGTTGAACAAATGAATTGTTGTTTATGTGATTGTTGATTAAGGATTAATTTAATGGGTTCTCATATTAAATTAGAGAAAATTGTTTCCTGTTCTTCTGAAGATGCTGATTTTCCAGCTAAAAATTTATTAACCTGTGGTGAAGTTCCTGGTTCTTGGTTAACTGCAAATGAAGGGGAAAGTCAAGCAACGGTTGTCATTCAATTGGATAGAAAATATCAAATCAATCATTTGGAGATTAAAAATGAATCTTCTGCATTTATTGAAGTTCTCGTAGCAGATTCAAGTTCAACCGATGAGATTAAATTTCAAGTATTATTATCGGCATCTTCATTCATGACACCCAATGAGAGTAAAATTTACTTAATGTCAATCGATGTCGGATTTTCACCAAAGATAAACTATCACCATCGGCGTTGAAACAAACATTTGATTTGGTAAAAATTAATTGTACCCAACCTTTTAATAAGTCAATCAAATATGGATTAGCATGTATTAAACTCACCGAGGGAGAAGATATCGACACCAATTTATCCAGTCCATCGGTTATTCTTACTCAATCACCTGGAATCAAAACTCGATCAACTGAAGTTACCCCCAAAGGCGATGACAATAGACCAACAACACCGAAAATGACTGATCCTTTATCCGATGATGAATTTTCACCTTCTTCAAATAAGCGATTGAAAGCCCTGAAAATGAACGATGTCGACAATGAACCTTCAACCTCTAATCTGGAAAAACAAGCTACCGTTAAACAAAAGGTTAAAAAGCCAAAGATCGATGTACCTTTCTGTCAACTTATGAGCGGTGTTACATTTACAATTAGTGGCTTTCAAAATCCACTTCGATCGGAAATCCGTAGTAAAGGCTTACAAATGGGAGCCAAGTACAAGGGTGATTGGGATAATAGTTGTACCCATTTAATTTGTGCCTTTCCAAATACACCAAAATTTAATCAAGTCCAGGCAACCGGAACTGGAAAGATAATCACCAAAGAATGGATTGAAGATTCATTTGAAAAGCGAGAACTATTATCATGGAGGAAATATAATCTAGATAATCAACAAAAGACTAAAACAAATAAAGTGAAAATGTAACCGGTAAAAAGAAAAGGAAAGATGAGAGTAACTCAGAGGACGATGAACATGATTCAGAAATGGATGATTTTATCGTTGATGATGATGAAGAAGATGATATTGAAGATGGTGAAGATGAAGAATATGATCCAAAAAAAGATAAACATATTGAAGATGAAGATGAAGATGAAGATCTTAATGAATTAGGACCAGTTTTACCTTCAAAATTACGAGATGATTCACCTGAAAGACAATTAACTCCATCACCCCGAAAGAAAGATGATAAAACAATTAATAAACTAACCAACCAAATGAAAGATGATGAGTATAACAGCGATACCATTTATGATGCTGCCACCGATGATGAAAATTAACCAAATTCCAATAATCTAAATATTTCCTTAATTGTTACAAAGAGTAACAACTTCCCAAGTCTTTGCATTGTTACCAAAAAAAATGTAATCAACCATTTACATATACTGTTTTTAAGCTCACAATTCATTAATTTTATTAGAAAAAAAATTGAGTCGAATGATTTTTTTTTCGATTAAAAAGAAAAATTTAATTCGATTGAAAAAAATTCCAAGTTACTCATTCAACCGATTTTTGGATTTACCGCCAAATCTCTTGAAGGTTTTTCTATCAATAGAAACATTTGTTTATCTTTTCTTATGAAAGAAAAGAAAATGTTGTCAACCGATTATCAATATTTCTAATTAATAATCTAAATTAATTTCTATTTAATGCCATTTTTATAGTTCTACTAATTAGTCAACAAAATTTAACTTCAATCTAAATCTACTGATTAATGATATTTGATTTGGAAACATGAAGTTACCATATCATAGATTAAGATTTTACTTTCAACTGGGTTAACATTCAATTGGAAAAATCAAACAACTGATCAGGTGAGTGATTAATTTGATTGTTTGTATTTCATCATTGAATTATTTATGAATTAATTAGTCAATTTCTTTAATTTAAAGTGTAAATTTTTTCTTTTTAGGAAATTAAGATGATTCCGATTCGCCTTTCACGAATTATTTTTCTACTCATATTTTTGGCTGTTCTTTTGTTGAATCATTATTACATATCGAAGACCGTTGATGATGATGATCAGTTAATTAGTTCTAATGTTCGATTAACCGGTAAAAGATTATCATCTCATCCATCATATACTCTAGATGATCTAGATGCTGTTTCTCGGGCTGATGATCTTTCCTACCGGATTAAGGAGATGATCAGGATTAAAGGTTCGGTTTCTAATGAATTGAAAAATTTGGAATCAAGGAAACAGAAGCTTCAAAATGATATCTCAAGTTTAAGTAATCAAATGATTGAAATTGAATATCGATTAAGTAAAAAACAATCAGATCTTAATCGACTTTACCTTTCGATTGGCCAAGCTGAATTTACTCTTAAAGAAACCTCATCGGTGAATCAACCATTTCTCTCAAGGCCAATTAAATTGTTACCTCTCTCTCGTCCTCAGGATTATTCAATCAACGAAAATGCCAACAATCAACTAATCAATGGATGTTCAATGTCTTCATGTTTTGATTATTCTAGGTGTTCATTAACTTCAGGATTCCCAATTTACATTTACTCATCAATAATTGAAAGTCAATCAACTGGTCGCTTGTCAAGTGATAATTTGCATGATTTAGTTAATCAATTTAAAAGAAATCATCATAATACACTTGATGGTAACATCGCCTGTGTTTATATTGTCCTAATTAACCCACAATCTAATTTAGACATTGAAAATATTCAATCAACTTTACATAGTCTTGACTATTGGTCAGGTGATGGTCGCAATCATTTAATCATTAACCTTAATCAAAATGTCGATATAATTGATTACGGGATCAAATCTTTTCGAGCTCTAGTCCTTCAAAGTAATTTTAATGGTAATCACTTACGAGAAGATTTTGATGTCATAATCCCATCGCTTACAATTAACAATAATAATCATCTGATTTCATCATCAAAAATACCAAATTGTCCAGCAAGACGAAAATATCTCATCACATATCAGGGATCATTAAATCAATCAACTTCTAATGATGGCCAATATCGACAATTATTTGAGATAATGACTTCAATCACCAATTCATCGACCAATGATGAGATCCTTTTTAATTTCAATTGTGCCAACACTAATTGTACAAGTTTTTTTACTCAATCAACATTTTCCATTGTGTTACCTCCTTTGAATACTTTAAATCAGCGAGGATACAAATCTCATCCTGTTCTCATTGACGAGACACTTGAACTGCTCTCTTTCGGTGTGATTCCAGTGTTAATTGGTGGAAATGATTACAAGTTACCATTCCATGAGATTATTGATTGGAAGAAAATTGTTTTACATCTTCCACTTGCCAGAATGCCAGAGATTCACCTGATTGTTAAATCATTCAGTGATTCAGATATCATTGATATGAGGCGACAGGGAAAGTTAATTTATGATCGTTACTTTTCAACGATTGATTCAAGAATCAATTCATTGATCTCATTTGTCAGACATCAGCGTCTCAACATTCCCGCTTTACCTGTGGTGGAAAACACTTTACCCTTTCTATTCAATTCCACTTACTCTTCCAATAAATATTTGTATGCATTTGAAAATCCAGAGAGTATTGGTGGTAATCAGGAAACGGAAATCGATCGAAATCTTGGTCCAATTGAATCACCTTTTCCATCGATCACTTTTCAACGTAACTTTTCACTTACTCTGTGCCATGGTTACTCTTTATGGAATTCACCTCAACTCAATCCATTTATCCTTTATCCGAATACACCTTTTGATCCTGTCCTACCTTCGGAGGCCAAATTTACAGGCTCAGGTTATGGATTCCGTCCAATTGGTCAAGGAGCTGGTGGAACAGGTAAAGAGTTTAGTGAAGCTCTTGGTGGTAACTGGCCAAAGGAACAATTTACAATCGTCATGTTAACTTATGAACGAGAAACAATTTTAATTAAATCGTTGGAGAGACTTTTAGGTTTACCTTATTTAAACAAAGTTTTGGTCATTTGGAATAGTCCTAGAAAACCTTCAGATGATGTTAAATGGCCTGATCTTGGTGTACCAATTAACGTAATTGAAGCAGATCAAAACAGTTTGAACAATCGTTTCAAACCTTATTCTCAAATAGAAACTGAAGCAATACTTTCAATGGACGATGATGTTCATCTTCGTCACGATGAGATAATATTTGGTTTTCGGTAAGTTGAATAAAGTTAAAAGTGACTATTAGACGATTAGTAGTAAATTTTGATGATTATCTTTCGTTTGAATTAGTGTTTGGAGGGAAGCTCGTGATCGTGTTGTTGGTTTTCCAGGTCGATATCATGCTTGGGATAACAATTTCAATTCGTGGCTTTACAATTCAAATTACACTTGTGAATTATCAATGGTTCTAACTGGAGCAGCTTTTTTTCACAAAGTAATTAGATCAAACACTTTCACAGTGATATGATTTTATTTCAAGAATCGTTAATTTGAAATTATTTTCTCTTTTCCACATTCAGTATTACACTTACATGTACACTCATTCAATGGATAAAGCAATAAGAGAAAAAGTCGATGAATTGATGAACTGTGAAGATATTGCAATGAATTTTTTAGTCTCTCATATAACTCGTCAACCACCATTGAAGGTCACATCACGATGGACCTTTAAATGTGTTGGATGTCCAGTCCGACTGTCAGAAGATGATTCTCACTTTCAAGAAAGACACAAGTGTATCAATTATTTCACTTCGCTTTATGGTTACAATCCACTTTTACAAACCCAATTCCGAGCTGATTCCATATTGTTTAAAACTCGTATTCCTCATGATAAAACCAAGTGTTTCAAATTCCTGTAAATTCAAATCCATAACCTTGTATAAAAAATGAAAAAGAACAATTTTAAATTAAATGACAATGACAATACTTGAAAGAAGAAAATAAATCAATCATTGTAAATAATATAAATGTATCTCTTTGAAGATGGCGCTTCTCTAATGGAGATGAAAAAATCGAGGGAAAAAATCAAATCATATGTTAGACAAACAAATTGATGATTTTTAATGAATTTAAATCTTACTCGATTAGTAATATTAATAATTAACTAATCTAATTCATCTTCAATTTGTTTTCTTCCAGTGATTAACAGTTTGAAAAATTTACTTACCTGATGATTTGGATCTTATTTTGATGATTACAATCTCTGTCAAGTGTTTGATCGGCTTGGTTTTGTTTTTTTTATTTGTATTGCCAAGCTGATCAATTGTGTCCGTAACTTAAGTTTCACTTTTTTTTTTTTACTTACATCGAATTTTTGTCCTCTGTTGACTCTCTTTATTGAGAAAAATGTCTGCTAACAAAAGGATCATCTATGTTGGTGGATTGGCTGAAGAGGTTGATGAAAAAACTTTGAACGCTGCTTTTATACCTTTTGGTGATATAATTGATATTAATCTGCCCATTGATTTTGCTTCACAAAAACATCGTGGATTTGCCTTCATTGAATTTGAATCAGCTGAAGATGCTGCTTATGCTATTGACAATATGAATGAATCAGAAATCTTTGGGAAAACAGTTCGGGTTAATATTGCTAAACCTCTTAAACTCAAAGAAGGTTCAGCTCGACCAGTTTGGTCAGATGATCAATGGCTCCAGAAACACTCTGGGGCCGCTGGTGATGAGATTAAAGGTGATAAAGAAGATGGTGAAACGAAAGATAAAGATGAGGTAAGACTAGAAGATGGGATGAGTTTTAATGACAATCACTTTTCTTTTTTTTCCAATTGTGTTCGCTGGATAAACGCCATTTCATGTTTTTTTCTTCTCATTCCATGCACAGGTTATTGAAGAAATTGCTGACGATGTAAATACTGATTTGGAATCTGAAAAACAAGAAGTTGCTCGATTAAAATCCAATCCACAAGTTTACTTTGACATACGAATTGATGGACAGTTCAGTGGACGTATACGAATAATGTTGAGGAAAGATGTTGCTCCATTAACGTGTGAAAATTTTCGCTGCCTTTGTACTCACGAGAAAGGTTTTGGTTACAAAGGAAGTGTTTTCCATAGGATAATTCCAAGCTTTATGATTCAAGGAGGTGATTTACTAATGGTGATGGAACCGGTGGAAAGTCAATCTATGGGAAAAAATTTGAAGATGAAAATTTTACTTTAAAACATAGTGTTTCCGGGTTACTTTCTATGGCCAATTCAGGTCCAAACACCAATGGATCACAGTTTTTCATTACAACAGCTCGAACTGAATGGTTAGATGGTAAACATGTTGTCTTTGGTCAAGTTGTCCAAGGAATGGAAGTTGTCAAAAGGATTGAAACTTGTGGAAACAAATCAGGTAAACCAACTAAAAAAGTTGTAATAGCAAATTGTGGTGAACTTATATAAAATAAAATTCAATCTAATTATTATTATACATTAAAATATATCAAATTAACTTATATTCAACTAATTCGGTGAGACTGTCATCAGAACAGAGTAAATACAAAAAAAAACCAGAACTTTGAAATCAAATCAAACATCTTAACAACATATTCCAAAATAGCAAAGAAATTACAATAAAAACCTTAATTCGATCAACTTTAACTATAATAATAAATGTAACAAGACGAAAAATTTTCACATGAATAATTGATGAGATAATTTTACCAAAGCTCCTTAGTAACAAAACTTGAAACATTATAAACCATAATGGCGACAATTAGTCTTACATTAGTTGGACAATTAGATAGTTAAAAGTTAATTACAAACCTTAGAATTTGATCTTGTGAAAGAATAATAATTAACAATTAAGAATAGAAAGAAATTCTAATTTAATATTAACCAAAAAGAATGAGAAAAATTGAACAATTAAAAGAGAATTTAAAACAATTTAAATTAGTAAGAGAAAAGAAAGAGAAACAAAGTGATTGAAATGAAAGAGAAAAGAAAGAGAACAATTGGCGAAAGGGGTAACCGAAAGTCTGTCGTCAATTAGTTTCCATGGCAACGAAGTGGAGAAGAACAAAAATCTTAAATTCTTTTTTATTTTCTTTACTTTCGCCATTAAATGTTACACTTTTTTTCTTTCTTTGATTTTGATTAACTTTCTCTCTCTCTCTCTCAAGTTAATTTGACAATTTTTCGTTTGTTTAGTGGTAATTTAGTTAATTGTAATTTCTTTTCTGTATTAATCGATAAAATCTGTTGTTAATCGCTGTTGATTTAAGAGAAAAAAATGGCTGATATTTCACTTCATTGTCGACGTCGTCATTGTTCATCGCGAAAATTGAAACAAAAGTTTCCTGATAAATTGTGGTCAGTGGTTTGTGATGAAAATGAAGATTCATGTATGTGGAATACTGTTGGAGACTCATTGTTAATTAACAAGAATAAATTTTCTCAAAGATTCTTAACTAATTCTAATGGACTTTTTCGTACATCAAAATTTAAGTCTTTTGTGAGACAATTGAATCTTTATGGTTTCCGTAAGGTTAACAAAATGAGACGACGAGATCATGAGATTTGGTGGCAGTATCAGAATGAAAATTTTACCCGAGATCATCCTGAATTGTTAAAATTGATCAAACGAAAAGCCAATTTAGAGGATTACTATGATTGGAAATTGTTCCAAACCAAGGAATAGAAGAAAGTTTGTACCTGCCCCTATGGATCTGCGTTTGGCTCTTTTGGATGATTCATGTGACAAAGTCAGTCAAGAGCAAGAAAATGAAGTGATCAAAGAGAAAATAAGTGACAATCTACCAATTAACATTGGAAGTATGAATCTAACATTTTCTGATGATGAAGAATCTCGACCAGCTCTTGACTTGGAGCCATTTACGATCAGCATTCCATTATCCCAGAAGCAAATGTGGGAAAACAATGAAAACTACTTGACATTTTCGTTATTTCCTGATTTACCATCTTCCCAAGAAGCCAATCCACAATTGGATAATCACAATGATGAAAATATTTCACCAAGCAAATCTGAAAATTCTCTACACTCTGAATATTCATTCTAATCCACAAAATTCCGAAATCAATAGATGGACCATAGGAAAATTTCGTTGCGTTTCATCAATCGTTAATAATAAGTGAATTTATTTATCATGTTTACAATCAAATAATTAATTAAGCAAATTTTTTTTTCTTCTTTTCACAAATAATCAATAACATTATTATTAATATTTTTTCTTTTTGATCATATATTTATAGAGACATTTATATATATATTATATAAATAATAATTATCAAAATGCAGATTAGAGCACAAGCTTTGAAGGCTTGAGCAAATGAGTAAATTCATGAGAAATTATTTTCATCAATAATCTGATTTCTCATTTATATCAATATGTAAGATGTTACATAAAATCATCAACAATTTAAAGATTAAATCAAATTTCCACTGCAATAAAATAGCATCGACTTATGTGTCCATCCAATTATATTTTCTCAACAATTTCCAATTCAGATAAAGTTAATCATCTTTAACCCTTCGAGTTGATCTTAAACCTGCCAAAGGAGCAAATGATTGGTACTATCGTCCCGACCCACCGAATCTGTGTGACCAAAGTTGGAAAAATCTTCGTACCCATCGCCCCCCGAGATGACCAGGATTTTGGTGACTTTCGATGTCGATTGAGTGGCGACCGGTTGACTTAACGGTCGTTTTGACGGAGAAGCAAAAGATTTGGCATTGGAATGAAACAGGTCATAAGGACTATCGTGATGATGATGGTGGTGATGGTGATGACTGGAAGCAGATGAAACCATTGACTGAGAAGCGGATGAAGTGGTCGCTTTGGGTGTTAACTGGATGGACGAAGGGACTTCAACTGTGGTCAAGAATCTTACATGGCCTGTGTGTCCATGGGGAATTCCTGAAACATTGGGAGAGGAAACATCAACGGAGGTCGTCGATGGTGTGATTAGAGGTGAAGAAAGAGTCATTATGGTTCCGGCTGAGGTTCCAATCCAGAGAAGATCTTTACAGGCCAAAAGAGCGGTAATTCGTAGACAGGCTGCTTTGTGTTGTCTGATTATCTCATCGCAAGTGGCCAACATTCGGGTTACCGCTGGGGCGACATCGGTCTCAAGGAGACACTCGTAACTTGTACCATGATAAAGTTTAAGAATCGATGATCCTTGAGATGAGATCCAAACCCCAAGACCCGATGAGACCATTCCAAGGACAATCTTATCCGAATCGCTATTGATCACTAAACACTTTTCAACTTCCAGTGTTGATGTTGAAAGTACTTTGACTTGATTGGCCACCGAACACCAAAGTTTCCCTGCAACCGGGAGTATCTTTTGTATTGGACCGCTGTCGATAGTGTACAGTTTATGATCTGATGTTGACCAATTACCATTGTTGCCGTCCCGTTGGAAAACAACTATTTGACCGTTGGATAGACCAGAGTAAACGCTATTGTCCAGATAAATGATACAATAAACTGTCGCCGGTAATTGAATTTTCTGCTTATTTTTACGGATTCGGATGTTTTCGTTGCAATTGTAAATGTAAATGTATCCGTCTTCCGTTCCAAGCCACATGGTGGGCTGATTTGTTTCCGAATCGATTGAGTGACATGAGTCAACCGGCGATTGTGAGGTTTCCGTGGTACTTGGAGGAGGTGGTGGGGGAAGACGAAGTGAATTGAGATCAGAAGATGAAGGTTGTTGCTCCTCGGTGGGTGATGATTCCGTTTCATCGTCCGAAGAACCAGAATCTAATTGAAATTGACTTGATGAGGAGCGACCACCGATTGATCGGTGAGATGATGGACAATCACCACCACCACCACCATTACCACCGCCACTCCCTCCACCAACAATATCATTTTGATTATAATTTGTCGTTGTAGTTGATTGTTTACTTTTGGTTGAAGGTGTTGGTGTTAATGAACGGGAAGGTGAAGTGGTTGTCGATGTCGAGGTGGCCGAAAGTGATTCAGGTCGATTATTAACCGATGAAGATATGACTAGAAATGAATTTGATGAAGGTGGTGGTGAACTTTGGATGGAGGCAGAGGATAAATTTGACAATGAGGGAGTTGAACAGGTTGATGTTAATATTGAACAATTGGTGGCAACTTCCGTTTCCGTTCCTTCTAGTCCACTGGTTTCACTTAATGATAACGGTTCCTCTGAGACATATGACCGACGTAAGGAAACAGGATAACAACTTGATGACCATCATGATAATAAGAGGATGAAGCAAAAAAAAACCAAAGTGGACAAAGATGAAGATGAAAAAAAGAATCAGAAAAAAAAGATAATAAATTAGATCAAATCAATATAATGATTAGAGTGCAAAGACTAGTAATTTATCTGATTATGTGTACATAATAATTTAGCAAATGATGGAAACAAATTATTGTGATTTACTTTATTTAGACAATCAAAGTTTTACCATCACTTTGGTTGTGTGTGATCAGGATCATTTATTTGTTTCCATGAAAATGACCAACATCAATTATTATCATCAAACTGAATCAACTAATTTCCCATTAACCTTTTATCATTGTTTCCATTGGGTAACAATTGCCAAACAATTAACAGTTACAATCTGTTTCAATTCAGTTTAACTGTTAATCACATTTAATCAACTCTTTTTTGTTTCTTCTTCTATTATCATTATCGTTATTACCTACTGAGTCTGATAATCATCATCATCATTTGCATGATGGTTATGATTATGTTCAGATGATGAAGCTAATCAAAAATAATCATCATCAACATGAAAATCCTAGATAATTGATTGAGTCTGTTAACCATATACACGATAATTTAGATATATAACTAAATTAACTTTATTATTATTAACCAGTGATGATAATAAAAAGTAAATTACTCACGAAGAGTGAAAGTTAAATTGAGTAAACAATTACGGAGGCAAACATTTTTCCACTTTAAACAATTTAAACTAATCAGCTGTTGGTCTTAATTTTATCAATCAAATTAATCACACTCAAAGGATATAATTTATTCATTACAATAAATGACAAAACACCAATGACAACAATTGATTTAAATTGTTGATATTCAGCAGATTATTTTAATCTTAATAAAAATTTACTTCAGTTTTGTATTATTATGTTAATCAAGTTGATTAACAATTTAAATAACTAATAACAATTCACCTCGAGAAAGAAAAATAAATTAGCACTTCTAATGAATGAAAACTATTAAAACAACAAAAAAAGTTATAATAACAATAATCAAGTTAATCATTTCCATCAAAATTAACATGATAATGATTAAAATTAACTCACTTAAAATGTTTACAATGAAGTGATTAAAATTTATGGGGAAAAAATAAAGAAAAAGACAATTAAAACTGATGATTAGATTAAGATGATGGTTGAAAGCAAATTAAAATGAAGTTAATTGTGAATCTTACAATTGTTAGTATAATGATTATACTGATTATTGATTAAACTACAAATAAGGTTAATTTAAATTGTTGACTAAATCTGATAGTAAATATTAAATTGGTTCAACATCAATTGGAAACTAACAATCAAACTGAATCAAATTTAATAGTTGAAACTTATTCTTGTGTAAAATTGAACAATCAAGCAATTTAATAGTAACAATAACAACAGTTAAGTGCAAGTGAGTGAGTTAAATGTGTTACCAATTGGGAGAGATGATAAAATTCAAGAAGATAATCAAGATAAGTGAGAAAATACTTCAAGGGAGTGGGTGGGGAGGGTGAGGCTCATCATCAGGGTGGGAGCAGAGTAAGTGTCAGGATTGTCATGGTAATAATATTATTTTTGCTTGGACACCATTTTTTCATGTAATTTTATCAAGAGTATAAATTGTCTCAATGAGCAATTTAACAGGAACACGAAAATGATGATAATCAATTGTTCAAACAATCAATAGTTTCTCATACGAGTCTTTAGATTAAATAATATGAATAATATAAAAAAAAATGAAATAATCAACAAGGAATTGAGGTGAAAACATGAGACGAGGGAAAATTACTGTTGATTATGTTTGCGTGTTTTTGGTTAACAATTAACCATTAGAAAAGGTGAATTAAATTGCTTACTTATTGTTGGTTGTCATTGAAGGTATTGCGGTGACACAAAGGATTCGTGAATTACAAACACCATTACATGAGGCGACTGTTGGTGTTGGGTGTAAGGTGAGTATGCAAACTTGACCTACGTAACCGTCTGAGTTACAGATCCAAATATCTTTCAAATTGTATTGATTGTAACGAAGGGTGGGCGAGGCACAGGTAAATTGTAGGCCAGCACGAGTTTTACGAATTGGAAGGCTGAGTAAAAATTCTGGTGGAAGTTTCTGATTAGAGGACATGGCGAGTCTTTTCTTTGCTTCGGTTAACGCTGATTCCCATGTGGATCGTTTCTCGGTGCTGGGAAACATGATCGTTAGATTATCGACAACTTCACTGCTGAGAGCAAATAAAAGAGAAGAAGAAGAGAGAAAAAAAAATCATAAGAGGGAGAAAAAAAATCGACAAACAATAGAACTTTTCAGTCTCTAGACTGTAAAAGGAGCGAAAAATCAATGAGATGATGATGATGATTTCTTCCTTTCATCATCATGAACACAGATAATAAACAATAAATGAAGGCAACTGTCAATAAGGGTGGGAAATAGCATGATTTCAGCTACGGAATTCAAGCCATGGAATAAGAAAAAAAAACTTTCTCTTCTTTGATTGCTTACTCTTTACTCTATCTCTAAGGATGCTCACTGTTCACACATTCTTTTTAGGGAATTCAGTCAATAGTAATGATGATAATCATCATAACAATGGTAATAATGATGATAAAAGATGATGGTGATGATAATAAATGTGTAAACGTAAAAAAATACATATCCACATTTATGGACTTTGAAAGGTTGTAAGGTAAAGTTAACCAGGTAAAGGTTTTCGTCTACAAAGGTTTTGTTTTCATCTTAATGCTCTTGCAAGGTTAATGGTTTTAGAGATGATGTTGATTGATAGGATGATGATGATGATAATAAAAAGGATGATAAACAAAAAAAAATCAAAGACAAAAGGTAAGATATTGAGTTAACTTTATCTCCATCTTTGTTCATTATTCTGTTCTTACTGGATTGAGTAATAGTATATTTGTGATGGTCATTGATTCACATTCATGAATCTCATTAGGTTTATATCATTTTTATCATGCAACCTTTTTGTTTGTTCACTGAATTGATTTGATTGTTTTCATTTCCTATTCATGTTTATATTAGTTTTCACAAAGTAATAAGTAAACTTGGCTTATTGATCAGAAAGAGTGGGAGGAAGACGAGGGATGAGAGAGATCCAGAGAGTGGACAAAAGTGATACAATGGTCAAGATTATCAAAGATTTACGACTTACGGACTGGTCACTTGAAGTTCAAGTGATAATAATTGGGAATCACTTGTTTGTTTTTCATTCAAATGTTTGGTTACGTTGTTAATTAAATCTTTAAGAGCTTCATCCAATGTCTGAAATGAAAAGTATAATTAATAGTTAATTTTGATATTCTTATTATCATATAAAAAGGATTAGTCAAACAATTAACTCTCGTAATGATCAAGTAAATTTGTTGGGTGTTGGTTTAATTGTTGGCAAGTTAAATTTACTTGTTTACAATTAAAGTGTATATGTTTGATTTGTTTGATAGTTTTTTAATATCATCGATAATTATGATTGATCAAATTTTAATTTCTACTTTTAAGATGTTAATCATGACTGATTACTGTTTTCAATCAAAATTAAACACTGGTTGATCAAGTTGATTACTCAGGTAATTGTTTTGGTTTTGTTTTTTCATCTCAATCATTTTTTTTTCACTATGAAAGAAATGAACTTATATCTTCATTTAACTACTACGATGAATAACTAACGGTAATAATCAAATGTAATTGATAATCTTACCTGGTGGGAACAATTAAGGTTACCCATAAGATCATTAATTTGATTAAGAGTATTTAGATCTTCCTTTAGATTGTCAATTTCTTTAATTGTTTTCCTCAGGTTACCATCGTTTCCTCTGGTAATGTCAATCGCTTCCAGTGGAAATCGAGTTAAATATTTATACTTGTTTCCTTCGAGAGCGGCCAAAGGTGAGGGACTGGACGAAGCGGAGGAAAACTTCCGGGTGGCACCTCCTTTTTTCTTGATACTGGTGATCAAAAGTAAATCTGAGAAGAGGAAGAGACATCGCTCCTTCTTGGTTCCAAGGCCTCCGGGTATAGATACAAAATCGAACCTTATAAAGGTTCGATCAGTCGAAGATAACTAAAGAGGCAAGGAAAAAAAAGAGTTTAAACATTCAAGTTAATTGCTTCTAATTCCGTGAATCAATTGAGTATCATGGAAACTACCAAAACAAACGCATCTGATTGATTGGATAATCTCACTGATTGTTAAGACAATTTACCCTTGAAACAATTGGATTAATATTGTAAGAGTTAAATTGATATAAAATCAAAGTATCAATATATTATCCCAATCAACGGTAAGATTGTTATTAAGTTGAGCGAGAGAGAGTGAGGATAATTGTAAAAGTGACATTTTATCAATTGTTTATTGATAGTCTAAGTTAATCGACTATTAAATGGACTTAAGTTGTTTCAAAGAATTACTCTCATTTTGTTTGTTTTGCTTCTCTCAGTGATTAATTAATTAATTAAGTGGAGTAAAAATTAGCTCAACAATCAGTTAACTACTTACATCAATAACACCTTCAATATAATGTTCAATATCCTTAACCTTTTGAGACATTTGCTCTTGTTCAAATGCTTCTCGCTCCATCCGATTGATTTTCATGGCAAGTTCATGAACTTCTTTGAGACCAAGAAATAGAAGCTGATAATCAGGATGATCAACATTCGTGTGTTTAATTAACTCCTACAATTAAGCCAAAAATTGAACGAATCAAATGAAAAACGATCCCAACCAACACAAAAGTTACCAATGTAATCGCATGTAAATGAATGAAGAGAAAGAATTGATTAGTGAAAAAGGTTTAAATTGTTCACTAATTGTGATTAAATTAATTACTTACCTTAAGTAAAAGCTCATAACGAGGTACACGTTGAACAGGCATAATTAAAATAGCATCCAAACTAAGTTTTCCTTTGTGTTCCCGAGACATATTCTGATTGTTAATTAACAATTAAAAAAGATCCAAGGATTAAACAGAAAAGGATACAATTAATTATCTACTTTTAACCGTTGACCTTTAATTATAATAATGGATAAAACTTTTTACTTTGAAAGAGTTGCACTAATCAACTTGATAACCATAATAATAATCAGATGAACTAGATTAACTAAAGCAATTTGCTTAATTGTGACTGTTTCATTTGATAGCTATTAAGGTGACCATGATTTTCATCACAATCAATCAACTAATGGCAATTTATGTTAATTTGATTTGATTATGACTTGCAACATGGTGATGATGGTTATTAAATTAAATTTCAATATTTAAACTAATCATTAACAGTTAAATTAACTTTAAATTGTGCCAAGAAAATTATGTAAACATCAATCAATAATGTGGTAAATTAATTAGTAGTTAAAAGTTGTTGAAACGATTCAAATTTGATGAGGCAAAAAATTATTTGAAAAAAAAGTAAATTATATTAATTGTTAACGTTAATTGTAAACATAGATATTGATTTTAGTATTTACAATTAACTGTTATACTGGAAAAGTAATGATAAAAAAAGGGTTAACACTAACAATTAATCAAATTCACTGAAATCAAAATGATCACAAGGATGAAATTGAACACAATTAAAGTTAATTGTCCAGCCAGTAAATAGTAGATTGCAATAAAAAGTTAAATTAATTACTCTCATTGAAATTAAAATTGATAATCATCAGAAACAATTAACTACAAGTGTAAATATGAAAATTGATTAAAATTTAGGTAAACAAAATGAGGTGAAAAAAGTTTTCATTGTCTGAAATCAATTAAATGTGATAATTAACTAAATGTAAACAAAATTTGATTGTTTACCGTTACTTAATTGTCAGAATAAACTAATCAATAGTTGAATTATCTGGTAATTTGAATTTTAATTAACTTTCTTACCTCTAAATATCGGGCGAACGCTGGTTTAGCTTGGATTGCTGATCTAAGTGCTTCTTTGGCTATTTTCCAATTGTTAATAAAAGCTGTATAAGTATCGATAATTGGTTGTTTGGTAAACTAATTGATTGAGAAAAAGAGAAACAATTAGTTAATTAAGACGATGATTACTGGATTAAAGGTTGATGGTTAAACTCACCGCTTCAACAAAAACATCACCAATCTTTTGCTTTGTATCCCAATTGGTTAGTCGTTGTTTCAATATCTCCAGGAAATCTTCATGATGTTTCAGTATTTCAGGGATTTGGTAAAATATGAGATCAACTAGATTACTATCAACAAGGTGTGAGTATTCAGGAGACTTCAATGGTTTCATATATTTCTGATTAGTAATTAAGAAAAACAAAACAAATTAATAAACAATCAAGTGAAATGAAAAAAAAATATTCACCATTTGGTTTTGTATTAAATTGGAAAAGGAAAAACTAATCAATTGATTCATTTGATTTTTTTTACGATTGGGAAACGTTTTAAATGAGTAATTAAATTGAGTTTGTTTCTTAATTAACTATTTCAAGTATTATAATCTCAGCTTTATGCTAATTGTAATACTTTCATTGGAACTGGAAATGTGAGATTAAACATTTTCATTAGTTGGTTAGAAATCAACTAATCAGTTGATTAGGTTAAGTAGTGAAAAAGTTAATTTAGTTGCATAGGTAACGTGTTTTAGTAATTGGAAATTCAGTTTAATCTGAATAGACACTTTAATTGTCTCAACTTCAATTTGAATGATTGTGAAACATTAACAAGATGATGGTGGAAAATAAATAATAATCATGACATGATGAAGATTATTAAGATAAGGTAACATAGGGCAACGATCCTTATGAGAGTTACTGAGAAAAATTCAATTCCAGTAACTCAGAGATTCCCATGAATTTTATCATCAAGATGATAATATATACTAAACATTACTGTAAACATGAAAAATTAATAATCTTGTGTACTAAGATGATGATGATGATTATGAAGATAAACCTTTAAATTGTTTAATAGCATAAAGAAAACCTAGAGAAAGAGATGAGGATAACTTTGCATCATCTTTACTCCATTTAACTTAATGAAGATGGAGAAGATGAAAATGAAGATAAGTCAGATGATGAAAGGGTAAGAGAGAGAGAGAGAGAGAGAGATGATCTTGACTAAGCTTAACTTTTTTTGTCAACTAAGTTTCATGATTACCTGAGGATGAAGATTAAGATCATGACAAGTTAACCCGAAAGATGAAGGAATTGAAAGTTAATTTTTTTCCGAATGAATTAACAATCAACAATTAACATGATAAAAGTATGAGAGTTGATTAATTAATTGATTGTAACCTGTCATATGTTGAATCATTTATTGATTAATGATTACAATTTGAATGGGTTATCATATTTGCATATGATGATTAATCAACTAAATTTATCTTTTTTTTTCTCCAAAATAATTAGTTCATTTTGGATACATGGTGAAACTTCATATTTAAATCATTGAACTGAATCAACCTTGAAATTGAACTTTTTTTTCTTCTTCTTGTTTTCTTTCTTATCCTTTTGGATGATATCCGACCATCTATATGCAGGATGTAGTTTTTCATGGAGATCATCATGAAATATCATATATTCAATGACAAAAGTGAGTCAGCTTGACATTGATGATATTAAAAATTCATGCAACAGAATTTCATCTTAATTCTGAGAGGGATTTTTTCCTTCTCTATCCTTCACTCATCTAGTTTAAGGTGAAAGTTGAGTTGGTTGAATAATTTATATCGTTTTCGGGAAACAGTCAACGAGTTGATTGTTAGAATAGTTCTAGAAGTATTTCTGTCAATTAATAATTAGAGAATAGTAAATTAACTGTAATTCAGTTGGAGAGAGAGAGAGAAAGAAATTGTGGTGTTTTTTACTATTTCACAGTCAATCAAATTGTTCACCTTTTCACAATTAATGTGATAAGCTTACAATCAATCATAAGAATTGAAATGTTGTATCGACAAGATAACTACAAAGAATATATCTCAATATAATCTTGATTAATCAAGTGAATATTTAGATCACAAATTGTCAAAAAGAGTTGACAGTAGTATTAATAGATGAATGTACCAAGAAAATATATAAAAGAAATTGAAACAATCAATAAATTCCAGATTCTTTTCATTAATAAAGATCCAGGTTATTGAATATTTCTTAGGGAATATTGATGGAAAGCTAAAGAAATTAATGGAGAATAATTTGATTCCATGTTAATCAATGTGCATCATTTAGATTCGTTAATTGGTTAGAATTTAATACAAGATCGATGGATAAATAATTAACTGTACCCAAAGAGAAAATATAAATTAACACTTACATTGACAAGCATTTGAAGTGATTCAAGATATGATTTCTCTGTATCATAAAGTTCACCAACAACATGAGTCCGTGTATCCTGTAAATGGGATGAAAGAAAATCAATATAAACAATTAATATCACAGAGAAATAGATGAATTGATTATGAATAACAATTAACAAAAGGTTTAGAAAAAAAAGTATGATAACCAATTCAAGGTAAGAGAACATGTTGAACATTGAATGAGGTTGATTAAGGAAAACACTGAATCTTAATGATTGTTTTTGCTTTTGTTTGATTAATCTTCCAAACGAGTAAGAGCACATGAGTTAATCAAATACTGTTAAGATTTACACAGAATAGAAAAATATAAACTTAGAAAGAGAATACCTGAAATTCACAAGAGAAAATAATTAAAGAAATGATTGCAAATTGATACCAATAATGATCCAGATCAATAGAAACAAATATCAACCATTAGAAAGAAGAAGAAAAAAACAGAAAAGGAAAAAGATGAAGTTACAAAATTCACCATAGAGAGAGAGATAGGGAGAGGGAGAGAGAGAAATACAACATTATAAGGTTCACAGGTAAATGGTTGAAACTGTTACCAATAATATACATGATAAGTAGATATTCAGGTAAAGAGATAAATTAAATTATTAAACATCAATTTGTCAACATTATATAACAGGGAGAGAGATGAGAGTCTCTCTGAGTGACAGAGCAGGAGAAACAAAAGGACAATCAATAATTATATTATCACAGAGAGAAAGAGAAAATATAAAGGAAAATGTAAAATTATTGGTTGGAGAAAATAATCAATTGGAATGTAATTTCTAATCATCAATAAACTATAATAAATTAACAGAAATTAGATTATATATTTTATATAGAGAATACACAAGATACACAACATTTACCTGGACCAATTTGAAAGAAAACACATAACACATACAATGGAAAATCAATTATATCATTTGAAAGAGAAAAGAAGAAATTAATTTAATTGTGTAATAAAGAGAAATTAATTTAAATCAAGAAGCGAAAAAATAACATTGTGATTGATGAGCAAGAGGAACAAATTAGTGAACAATTAACCGAATGAGTTAAGAAAAAAGAGAAAAGAAAATAAAGAAAAATTGAAATTCGATCAATTCCTATTGGTCGTTTGGCTTTTGTTCGTTTGGTAGGGAAGACAAAATGGCGAATCAATTGTTTTGATTAAAAAGAGAGAATTAGTTTCGTTTTAATTTGTTAATTTCTTTTCTTTCTCATTAGTTGATTGTTTTAATTTGTGTTTTTGTTTCTCTTCTTCTTCTCCTGTTGATTGTGAGAATTTCGTTTAATTATCTTTACCTCTGCTAGAAAATAAATATCAGTTCCAAGAGTGTAACGCCGGTTAAATGAATATTTGTTCAACTTATCGGCTATCCATGGATCGGATTGAGCTCTTTTGGAAAATCTTTTGGACATATGGTTAAATATGGAGCAATAATTTTTCGATATTGAAGTTGGATTAATTGCTGTGGAAGTGTTGCTGACTGTGTTGACAATTTCATTGTTAACTGTTGGTGTTGATTTGGTTAAACTAGAGGCAACCCATTCGTAATCAACAAGAGATAAACCAGTTGAGGTATTTATTGGATGTAAAGGTAAATTTTGGTGATGGGAAGCGTTAAAATTTGCTGTTGCAAACCCTGGAATTGGTAATGAGATTCTTGGCGATTTGGGTATGGGCACATTACTTGATGATGATGATCCACTTCCACTCAAAGGAGATGTTGATGATAGTGATTTAGGTGATTTATCACGGAAAAACGGTCTATGGTCATCTTTAAACATGTTCTCGATTTACACACAATATAAACTCACACTAATTTTGATCAATTTAATCCTAATGGCAAACAAGGAATCATATTTGTTATTAACTAATGGAAACTTTGGAATGTATCAAAAAGCAGTGTAACCCATTAGGATGAGGAAAACACATCAGTAAAAGAGGGTAACCAAAAGGTATTCAAAAGAAAGTGTAACATTAACACAGTTAAATACTTCCAAGGTGTTAGTGTAATCTTTTTCTAGTGAGAGAAGAAGTGAAAACATTGCCTAAGGTAAGTGAACAATTAACTTAGATTAAACTAACATCACCATAATTAAATCATTTTAACACAAAGCCGACTTGAAGAGATAATTAATAAGTTGATTGAAGAGTAAAAACAAAAATTTTATTCTCTCATAATGATAGATATTGAGAATGACAGTTAATTGTTACTTTTGTTGTCGATCATGTTGATATTGAGTTAACATTATTGTATAACCACCAAATCAACATCACTATTGTTGTTATTAACTCTGTTGATACTTTTGCTTGTTGACTGTGTGTGTAAGTGGGTAAAGTGTTGGATGAGAGATTAAAGGTTGAAGAAAACTAAGGAATTGAAATTATCATTCTAACCTGTGTCTCGACTTTTTCTGTCTTTAGCCAATAGACAGATGATGATGATGATGATGATGATGATAAGGAAGGAGAGAAAAGAGAGAAAAAGCAAAGAAAACATACTAGAAGTTCAGGAGATTGCTCATACTACAAAAGAATATAAAATAAAAGAGTAAAGTAAAAGAGAAAAAGATTTACAGCTTATTGGATTTATAATGAATACCTTTTTTTATTATGTGAACAGTTACAAGTTTTATCATCATCATCATCATCATCTTATTTCTGATGATGATACACAAGCAAACAGAACAAAAAAGCCTTTGATTTGACATGTTATAACTGATGAGAAGATAACTTTATGTGTGTGTGTATCTATCTACAGGGAGGTTACACCTTGTTTCTCTCTCTCTCTCTCGCTCTCTCGATGTGTTGTTACTTGATGACAGTTTCAGTATATTTCATTTCATTTTATTTTCTATTCTCCAGAATAAAATGTTTCCATGTTTTTATCATCTTTATCATCATTAACATCATCATCCTCATCCCTTTTCTAATAGCATCTTCTTAGAATCAATGCTTTCTCATGCATTCATTTGTAGTAATAATAATTTGATTATTTACTTTTATTTCTCAATTCCCCTAGTATACAATTAACTTTTTTTCTTCTCATTCATCATTACTGATGATTAATATCCTTGTCATCAACTATTTACATTTTATTTTGTTAAAATAGGCCTTCAATTAGAATCGATACAATCCAAATAAACAAATATACTCTTCTTAAATAATCAATTAAAAATGTTTATTCATTAATCAACAGATGAATTAATTAAATTATTATACAACCAATGAGATGAAAATGATATTCAACAGTTAATGTTAATCGAATGCAATTCTCCTTTGTCGTTGATTATGTTATCATCTATTAATAATCAAATCAATACTTAGCAACATTTATATGTATTTATAATCAAAAATCAAAATCCAATTGGGTTAAAGGTTAACACAAATGTGATTATTGAAGATTGACATTAACAGATCAATGTATGAATTTTGATTTGTTGTTTTTCACTTTCAATGTCAAACTGAATCAAATTTAACTTGTTATTATGCATTGGTAACAGCTAACCCAATTTCTCATTGTATTGTAATGATTATTTTATTAATCATTCAAGTGTAACAATCAACAATTGAACACTTTTCATTTCTAATCAAAATATATCATAAGCAATCGTGTATACGAATAATTTAACAATCAAATTATTATTATCATAACAATAGATTCAATGATATTTTATCACAATTTGAAGGTTAACAACTTTGGATTTTGTGATTTCTAGTTAACAATCGAAGATGTTAATTGTTTCATCAGTATCATAATTAATCTTTTAAAAAATTAATCATTTCGCTGATTATTATTAATAAACATATCAAACTATCAACTATCGTCAATCAAAAAACTGTTGTTAATACCGTTTTAATTGTGATATAATAATAACTTATCAATGTTTACATTTTGCTTCAGTCTATTAATAAACAATTAAAGGTTTTCTCCTGATATCTTATAACAATTAATTAAAGTGTAAATTGTGGCGTTGAATTGTTCACTGTTACATATAATTATAATTTTGATCAAGTTATGATTATGATAATACAAGATAATTTATTAAGGCCACAATATAATCACTTAATTATCATTAATAAATTTGATTGAATATAAATTTTTGAAAAATTGTTTGAAAATACTATTGATATTATATTGAGAAAAAAAGGTAAATTGGGAATTATAATGAAAATTTTGTTCTAATTATAATTATATGTGTTATTTATATTAATCAAGTGATGTGATTAATGATTAAACTGATCAAATTAATTTAAATTACAATCTACATTCAAATATTGTCATCAATATAACGAAGCCGATAGTTATAATTGAGAGATGAAAAAAGTTGAGGCTATGATGAAGATAAAGCGATAAAGTTGAGGCGACTTGATTAAAGAAGAAGATAAAAGATGATGATAAGTGGATGACAATAAATAATAACTCTAAATCAAAGGTTTGTTATTGAGATGATGATAATCAATAACGATAAAACCCCTGAGGCGGTCAAGATGATGGAGGTAATGATATTGATATGAAAACATATAACAATTGAAAGATAAGATTGATAAGATGAGAAAATCATTAAATGTCAATTTACTTAACTGATAAGTAATCAATTCTGATTGGAGTATTTTAGATAAACAATTAGCAATAAAACTTATGATTGAAAAAAGAATCAACAAAAAGAGCGGGAAAAATTGAACAAGATGGATAACAAGTTATTCCTTATCTTCATCTTCATCTTTATCATTTTTTGAAAAATCTTCTCATCATAAGAATCCTCTTAATCCATGTAATACTTTTCTGTCTTCAATCTTGTTTTGATATTAATTGTTTACTCATTTAATCTCTCTCTCTCTCTCTCTCTCTCTCTCTCTCTCTCTCTCTCTCTCAGTACTCCATCATCTTTATTATCATCATGGTTACGACAGGATGAAAATTACGGTTACGATATCAATTTTTTTCTTTAATCCAATTGTCTGTAATATGATATGACAAGCCACTGAAAAAATGATTTAAGTTTTCAAACTCATCATCTTCATCTTTATCCCTTCAATCAAGCTACATCGTCACCATCATCATCAACTTGTTCATCATAATCATCATCATCAGGATAATCTTTTCTCCCCTCAATCCATTTAACAGTTGACTTAACAGTTATAGGAATCGGTAATCAATTTGAATTATATTTCAAATTTTTCAAACTTTAATCTTTTTTTCGTATGTTAATACACAATAATTCATATTCATGATAATACATGAACTAAGTTGATGAATTATCATCTCTTATTTTTTTTTGCTGATGCGAATTTTCGGATTTTCTAAGCTCAAATCTTTATATTAATTACTCTCTTCTCATGGTCTCTTCCTGATTTTCCTTGATGAGATAAAAAAAATTACTACTGTACTTTTTTATTATTACTATGATGATGATAATCAAGGTAATAGAAATGAGAATTAGTAACAAAGTGATATTTGAAATAGGATAGCGAAATTATTAGTTCTTAACCTGTCAAACTTACGTTTTAATCATAATTTGATAATGATAATTAATGATTAAGTATCGATATTTAAAATTGTCTCAAAATTTTTCAAAATTTTGTCAATTTCTTTGGATTAAGTTTAGTTAATTATCCTAAAATAATTATCTAAAGTAAATATTGATTTTAAATAAGAAATAAAGAAAATTTTATCCTAAGAATTAAACTATTTTAAAGCAGGAAAATGATGACTGAATTGAGAAAAATATTGTATCCTGTTAATCACTTGTTGATCATGTAGATGATATAAATTTTCATTAAAACTATGAATATAATGATCATCATTAAATCACAAAATCTAACATAAAATAAGGTTGATCATGTTAATCTAATAACAATCCACTAAGCTATTTGTTTTCTTCATCCTTTTTTTTCATCTTCTAGGTGATGATGAGCATCATCATGTTAAAAGAATGAGAAAAGAAAAAGGGTAAAACAAATCATCTAAGTTAATTGTTATCAGAAGATGGAAAGAAAAACATAAAAGAGGATGAAAGGATGAAGATGAAGATGATGGATACAATAATAAAAATACTGAAGATTTATAATGGAATGAGTTGATCACGTCTTGAGTGAATCTTTCAAAGTTCATTGTCAAACTATTAATTCAACTGTAATGAAGTTAATAAGAGTAACAAGTAACAGAGAAATATTTCTCTCCCTTCATTATCATCTCTCTCTCTCTCTCTTGTTTATCCTGATCCTTCTTTTCCTCAATATTTTTATAAGAAGAAAACCAAATGCATCAATGAGAGAACAGGTAACCATCCTTATTTTTTGAGTTCAGGGTAACAAGTATTCCTTTCATTGTGTTACTGTTAACAAGAGTTTGACGATTGAACCCTCAAGGGTTTCTCTCCATTTCTTATTACAACATTACAATGGTTCTTTTCCTTTTTTCCTCAGTTTCTTTCTCCTTTTTCTTGGAATTCAAAGGTTTTCGGTGATTTTTTGGATTCTTCTTGTTCTCCTCATTTAGGATTTCGTTAATATTGTTTCCGATTTTCCTCGAATCCATTGGAAATTAACAAATCACTGATTCTTTCAAGAATCTTTTGTTTTTTTCTCTCCTTTTCAAGTTAGTTTGCTTGTGTATTCGTTGGTTTTCATCCACTGAAACATTAACTTTTTTTTCTCTTTTCATCCTTAGGTTAATCATCGGATTCACATTGATTTACTTTTAACTAATAGAGTATATTATGTAACTGACGTTATAGATAAAAGAAAATTCAAGATCAAGATAGACTCAAAGATGGAGGAAAAGAGGGAAAGGTAACAATTTCCCGCTTTTCTTATTACATGTTTATGTTAACATGAATTGTTGAGTCACTTTTCAAGTGGAAGAAAATAAAAGCCATTCAGATTGATGGAAGAACATGAAATCGGCGTGAATTTTAGGTAAACAATTGACAAAGTATCACAAATATTGATGAGTTAAGTTGATTAATTGTAAATTAACAATCTCTCAATTTGTTGCCAACCAGTTTAAGCGGATAATCATTAGAGAGAGAGAGAGAGAGAGAGAGAGAGAGAGAGAGAGAACAAATTTTGACACAGTCTCAACCTTTTTTTAGAAGGTAATCTTGTCTATCCAAAAATGACACATAACTTAAACGGATCTTCTCAACACAATTTAGGGCAAACATTTAATTTAAATGAGACAAATCAATTAAAAGAGAATCAATTTAAACTAATTGAGATTAATTTTCTTTCATTTGATAAAACAAATCAAAATTTTTCTTCTCTTTTTCTTATTCCATTAGGTGGAGCCACATCTCGATCAAAGATGTTTGGATCCATAGGAATCGAATCCCTGATTCATTTATTTCGATTAAAAAAATTTTCGATTGATAATTTTTCTTTCGCAATTCTTTTTATTGATCTAAATTGTTGTATTCTAATTTGATTACAGATTATAGTTTATTATATGTTAAGTATGAAACTGATTGACGTTCGATAATCAAACTATGTCAACATGTTAAACATCTAGAGAGTTTAAGAGACAACACCTTAAGGTGTCATCTTGTGTTCATCTCATTTGGTCAACTGATTGTCAATCTTCATGACTTTGTTAATTGAACTGGATTAAGTCTGAATTTTTGGAATCTCTTTTTCTTGTTCCTTCAATTGGTATTGACTTTGGATTGGATTGCGTAAAAAGAAACAGTAAAATCGCCTAAAGGTGTTATTGTGGTGAGATATTTATATAAATGGTTTTTAGGTGACACATTGATGGAGTCTGAGAATCAGTGAAAATTGAGACAACTTGAGATCTCTTTCTGATTTTGCTGATTAAAAATGGCGACAAAATATTTGTCAACCTCTATTGATATTACGTAATAATAATGGAATAACCAATGCAACTGATAAATAAGCTCGAGGACAAATACAATCCACCGGTGGTGATAATGTTTATGGTAAACAATTAGAGAAACTGTTTTTATAGGAGAAACGCAACCAATGGAGTTCTTGACCGGTTTATGGACAGAAAACCTATTAACAAAAGATTGACCCTTCCATGGACCTTGGATCAATCATCTGAATATTTATGGTATCATGTTACTTGAATTTGTATTTGAACACAAAACAACTGATGGAAAAAAAATCTCAAGATAATTGCAATTCTAGGATAAGATGAAGGAAACAACTTATTGAAAAGGTATCAGTTAAACTAAAAGATCTATTGTTTATCCACCTAAATAACAATCTTATTGTTTTCTTTAGATACGATATATAATTGATGGAGACTTCAACTAACAGTAAAAATGAACAACAGGAATACATACAATCTGAAGGAGGCAATGGAACTGGAAGAAGACACAAAAGAGGAAAAGAGATTGTAAATAAAAGCAGAAACTCAATACAACTTTTATCTGGATATCTATCGTTTCTCCGAGTAATTTACAGATCCAATTTCAAAGGAATTCATTTTGATTTCAACTCTCAAGGTGATGATAAACTTGAGGATAACCTGAAAACAAAGATAATTGAACAAATGATGAGGTCAGTTTGACAATAAAAGGGATAACCAATGATAAATATTACCTTGCAACACCCATGAGGTAATCAAGTAATCAAAGCTTACAACTTTTGGATTGTTCAATCATCAAGGTGACCACTAATCATAAGCTTAAACAAATTGTATTCCCTATTAACCCATTGAAGCTTTTTTGTCAACAATTAGATTTGCCAATGTTTTATGTAATTGTCAATCATTCAAATCATTTATCACCACGTTATCATCAGTTATATACATTAACCATTCTAATTATACAATTGTGATGATTGTTTACAACTGAATTAATTTGGGTTAACACTAAACGAAATTAATCATCTTGTAAGCCACAATCTAATTTAATGTGGTCATTTGTATTGATTGTCATCTCTATTTTCTGATTGTAATTTTATTTTTTCCTCTTCCCATTTAACATACTAATTAATGATAACCTTAAATCACTTTTATAATTAACATTATAAAACTAATCGATTAACAATTAACCTGACCAAACGAAAAGCAGAAAAAAAAAGAGAAGCAGTTATTATCTTTTTCCTATCCTAATTCACTGAGTATTCAATGTGTGATGGTGGTGGTGGTTAATTAATAATTAATTCAGTTGGTAGTAAAAATTTAATAGCAATCAACTAACCTTCACAGAAAAACACTAAATGTTAATTGTCCACAACAAAATAATCATTAATCTTTAACCTTAATCACAACCAAAATCACTGTTGAGACTTGTTGAGCCATTGATTAATCACAATTTCAATTATGATTAACAATTAACCAAATCAACAATTTATAATAATTGATTAACGTATTTTCCCCTAAACGTTATTAATGATTGTTTCCTCTTTTCATGTTCTTATGTTTAATTACAGGTCAATTTGTTGATTTAATGTCATGCATATGAAATGAATTGGTATCATACCGATTACGGAACAATTAAGGACAACAATTGGAATGATTATTAATCGGAAAAGGAAACTTACAATATGCTTTTTGGAGAAAATACTTCGTCTAAAAGGATCGGATGAACCACGATTATGATTTGATTTATTCCATCTTCCAGTTGATTCTGATTCACTTGAAATCTGATTGATCAGAGATTCTTCTTCCGTTTCCGGTAATTGGCTCATCAGTGGATCACGATATTTAACTGAACTTGTTTCACTTGTTGTCGTTGTTGTTGTTGATGATGATGATGATGAGGAGGGTATCGGTGAAGATGCTACCTGTTTATTTGAAGATAATGATAAGGTTGATGATGATGATGGAGGAGGAGGCGGTGGTGGAGGTGGTGGAGGTGGAGGTGGTTGTTGTTGGGTTAAGTTGCTTGAATATGATGATGGTGATTGATTGTGAAGATGATGAAGATGATGGTGATGATGATGATGATGTAATGATGAGACATCAATCGATGGGGTTGACACACGAGCTGGACTTTGATTGGTGTCAAACTCACAAATCTCCGATGAAACTGTTAATAAATGAACAACAATTAAGATAATTAAACCAATGGAAACTTTTACAAGGTAATAACAACATTGATCATAATAATAATAATTACAATTAACTGATAATAATAATATGTGAATCAATTTAATATCTTGACATGAAATTAGATTATTATAATTGATCATTTCACATTGATAAGGAATATATAAAATATAAATAATCCTTAATCAATGATTAACAATATTAATTCACAACCAAACATTTGGTCATTGAAATTGCAATTTAGAAACTAAATTAGATTTGACAATTTAAACAACTAATCAAAAATTATGATGATAACAGCGTAAGTATTTACTATTTATAAAAAAAAAGTGCGAAACCTTTGATCATCTGATTGAGAAAAAAATATATTTCAATTGATTGATTGATACGATAATTTGATTTAATGGTGATGATAACAGCAATTAAAACTAAACAGTAAAAATTAAATGAATCAATTGAATTTGTAATGGTTTTAAAAAGGAGAGAAATAAAAAAAACAATTTGATTGTTGTGTCCAAAGTGTATTGATGGTCACTCGTTAAATCATCATTCTAATCACATGAATGGATCAATATTAATTGATGATTAACAATTATAACACATAAGTGATTTGATAACAACAATTGATAATAAACATGATGATGATGATAATGATTAAATTGATTACAACAGGTAAATAGGGAGATGATGAAGATTTTAGGTTAAAAAAACAGGTAACATTGAGTGATTATTATTAAAGAAAGAGAAAAGATTATAGATGATTAGGTGAAAAGAAAGAGACTAAAGAAAGATGATGATGATGATGATGATAAAGATGATGAGGATGATGAAGAAAAGAAATAAACAAAAAGCTGATGATTAAGAGAGAGACTGAGAAAACTGTAGTTCGTTGTTGATTATCAATTGTTAACATTATAGATGAAGATACGATTCTTGTTGAGTGAATTGTTGTTGCAATCAAGATGATTACTGATCATCTAATTAATCAATCAATTAAAACAATTCAAAGGTAACAATTAACAACCATTAACGATAAACCTAAAAAACTGGTTAACTTGACAATCAAATGATCAACAAGGAAGATGAAAGAGAGAGAGAGAGAAAGAGAAGATGAAATTTGTATTCCATCAATACTCAGGTCAACAAATCTCTCTCTCTCTCTCTCACTCAGTTTCGTCTCTTCATCATCCTCATCATCCTCATCCATGTTTCTCTTTCTTTATCCTCTTTCTTTTTCTCCTCAGCATCTTTTGATTCAATCCAACAGCATCACTTGGTTACCATTGGTGATAAACAGTTAAAGGGATTGTATTTATATTTACATCTTCAACAATTTAATCATTTTCATCGAAAACAATCAAATTTAATTAGAATTTATTTTCACTGTTAGTTGAACAATTAACTTTAATAGAAAAGCCATTATGGTTTATGATTAAATCTAATTGTGAGGCGAAACAATCAAAGTAACAAATTATTATGATATATGTTGCGATGATATAATAATTATGATGATTAAAAAAAATGAAATTAAATTAAATGATGATAATCATAATTATGGTAACGATGGTAATCAAGTTAATTGCAGTTAAATTGTTACCTTTAGGTGAATCTAATGAATGTAAATTATTTTTTTATTTGTTTCTTTCTTGTTTGTGTGTGAGTGTTTTAACCTTTTACAATTAACAATTTGGTTAATTAATGGTTAACTTATATTGAATTTAATTCCGTTGTAATAATTATTGTATGATTATCATCTTAATCATCATCAGGATAATCCTCTCATCTTATAAGTTTCGTTGTCTTGATTATCTTTCATCTTTAATCATCCCTTTACAGATTCTCATTGTTGGTTGATTGCCAAAATTATTTTTGATTAACTTCAACCAACGATGTGTTTAAATTGTTTATGTTTTTAAACAACAATCTAAAAATAAAATTAACTTTATGAGCTTTTTAATCATTTGAGAAACACTGATTTAGCCAGACCTAAATTTCATTTACAAAATTAGAGCTTAATTTTCATTAGAATCAAGTTAATTAACTAACGATTCCAATTGATTTATGTAATTGTAGAAACAATTTAATACTGATAATTCATAAACAACAACAGTTAATTGTTTATTAATAACAATCTATTTCATGATAAATATTGTTGTTGATGAAACAAATCAACAATTTAATTATCAAGCTATAAAAATTAAATCATAAGCAATCATTTAATCAGCAGTTAATATCAACAATTAATTTGATGATTAACGGTATTTGTTGGTCAATTTAAGTAATAATAATCAGCCCATTATTAGTGTAACAATTAAGTGGTTAAATACATTTTGATTGAAAATTAAAATTGATTATCATGATTAACTTTGCTGGAATTGTTAGTAGATGAAAATTAACTAATTTCAAGCCAAAAAATACTCAGTTGATTGAGATTAAGATGATGATGATGATGATAAAAGTCCGCTGGCTCCTAATCAGCAAGGTTAATTGTTGGTTGACTATTTTAAGAAACTAAATTAACTTTAATTTCTCAATTATTTCATCATCTCTCCTCCATCATATTGAATTTAAATGATGAGGATGGAAATGTTTTCCTATGTAAAGATATTAAAGTTAATCAATTGTAATCATCGTGACTCATTTAATTGCAATAAACTAAATTCAATTATCAATTAAGTTAATCAACTTGTTGATGAAGGAGTTAATCCAATGAATTGATCATCATCTTAATTACAAAATTTATGAACATAAATCCAATAGATGGATAATAATTGTGATAATAACAAGATAATGATAAGATATTGATTGTAAGTTGATTGCTAATATTAATAAATTGTTGAGATTAAGACAAAAATGATTAGTAAATATCACGAAGATGATTAAGATAATGATAAATACGCACGAAATCAATTGGAATCATCTTCATCATCTTAATCATCATAATAATCTTAACATGATTAACCAAATTGAACCTTAATCATGATCAAGGAAAAACAACAAATTGGTTAATAAAAGTTTTCAATATTTTTCACAAATAAATTGTTCAATTAAAACAAGATTAAAACAATTGATTTGTTGAGCTTCCTAAAGATTACAAGTGATTACAATTAAATACACAATTAACAATTACTTTGTAACATTAATTGTTTAAATGAAAAGCATGATTAATGTACTTGTGTGAGTGGACAGTCACTCAAATGATTAGTTGATTAATTGATCCTTTCAATTTAGTTTAATTGTAGTTGTTGATGTTTTGATTTAATGATAACCTGTTGATAGTTAAAACATAATATATTAAAATATATGTAAACAATTAACAGTAACACAACATTGATTGTCAGTGAGAAATTGTCATTTAAAAACATGATTATCATTCAATTTAATTTGGTTAAACTTGATTAACTTTTTCCTTTTAATCATAATCAAACTATCGTTGATCATCATAGTAAAAAGGTAACAAACTAATAATTTACCTGTTAGTTTGTTAACCTACACAAAGTTAATTCAAGAAATAAAGTTATCATCCTAATCATTATCATCATCAACCATTTAATTTAAATTGTGAATCATAAACATCATATCTGTAAAAACCTCATTGATTATCATCATCATCTCAACCCAACCCAACTCCTACTCTCATTTAAAAATTAACTAATCAACTAACTATTGGTAACAAGTTACAACAACAACAACAGCATCAACCTTAATCATGATGATAATTAAATGGTTGTAATATTTATATTTAATTGTAAAAAAAAATCATAACGATAATAATAACGATTAAGTTAATTTAAACTCTAACACTTTTTTTTAAAAGCCTTTTAAATTATCAATATCATCAGAATCAATTTAAAAAAAAAACTCATGTAAAATTAAATTGTACATTTTAAATATAAGATGAGATCAATTATCAAACATCCGACATCATCTTCATCCTTTGAGTATCATCATTCATTTCAATGTAACAACAAAGTATTAATAATAATAATACTCATGTAATCATGATGATGATCAGATCAATATGATGATAGTCATGATGGTCCCTCATCACTTAGTTTGTTTTCCTCCATTAAACTTACAGGTAAAATTTTTAAAATCGATGGACTCAATTTTATCTGGGAGCACAAATCAATTATATAAATGAAAGTTATCATCATCATCATCATGAAAAACCTCATCATGATGATAATATTTATAAATATGTGAATGTTAATCTACTTTAAGGCAGAGGAGTTAAAATGTATTTCCGATAATGTTCAGTTTCTCAAGGTATCTTATCATCATCATCATGAATGAAAAGATGGAGTTTTTTTAAATAATAAGAGAGAGAGAGAGAGAGAGAGAGAGAGAGATGACATTTGGACTGATTGTCGAGAGTGAGAGAGTTGTCATCAATCATCATTGTAAGGGGATTAGCCATCACACTTTGTAATATATTAACTTTCCCTCATTTTCTTATCTACCACGTGTCTATTGTTAAACCACCTTCAATGTTAACCCTCAATTAAGATATAAATAGCCACTCAATTGTCCTTCTTAGTTAGTTGTTAAAAAGTTATTAGTTAATTGTTAATTGCTTAATTACTCTCTCTCCCTTTTCTAAAGTTGTTCAACCTCTGATAACCTCTATTTTTCCCCCACCTTAATTCACTAATTCCAGTTCGTTTACTAACCCATTGAATTTAAATAAAACAATTTCAACAAAGTGTTAATCAAAAAGTAAAGCCTTCACCTTAGTATTAGTTTCCTCTCGGGATCCCTTAGTATGGGTTGCTTGCTTGCAAATATACTTATCAAATTGGTGGAGATGCCTCTGCTGATCTAAAGTGAAAGTTTCTCTTCATTAGGCCTACAAGAATCTTCAAAGAAACACCTATAAGTGAGCTTCGGTTTACCCAAAAGCTCAACTCTGCGATTCCGACACTTTTAGGTCTGTTGTGTTAGAGGGAACAAGGTCCTTGTTCCCCTAACACTCAACCT